CGCCGCCCACTCCCCGCGCCGAAATGTTCTTAATCAAGGCAGAGAAAATAACAAGGAACAACCTTAAAGCTGGCAAAAAAAGCAAAAAAAGATCGGGCAGCCTTCCTTCTCTTTTCTAACTTTCAAAAACCTGATTACTAATGTTGGGAGAGTATGAGCGAAAGTTTTTTTTGTTTTGTTTGCGGTAAATTTAGTAAAATAATGCACATAGACATTTTTATACAGTGTTGTTATTTTTACTTTATTATTTTCTTTTTTTTCTATTTAGTCTGTGGGATATTTTTAATTAGTTTTCAAAATTAATGTAATTTTATTTTTCACAAATATTCATATTATCACTAACCTCTTTTTTGATATGCTTTAACCGAGATAACTGAGAGATTCTTTGGGGGACAACTTTAAGTCTGGACTTGGACTAACGTCCCTTATCCACATTCTGGGACAAATGGGAGATTAAAAATCTCCCAGTTATCCTACCCTTTAGCGACTTATCGAAGAGAGTGTTAAATCAAGTTCAAACCCAGAAAATAACACCCAAGTGGTTAACTAGCCATTAGAGTCTTGATATTTGTAATTAAGACATTTCTTTCCCTCTGTTTCAAAAATTAAAAAAAGGAGATTGATTTCTTCACTCAACTAAAAAAATTTTTTTTATATTTTCGCGCACCTCCGTCTTTAACCGATCATTTCAATAAATTTTATTTTTTTTTCTCTACCTTGAACGATAAATTAATTAATTTTATGTACCTGTTCGCTAATCCTTGGCCTATTCAATTTATTTTAATTTCTACTTATAGCGGCAATTTATTGCGCATATTTTTTTGCTTCCTTTTTTATTACCTTTAGTGTATTTATTCGTTAAAAAGTTTAAAAACGAGCAAAGGCTAATTTTTACAACGATTTAAAATTTTATATAATTTTGGTGTGCGCAAGAAGCAAGTTTATAACGGAAACGCAAAAATTGGCGTTTATTTCCCCCACAGAAATGTTTTTTGCGCACACTTGATTTTTAGCATTTAAAATATTATATAATTTAAGTGTGCGCAAAACTATGTTTATAACAGACAAAATAGCATAACGCAAAAATTGGCGTTTATTTCCCCCACGAAAAATGTTATTTGCGCACATCCGAATTTTTCTGGTTTAAAATTTTATATAATTCAGGTGTGCGCAAAAGCAAGCTTATAACGGGCAAAATAGCAGAACGCAAAAATTGGCGTTCATCACCCCCACAAAAAAGTTTTTTTGCGCACACCTGAATTTTTATGATTTGAAATTTTGTATACTTTTGGTGTGCGCAAAATCAAGTTTATAACGGGAACGCAAAAATTGGCGTTTATTTCCCCCATAAAAATGTTTTTTGCGCACACCCGAATTTTTTTGCTTTAAAATTTTTTATTATTTTAATGTGCGCAAAACTTTGTTTATAACGGGAACGCAAAAATTGGCGTTTATTTCCCCCAACAAAAATGATTTTTGCGCACACCCGAATTTTTATGATTTTCCAAATAAGGAGGGGTGAACATTTTTTTAATAATTTTTGTGTAACAATAAAAAAGTGACATCAAAAAAGTGTTTTTTAGTGTCGGTGGCCCGACCGTTATTTATTTATGATTGAGTCATATTTTTAGCTATATTTATTACATAACTTGTTTCTTTTTAAAATTTTTTTTTTATATTTGCTAGAACCATTTTTCTTTTTATATTTTATCTTTTTACCCCCATTGCGCATCTGCAATTTTTTTATCAAAAGTTTTTTTGAAATTTTTTTTTTAATTGAGACAGCCTTGAAAAGATATGTTATTTTCTAAGTTACCTGTTTTTAACTATAAATCTTCTCTAAAAGCCATAAAATTGACATTAGAGTCTGGGGATTATTTTTAAAATTTTTATTTAGGTTCAGACTCTAATGGGTGTTTTGATGATCTTTATGGGGACTTGAGTTAAATAAAGGGCCATTCATAAAGAGCCATTCCATTCACGCATTAGACCCCTAGACGAAAATCCGTTAGGGGGTGGAGCCTACATCTTCAGACTCTAATGGACCTAGGTCCATTAGAGTCTTGATCCAATAGTTGATCAACACACCTCATGTAGTGCGATCAACACCAGAGTTTAATAGAGCAGACTCTAATTGATACAAGGCTCTAATTGACCCCCTCGGCCTTTGCTTCAACAGACCATTAGAGTCTCTCGCTTTTAACTATCACCTTAACTAATCCTTTTATTTTCCTCTTAAAAGAGTTGGGGATTAAGTATCAATCTTCTCTCAAATCTTCTTTTTTTTAATCCCTCACTTAAAATTATGTATTTTAATAATTTTTTACACCAATTTAATATTTAAATACAAATCAATTTGCACTTTTATGCGCGCAGAGGGGTGTTAAAAATTAAAATAATAAATAGTAGTAAAATTCATTCAGCATCAATAATAGTGTAGTAATTTGGAGAGTTTTTGGGCGTTAAAAAGAGAAAATTGATCTCTCTCTCTTTTTACTTTTTTGATGTTTGGGATTTTTCGTCTCACTCTGCTGCGCGGCTATTAGAGAAAAAGACGTTTCGGCGCATACAGAGATTGGGCGCGCGCTTGTATATCTACGGCTGTTGAAGAGTTAGAATTGTGAAATTTTGTGTAGTTGTTCTTTAGGAGGATATCTAGCATCCCTGAAAATTTGAGAAATTTTGGTTTAGTGTGTCCAAGGTTATGGCCAAAAATGTTTGCTTAATTTACTTTTTCTCCCTACAATTGAGACCCTTCTGGTCATAACTTTTAAAATTCCGAACCAGGGTTGCCGCGGGTACAAAAAATCTTCGGGTACGGGTTTCGGGTATCGGGTTGGAGCGTTTTCATTTCGGGTCACGGGTTTCGGATTGGCAAAAATATCGGGTACGGGTTTCGGGTTTCGGGTTGGAAAATTTTCAATTCGGGTATCGGGTTTCGGGTACAAAAAAGGCCGGGTTTCGGGTATCGGGGTTCGGGCGGCAACCCTGTTCCGAACCAAAAATTCTGAAATTTTTAGAGCAGTCTAGTAACCCTATAAGGAATGCTTATGCAAATTTTGGACATCCAGGATGCTCAATTGCCAAGTTTATAAGTCACTGCGCCATGTTGGTCCTGCGCCCAAACGTCTTACTTTTTTATACTAATTAAACATTTTTTTAATTTTTTTATTTCTTTTTAATTTTTTTCCGAAGTCCTTTTTAGTAAAAGGAATTTAAAAAGGAATAAAATAAATATTTATTTTTGCCCTTTCATTTTCTTTTCTAAAATAAAAATTCATCATCGCTAACAAGAGTGTTCTTTTTTTAATTTTTTTATTTTAATTTTTTTTATTCGCCGAATTTGTTTAACTAAACACTCGCCTATACCCTTATATTGCATTCCAACGTAAAGTTTTGTGTTTGTGTGTTTGTGTACACTTTAGACGTCTTTTAAGGAAAATTATTGCGCTGCCTTTTAATTAATAAAATTTTAGTATTTTAATATATCTGACACGTTTTGCTCTTTTTTGCAGTTTTATTGGGGGTAAATTGAGTAGAAAAAGGCTTGAAAATTATTTTTAATAAGCCTAAGGGTTAGAAAAAATTTTTTTGATTTTATAGGCTTAAAAATAATTTTTGTAATAATTAGACTAATAAGGAAGAATAATAAAGGTCAATAAAAGCATTTGACCATAAGTTGTCTTGGTGGTGGAGTTGGATAGGGTTGGGTTTGAGGGAGAGGAGGGTTGTGGGTTCGAATCCTTCCTTGGTCTAATGATTTGTTTCTGCTTGGAATTAAGTTTTTATGGAGGAAAAATTTTTTTCTAGGTATAAAAAAATGAAAAATTTTTTTTCCAAATTTTAGGGTTCATAAAATTTAAAAATTTCCTTCCTTTTTTTTAGTTTGCTTAAACCCATTATTTACATAATATTTGTTCACATTTTATTTATATTCGCGTTATTTCCCTATACTTTTTTTTTATAATTTTTTTATTTTTAGGCAGTGTTGGTGGGTTCCTCTATTTATTCTAATCAACCAAACAACTTCTTAAAGGTTTGAATTTTTAATTAAAATTAAAAAAAATTTTTTTCAGTTTCGGGCTCTTCTGTTAATTTTTTTGCCTAAAACTGTCCACGTTACCCACACACACTTTTTTTGTTTGTACAACTTTCCCTTCTAATCTTCAATGCGTAAGTGGCAATGTCATAGCAGGAATAAAGAACAGGACAGGCAAAAATCAATACAAGAAGATCAGCAGCAGCAGAAACAAATTTCTAGGTAATATTGAACCGGACAGACCCCCTTTTTTCTTCTCCAAATTTCTTCCTATATTTTTGCAGAATGGTCAGACCACTCCCTTTCTTCCATCCCAATTTTATTCTCTTTCCAGGGAGATTAAAAATTAATTTGGTGACTTGTCGGTTATCCCTACGTGTTTTTTGCGGACTTTTTTTGCGGACAATTGTACGGAATGGTCAATTCCTCCCTCATTTAAATATTAATCAATCGTGAAGGATTGATGTATACATCAAATTACATCAATTTTGTTTGACAACTACACAGGAGAGAGGAAGGAAGAAATTGACCATTCCGTACAATTTTGTCCTCAAAAAAAGTCCGCAAAAAACACGTAGGGATAGCCGTCAAGTACCATTAATTCATTTTGAGATTGTTTCTAAGCAAACTATAGAGAAAGGCAATTTGGATGGAAGAAAGGAAAAAGTCTGACCATTTTGCAAAAGGGCTCTGTCTGAAAGGAGTGCCTGTTTGACTTTTTTTTCCTTACTTCCTTAGAATAGTCTTTCCTATTTTTCCTAATTTCTTTAAGATCGGGTGAAGGACAAACAAGGAATTCCAAAATACAGAGCAGACAAAGCACGGTCTGGTCCGTGGTTTGGTATGGCCTGTATTTTGGTCGTTCCGTATGTTGGCAAGGTAAATGGAAAAAAAACTGTTTTGTCTTTCACCCGATCTTAAAGAAGTTAGGAAAAATAGGAAAAAATACTATTTTAAGGAGATGAGGAAAAAACTCAAACAGGCACTCGTTTCAGATAGAGTCTGTAAAAATATAGTGGAAAAATTGGGGAGAAAAGGGGGTCTGTCCAGTTCAATATTACCAATTTCTAGATTGCCTACAGGCTCTTCTTCAAATTTTTGTATTAAACGACAGCTTTATTTTTTGTTTAAAATCTTGTTATTGCTTCATATTTCAATTAATAATGTGACAGGAATTGCCCATGATTCAATTTTATGTTCAAATTCTGAGGACAATACGGGTGTTCAAAAATGTGAGGAACCTTCCCATAATATTCTAAAACTGGTGAAACGTGATGATAGGAAGGCTAGAGAAATTGCTCAAGAACACGGAATGGTTGTTAAGGTTTGCTTTTTTTAAGTAGAATTTGGGTTTGGATGGGGAATAAGTGAGGGGTTTTATGGTTTTTTGACTGTTGGTGTCTGTGGTTAAGTCGGTTGGGTTTCCAACTTGAGGGTCGTGGGTTCGAATCCGGTTACTGGTTATATTTTTAGCTTTTTAATATTTTTGTTCCCCAACTTCCTTTTCTTTAAGTTTCGGGTGATTTTCTTCTGAAAAAATTTTTTGAGGTTATTTTTGGTGACCAAATTTAGTAAAAGGCTTTTTTTGCATTTTTGATTGTTTCTTACCTCTTACACATTTAAATTTTTTGATACTTTTTGTTTCAAAATTTTTTTCCGGGCTTTGCTATTTTTTATATAACGTCAAAATGAACATTTTAACAAGTAAACTCTAACTCTCAATTTTTAGGGCGAACCTTTCCTTGATTCGCATTATTTTCTCTCTGAAGACAAAACGGGTGTTGGCGCTCAACGAAGGAGAAAACGTTCACTGGAAAGTATACAAGATAGACCAGAAGTTGCTGAATTAATAGTAGACAGGCCTAGACGACGAGTTAAACGTGATTATATTGAACAACCTTCAATAATTGGACCGCTTGAAGAAACTCAATCTGGCAGAAAGCGTCGTCAAACAACATTTTTTGAACGTCGACCAGTTCCAAAATTGCCATTTCCAGATCCTTTATATCAAGACCAATGGTATTTGGTTAGTTTTTTTTGTTTTTTTTTTAAATTTTTTGACAAGGATTTGGTATTTTTTGGGTACCATTGGATAGAGGACCCTCGACTTTGTATTGCAAAGTGATATCCGTTTTCTTGCAAAATCACTTTGGGCCCAGTTGAATTAATAGTAGACAGGCCTAGACTTCCAAAAAACTGAAACTTCAAACTCGACCTCGAACCTCGCCTAAAAGTCAACCCTAACCCCGAAACCCGACGTGCCCTCCTCGGCAAACCCCGATCCCCGACACTTCCGACTTCGAAGGCTCGGGGAGCTACCCTACTTTGAACGGCCATAACTTGGCCCAAAGTCATTTTGCAAGAAAACTTGTAACACTTACAATAGAAAGTCGGGGGTCCTCTATCGAATGGTATCAAAAAATATATCAAATTTGTACTTCAGTAAAAGTTGGTCCCTTGTGAGAAAAAACTTTTTTTTTGTTCAGATTGGCCGTGCAGTAGGAGGATTTGATATGAATGTAAGAGAAGCTTGGTTAATGGGTTATGCTGGCAGAAATGTCTCAATTTCAATTCTGGACGATGGCATTCAAAGAGATCATCCAGATTTGGTTCAGAATTATGACCCGTATGCAAGTACTGATATTAATGACCACGATGCTGATCCAACACCTCAAAACAATGGAGATAATAAGTATGTATTTTGTCTGTTTTTAAAGTTAAGGGAGATAGCAATGGGATAGGAAAATTCATTTTTCGTTATTGAGGATAGAAAAATTCAAAAATTCGCTCTTTTTTAAGAGCTAGGTAAGAAACATTTCCATTCGAAATCCTGAGCCTAATTGACCCGAGTCATTAACTTTTTTCAACCCGAAACCCTAGCACTCTTTCTCAACCTATCCTTCTCCTCACTAGGAGTATTATTGCCAAATTCCTTGGTTTATCTTCTTTTACCATCTAATTAATTCCCCTCAAAAATAGGCACGGAACTCGTTGTGCAGGAGAAGTTGCAGCAATTGCTGGCAATGATGTTTGTGGAGTTGGTGTAGCCTTTTTATCAAAAATTGGGGGTGTTAGAATGCTTGATGGCCCTGTTAGTGATAGTGTAGAAGCTGCTTCTTTAAATTTAAATCAACAACATATCGATATTTATTCGGCAAGTTGGGGGCCAGAAGATGATGGAAAGACATTTGATGGACCTGGAAATTTGGCACAGGAAGCGTTTTATAGAGGTTTTATTTTTAAATTTTTGTTTTTGGGTTTATTTAAGAATTTTTGAATTTTTAAAATGAATTTTATGCGGAAAGTTTTACAAAAAAAATTTTTTCCTTCATGCCCAATCGCTGTAGAACGATATCTGTTCTACCACTAAAATCTCAATGTTTTCTTAAAACAACTATAGGGGGAATTTCATAAAATAGATTATGTGTTCGGGTGGTTAAGTTGGTAGAATCTCGGTCTTGCGTGTGGACACCTGTGGGTTCGAATCCTTTTATATTTTTAAAGTCGTGTTTGACCCTTTTTATTATTATTTTCGTTGAAAATAATTTTTTTTAATTTTTACAATTAAAAAAAAAAATTTTTTTTTAATTTTTTTTATAAAATTTTTTTTTTCACCTCTTATTTTTAATTTAAGGAATTAAACAAGGACGTGGAGGTAAAGGAAATATTTTTGTTTGGGCAAGTGGAAATGGCGGTTCACGGTTTTTTATTTTTTTATCCTTTAAAAAATTTTTTTAATTTAAAGACAAGACAGTTGTTCAGCAGATGGTTATACTACTTCAATTTATACTTTAAGTATAAGCTCAGCAACTTTTGACAATCACAAGCCTTGGTATTTGGAAGAATGCCCGTCCTCTATTGCTACAACATATTCGTCTGCTAATATAAATCAGCCGGCTATAGTATTTTTTTGAAAGAATTTTTGAGTTTTTTGATGTTTCTGTTTTTAGGTAACAGTAGATGTCCCAATTGGATGTACAAAAATGCATACTGGGACAAGTGCTAGTGCCCCCTTAGCAGCTGGAATTATTGCGTTGGCATTGGAAGCAAAGTTTGTTTTTTAAAAATTTTTTGAAAATTTAGTTTAGAATTATGAGCATAGTTTTTTTCAAATTTGGGGTTTTTTAGAGAGCGAGCTGAATCTGGATCCAGACCTTGATTTTTCCTGGATCCAGAGTCCAGATCAAGACATTTTTCAGTGTTCCTTGATTTTTCCTTGACTCAAGGTTAAGAATCTAGGCAAGGTACCCAACGGAAATCAAGTCAAGGTTTTTTTTGAAAATCTCGCTCTCTAGTGTTTTTGGGCTAGATTATTCCTCGGGAATTGTTGTTAAAAAGGGAAAATCTTGATTATCTCTGACATGAGAATTTCGATTCTGATTGGAAGATAGGGTTGTCGGGTTGGAACCAAACTGATTTTGAGTATTTTTCAGTTCTGGATACTGAAAGATTTTCTAACCAACTGAAAGATTTTGAAGAAAAAAAACATTTTTTTTTTAACATTTTATAAAATTTTCCAGTCCATCACTTACCTGGCGTGATATGCAACATATAGTTTTGAGGACAGCAAATCCAAATCCTTTACTAAATAATCCTGGTTGGGCAATTAATGGTGTTGGAAGGCGTATTAGCAATAAATTTGGTTATGGATTAATGGATGCTGGTGCTTTAGTTAAATTGGCAAGAGTTTGGCAAACTGTACCTGAACAGCATATGTGCACTTATGAATATATTTTGGATGCACCAAGGTTTTTTTGACTTAAAAAATTTTGGGGAACCAGAAGGGATGGGTAGAGAAAATATCGGGCTTCTCGTATCGGGATTTCATAATTTTTTTTTGAATTGCGTTTAGAACGAAAAATAGTCCGAGTTTTGGGTAACCCATTCCTGATGATAAATTGGTCGTCCCTTGGTTAATTGATAACTTTATGACCAAATGGTTTTTTGAGGCGTTGAAATTTTTTAAGGAAAAGGAGGAGAAATGTCCTTTCAAACAGAATCTAAACATATTTTTAGACAGAATCCCCCTAACAGTATTTTGAATATTCACTGGGGATGGGACCTCGTTCACTGCGATTACGTCTTCTTGTTTCTTTATTTTCTTCCGCCTTTTACTTCTAAAAATTCAGGAGGACCCCTCTTCGATATTTCTACCTTCCAAAAAATTCTTTAAAATATTTTCTAAAATATTTCACACTTTATTTTTATAGACCTCGCCCAATTACTGGCCGTTTTGCAATGAATTTTTCCTTGGAAGTCACAGGATGTCTTCAAGGATTGCCTGTACTCTATATTGAACATATCCAAGTTATAACAACTATACGTTTTGGAAAAAGAGGAGATTTAAAATTAACTTTGTTTTCTCCAATGGGAACACGTTCAGTTTTGTTACCTCCGAGGCCACAGGTTTTTTTTTGAAAAATTTTTTGAAAATTTTCAAAAAAATTTTTTTGAAGGATTACAATCAAAATGGCTTCCATAAATGGCCTTTCCTAACAGTCCAAATGTGGGGAGAAGATCCTAGAGGAATTTGGACATTGTTGGTTGAATCAATTTCGACTAATATGAATATTGGAGGTTTGTTTTTAAAAAAAATTCTTTATTTAAAACTTAAAAATAGGGCAGAATGAGTTTATTTATTAATTAGAAGAGACTAAATAGATAGGAGAATATTTAAATTTTTATTTTTGAATGGGACCGGGTTGAGAGAAAATAATTGTCTGGTCACATTTCTGAAAATTCTCTTTGGGTCTGGTTTCATGTCGAGTGAGAAAAAATACAGGTCTTTGGGTCCGGACTTCGGGTAACCAAGCCTATCCCTGTTATAAAAATTTTTTGGTACTTTATGGATATATCACCCCCCCCCTATTTTGAGTCTCAGAGTTTCCTTATATGTAATAAATGTCAGCATTTTTCCTAACCCAATTTCTCTCCATTTCCTTGTGGTAAATTTGAATTAGAGGCATTAATAAAGAAAAGATTAATTTTTCAATCATTCAACCTACCACAGGCAAATGGAGAGAAGTTGGGGTAGGAAAAAAGCTGACCATTATTACATATTAAGGAAGACTCTGAGACTCAAAATAGGGGGGGGGGTGATACATCCATAATGTACCAAATTTTTTTACATTTAAGTTTTGAAAGTGGTACCTTTTGATTTAAAAGAATAAATTAAGAGGTTTACTTTAAAACGGAGAAAAAATAAACGGAGTTTTTTGGGTTGTCAGACTGACCTGAAAAAAATTTTTTGTTTCAAGTTTCCTTAATAATTTTTCGATTTTAGTACGCAGACTTAGGTGTCAAAAAAAAAATTTTTTTTTTGTAATTTTTTGTCAATTAAAAATTACTTGAAAAATGCAAAAATTAATTTTTTAATCTTCTAAAAATATTTTATTTTTTGTAGGAATATTCAGTGATTGGACAATGCTTTTATATGGAACAGAAGAGCCAGCCCAACCAAGTGATCAACGTTATGGTCCATATGTTCCACAACAATTTCATCGTCCTTCTTCTGGCGGTATTGGACAACCTTCTCAGGTAGGCACAAATAATCGACGTGTAAATGGAGGTGGTGGTGGTGGAAATTTTAATAAAAATGGGGGAGGAAGTGGTGGTTGGCCCGGTTGGTTTACAGGCTCACCTACAGCTAATAGACCATTACAACACCAACATATAAATAATAATATACCTCCACCACAATTTAAAAAGAATTTTAATAATAATAATAATAATGGAGGTGGAGGTGGAGTCTCTCCTCAATTCTCGTCGAATAATAATAATAATATATTTGGCAATTTTATTAGACATTTGAGTAGAATTGTGAATTCGAGACGAGATTAGTTTTGTAGTGTATTTTTAAGGGAGTGTAGTTAATTTTTTGAAATTTTTTTTTATTTTTACCTATCCAAAAAGAGCATTTTTTAACACGTCTCTGTTTCCTAAAACTTACAAATAATTTTATTTTTAATTTCTAATCTCCAAAACTGTCCCTTTTTTTTCAAAAATGTTTTTCAAGGAATTTTTTAATATTTTTTTTCCAAATTTTTTTAAAGAATTTTAGGGTTGAAACCCCCAACTTTTAAAATTTTTTCTATCTTTTAAACATTTTGGAAATTTTTTTGGAGATTTTTTTTAATTTTTAGGGGTTTTTTCTAACATTTTTTCCTATTTTTTTATACACTAAAAATTCTTCTCCTATCACTTAATAATTTTTCATTTCCTTTAATTCTATTCACTTAAAACTTTTACTGTCTTACAATTAGAATAGTTTTTTAAATTTTCCTTAAAAAAGGAGAAAGAAAGCAAAAAATTTTTCTTTAAAAAAATTTGGGACCAAATGTCTCTTGAGAAAAAAGAGAAATTTAAGAATGGTATGAAAATGTGTCTTTTAGCCTAGAAAAAATTAGTTTTTTTAGTCGCTTAAGGGTGTGCTTAATATATAATTTTTTTAATTTTTTGAAAATTTTTTTAACTAATTTTTTTTTCAAAAAAATTTTTTTTGAGTTGCTTAATATTTAATTTTTTATTATTATTTTTCCTTTTTTTAAAAAAATTTAACAAAAAAAATTTTCAAAAATTCCTTTCTCCTCTTCTAACAGATGATGATGATTGATTTGCCCCAACTCATCACCATACTACAAATAATAGCTCTAATATTTGTTAAATTAATTGGAATATTTGTATGTATAAAATTATGTATAAAATGTAGAAGAAAGAAGCGAGGAGGAGGAAATAAAATTTCTGATAGTTGTTTAACTAATTTAAATAATGGAGGAATAAATGGGGGAGAAACAACAACAACATTTTCGTCAGCAACAACTACACCAATAAATAATTCATTAAATAATTTAACTTTAACAAAGGAACAACAAAAAGCAAAGTCGTCTAAAAAGACTAATAAAAACAACAATAAAAATAATAAAAACTAACAAAAAACCTAATTATAATTAAAAATTAAAATTAAAGGTGTGGAATAAAAAAATATAAGGATCGGGTAGAGGTATAGAGGGGTCATCGGATAGATGGAAATCCTCGAATATTTGGATATCCGGACAGAAAATTTCAAATATCCAACCTTTTTTCGGATCCGGGTCTGACAACCTTAGTAGAGAGGGGTGTGAATTTTATTTTATAAAGACATCCTTTTTGGCTTGTGGATTTTTTTTGCGAAATTTAACTGATACAAGTCTTATATCTTATCACAATTTTTGACCAAAATTTTCTAAACGACATTTGAACTGTATAAAATAGACCTAATACCAGATACAGGGGAACTGGTTCTAAAAAAAGAGTGTGAGCTTAAGGAGAGAAATAACTACTATAGCCCAGCTTCTTTACACAATTGGGGTTGTCGTTTTTTTAGCATTGGGCCACTTTGATCCTTCCACTACTTGATTAATTTTGAACCCTGTTTATCCGATCCTTATATTTTTAAAGTTTTGGTTTGCTGTGTTTTTTAACCGTTTTTTGTTTGTTTTTTTTGTTTGACACAATTTTTTGTTCCCTATTTTGCCTTAACTTTGTTCTTGCATTTACTATATGTACACAACTATTGACACAAAACCCTTTCTAATTTTTACCCAAAATTTTGTTTTTTAAAAATTCTACCCCTTAGTTGCCATAAAATTTTCTTAATTTTTAAAAAATCGATTTCACACTGATTCTAACTCATTAATAACTGAAAATTAATCCGAAAAAGAGTTATTCCTTTTAGCACTTCCAAATTTAATATAAAAAATAAAAATATTTTCAAGTCTTGGAAGTATGTACCTGTAAAAAAATTTTTTTTCAACGAGTAAAAGGGAGAGCTTAAAAAAATTTTTTTAAGTATTAATAAAGGGAAACTTTTAATTAAAAATAATCTCTAAAAAATTAGGCCCCATCAGTGTGGTCTCGCTTTACAAATTTGATTCGGGGTGGAGGCTTTCTACTACGCTAAAAACTAAAAAAGCGCAACGCTGTGAGAAGAATTTTATTTTTTTTAATTTTTTTAGAATTTTTAGTTCAATTAATTGCTTAATCGAAGCGCTTTCATTAATTTTTTTTTGTTTTTCATATCTTTTGTTTTTTTAAAAAGACATATCCACACTTCAATTAAGTGTTCTAAATTTTCTTAAAAATTTTTCTTTCTCCTTTATACAATGGAGGCTCTACGTGACTTCATCCATTTCGAGATCAAATTTTGCGGATGTAGGAAAAGGGGGAAGGGAGTTGAGTTGGGAAAGGGGGGGGGGGGGGAAGGGAGTTGAGAGAGGGGGAATTATTAGATCTAGAGATCGGATCGAGACAAAATCTCTTGAATAAAAATTTCAGAGTTAACGAGAGATTATATTTTGTAGAATATATTTTTTGGGAGGATATCAATCCCGATGGTTATATATGACCCTTCTTAGCTTTGACTCTAAGTCGATCAAGGCACAAAACTTATAGTAACAAAACTTATCTTTTCTCGACTGAATTGAACGGACTTTAAAGGAAGCGGGAATGTTACGGGGGGGGGGGGGGGGGGGGAAGAGGAATTTTGAAACTAAAAGAGGGGAGGGGAGTTGATGTGGGAAGTGATGATGGCGTTATGAAGAGCTTCCATTCTGTATTCTTATTTTGCCAAAAAATTTTTTTTAATCAATTGTGATTTTTATTTTAAAATACTTTTTATCTTTTTAAATATATACTTAAACACACACACTTCGTTAAATTACTTAAGACACTTCCTCGTTTATTTTAACTCTTAAAAATTAGAGATTGAATACTAAAAGAGATTTAGATAAATTAATTTGTTCAAATCCTGATTGATCCTTCAAGTCTCAATCTCCAATAATATTTTTCTCTAATTCTTCTTTTTTTTTGTTTAATATTTTTAGAGGTGGGGAAACTCTCGTGGACTTTAAGAAAAATTTAAAAAAATTTTTTTACCTTTTACAATTTTTAAATTTTTTTTCTGACCTTCAGCAATATTTTTTTTAATTCCAGAGCTATTTATAGTTATAAATAATGTCAGAATATTTTTATAAAAAATTTGCTAAAAAAATAACTAAAAAATAACTGAGTTTCCCTATCTATATATTTTTTAAATTTTTTTTTCTAAAAGTGTATTTAATATTTTTTTTAATTCCCGCATTTATTTTTTATATGATGTGATATTTTTTGTGTATTTGTTTTGTATACCTTTATAGTAGAAGCATTTTGCTTCTACTTTATAGTAGAAGCAAAATAATAGAAGTATTTAAATTGTGTGTAGAATTTTTTTAATTTTAGTTCATTTGTTTTTATTTTTTCAGATTTTTAAAATGCCGAATAAAAAGCTTTTAAAATTTATTATTTTTATTTAAAAATTTTTTTAAATTAATTGTAATCGACGAGAATTGGGGGAGGGAAACGCCTAAGTTTTATTTAATTTTTAAATATTTTTTTTAGATTTTTTTAGAATTTTTAAATTGTTTTATTCCTTTAAAAATTTAATCCAAAATTTTTTTTAGAATTTTTTTGGCGTTTTTAAATTTAATATTTTCCCTCCACCATTCTCGTCGATTATGGTATATTAGAGTCTTGTTTCTGTCGAACATGTTTTTCGATTAAAATTCTGTGCCTAAACATTTTATTTAAATCAGAAAAACTTAAAAATCAGAAAAACATCGGAAAACATGTTTAATATTAAGAAACATGGTTTTGAATACCGAAAACATGTTTTGAGCCTTTTAAAAACATGTTTTTAAGATAAACAGGCGCAAGTTTCTCCAAAACATGTTTTAGAAAGTTTATAAAAATGTTTTTAAAGATTAAAAACAACTTTTATAAAATCTGAACATTTTTAAAACATTAAAAACATTTTTTGAACATCAAAAACATGCGACACAACATGTTTATATAATTCTAACAAACATGTTTATTCAATTAAAAACATGTTTTAAATTTCAGAAAAACATTTTTAGCTATCAAAAACATGTTTAATAAAATCAGAACATTTATAAAACATTAAAAACATAATTAAAACATTATAAAATCAGAAAAACATTTATGCAAACATTAAAAACATTAAAAATGTTTTTTGCGCTTTTTCAAAACATTTTTGGCGCACAACTTTAAGTTTTAAAGATTAAAAATTGGTTTTAAAAAATTAGAACGAAACAATAACAACAACAACACAAGAAGAAACAGCAATAACATTTGGCGATTTGCGTTCTGTCGGTGATTGTCATCCAGAATGTTTGGGTTGTTCTGAGAGCAAGTCTCAAACTGCCTGTTTTTCTTGCCGTCATTTTACTCAATCTTTGAGAAATCGAGCTGGATTTAAGTAAGGAGCGAGAAAATTATTTTTTTTTTATAAAACTATTTTTTAACGTGGGAATATTTGACTAAAAATGTATTGAAATTAAAAATAATTTTTTTTTCAATGATCTCTCACTATTTAACGGGGCTTAAATTTTGATAACTTTAAATGGCCATAACTCTTTTTAGCCTTGATTCAATCCTTACAAAAATTTTAAATCATTTGAAAGCTCTCAATTAGGAGAACATTTTTCTGGCTGAATTGACTGACTAGAGTCTAGGAATATTTTTAAAAATATAATTTTAGATGTGTTTCCCATTGCGACACCGGTTTTTATGCTGATGGGGATAAATGTAAAAGATGTTCTTCTGATTGCGAAACTTGTTCTTCTGGCGAATTGTGTGATACCTGTCATGGGGCAAAATTGCTTATCGATGTTAAACATTATGGACATTTGGACCATGGAAGATGTGTAGATTCGTGTCCTTCTGGTTTAGTTGCTGTTTGTGAGTTTTTTTTGAATTTTTTTAAATTTTTCAGAGACACCCAAAAGGTCACCAACCTAAAGATCACCAAGTTTTTCAGTCCCGAGGCCACATTTAGTGCCATAACTTTTTTGTTTCTTAACCGATTTAAATGATTATTATATCTATCGAAAGCTATGGATGTGAGGATTATTTTTTCCAACAGGACTGGTAAGATCCGATCACCTGATAAAGAGTTATGGATTGATGAGTGCGCGTTATCGTGATTTTTGACCTTTATTTGCTGTAACTTTTTGTAGGATGATCTGATCAAGTCAATCCTTTTAGATAAAATAATCTCCAAATCCATAGCTTTCGATTGATATAAAAATTACTTGGATCGGTTAAGAATCAAGAAAGTTATGGCCCAAAATGTTTACGATCTTTTGGGTATTTCTAACTAAATTTTTGAATTCTTCTAAAAAATTTTCCCTCAGATAAAAGCACAATACAAGCCAAATGTGTCTTAAAAATAAATACTTGTGCTGCTGGTTATTTTCAAAGTGATCAAGCTACTGGTGTTTGTTTAGATTGTGATAAAGCTTGTTCATTATGTCATGGACCGGGTAAGGAAGGGGAATTATTTTTAATAAACAAAGTTTTAGAGGATTTAATTAAGCTTGGGTATGGCCGAATGGTTAAGGTTTCAGCCTGTCGAATTTTTATTATTTTAAAGGGTGAGAGTTCGAGTCCGGTTGCCTCCCCTGATTTATTTTAGACGTTTTTTTCGTCAATATTTTTGTTTAAAAAATTTTTTTCTCGTAAAAAAATTTTCTAAAAATTTTTTAAAATTTTTTAAAAATTTTTTAAAGATCGAAATCAATTTTTTTAAAGGCCCTCTACAATGTGACCAGTGTGCCCCAGGTTACGGAAACTCTTCCATCGGTTATTGCCGTCCTTGTTGCTCAACAGATCAATTACAACAACACGATACTAGTTGTGAAGATTGTAGCCATATATATTTAACAACGCCTTATTCCCCATTTTCTTCTACTTTTACCTCCACAAATTTATTAACAATCAACTCTATTTTTATGTCTTTTTTGTTTGTTTTTGTGCTTGTTTTGATTGCTACTTTGGGTTGTTGGCTTTGTTACAAGCTGATTTACTTTTGTTGTTGCAAACAAAAAGATGGACGAGCGGATTTGGAGTGAGTTTTTAATGTTATTTTTTGATGGGGACATTAGAGTCTATGAGGATCGGGTACCCAAATAATCCTAAATAAGCCTAGGACTCTAATGGACAGCAAGTAATATACCTTAAATGCTCTAATATAAGCCCCGGGCTTAAGGTCGCTTTGAGTGGGATTATATTGGAGACTGGGCAATGAAATCTAAATTTTGGGACTAACGACAATATAAATTTAAACAGTTCGGGACTCTAGAGTCTAGGACTAGTAGGACTAGTCTAGACTATAGGACTAGTCTAGGACTCTAGTCTACTACTCTAGAGTCCGACTCTAGACTCTAGAGTCGGGACTCTAGGACTAAATTCTGTTCGCGATTAATTGGGCTCTTTTTGCGTCTGTTTGTCCAATTAAGTGTTCCTTTGTAGGAAGCACCAGACTCTAGTTTCCTAGACTATTATTTTGTTTGCGATTATTTGGGCTGTCTTCGCGTCTAATTATTCTGATTATTAATTCAACTGTGCGCCATAAAAATTTTATAACATACTAAAACGCCAATTTTTACTTTTGGCGTTTTCACCCGTTATAAAATAGTTTATGGCGCACACTTGGATTGAAATTTTTATACCCAAATTTTAAAAAAATTTTCAAAATTTTTTTAAAAATTTTTAGATATACTCCCCTAACAACAATCGACAACAAAACATATCAAAAAACAAAACAGCCAAGTACTGGTCATCAAAATCAAGCCTTTGAATTATTAGGAGAGGATTCTGAGTCTGATATTGATGTGTTGGAAGAAGTGGAGGTTGAAGAAGATGGAAAAGTTAAAGAAGAGGAAATTAAAGTTGAAGAAAATATTATCGATTTAATCGAAAAAGCTTCAACTTCAAAAGAGGCTGTTTAAGTATTTACCTCTATCTAATAATTTATTTTGTGGGGAAACCCAAAAAGATCGAAATTGGAAGGTCAACACTAACTTTTTTTTTGATCTTCTGTTTGTTGATCTTTTGGGTGTTGTGCATTAATTTATTTTTATTTCCCGGTTTTTTAATATTCATATGTTTGTTAACTCTTTGTATTTAAATTAAAATTATATAAAATTGGTTTGTGGAAAAAAGGGGTTGTTTGAGTAAAAATCAATAAATCGATAAAATCAATACTAATCGATAATTGATTTTTTAAAAATTTTTAATTTACAAAAAATCGATATCAATCGATAAAATCGATACTAATCGATAATTGATTTTTTAAAAATTTTTAATTTCCAAAAAATCAATACTAATCGATAAAATCAATACTAATCGATAATTTATTTTTTAAAAATTTTTAATTTTCAAAAAATCGATAAAATCAATACTAATCGATATATTGATTTTTTAGATTTTTTTAAAAATTCTTTATTTTCAGAAAATCGATACTAATGATTCATTGATTTTCTGAGAAATATTAAATTTTTATATATTAAACCCATAAGATCACCATCATCAAAATCAACACTAAAAATCAATAATCTAATTTATAGTAAAATCACAACTCATGGAAATTTGCTAACAGAAACGATATGTCATATATTATTAACGTCATTAATTTAATAAATACTATTTAGATTATAAAAAATCTTTAAAAAAACAAAAAAAACGTCATTTTTTGGTTCAAGGCTCTTCATCAGCATCGCTTAGCACCTCACCATGACTGGCTAACAAACGTCTATAACTGTGCATTTTCTTATCTTGTTCTGCCAACAATAAAAGTAAATCCTCGTGTTCTTTTTTCAACAAGGTCAATTCTTCCGAAGAAGTTGCATCGGGCGGAGGGGAAGTTATCTGAAACAATAGGAAAAATTAATATTTTTGAGATTAAATTTTAATATATTTAGGGAAAATAATTTTTCGGGAGGGTGAAACGACGAAAAAAATTTTTAAAAATTTTTAAAAATTAAAAAAATGTCAAAATGGTAAAAATATAAGAAAAATAGGAAAAAGAAAAATATCAGGCACCTAAAGGGACTCGAACCCACGTGGTCTAGTGGTACAGTCGAGACGCTAACCAATACACCACCGATGCTCTTAACTCAAATTAATTTAAATTCAGCTATATAATTTAAATTCAGCTATCAAAGGAATAGAGGCATAATTAAGGGAGAGCCCCCCTTTCCTCGAAAAAAAACCCCCAAATTAAAAAAGAACAAAAAAACCTTTTGTTGTTTTAAATTAGCATATTGTTCCCTCAAATTTTGCAATTGATTTTCCGAGTCATTTAACCTTTGTTCCAGTTCTTGTGATCTCCCCAAAATATTCTCGTTTTGTTTAACCAACTCTGTAAGTTGTTGACTTTGTTGTTCAAAAGCTTGCCATCCAAATTGAATTTGTTGTTCTAATTCGGTTTGTTGTTGTTTTAATTGTTGAATGGCGGGTTCTGATGGATTTTCAAACTTGAAAAAAAAAATTTAGAAAAAAAAATTTTTTGGAAGTTTTTAAGGGCATAAGTCTCATGAAGGAACTTCCTGGATCTTCCTGATTTTTAAAAATTTGACTGGGATTCCACAACATTTAAAAGGGTTCGGGACGTATGGACATAAGTTAATTGGACCATTCCTTAAAATATTCCAAATTAAAAAGAACAAGGTTACTAGCAATCCTAGATCCAAAAAAGCTGCAAGTCTCGAACACCAAAAATGTACCGAGACCCGAAACAAATTTCAAGAAAATCCAAACATAAAAGTGTTACAACAGAAATAAGCTCTTCAGCATTTTAAAATGCTGAAGAAATCAAAACATGCACGAACATTGAATTTATTGAACGATGCTGACCACCCGACAGGCAATCAGAAAACATGGATAAATCAGAGGAAATTACCAAGAAAGTGGTCAGTAATGGACAATAAACGTAATGTTCGTGCATATTTTGGTTAACCACATTACGGAAATAGATAGGTATATTCAAGACTTAGGTCCCCAACATTTTATACAACAAAAACAAAAAACCTGTGCCAACTGAAACGATTGCCATTGCAATGCCCATTGTTTATATTTCTCTGCTTCAGCTTGCCATTGTCGTGTGACACTAAAAAACAAAAATATTATTCTCCTTCCTTTTTAAATTTCAAAAAAAAACATTGTAAGTTGTTGCAATTTCATTTCAGCATCCGCACGTTGTTCACATAGAGCAGATTTTTTAGCCAATTCATTTTTTAATTGTTCAATTTGTTGAGTAAATTCTTCAATATTTGGAGGATTTAAACAAGCATTGACATCAAAACCATTTGGAATTGAATTGCCATTTGAATACTTGAAAAATTTTTTTAATTTTTGCGGACATTTTTTGCGGACAAAAAAAAAATTCAACAATTTTTTATCTATAACTCTCTTGAAATTTATCTTTCCTAATGATTACTACAATAATCGAAAGCCCTGAATGTCCCCCACCTCACTCTTCTCAATTATTTTCCCAAAAGGACTAATAAAATCCGATCACCCGTTAAATAGTCATGAACTGATAAGTGCGCGCAATAAAAAATTTTTATCTCTATACAGCTATAACCCTTTGTAGTATAGAACTGTTTAAATCGCTCACAACTCAAAAAAGTTATGGCCCAAAAATGGCCTCGAGACTGCGATGAAATGGATTTTACTAACACAAAAAATTATAAAAATCAACCATATTTACCCCATTCTGATGGATTATTTGCTGTTGCTGATTATTAACTTCAACCGTTGTAGCTGTAGTCGTCGAAACAGTATTAGTACAAGTTTTCATTTCGTCAAGCTTTCTAACAAGTTCAGCAATTTTTTCATCCTGTTTCATTATAATTTTTTTGTAGGGGGCTAACGCAGTTTCCCATTGAGCATTTGCAGTAGAAGGAAATTCTCCATTTGGGCATAACATTTTTAACAAATTATCTTAATTTAAAAAATTTTTTTTAACATTTTCTTTTATGATCCCAAATGTCCGCAAGTTTATTGTCCGCAAATATTTCTTTGTCCGAAAGTCAGTTAAGTTTTATGTTAACAAGGGAACATTACAAACTGTATGAAAATTTTATATTTATTTTTGCATCATCCTCTATAAAATACTGAAGCCTAGATAAGCTATAACTTTCGTATTTGGGGAGGGGGGGGGGGGGGTCAGACTAAAAAAAGCCAAAAATTGGCAATAGATTCTCGACCATTCTCTACACGATGGTACAAAAATAAATAAAAAATTTTCACATACAATTCAGAATGTTCCCTTATGAGTAAACTTAAAAAACTATGAAAGAGAAGGAAGAATCATGAGTTCAATTCCTGACTCTTTTGAAAAATTTTTTGTTGGATCCCCTTTTACTCTAATTTTACCAAAAAATTTCACTAGTACATTCTCTTACATTTTCTGCAAGCTTAAAGGAAAGGAAGTCCCACCCTACTTAAAAATTCAAAAATTTAAAAAAACAAAAACAAACTTTCAATTCCTTTAAAGAATTTTGTAAATTGATAATCCACCAACAAATCTGAAGGATTTTTAGCCAAAGGTTGGGGTCTTTGTGCTGCTCTAATATAAAATTCAGATTTGGCAACACCCTCCAAATATTCAGCAATTCGTTCACGACCAATTTGACGACGTTCTAATAATTGGATGAAATTGGAACTGAAAAAAAATTTTGGAAAAAAATTTAAAAAATTCTCTCTTCCCTTACACTTTTTCAGTTTTATCTTCAGCTAGTTCCCACGAATGAAGACATATACCAATTAAAAATGCTACCAATCCTTTTATAAATTGATTTTCTGTTTCTGTTATTTCTGTGTTTTGATCAACTTGAAAAAATAAAATTTTTTGATAAAAAAATTTTGCGGACAAGTTTTTTTGCGGACAAAATTGAAGCCTGTATTATATGAAGACACACAGCCTTTGTAGGCAATGAACATATCTGACAGGTATACCCGTAAATCCAAAATGCCGTTAGGGGTACGTTTTTTAACATTTAGGGGTAATTTTCCGTTATGCCATCTCCCCCTAAATTAATGCTTAAAATGTCATATGTAGGGTAATAAAAGGTGCTGAGTTGAACGGTACTACTCTTTTTTCCCGGAACTGTCTCTGGACCGAGATGAGGGCTCGAAATGGTCAAAAACCATTATGACCCTTATGTTTGGCATTTTTACGATTTTTGAGAGGAGGGAGGATTAGCTGTTGAATTTTTGGCACTACGGCATTCTCCGTATCTAATAACAACAATTTAAATTTGTTTTGGACCACAATTGCAAAGAAATAGTGCATGCCGCAAATATCGTCCACAAATTTATTGTCCTTCCAAAAAATCAAAAAATTTCCACAAACAAACCTAGTTGACTTATCAAAAAGCTGATATTCTCATCATTTTTCATAAAATGGTCGATAGCAGCCGTACAATTATAAAACCAAGTCGAAAATAACATTAAAAGACCACAACGAATTTGTAACTTTCTTGGACCACAAGTACAAAGCATTCGAGTTAAATGTGAAAGTAACAATTGGGGCTCTTTATTTGTTGAAGTGGAAAGTTGGACACGCAAAAGTTGGGGTTTTAAATGATCTGCATCATGCAAAGCGTGAACGAGAATGACTGAAGCAAACCTTTAGAAAAATAAAAAAATGATGAGTGAATAGATTTAGCAGGAAGAAAGCCTAGGACCAGCTATACAAAAGCCAGGCATTTTTTAAATTTCCCACGTCTTTCCTAAACTACAAAGACAGGATCATATCTAGGTTGTAAAATTAGTTTGGACCCGGATTTTAAAAAATTGAATCACCAGAAAGTGAAAGGACAAATATTTTGCGAACACATTCTTGCAGACTTTCTCCCATAAAGCTTGGGTCTTACCTAAACTAGAAAAGACCTATTTTCGAGCTTATAAGATCTTCCCTGTGGATTTGAAAAATAGTCCCAACCCAGACTTTTTCTCAAAAACTTCTCTAATTGTAAGAGTAAAAAAGTCGGATAAACATTTTGCGGACAAATTCTTGCGGACATTTTTTGCGGATTTTCAAAAAAAAATATATTTACTCACCAAACCTGTACAGGTTCATGATTAACTAACGCCGCACACAAATAGTGTCCTATTAAAACTTGAGCTTCATCCTCTGCTTGTTGTTGCTCATTTGCAGCCACATCTTTTTGAGGCAGCAAAGTATTTATTATGCGAATTTTCCCATTTTCATTTCCATGTAAATAACATAAAAAACAATAAAAAACGGCCAAGCGAAGTCTAAAAGGTTGTTTTTCTGAAGTCATTGAAAGGAGGAGAATGAGCAGTGCTGGTCTTAAAAAAATATTTTCTAGGAATTTTTAAAGGAAAAAAACCTGACGCCATCCTGATCAGTAACTGTTGAACAGGCAAAAAATTCTTGATTGGCGTAGTTTGAACGTATAATTTCTGCAACGGTTACGACAGATTCTGCCAAAACATCAACGGAAATACCCAATTGTGAAAGCAATACTTTACAGAGTAAATCTAACATTCCTGTGAATTTTTGGAAAATTATATTTGTCCGCAAAAAATTGCGGACAATTTTTGCGGACATTTTCAAATTTCTTTTATCATTTCTCTGGTATCCTATTCAAGTGATAGACTTATCTTATGGTTCTCCTTCTATTAGTTATTGAATGGCAAAAAACTCAAATAATGACCGAAAAAACGTGAGTCCGCAAAAATTGTCCGCAAATTTTTTGCGGACAAAAAATTTTTTATTAAATTAAATTTGTCAAGAAACCTGATTTTAATAAAGCTTGTTGTGCAGAATGTGTAGTTTTGTGAATATTGTCGATAGGCGAACAAAGGGCGCGAACAATTTGTAGAATAAGAATAAAGTTTGCAATTTTTTGAGCACTCCATTCATCATCGGGCATTGAACCTAGTTGCTGTTGAAATTGTTGTTCTTCTTCGGAAGGATAAATAAAAATATTGGCCAATTGAGTTAATTGTTTTGATAAACTTTAAAAAAATTTTGCGGATTAAAGTTGCGGATAAATTTCGTCCGCAAAAAAAGTTGTGGACCAAAATTTTTTGTCAGCAAATTTTTTGCGGACAAAAATTTTGTCCGCAACTTTTTTTGCGGACAAAAATAATTTGTCCGTAAAAAAGTTGCGGACAAAACAAAAATCCGCAAAAAAATTGCGGATAAAAAATTTTTGTCCGCAAAAAAGTTGCGGACGAAAATTTTTTTAGGGTGCCCCAAAGTGTCTCTCCCACTCTACCCCAAAAATAGAAAAACAACCAACTTTGCTTCACGAAACCCAACTTGATTACTAGCATTTTTCCTCAACAAATTGAGCATTACAAAAAGGCAATCTTCAATTACAATGCCTTAAAAACAGCAAAAATTTACAAAAATTTTAAAAATTTTTTAAACAAACTTTCCAACGGTTCTTGTGAAATAACCTCAAAAAGAAGTTGAAAAGCGTTCTCAAAATAGAGTAATTGTTGAATTTGGGAGTTTCCACGGCTTAACTCGCTAAGCATCAAAACAACATTGTTGCGGATTACTTCCCTCTAAAAAGAAAAATTCAAAGCAAAAAAAATTAGTCAAATAAACCTTGTCATTCAATAAATCAACAATATTAGAAACACCACGTTGACTGATTATAGCTTGTTGTACTGAAGTGGGACGATGCCGGAGGAGAGATGTAAGCAGTTTGATTGTGTTCCTAAAAAATATTTTTAGTTAATTTTTTAAATAAAAAATAATGTGATTAGCCACGTTTTTGTGGACTCCTTTTTAAATTCCACAAATATTTAAGGGACTTACAAATATTTGTGGACACACTTTTTTGAGTTCGTAAACTTTTAAAGTATTTTTTGGGTCCGGAATTTTTGCTGAATATTTTTAGCATCCTCAAATCTGCAGACTCCTTTTTTGGGTTTTTGGAACAGTCTATAATTTTTAAGGGAATTTTTGAGCCGGAATTTTTGCGGAATTTTTTTTGCGTCTTCTAGACACCTTTTTTGAGTTTTCGGCTCAAAGCTCCAAAAGCCACCCTTCTATAAACTAATATCAGGTTATTGTGAAAGGTATATTTTTTACATGCCCACAACAATTATTTCCATGAAAACTGAATCGAATTAAAACCCTACAAGTACCCCAAAAATTGAAAAAAAAAGCTTTTCACAAACCTCCTAACAGCAAAATCATTACAAGCCAAAAGTTTAACTAAAGAAGCCATAAAATTAGCCCTTTGTAACATCAATTCAGCAAGTCTGTCCCCAATTTCATCATCTGCAGAAATTTGTTGAGGATCATCATCATCTCCCCCAGCTTCCGTTAAAGTACAATCCAAAATATCGAGGGTTAGAGAAACCAAATCAGTTAAGGAAGCATTCTTTTCGAGAACTTCCATAAAGGCATCCATCCCACGTGTGGCAACATGCATACGAAGATTCTAAATAACAAGATATAATGAAATTAGAGAACAGTCAGGTAGCTGAACAGCTGAATTTCAGGTCCAAATCGTGTTAGACAACTAACCTAGGGTGTGGTCTGGAACCCTCAGATACAGACCAAGATGAACTAACCCAGAGTCTGGGACTTAAGTGTAAGGTGCGAGGATCGGTAATAGTTCGGTTCGTACCCCGCACTCTTTTTTCCTTTTAAAAGTATTAAAAATGGTCAGACAGTCTTAGGAATAGAACTCGTCGAGCTGTGTCGAATGACACAAAAATCAACCAATGGTCTTAACTTTGAGCCGAAATACAGACAAAAAGCCTGCGCAAAAGAATGGTTTTGCAAACGCGTCTCACGACTACCAATCGAATTTGCTTGGTTTCACCATTTTATTTTTCACCTTCCGAGTGTCTTATCTCGGCCCAATATTAAGACCGGGGGTTGATTTTTGTGTCATTCGACACAGTTAGACAAGTTCTATTTCTAAGACTGGCTGACCATTTTTCAACACTTTTAGAAAGGAAAAAAGAGTGCGGGGTACGAACTGAACTATTACCCGAGGATCTTATCGAAAAGATGTAATAAAGACCCGGATCTTCAAAAAAAAACCAGCAATCCCCACCCAAACTTAAAAAATAAAATTTTTTTAAACAAACCCTTGCTAACGAACGCAGCGCCCTCAAAGCATCACGCCTATCGTCCAAATTGCTCGCACTTTCCAATCGTTCAACCAATCTGTCAACAATTTCCGCATTTGTAGATTCTCCTTGTGGATCATCACTTGTAGAGGAGAAAAAATTTTTAAAAATAGACATGTCTAATCAAAAAAGCTTCAAAAAATCTGCTTGAAAATTTTCAATCTAAAATTCTATACAAAAATTTCTGAAGGACTCAAACCCATAAATAACAAAAAAAAATTCTAAAAAACATCATTTTTATCATAAAATATATTTAAAATATAGACAGTATCATTTTAAAAAATTAATCGGCAGTGATTATATTTTTGTTTTGTTTCTGTTACTCAAATGGAATATATAAAATTATATAGAGGCGAGAGAAAAAAATTACATGAGGAAGAGAAAAATATAAAAAGTTAGTATTTGTAGAGAACGCATAGACAATAGGGAACGTGTACGTGTCCGGTTAACTCATCTACTCGTTAACTCATCTACACGGCCAAAAACGTTCAACTCATCTAAACGGCTAAAATTCCTTAACTCATCTACACGGCCAAAAAGGGTAAACTCATCTAATCGTTAACTCATCTACTCGTTAACTCATCTACACGGCCAAAAAGGGTTAACTCATCTAATCGTTAACTCATCTAATCCTTAACTCATCTACACGGCCAAAAAGGGTCAACTCATCCAATCCTTCGGAACGAGACTATTGAGTACCGGCCGTTTGAGTCTTTGGCCGTCTGAGTCTCTGGCCGTCTGAGTCTCTGGCCGTCTGAGTCTCTGGCCGTCTGAGTCTCTGGCCGTTTGAGTCTCTGGCCGTCTGAGTCTCTGGCCGTCTGAGTCTCTGGCCGTCTGAGTCTCTGGTAAGTTGAGTCCATGACCAGTTGATTCCATGGCCAGTTGAGTCCATGACCAGTTGAGTCCATGGCCAGTTGAGTCCATGGCCAGTTGAGTCCATGACCAGTTGATTCCATGGCCAGTTGAGTCCATGACCAGTTGAGTCTCAACCGGCGGTACTCTACTGGCCATGGACTCAAACGGCCGGTACTCAATAGTCTCGTTCCGAAGGATTGGATGAGTTGACACTTTTTGGCCGTGTAGATGAGTTAAGGATTAGATGAGTTAACGATTAGATGAGTTAACCCTTTTTGGCCGTGTAGATGAGTTAAGGATTAGATGAGTTAACGATTAGATGAGTTAACTCTTTTTGGCCGTGTAGATGAGTTAACGAGTAGATGAGTTAACGATTAGATGAGTTGTATAGGAGCCAACGTGTAGACTGAATAAAATTAGAGAAAAACATTTATACACATTTCCGGAATGTTTTTCCGGAATGTTTTTAATAAAACATACTCCAGACTCTAACATTACTAGTCAGAGAAAACATGTTTGTTTTGAACAAACAAAACAAACAACATTTTCTCTAACCAGAAAAACATTCCGGAAAGTTTTTAATAAAACATACTCCAGACTCTAACATTACTAGTCAAAGAAAACATGTTTGTTTTGAACAAACAAAACAAACAACATTTTCTCTAACCAGAAAAACATCAAACAACAATAAAAACATTCCGGAAATGTTTTTCCGTAAAACCTCCTTGTTTACTACACTATTTTTTTCTAAATTAATTTCTCTAATTTTAAACAGTATATATTTAAGCTGCAAAATACATCATTATTAAATAGAAAAAAGTTAAACGAAAAAAGAGGTATGTAGAGGAACGGATATATAAAATAAAAAATTGATTGGATATTTAAAATAAAATTTAAAAAAATTTTATTTAGACCTTTTTTGAATTTTTGAAAAATTCCCCCAAAAATAGAGAGATTTTGGTTAAAAAATTTTTTTGTAAAGATAATAAATTTAAAAAATTAGCCCAAATATCATTAAAATTAAAGATTAAAATTAGAAATTAAAATTAAAAATTAAAAGAATCTCTTAAAAATAATTAAAATTAAAAATTAAAAATTAAAATCGTTGTGGAGAGGAGTTAAAAACACCAGAAAAAATAATACCAAAACTTTAAAAAAAAACCAGAAATAAAAATTGAAAGAAACGAGGGAAAAATAAAAATATATAAGTATTTTAAATAAAATATATATTTTAAATAAACTGGGATTTCTCTATTGACGTTGTTGTGTTTGTTGTTGTTGTTGTTTTTGTTGTATTAAAGGTTGTTTACTTTCAACTTTTACAACAACATTTGTTGGTGGAGGATTACAACAAGTGTTTGGAGGCAAATTTAAAGAAATAAATGGGGGAGATGTTGATAATGTTGTTGTTGATGTTTGTTGTTTTTGTTGATGTTTTGATGAAAAAGAAGAATTGTTGTTGTTGTTGTTCAAAACATCAGAAGAAAAAAAGTTGGAAATGTTTTTATTAACAACAATGTTTTTATTGTTGTTGTTGCCCCCATAAATGTTTGTGGGCATGTTTGAGGAAATGTTTGTCGAAACATTGTTTGTCGAAACATTGTTGTTGTTTTGAATGTTTTGCTTGTTTTTATCAATGTTTTCTCCAAACATGTTCGTAGAAACATTGTTGGAAACATTGTTACTGTTTACATAAGAAGCAGAAGAAGAAGAAACATCAACAAAAACATTGTTGGCAACAGACATTGATGTTGGAACACCTCCTTGTTGTATAGCTAAAGAAACAGAAGAAGGTGTAAAATTGAAATTTAAATGTTGTTGCTGTTGCTGTAAAGTTGGACTACCAACATTTTCAAGTTTTGTTGTTAACAATGTTGTTGTCCCCAAAGTACGAAAATGATGCTCATTTAAAGGTGTTGATTTCCTTTCATCAAAATTTGTTGGAGTATCTGGTGGATTATTGTTGTTCGTATTGTTATTTGAATTAATACCAATTGCTTGTTGTTGCTGTTGTGAGGCAGCCACAGCAGCAGAGAGGAAATTTTGCATAATTACATTATCAGTCTTTACCTTTTAATTGAAAAAATTAATTTTAAAGAATAACAAGACTCTAATGCCCCCTTCAATAAAAATGTTTCCAAACAAACATATACCAAAAACATTGGCACCCAAAACAATCAGCAAACAACTATGAAACATAAACAAAACATACAAATATTTCACAACAAATATTCATAAAAACATTCTAAAAACAACCATGAAAACATCAACACAAGCATCGACAAAAACATTCAAACGATACCCCCATAAAAACATAAACCCAAAAAATACTCCCAAAAACATAGACAAAAACATCTAAACATATTCCTAAAAACATCAACAAAAACATCCAAAAACATCGACAAAAACATCAACAAAAACATCGGACAAAAACATCCAAAAAACATCAGCCAAAAACATCATAAACATTAAAAAACTACTTGGAAATCAATGTTTTGTTGTTGCTGTCTAGCATTTGTTGATGAAAGAGAAGCAAACTTTCCAACATTATCAAGTATAGAAGTTGTTGATGTTGTTGGAATAGAATACAAACTTTTTTGTTGTTGTTGTTGTGATTCTTTTGTACTATTTCTCTTTTCTCCAACACGAGCTTTTCTATCCTTCTCTGCTAATTTTGCAGCGGAGTCAACTTCTAATGCTTTTGCTACTATATCCTAAAAATAAAATTTTTTTTTTAATTTTTTAATTAAAAAAATATTTTTTAATTCAAACCAATTTTATAAAAATTTTCTTCAAAAAAAATTTTTTAGTTATTTTTATTTTTTTTTTATTTTTTTTGCCCTTATAAATCATCTAATTTTAATTTAAAAAAATTTCCTCGTCATCTATCTATTTTTATTTAATTACTATTACAAATTATTTTTTCTTTCTAGGCAAAATTAATTTTAATATTAAATCTCTTTTTATTAAATTATTTAATTTATTATTATTTTCATCAATTTTATCCTTTAACTAATTAAAAAATCTTTTTTAATTAAAATAAAAAAATATATATTTTAGTAAGACCAGGTATAGGTTAGAGCTGTTTCGAAAAAAAAATTCAAAAAAAAATTTAAAAAAAATTCTCTCAAAAATAGAAAATTTCGAAACAGCTCAAGTACAACAGCTGCTCAACCAAATGGGCTAACCAAGGCGCTCCCCCCATTTCTCCTTCCCTCTTTTTTTATTAATCTTAAACTCTAGTATCAGAAGGAACTCACGAAAATAGAAATAGCTCAAGTAATGCTTGACCGATTTGTTTGATCGAGCTACAGGGGCGCACCTTTCACCTACTCTCTTTTTATGAAACCTAAAGCTCTAGTAAGAAGGATCTTCCCTCCATCTTCCTTCCTTTTTTTTACATTTTCTATCCAAAATTTTAATTAAAAAATTTTTCCTCTCCCAAAAAAATTTTTTTTTCTCAAAAAAAAATTTTTTTTCTACCTGAATTTGTCTTTCAATTTCTTCTTGTTTTTTAGGATCTTCAACTTGTTGTTGTTGTAAATGTTTATTTGAATGTGAATTACTTCTTTTATTTAAATTTCCTCCACCTCCACCACCACTATTATTTCCATTATTATTTAAATTTCTTGTAGGTCTAGGTTTAAATGGTTTTCTTGGACTTGTTGATGGTAATGCTGCGACTTCAGCAACAACCTTTTTTTAAGGAAAAAAAATTTTTTTTTATTAAAAATTAAAAAAATTAATTTTTTTTGATGTAATTTTAAATTAATTGAAGTCATTTTAATCTATTTTTTAAATTTTTTTTGATTAAAAATAACTGCAAAAAAATTTCAAAAAAATTAACAAGTTAAACACAACTACCTAAACCATGACAAAAAAAGTAAGAAAAAAAATTTTTTTTTTGATGACCGAGTCGAAAAATTATTTTTAAAAATAATACAAAAAAATACAAAAAAAAATACCCAAAAATAAATTTAAAAAAATATTTTTCGAATTAAAAAATAACCAAAAGAAAAAGACCATATAATAGGGTTGTCGAACCACCTAACTACTACACCTCGCTAACACAAATTTCAAAAATAAATTTCAAAAAAAAATTAAAATTACCTCAGCAACGGTAGATTCTCTAGATATATGTTGTTGTACTGTTGTTATAGCTGATTTTTTATTTTGTTGTGATTGGCAAACAAAATTTTGGCTAATTTGTTGTAATGACGAAGAATTTCCTATTGAATGTCTTTGTTGTCGTTGAGAATTTGTTGAAGTATTTAATGAGGAATTTAACTGTTTTAAAAAATTAAAATACAGGGTGTTTCAGATAAAAAGCACTATTTGAAAATTCAATAACTTTTTAATGCTTGAACTGATTTTAATGAAATTTGGTATTTAATATCTATATTTTATGGCATTTTTTTTGACATAAAAATTATGTCTAAATTCGAACCCTAACCCGAGATAATTTCGTACTCTACCGTTCTGTTTTTCCCTTTTTCCGCACATGCATTCTTACTCCCTTTTGTTTTTTTTGAGCGGCGATAGACACTAGAGTAAACACTAGTCGATAGACACTGCATTTTCAATACAGTATCTTCTCTTCGCCATACGCAGGAAAATAAATGAAGTAAGATAGCCCACAATGAAAAGAGGGAAAAAAGAGAACGGTAGAGTACGAAATTGAAACGAAATTGAAATACAGGGTTAGGGTTCGAATTTAGACATAATTTTTATGTCAAAAAAATGCCATAAAATATAGATATTAAATACCAAATTTCATTAAAATCTGTCCACGTACTAAAAAGTTATTGAATTTTCAAATAGTGCTTTTTATCTGAAACACCCTGTATATAAATTTTAAAAAAATTTTAGGAGCCTAAAAATATTTTAAAAAATATTTAAAATCAAAAAGCTGACAAAATAGACCAATAAAAAGTCAAATACACCCAAAAGGAATCGAACCCGATACCACCTCACCCAAAGGTGGAGGCGTTACCAACTACACCACCACACAACCTAATTAAAAGTTCAATTAAATGTGCTAAAAATAAAAAAGAAAGAGGGGGGAATATTGAATTTAATTAAGTGGACCCATAAAACCACCTTAAAAATTTTCCAAAAAATTTTTCTAAATAAAAAAATTATTTGAAAAAAAAACGAACAGAATGATTGCTAGAATTATTAGCCGAATTATTATCACCACCAGAAATATTTGAAAGAGAAGCACTTAAATTTAAGCCTCCTCCAAGACCTCCTCCACCTCCAATACTACCACTACAATCTCCATTAATTACTATAGAAGAGGATGAAGGTATATTATTAATATTATTATTTTCTGTTGTTGCCAAATTGTCTAAAGTTGCCAAAAAATTTTGAACAAAAGGGGCTGTAACATTTTGTGGAATTAAACAATTTAAAGGGCTAGAAGTTGTTTGTTGTTGGTGTTGTTGAGTAATTAATGATGATGATGGGGGACATGATTGTTGAGGAATAGAGGAAGATAACTTTTAAAAAAATAAATTAATTAATTTTTTATTGGGTAAATTTCAAAAAAAAAAAAATTTTTTTTCCATATTTTTATTTACCAACAGATTTTCTCCTCAAAAAACTTTTGAGAAGCTGAAACTGAATTAGAGCTTGAAAAAAGGATAGAAAACACTCATCGGACTATGTATATAGCCCATTCGTTATAGTTTAATGTAGAGTAACACCTGAGCCTTCGGGGGCGGGGATCGGAGTTTAAGGGATCGGAGTTTTCCGGGGTAGAGCTTCAAAGTCTGGTCGGGGTTTCGAGAGGACGGGGTGCTATCCTAGTTTAATGCCATTCTTTATAGTTTAATGCCACCACAAAAATTGAGCTCAATTTAAATTTCCCTAAGTTTCATCCCGAGTTTTTTCTGCTTTCATTTTTTTCTTTTAAAATTTTCGAGCTTTAACTCATTAATTTTTAAAAATAAAAATAATTTTATTAATTAAAATTACAAATAAAACTCACCACAGGACTCATTTGTTGTTGTTGTTGTTGCTGTAAAACAACAGCAGCCGCAGCTATAGGACTTAATTGATGAACAACATTATTTAAAGCTGCCCCAGATGCTATCGACTGTAATGCAGCAATTTCTTGTGGAGCTATAGTATTTAATAGACCAAATTGGGTTATTTGGCTTAATAAATGTTGTGCTGTTAATTGTTGAGAATAACGTTCACGCATTTCATTTATTAATAAATCTAGTTGGTTAGTGACTGTTGATACCTTTTTTTGAAAAAAAAATTTTAATAAAATCCCAAAATTAAAAAAAAATAATATTTTCTTGTTTAGGGGATAGTGAATCCCCCAGACTTGGTAGTGGGCATAGCTTTTTTATCTGTATCCAAATATTTACGGCGGATACAGGCGGACATCCGCAGGCGTTTTAAAATTATCTGTATCCATATCCGCCGATTCATTACCGAGCCTGGTGAATCCTAAAAAAATCGCCGATGTTTGCTGTTGTTGCTGCCCCTATTTAGGGAATAAATAAAAAAATGATAGAAATTAGAGAATGGACTAAATATAAAATCACATCTCAATCAAATAAAAAAAATATATAAAATCTCATCTCAATCAATCAAATCTTTAAGCAAATGAAAAATTTGACAAAAAAATCCTGTGCGGAAATAATTTTATTTTTAGAGAAAAAATTAAAGAAGACTAAAAGAAATGGAAATTAAAAAAAAATTTTTTATGATTTTTTCCTAAAAAAATAATTTTTAATTTTTTTTTTTTGCCCCTTACTTGATTAACAGCATTTGAAGACGTCGCCGATGTTTGCTGTTGTTGTTGCTGCCCAATACTACCAATATTATTATTTGTTGGACTCGAATTATTATTTAAGGCATTAGCAACAACAGCTACAGCATTTGCCTGTTGTGCTTGTTGTACTTGAATAGCTAATTGAGCTTGGGCTGCTTCAATTAATTTATGTTGTGTTTGTTGTTGTGTAATTAACTGCAAGGCGAGTTGTTGTTGTAATTGGAAATTCTGATTTTGTTGGTTTTGTTGTTGAGTGTTTGAATCCTCCTCTTCTTGTTTTTGTTGGTGTTGTGAACATTCATTAACTAGACAATCCATGTCTGTATTAAATAATTGCATTTCTCTTTGAAATTCTGACCAAGCATTTAATAACCTTAAAATAAAAATTTTCAAAAAATTTTAAAAAAATTTTAAGAAATTTTAAAAATTAAAAAAATTTTTATGAAATTTTTTAAGATTTTTATTTAAGACTCTAATGTACACTAAATAAAGATACTAGCAAAAACATCCATGTTTAAATAAAACATGATATATCACAATAAAACATGTTTTACTTTAATTCTGATTTTTATAAAAACATTCTAAACAAAACAATTGTTATTTTATTTGTTTGATGTTTTTATAAATGTTTTATTTTTGTTCTGATTTTTGTCCCTACAAAACTTTGTTTTTACTAAAACATTGTTTTAATTTAATTCTGATTTTTATAAAAACATTCTAAACAAAACGATTATTTTATTTGTTTGTGTTTTTATATATGTTTTATTTTTGTTCTGATTTTTGCCCCTACAAAAACTTTGTTTTTATTAAAACATTGTTTTATATTTATTCTTATTTTTTCTTAATAAAAACATTTAAAATAAACACACCATTTGCGTCTATCCTCGACACGTTTTTGCAATTCCAACAAACGCGATTGTTTTTGTTGTTGTGAACAATGTTTTTCTGGTTGTAGTTTATTAAAATTAAAATTTGTTGTTGTTGTTGTTGCTGTTTTAGGTGTTTGTTGTAAATTATTTGTTTTCTTTTGCAACATTGTTGTTGTTGTTCTAACCGGTGTTTTATTATTAAAGACAACATTGTTGTTTGTTTCACTTGTTCCACTCGTACTTAAAAAGCGTTTACGACTCTCTGCAGAGTAAAATGTCAAATTTTCTTCCCCCATACTGGAAATTCTTCTTCTTCCACCTTCTTCTTCATCTTCTTCCATTTCTTCACATTCTAAATTTTTTAAAGGAGTAGAGTCTAATATTGACCGAAATTGTTCAAAGTTTGTAAAATTATTTGTTGAAACATTTTGTTGTTGTTGTTCAGGAATATGTTGTAGTTGATGTTCTTTATCTTCTTCCTTCACAACAATGTTTTTGTTTGAATGTTTTGAATGAAATTCATCAAAGAAATTTTCATAAGCGTTTTTAATTGTGTCTGGAAAAATTAAAAAAATTTTATTTTTACAGATAAATTTTTTTTTATTTTTAAATTTTCAAAATAAAATTTTAAACAAGACTCTAATGTCCAACAAAAAAATTTTTAAAAAAAAATTTCAAAAAAAAATATTTTTCCCTACCCAAAAAATTGTTAAGTTCGGGATATTTAGAAGAACAACAATTGTTGTTGTTGGAATTTTCGTTATTCTGATGTTTTTGTTGTTGTTTTATTGATGTTCTGCAAACATTAATTGTTGTTGTTGTTGATGTTTTATCAAGTTGGGGAAACGGAAACAAACAATTGTTATTATTATTAAATGTTTTTAAATGTTTTGAATGGTGAGTTGTTGTTGTTTTAGGGGTATCTTTGTTTAAACAAGAATTATGTTGTTGTTGATTTTGTTCGTCAATGTTTTGTGTTTGTTGTTGGTGTTCGTGTAATTGACGATTAGCCTTTTGATTTGCCAAATCGGCTAGTATAGAGGCAGCGTCCATTGGTTTGCCCTTAAAAAAAATTTTTTTTAATTTTAGAAAAAAATATTTTTTTTCAATTTTTCTCCTTGGAGTCACGGTTAGAAAAACGAAAAATCGCAAAAAAAAAAGTCAAAAATCATTTAGAAAAATCTCACCATTTGAATAGCACAAGTCATTTGATGCATTAATTCCATTCCATCACGTGCATCTTCAGAAAAACGAGGAACTTTAGGGCTGCTATGATGAAGTATATTTGATGAATCAGCAGATTTTCGTGGTCGTCCTCTACTTGCTTTTGTTGTTGTAGTAAATGAATTTATTCTTTCTTTACGTTCATAACTTCGTTTTCCTGTTGTTTTTTGTTTAATTGAAATATTAGAAATATTATTTGTAGGTGTTGATATTTTATCAGGAGAAATTGGCTCTACAAAATATATGTTTCTTTAATTTTACAACGGTACTCAAATGTCATGTATTTTTATCATGTTTTTGTTTTATTCTGATTTTAGAAGAAATGTTTTTACAAAATTCTGATTTATAATTTTCTTATGTTTTTAAAAAATTCTGATTATAATCTATGACATGTTTTTATTAAATTCTGATTTATGAAAAAATGTTTTTAACAAATTCTGATTATAATTATTTTACTATGTTTTTAACAAATTCTGATTTTAAAAAAGAATGTTTTAAACAAATTCTGATTTGTAAAAACATTAATGTTTCTTAGATATTCTGATTTAAACGTGTTCTCATTATACTCGCATGTTCAAATTTAATTCTGATTTTTTTTTCAAAATTACACAATTTATCCCATCTATTCTCTACCCTCTAACTTATGTTCAAATTTTATTCTGATTTAACAAAAACATATTTTAACAATTAAAATCTAACCAAAACGTGGTGAAATAAGTTGTTGTTCATTAACATTTTTATTTTCAATGTTTTTATTTTCTTCTGAAATTGTTTCAACATTTATTATTTTAGGTGTTGTTTCTTCCACAACATAAGTATTATCACAAACATTCTCAACAACCATTTTTTCTTCCTCAACAAACATGTTTGTTGTTGTTGTTGTTTCTATTTTATTGATGTTTTGTTCAATGTTTTTATTGATGTTTTGTTCAATGTTTTTATTGATGTTTTCCTCAATGTTTTGTTCAATGTTTTTTTCAATGTTTTCCTCTTCTTCTTCTTCTTTTTTAATTGTTGTTGTTTGTTGTAATCTAAGTTTTGGAATTCCCCCCAAATTATTATTGTTGTCGTTTTCGGACATTTGAGTCCCTCCCACATTTGAAAAATTCTTAACAATTTTTAACATTTTTGGAATATTATTATTAGAAATTGAGGTTGTTGATGAAGATGAGGATAAACTATTTAATTGTTGTTGTTGTTTATTTTTTATATTTAAAATAGCTTTAGCAGCAGCCTTTTTTTCACCTCCTCCCCCACCATTACTGCTACTACAACTACTTTGACGCCTCTTTTGTTGTTCCATTTCATTTACATATTCAGTCCATTTACGTCGAGTTGTTGGGCCAAAACTTTAATAAAAAGAAAAAATTTTCTTGAAAAATTTATAAAAAAATTTTTTGCAAATTTTTAAGACAAAAAAAGAACCAGGGCCGTAACCAGGGGGAGTTTTGAAATTTTTAACTGAATTAAAAATTTTCTTGGGTCCGACAATCTAAATCATGTTGGAGAAACCTGACAGAATTTAGAATGTTTGCCCGACCTGATCCTTTAGGAACTTTCAAGTAGAAAAGTTTGTCAGTTCGTGGAAACTCTTTGGATAATCGGAACAGGAATGTCACAAGTTATACCAAACTCTAGACATGAAATCCGAAACCCGATCCAAGAACTTTACGAAAACTAGACTTGCTGGCATTCGATGCAGTATCCAAAAATAAGTTCCGACTTTTAACCAGTGGCATTCTTGAAAATGAGCCACTTAAACCGGAACCGAAGAACCTAAGCCGACAACCCTCCCTTCAAATCCAAACCTTTGCCCCCCTCCCAAAAAAAATTTTTTATAAGCAAAAACCTATAATCCTGTTCATTTTCTCCTCCTCCATTACTATTTAACCGTCCCCCTCCTCCAACCGCAGAATTATTGTCAGACGATTTATCCCTACTTGGCGCTCTAGCACAACAAATGCTTGATTCTCTCGAATTTGTTGACGTTTTGGAAGAAGAATTGGGTGTAGAAGAACGTCGACTGCCTGTATCCGATGATTTGGCACGGAGGGAAGAATTCCGCAATTTTAAAAAATAATTTTCCAACTTGAAAAAAAATTCATTTAAAATTGACTAAAAATCTTCAAAAACAACCTTTGTTCTATTTATTGTATGTAAATAATATGGAACATAAGCAGAGGTCCAAGAACACGGATTTAAACAAGGCTTCATTTCTGTGACTTCGGTGATGACGGAAATATCTTTAAAAAATGAAAAAATTATTTTTCAATTAGATTAAATTGGGAAAATTTTTTTAGGCAGGTTGGGTACTGCCGAAAATACAAAATTTGTGTGGTCAACCTAAACCCATAATCCGTGCTTACATAACATTTATTTTCAATATTTTCTTCCGCAAAACAAAAGAAGCACGGAATAAGGAGAGCAAAACATTTATCCTTCAACTAAGAGATTTGGATTTTAAACTTGAATATCCTTCCCCCTAAAATTCACCTTTTGGGGATGGTGACTCGTGAATAGTTTTAAAGGTCAGTGAACAATTTTCAATTTCCTCTTGAATATCGGAAAACGATGCACAAAAGGAATACCCAAAAATCGACGTTTCGCCTTCCAATCCAAAAATTTCAAAAAAATACAAACCATTTAATTGTCTATCAGTAATTGCTCCTTGTTTATTTAACGGCACATAAGGTTTAGTAGAAACAATTTTAGTTCCATCCTTCAAATCAGAAAGCAATTCTCTTTTAATTCTCGTTTCCAAATCTGATTGAAAGGCATAATTATTGATAAAAATGATTGAGGCTTCTTCGGTTATAAGTTTTCGATATTCTGTGCTGAGGAAATCGCCATGGAGTAATTCAAAAGGTTGAAATGGGCGGCCAAACCAGTTCATTAACCTAAACAAAATTGGGTTAAAAATTGTAGGAAATGGTTGAAAATAGGCTAAAATGAAGGAAAATAGGGGGTTAACGTTGAAAAATAGTCCTTAAAATTTTTTAAAAAATTTACAGAAATTTTTAAAAAATTTTAAACCCCCCAAAAAAATTTTTTGAAACCCAAAAAAATTTTTTCAAAAAATAAAAATACTTTTTAAATTCGTGTTCCAATTTCTTTGCAAATTTTGATGGTAATGAAGCTATTTCTATTCCAACCGCTCTATGAGCTAAGGTTCCACCAGCCATGTGCACAACTAGTTGACCTACTCCACTACCCAAATCGACAAAAACGTCTTTCTAAAATTGAGTAATTTACTTAATAAAACAAAAAAGGGAGGTAAAAAACGTTCAAAAAAATTTTGGAAATTTTTTAAAAAATTTTCAAAAATTTTTGAAAAATTTGTAAGATCTCAAAAAACAATTTTCCAACAAAACCATTACACCACCACACCTCACAACAACAAAACAAATAAAATCCCCATATAATCAATAAAAACAACAAAACAAACTTGCGACGGCTTAAGCTCTTCAATAATCATTTGCATTCGTTCATACGACGTCTCCCCATAAGTTTGAGACGAAAAAGCTTCATAATGTTTATTCAAAGCTTTTTCATTGTCCACAGCTTTGTTATAGCATCTTGTAATTATTTGGTGAAGTAATTCTTTGCTTGCATTTTGGGAGGATTTTGAAGAATTTTCCTTCCTCTAAAAAAATTTTTTTTTAAATTTAAAAAAAATTTTTTTTATTTACAGTAAGGGCAGTCTCCTTGCTGATTTTGTTAAACTTTTTGGCCAAAGAACGGACTTGGTCATAACTAGAAGAAAAAAATTTTTTCAATTTCACTCTCCTCCAAATTTACTTGAAAACATCAACACTTTCCAGTTTAGATTTGAGTGGAGTTGCCAAGTCTGGAAAGTGAACAAGTGCCAATCTTAAGTTAAAAAACATTAATTTTAATAAAAAAGACATTATTAAATCCGAAAACTCTCAATTTCCCCCAAAACCAAAGAAAACGGTAAGATGGACATTTGATCCCAAAACTCCTAAGGTTCACGTTTAACAGCTAGAGAATGTCAAAACAAGACAAAATGATAGTAAAGAGATTCCCAGAAACTCCATCCCCTCAAAAAACTAAGAAACTCCCAAAGAAACCAAGAAAAATAGCAAGTGGACATTTGATCCCAAAACCCCAAAAAATCGATTTCTCGCCCCAACCCCATCAAGACAGCACCCAAATAGTCACGTTTAACAGATAGAAAATGTCAAAACCAGACAAAAGGGATGGTGAAGAGACGTCCAGAACCTCAATTCCCCCAAAAAACTAAGAACTCCCAAGGAAATCACAAAAATAGCAAAAGTGGACATTTGATCCCAACTCCCCAAAAAATCGACTTCCCCCAAACCAATTTTAAAACTTCCCCAAACAATGAAATCAAACAAACCTAATAATATCCACCACTTCAATTCCAATATTGTTCTTTTCCTTCTCACTCCAATGCCACGAGATTGCAGACCCCCCTATAGGGGAATTTAATCTAATAGGTTTTTTCTCAATATTTGATGACACTGCTGAAGATGAGGTATCAATTAAATTATTATTATTATTATTTATTTTTTCAACAAAAGAACTAAGAGAAATATGCCCGTTTTGTAAATTTTGTTGTTTTAATTGACTATTATTATTATTTAATTTATTGTTGTTGTTAGACAGAGAAACAGAAGAAAGTTTACTGTCCATTTTACACTCTTCTCTCTATACTCACCAAACAAAAATAGTATAAAAGTTGGGCGAAGAGTTTAAAAAAAGAAGAAGCAACTAAACCAAACCAAAACACACAAAATTTATGTGTTTTTCTGTTAAAAACACTGAAAAATTAAAAGTGTGACATTATGTCAAATTTTGGGGAAATGGACGTTTTGAAAATTTGAGGAATTGAAAAAAATAAGGGAAGTTGATAAATTTAAAGTTTTTAACACTTTGAAATTCGACAGAAGAAAGGGCAACGTCAACTTTTCTGGTAACTTTTTCCGGAAACGTGTCTGTACAAAAGACCAGTGCAACAAAAGACCGGAAGGGGCAAAAAGGGTTAAAAGACCAGTCTTTTTTGCCCGTTCCTGTCTTTTTTCGCAACGATCTTTTGTACAGATACGTTCCGGAAACGTTAAGGGAAACATAAAAGAGCACATTAGAGTCTAGAAGAAATATTAAAGAAATAGTAGTGCTAGAGAAAGAGAATTTTTTGATTTTTGAAAAAAATTTGGTTGAAAAATCTGAGGGAAGAATTTTGAAAAATTTTCAAAAAATTTTATCAGGTCTAGATTAATTTCCACCACTCCCTGACATTTTTCTAAAACTCTGATAATCTAATTTACCGAAGAAAACAACAAAAAACACGTCCCTAACCCACACAAAAATTGTGTCCAACTTTTAAAGTTTCCTACAAATTTTAGAATAAAGTATAAAATTAATAAAAGTACAAAAACAACACATTTTTAGCAATATTTTTATTTCTACATTTTAGCAAAAAAATGGATTGGTTGGGAAAAAAAATTTTTTATAAAAAGGGGAAAAGCAAAAAAAAGAGGGGAAGAAAGAGCCGGAATAGCTAGAGTAGAAGCAAGTAGACAAAAATCAATTTTTGTCTCTTTTTTTCTTCTCTTCAAGGATGTTTGAGTTGATTGGTTGTTTGTGAAAAATGTGGGTATATTTTTATTTGTTTTGTTGTTTAAAAGGAATATATAGGGGAGAGAAAGGGTAAGGCGAAAGTTGACAGACGATTTGTGGGGAGGAATAGAGAGAGAAAACCTTCCCTTCTCGTCATAATAATATTTGAAGGTAGAGCAAAATCAATCTAATCGACACAACCATACTTTCCAAAAAACAGGGAATACCCAAAAGATCGAAAACTTGAAAAATAAAAAATATTTCCCTCCAACCGGACTCGAACCCACGACCTCTTTGGGAGGGTACCCTAAAGCTTTCCCACTACACCAAAATGAACACAACAACAAAACAACCATATAACACCCAAGTAACACTAATGTGATTCTAAAAAAGCAAAAAATTGAAAAATTTCCGGAAAAGCTCAGACTCAACTGGTCATTTTATCTAAAATCGGTAGGTAACCCAAAAGATCAACACCCTTCAAAATTGATTTTTTCCAGTTGATCTTTTGGATGTACCCTTTTCTAAATAATAATGGTAAAGCAGTAATAGTAGTAAAATGTATTTGCCCGTATAGTTTTGAGAGAAAAGAGCAGCACAACAAACAAAGGAAAGGGGAAAAATGGACCAGTAAAATATAAAATATTAGTAAGTATGTAGCAGAAGGCAGTCGCCGACGTTTTTGGTTAAGAAGAAAAAAAAATCGATAGGAAGAAAAAGCGCGCCGTGTCGTCGTTGAAGTTTTTTTTCATCGCTTATTTTATTTTTGTATTCAGAAAATGGGGAAGTTTTTGAAAAAAAAATATGGAGAGTGGAAATTTTGCAGAAAATAAATAAAAATAAAAATTATTGCTTTGCTTTGGAGAGACTCTCTCATTTTAACAAAAAATAATCAAAAAAAAACTTCCAAAAAGTCAAAAAACTTCCGAAAAATCAATCGAATCGACTCAACTCATTCCTTCTAAAATCAAATAATCCTCAAAAAATCGTCAACTTGAAAATCAAAAAATATTTCCCCCAATCGGACTCGAACCCACGACCTCTTTGGGAGGGTAACCCAAACTTTTCCCACTACACTAAAATACCTACTACACCAAAAAATCAATTGAATCGATCCAACTCATTCCTTCTAAAATCAAATAATACCCAAAAATTGAAAAACTCGAAAAATAAAAAATATTTCCCCCAACCGGACTCGAACCCACAACCTCTTTGGGAGGGTAACCCAAACTTTTCCCACTACACTAAAAATCAAGACAAAAATCTAAATAAAATTTTTAAAATAAAATACCCACATCAATCAATTTTAAGAAAAATAAAAATACAAAAAAAATATTTTTAAATTTTGCCCTTTTTAAAAAATGTGTTTTCGATAGCCAAAAGGCGCGTGTCTGCACTTTAATTAATTAATTAAAGAGCAAAACTTAAAAATGCCTCCGTGGTGTAGTGGGAAAATTTTTAGATTTTAAGAAAAGAGGGGGTTAATTGTTCAAGTCCGGGCCGTAGAAGAGATTTTTTAGAATAAAGGACCTCCTTCGGTAATTTTTAAATAAAACAGAATATAATCAGAAAAAAAATCAGAATAAAAATCAGAAAAAACCAGAACATTCAGAATAAAATCGGAAAAAGTCGGCTTACAAATCAGAAGAAAAATCAGAAAAATCATCAGAAAAAAAAGAATAAAAACCAGAACATACAGAATTAAACCAGAACAAAAAATCAGAACACTCAGAATAAAAATCAGAACAAAAATGAGAAAAACCAGAACATTTAGAATAAAAACCAGAACAATCAGAATAAAAATCAGAATAATGATCAGAAAAATCATCAGAAAGTCGGAATAAAAACACGAACAATTGGAAACCCCTACAAAAATAATAATCAGAATAATGACAAAGAGGGAGATTAAAAGAAAAGATAAAGCAGAAACCAAAGCATAAAATACATTAAATAAAATTAAATAAATAAAATCCATTAGCGGTCTTTCTTTATTTTTGCACTTTAAAAATAAAAGGGTATTAAAAGCAACATCGACAAAAAAAATTTTTTTTCAATAAAAAAAATATAATAACGCTAACGCCTTTAAAAATTAATATATTTTTTAGTCAATAACGTCCACTTCCCCCCCCCCTTTCCTTCCCCCTTTTTTTCCTTTTTTTATTAAAAAAAATTTTTTTCTCTCCACACAAACACTTACACACTATCATCTGCAGATCCCCTTCCTTCTCCATTTCTCTCTCCCTATTCCCCTTACAAGAAAAAAAAATTTTTTTTTCTCTCCACACTAATATACACACTATCATCTGTCCCAAAACGCTCAACTCATCCAATCCTAGAAATATCGGCCGGTTGAGTCCCTAGCCGGTTGAGTCCCTGGTCAGTTGAGTCTCAACCGGCCCAAGACTCAACCGGCGGTAATCAACCACTCAGACGGCCGGGACTCAACTGACCAGGGACTTAACCGGCTAGAGACTCAACTGGTCATGGACTCAAACGGCCAGGGACTCAACTGGTCATGGACTCAGACGGCCAGAGACTCAACTGGTCATGGACTCAGACGGCCAGAGACTCAGACGGCCAGAGACTCAACTGGTCATGGACTCAAACGGCCAGGGACTCAAACGACTGGTACTCAATAGTCTCGTTCCAAAGGATTGGATGAGTTGAGCGTTTTTGGGCGTGTAGATGAGTTAAGCATTAGATGAGTTGAGGATTGGATGAGTTGAGCGTTTTTGGCCGTGTGGATGAGTTAAGGAATTTTAGCCGTTTAGATGAGTTGAGCGATTTTGGGCGTGTGGATGAGTTAAGTATTAGATGAGTTGAGCGGGCACGCCTTCTTATATTCTTCTAACTCTCTCTTCCTTTCTCCTTTGCGTGAAAAAAAAAATTTTTCCTTCTCTCCACACTAACACACACTATCATCTGTCACTACCCCTTCCTTCTCCTTTTCTAACCCTCTATTTTCTTCCCCTTCAAAAAACTCTACCCCTCTAATTCCTTATATTCTCTTCCCTTTACAAGAAAAAAATTTTTTTCTCTTGAATAAAAATAAATTTTAAAAGCGTTTTGCTGTAGCTGCAGCACGCGAAAGCGGCAAAGAAAAAAACGCACGCAAGGAGGCAAAAAAAAAGCAATAATATAAAATTTAATGGCTACGTGGCTGGCGTGTTTTATTATAAGCAGAATTAGGGCGTTTGAATGGGTTTACTCCAAAATATCAACAAACCCCTCAAACAATATTTAAAAGGGGAAAATTGGTAAGTTTCGAAGGTATGAGCCTCTAGTGTCCAAAAACTACAACTTATCCAATACCTCTAAAAATTCTACAAAATCGGGATGAGAGAAAGAGCTTGGAATGTGAAGGAAAGGAGGTGGAAATATTGAAAAACAACAGGGAACTAATAATAAATCAGAAGATTCTGAAAATCTCTATAGAAATGGAGAAGCCAGAATAAAATCAGAATAATTAACAATTGATCAGAACATCCACAAAAATCAGAAACAAACCAGAAAAAATCGGAAATTCTGAAAAAACCAGAACATTCCCAAATATCAGAACAAAATCAGAATCAGAAAAAATCAGAACATACCAGAACTGCCAACCAGCCAGAACAAAACCAGAACTTTTTGAATACCAGAATAAATCAGAACAAAAACCAGAAACAAATCAGAACAATTGTAGCCAATCAGAACACAAATCAGTACATAACACTGAAAAATCAGGAAAAAAAATTATAAAAAAAAGTTGATCTTCTGGGTATCAACTTTTAACCGTCGGCTAGCCCCTACGCCACACAAAACACTCCAACCAACTCCACCAACTATTCAAAAACAAAAATCGATTAATTGACGCTATACCTACTCTTAGTCGTCATCTACAAATATTATTAAAAACATAAAAAAAGCCCCTTGTGACAGCCGCCTAAAAAAAGAAAAAAAAAGTGGGGAAAAAATGTTGAATTTTATATATAAATGTACTGGAAAAAAGTAAAGAAAATTTTCCCTCTCTCTCTATGTAGTTGTTAAAAGAGGGGATTTAATAAAATTATAAAAAAAAAATTTTTTTTTGCAAATTTTGCAAAGACACTCCTTCAAAAATTAACCGTTTTAGAAAATTAAAAAAAAAAAACCGAAAATTTCTAAAAATGCGAAATTTTATTAAAAATTCCCCCAAAATAAAACCGGGTATTTGTCTAAAACTAAAAACCTTTGGGGTACCGGTTAATAACCATTTTTGTCCAATTTTAGTTTTTAGTCAAAAATTTAAAAAATTTTTTCAAAAGTTTTTCAACAATTTATGGCTACTTGGAAAAGCCCGTCGTCATTATAACTAAACAAAACACCAAATAAAACAATAAAAATAAAACCTTTGCCAACAAAAAATAATTTTTTTCTTCCCTCATCCTTCATTAATTTCTTTATTTAAACCTTATTAAAGGCCACAACATCAACAGATTGAACCAAATCTTCAAATCCACGAATTTCCTCTTCAAGCCAGTCTGTTGACACTTTCTCGTCTTCAACACAGCAACAAATCTGCAATTTGACAATTTTAATTGTTAAAAAAATAAATTTAAACGGGGGTTAATAGAAGAAATCATTTTTTGGGAGTGAGATTAGAGACAGAATCCACAGACCTTAACCAGTCCTTACCCTCGAGTTCTAAAATATTAAAGCTGCTTAAGTCTGTCTATACGGAAGAAACCCTAGCTTTGACGAAGACCAAGCTCGATTTCTAGTAGGGGAGGGATGAGGAAAGGGTAGTGTGTTGAGGTAGAGACAGGCTTTAACCAGTTTCAGAGACCGACTTAAGCAAGTTTATGAGCCTAGAGTTGAACACAAGACAAAAAAATTTTTTGACCGGTGAAGCAAAAAACAAACGGAAGGAATCTCGAAAAAGGGAAAGAACCCTTTAAACTCAAAAAAAAACCTGAAGTTTATTAATTCCAAACGCAACAGGTTCAATTTTAGAAGCACCCCAAACAAGTCCATCTGTCGCAATTGAACGAACATTTTTCTCCATTTCTTTAAGGTCAATTGTATCGTCCCACCTTTAAAAAAATTTTCTTTCTGTCCCAAAAAAAATAAAAAAACAAACGGTTTAACGTCATAAATAACATTTGATTTGGCAATAACTCCGGGCTTTTTAGCCTTCTTTTCAGCATAAGCCTTCAGCCGCTGCTCCGTCAATTTCTTCTTTTCCTCATCGTCGGATTCGTCACTTCCGAACAAGTCAAAATCGTCGGCCTGAAATTTTTTTAATTCCTTCTCTTATTTTAAATTTACCGCCGCTGCTGGTTTAGGTGCTTCCTTAGGCGCCTCCTTTGGAGTTGTCGTCGTTGCCTTCGGTGCTGGTCCAGAACCACTTTTTGGCCAACTAAAAGAGATTAACATTCTTATGAAAATTGGTAATATTGAGGGGTAGGGAGGAATCTATTAAAAGCCATAGGTCTAGGAAAGCCTTTCCTAAACCAATAGGTCTAGGAAACCTCAAAAAAGCCCACCAACGCTTAATTCAGTCCAGTGAACCACAAGTCAAGGAAACCCGTGAAGCTCGAAAACTGACTGGATATAGGCTCTGGTACAGGGCCGTAGTCAGGATTCCCCCTGGCTAAGGCCTTGGTATAGAAAAACCCCCACCTAAAACAGACCAATCCCAAACTCTACAATTTATTACAGCAAACCTCCATCTTCCGAAAAACCTATTGTTAAATTTAAAAAAGATTACCCAGTCTGCTCCGCATCAGAAAAGCTTTGCATGTGTTTAAACCAACGAGCAACATGAGGATATTGAGCAGAAATAGTAGAAGACTTCAAAACACCAAAAACATAACTATCCTCAGTCGAAGGCAGAAACCCTTTGAGATAACCACGAGTAGCCAAATGCTCATTCAATTGTTTAAATTGTTCTTCTGTAGAAGGAGCGCCATTGAGAAGACCGTTAAAGTCAGCCATTTTATTTGCTTATTTTTGAAAATAAATTGCAAAAATCTTAAAGATAAAATTGATTAGAAGGAAAAAGGGGAGAAAAGGCTTTTAAGACTACAGAAGGAGCGTAAGGGTTTCAGGCGCGTTTTTGCTTAAAAATGAGAAAATAAAAACCAATCTACCACTAAATTGAGTAACTAAAAATCAATATGCTTCCAATAGACTATAGAAAAACAAATAAGGAATTGCAAAATTGCAAATTTTGAAGAAAAACCACGTAGGTAGTTTAATTAACCAAAACATTTCTAAAAAATTTCAAAACTAAAAGAGAACACGCAAAAATAAGAGAGATACAGAGAAGAAAAGAAAAAGAAAACAATTAATAATAGAGAGAGACAGACAACAAAAGAAAAATAAAAAAGTTAACAAAACAACATTATTAATTCTTTTTCGACATTTTGAAATAATTTAAAGGTTATTTTTCAAAATACCTATTTTATAAATGGTTAAATTTCTACAACAGCTGACCCTTGATTTTTCTCTGGGGCATTTTTATCATTTTTTTAAATTTTTTTTTCAGTTTTTTTCTATTTCAGATATTTTTTTAGTATTTTATCAATTTTATTAATTATTTGAAATTTATTTTAAACCTATCTTCTTCCTTAAATGGACCTTGCAGCGACTTCGTCTTCAGCCCCAGCCGTTGCCAGTCCAGCAATTGAGAAGGCGCGTGAAAAGCAGCGACGTAGAATTTGTGAAGCTATTACTGGGCTTAAACCAGAGGACCAAATTGAATTTTTGATTAGTCGTTTGGCCGAATCGGATGTTTCTACTGGCGAGCAGAAGAAAGAATTGGAGCAAACTAAACGAGAAAATGGGAAATTGAATTTGGTTTTTTTTAATTTTTTAAATTTAAAAGACATCTTTTCTAGAAGCTCGATTCTGTTCAAAAAATGTTGAGCAAAGCAGAATTGTCCAAATCCAAGTTGGAACAGTTATGTCGGGAATTGAGCAAAGCTCAACGTGAGGAGAAGGAAGCTAATCAAATGAGGTTTTTGTTTAATTTTATTTTTTTTTATTTTTTATGATGGAGGGTCAAGGGATTAGCTTGCCTATTTTCCAAGTTTTTGTCTTTTAAAATCCACAGGTTGTTCGCAATGTACACAAAAGAACCTCGGAACTTATGCAGTTTAAGTACACACCCCATTTATTCGCGAAGAAAGTTTATTAAAAAATGGTCAGTGAATTCAAAATGGTCGGCTCATCGAGTTGAATCGAATGGCAACTTATCGGTCCATGGGGACATCTATGAGCTGATTCACAGAGGTCCAAAAATGTCTAAAGAAACGGGTAACAATGACCACTATTTTGATAAAAATCTGATTCTAAAACACGCAAAAATCCCGGAAATACTCAAAAAACGGATCATTAGTTATAAAAACGGAGATCTGGGTACTTTAATTGCCATTTAAATAGTGAAATAGGTAAAAATAAGAATATTGATTCATATGTTAATTTTTATTTTGGTGAAATTGGAAAGAAAAATTAATCTTTTCTTTGTTAATGTCTCTTATTGAGCATGTGTAACAGCAAAAAAAGAAAACCATTCCGTACATGGATATTTTCTTTTACTAATGAATGTCTCTTTTCTTCGCGAATAAATGGGGTGTGTACTTAAACTGCATAAGTTCCAGAACCTCTGCCCGTATAATTTTGTTTCGAGCGAACTTTTTTTTTAGCGCCCAAGGGAAAACTTTTGAGAATTTTATAAGGCCTTAGGCAATTTGCTTGTTCCTTCTCACAATCAGAGGCTTTTCATTCTGGAGCCTTTATAAATTCTTATTTAAAAAATTCTTGACTGTTCCATTGACACCTTTCTAGACTTGGATTTTTCCATTTCGCCTTCCGTTTTTCGCTTTTTAAAATCTTTTTCGGCACAACCCTGTTCTAGACCCTTTTTTGACGTCCATTTCATTCTCTAAATTTATTTCAAAACATCTCTTTTTTAGACTTAAACACATTCAAGCAACCCATGCAGATACCGTCGAATCCTTCAAAAAATCGTTGGCAGATATTCAACATTCTGTCGAATCTAAACAAGAGCATAGCAAGCGTGTTGCTGATGTTGAAAGACTTTCTACTAATTTGAATCAGTTTTTTTTTAATTATTTTTTAATTTTATAATTTTTTGTTTAAAGGATGGCTGCTGATTATGAGACACGTTTAAATGATATTAAAAAATTGGTAAAAAAAATTTTTTGTCGTTTCTAGTAGAGATTGTGAGTTTTGAAAATCCTGGGCTTATTCCTGAACCTATTCCGGGTTTGATTTATTAACCTGGGCCAGATTCTGGGTCTGTCCAGGAAAAACTCAGGCCCAGGAAAAACCCCAGGAAGGTCAAAAAAATGCCTGGGCCTAGATTCTGGATACAGGAAAAATCCCAGGCCTTGGTCCCCCCAGCTCACCTAGGAAATTAAAAAAACTTTTTCAATTTTTTTTCATTTTTTGTCGTTTCTACCACTTAAAAATTGAAAAAAGAATTTTAAAAAAATTAAAAAAAAATTTTTCCTTTAAGTATGACGAACGCGATGCAGATTTGGCAAAGATAGCTAGTGCCAAGGATAAGGAATTGGGCCTTATGCGAGTACAAATCGAAGAAATGCAGAAACGTGTGAGTGAAGTATTTAGTGAAAATGTTCAGTTAAAGAAGCAGGTTATTAAAAAATTAAAAAAAAATTAAAATTTAATTCCCTTTTTAAAGTCATTAAATGATGAGACTCGTTTAAAGGAGTCAGTTGAAGCAGAATTAAAAACACGCCAATTATTGGATGAATATGCGCATAAATATGCTGCACTTACCGAATCGTTGTCTAGTACTAATGGGTAAATAAGAAACTTGTTTTTGTTAAAAATAGAGCATGTTTTCCGGAAAGGTTTAGAAATGTTTTCTTTTCGTGTTTTGATGTTTTTCCGGAAAGTTTGAGTTCTGGAAGGGGTTAGTAGTGTTTTGATGTTTTAATGAAACTAAAAACATTCTTAAATGTTTTTCCGGAAAAGTTGCAATGTGTTTTTACTTGTGTTTTGATGTTTTTTCCGGAAACATTTTACCAGTTGTTTTTAAAACATCAAAACATGAAAAACACATTGCAACTTTGGCACTATATGAAAGGAGGTCGATAATCGTTTTTTTCATTACTTTTTTCATTAACTTTTTTCCTTCCTTAATTATAAATAATGGTCAGTCTTTTCTTTCTCGTTCACTTCCACTCTTTTTACCTGTGGCATATTCAAATGAGGACAGACAAAAACACACACGGACAGACAAAACTCGAGTTTTCTGCTCGTCTTCGTCCGTGTTTTGTCTGTCTGTTTCCGTCCGTGTTTGCTCTGCCCGTTTTCGTCTGTGTTGGCTTTGTTCGAGTACGTCCGAGTTCTGTCTGTCTGTGTCCGTCCGTGTTTGTCTGCCCGAGTCGGCACGAAAAGAAAACAGGAGACTTTTTGTCTCTTTCATTTCTTTTGATTATGCCACAGGCAAATATAATGGAATTGAACAAGGAGGAAAATGCTGACCATTCTGTCATATCAAGGAAGGAAAAAAGTAATAGAAAAAAGTTATGAAAAAAACGATTATCGACCTCCTTTCATATAGTGCCGCAACTTTTCCGGAAAAGTTTCTAATGTTTTTCCGGAAGTTTCTAATGTTTATAAAGTTTCTAATGTTTTTCCGGAAAGATTTTATTATTCCCTCATGTTTTGATGTTTTTCCGGAATATACGATTTAATGTTTTCCGGAAAGTTAAAACATTTTTGTTTTTCCGGAAAATCTTGTTTTTATGATGTTTTTCCGGAAAGAAACATACTCTTACTTAATAAATGTTTTCCGGGAAGTTTTAATTATTTATTTTCAGTTCGTTTGACAACTTAAAAGAACAAATGTCTAAAATGAACGGAACAATGATTAAAGTGCAAGGGGACGCTAAAAAGTGGAGAGAACAGGCTGAGGCTGCAAACAAGTAGAATTTTTCTAAAATAAATTTTAATTTATTTTTTAAAGATTGGCAACTTCATTGAGTCTTGCAAAAGTAGAAAGTGATAATTTGTTGGCTTTTAAGAATCGTCAACTGGCTCAATTACAAGAACTTTGCCGTCGTTTGAATAAAGAAAATCGGGGAATAGATAAAAATAGTAGAAAGAAAAAATTTTTTTTTGAATTTTTTAAATTAATTTTTAAAGGTATGTCTTCCAACGACAACGAAATTGGGGAAAAAGGAAAGGAGGAGAATGAAGAATTGGCTTCTACTAGTAATGGAGCTGGAGAAGGAGATGGGGGAGAGGAAGGTAAAATAGAGGAGAAAATTGCCCAGATTGACTTGAAAGAGGAAATCAAGGAAGAGAAAAAAGAATAAAATGAAATATTTTTTTAAAATATTTTTAATAGTCAAAGGCCATAAAAATATATAAAAATACCTTCTTTATGTGCTCAAACATGCTTTAAGCTTTTTAAATTTACCTTTGATATGTTTGCCAAATTAAATACACAGCTTGAATATTATTATAAAAACAATGTTTTTCTCCCAGAAAATTATGAAATAAACATTGATATTATGTTTTTGTGTTTAAATGTTTTTATGAATGTTGGGATGTTTTATTCCACTGTTAAAATGTTTTCCGGAAAACAAATTTTGTTTAAATGTTTTCCGGAATGTTGGGATGTTTTTATTCCCTGTTGGGATGTTTTCCGGAAAACAAATTTTGTTTAAATGTTTTCCGGAAAGAAACGAACTTTGTTTAAATAAATGTTTTCCGGAAAATGAACAAACATTTAAATATTTTTCCCCTGTTAAAATGTTTTCCGTAAAACAAACTATTTAAGTAAATGTTTTCCGGAAATTTGAAAACATCTGAACACATTTTAAAACAACATTAAATGTTTTTTTCTGGAAATAGGCAAGTTTTCCGGAAGGTCATAAACATTTAATTGTGTTCGTCAAAACATTGAATAATTTTTATCTCTTTTCACTGGGGTTAAAAAATTAAAAAAGAATCCAATTTTACATAAAAATCGGAAAATATAAGTATTTATGAGTATCACTTTTAGAGATCAATTTAAAAGATTAATTTAGAATTTTTTTTAATTTAATTTTTTGAAATTTTACTTCTTTTTTGGTAAATGGTTTAAACCTGCACCGCTACTCCATCGATAATTTGGAGGCCCAGCAGAAAAACAAGCATTTTCTTTTAATGTTTGCCCTCCAGTTTCAGTCCAATACATTAAATAAAAGTTGCACATTTCATCTTCCCCAGTAGGGCCGATCTTGATTATTCGTTTTTCATTGTTGTTTATAGTGCAACGAGCAGCCAAAATATCCTTAAAAATAATTATTTTTGTTTTAGGAATGTTGGAATGTTTTCCGGAATGTTTAGAAAATTGTTTTAGAGTTTTCCGTAAATTGAACATGAATTTATTATTTATAAATGTTTTCCGGAAAAATGTAAACATGTTTTCCGGAAACAATATTAAAATTAAATGTTTTCGGAAAAGTGTAAACTTTTCCGGAAAGTTTTAAATAATCATATGTTTTCCGGAAGCAATATTGTAATTATTAAATGTTTTTTGCAAAGTTGCGAACTTGTTTTTTCCGGAAGCAATATTAAATTTTCCGGAAAAGTGTAAACATGTTTTTCCGGAAGGTTTTAAATAATTATATGTTTTCCGGAAACAATATTAAATTTTAACGTTTTCCGGAAAAGTTCACCATTATTTTACAAAAATATATACCCCTTGTGTAATAACTATTGACTGATTTATAACAGGCTGGAAAAGTTGAGGAAGCTGAAAATTCATTTTAAAATTAGAAAAAAATATATTCGAAAATTAAAAAAAATACCTGTGGATTTCTATTTCCCAGTAATGTCCATTTATCCTGTCCAGTCAAAGGATTTTCTTGGACTAACCAGCCATGTACATTAGTTCCATGTCTATGAGTGTGAACACGGAAGGCGAAAGGATGTAATTCAACGTCTTCATCAACAACACACGCTACTTCTAATTGCTCTAGAAAAATTAAAATAGCTTAAAATTTTTTTTGATTTTTTGAGAAATTTTCGAAAAAAATTTTTTTTGAAATTTCCAAAAAATTTTCAAAAATTCGAAAAAAAAATTTTTTTTTTAATTCCCAAAAAAAATTTTTCAAAGTTAAAAAAGCACCTGAAACACTCGAAATCAACATTCTAGACAATCTAACATAACATAAAAAAGATTCAGGTCTTACCCAGATTTGAACTGGGGTCGCTGGATTCAGAGTCCAGAGTGCTAACCGCTACACCATAAGACCGTTAAACTAACTTTCATTTATTTAGCTTTTAACATTTACTCTTTTTTTCTTAAATTGTTTAAATGCTTTAAGGGTGTAGGAAAAAAGGTTTTTTAAGCAACTTAGATATTTTTTAAAATTCTTAAAATTTTTTAAGGTTAGGAAAATTTTAACAAGGAAAATTTTTTTTTCAAAAAATTTTTAAAAAATTAAAAAAATTAGTCTCATTTACCAGTCTTTTTAGGCGCCATTCTACCGTCAGTAGCTAACAATAGAGTGCCTGCCATTCTTGGTTGAGGCTCCTCTGTGTGAAGCAACCTAACTCCAGAATTGTCTTCTCCCTTCATTTGGTGCATATAATGTACTTGAAGTACCAAAAATTGGGATTTTGCTTCACCACCAACGCGGAAACCGACACCTTAAGAAAATTTGAAGTCTTTTAAAAATTATTCTAAAAACACCTTTAGGCAGGTTAAGCTTTGGAGCGCCTCGAGCCCAAGCATAGATAATGTCTGGCTGAGAGGCGCATACAGGGGAACGGGAATAACCAGCATCAGAAGAAGACATCTCTCCACAGTCCCTTCAAAACAAATAAAATTATAAACTTTGTTTTGAACAAACATTTGTTTTGAACATTTAATTATTGCAATGTTTAAACAACAAAACAAATGTTTGAAACAAACATTTTTTTAAACATTAATTATGCAATGTCTAAACAAAACATTGTTTGAAACAGACATCTGTTTTGAACATTTAATTATTGCAATGTTTAGACAACAAAAACATTGTTCGAAACAAACATTTAATAAAACTTTTTTTCAAAACATTTTTAAAATGTTTTGATTAGCAAGTTTATTTAAAACATAAAAACATCTTATTTTTAGTTCTGAACATTTTTAAGTTTCCAACTTTTTTTCGAACATTGTTGTTCTCTCAAACATTTAAAACTTAGTTTCAAAACATTTTTCCAACTTTGTTTCAAACATATTTTACAATAAACCCTAAACAAACATTACCAGGCAGGTTCATCGCTTCCAGGCATTTCACAACCGAAAAGAAGCATGTGATGGATCTGGTGTTGGTTTGCAAGGGGTTCAAAGGAAACTAAATAATTTAAATATTAAAAATAATTTTCGTTCCAACCAATATAATGTTCCTCGTCAGCATCTAACGGAAAAGCAGTACATAAATAAGTATCGTTCTTTTCAATCCGAACACTTGGCATTCGAAGATCTGTTGATTGAACACCTTCGAGAAGGGTTTGTTGTTTTTGATGGTTAAAGTGAAACCATGCGAGACAAGGGTAGGTTATTGATAGAGACAGTAAAAATATTGTTGGAAAAAACATTTTATCTAAAAATTCAAGGTTTTCCAGAAATGTTGTTAACATTTGTTTTTGTTTGAATGTTTTCCGGAAAACTGGAAACATATTTAAACTTTAAATGTTTTCCGGAATGTTGGATAAATATTTCTCCTACCGTAAATGTTTTCCGGAATGTTGTCAACGTTTGTTTTTGCCTTAATGTTTTCCGGAAAATTAGAGAGACATTTCTCAAGTTAAATGTTTTCCAAAATGTTGTTAACATTTGTTTTTGTTTGAATGTTTTCCGGAATGTTGGAGAAACATCCCAAGTTAAATGTTCTCGAAACGTTCTTATATCTTAAATGTTTTCCGGAATGTTAGAAAAACAATTTAGACATTCTAATGTTTAAGTAAAACACTCTCTTAATTCCCCGGAGCATTTAACGGACTAAAACATCATTAAAACATGCGCGCTCAAAATCAATAGAACGAAAACCAGTGGAGAAAAAGCTAAGCATTTTCTCTGTGGCACCGAGGCAAATGCCTAAACTCTCGCGTACATTAAAAGCAAATGAAAAAAATGTAAAGAGAGAAAGCCTACTAAAAAGAATAAAGAAAAGCTTACATTTTTTGTGGCTTTATCCCTTAAAAACTAGAAACTAATCGATTAGAACTACACGGCATTTCTTCGCAATTCTGAAACACGCCCAAAAAGAGGAAAAATTTTGTGTTACGTCAGAAAAAAAAAATAACGGAAATAAAAAATCTAGTTCAAAAATTTTTTAAAAATTATTGTAGTATCTTTGTTGTCAAAAAAAGAATTTATATATGTATACAATACAAAACTTTGTTTGGCTTAAAATAAACTTACTTGAAATAATTTAAAACTTGTGTATGTTTTAATTGTAAAGTTGTAGAGTAAACTTTTCTCCAAACATAGTATTTATGTTTACAGGAGACAAGTTTTATGTATTTACAGAAATTTGAATGTTTTTCCGGAAACTTTACATGTTTTCCGGTAAAACAAAGGATGTTTGTTTTAACGTGTTCACCAACAAAACATTCGAACATTCTTTCAAACTTAGATGTTTCTCCGACAAAACAAAGGATGTTTTGTTTAGACATTTACACCAACAAAACATTCCTTCCGGAAACTTTACATGTTTCTCCGGAAAGAATAATTAGATGTTTGCTTAAGTGTTCACTAGAAAAACATTCCTTCCGGAAATTCTACATGTTTTCCGGTAGAACAAAGGATGTTTGTTTTAACGTGTTCACCAACAAAACATTCCTTCCGGAAACTTTACATGTTTCTCCGGAAAGAATAATTAGATGTTTGTTTAAACAATTTAAAAGGAAAACATTACTTAATAAAACAAACAGAGATTTATCATAAAACCGGTTTTCAAGTTTTAATGACCAAATTTCGAAATAAAAAAATAAAAGAGGAATATGTTTAAAATAATTCGAATAAAAGCAAAAAAAAGTTTTAAGAATGTAATATAAAATGGAGGGATAAAGAGGCAGAAAAATGTCAGAAAAATTTTTTTTCGATAAGTAGGGATGCAATTTAAATTTTTCAGAACTTTAAATATTATTAAAAATAAAATTATTTTGGGACAAAAAAAAATTTTTTTTAATTAGAATCTTGTTATAAGTAAATTTGCGGAATCTTCTGTTTGTGTAATTGAGCTATTATTATTATTTTCAAAATCATTTATTAATTTTGTTGAATGTTGGTTATTTTTCTCTAAATTTACTAGTAATGTGACATATTCTAAGCGTGATCGAAGCTGAGAGCAAATACGCCTTAAAAATAAAGTTTCAATGTTTTAAGAAAGATGGAATGGAGAAAGATGGATGAATAATTGTGATGTCTTCTGAAAATCTCTCCGGAAACCTAAGTTTTAGAAAATAAAGTTTTCTGGAAAAACATAAGTTTATAAATTAAAGTTGCCGGAAAAAATTAAGTTTAGAAATAAAAATGTTTTCCGGAAAAACTTAAGTTCTAGAAAATAAGATGTTTTCCGGAAACTTAAGTTTATGAAATAGAGATGTTTCCGGAAAAACTTAAGTTTAAAAATAAAGTGTCATCCGGAAACTTGAAACATTTAAATGTTTGCAGAAAATAAAATGTTTTCCGGAATGTTTTTGTATAATTTCTCAACATACCTATAACGAATAAGTTCGGCTAACAATTCAGCATTTTTCCTTTCCTCTTCTGCACAAAGTTGTTCCCAATCAGTATTATCGTCGTCTTTTTCTCCATTTCTTTGTTCCTTGTTTGTTTGGCTTCCAACATGTTGTTTATTGTTGTTGTTGGGAACAATATATTTTAATGGTCGTTGTTGCGATAAATTGTTTGTAGCCCTTTGCGATTCTGTTAGCAAGTTTTGTTCAGATTCTGGTAATTTATTCCTCAACTGCAAAATCTAATCTTATGTTTTTAACGCTTAAAAATTAAATTTTTTTCTTTTCTTACCTCACGCAACTCAGACAATAACCGAACAATAGCTTTCTTTTCATCACCAATTTCATTTGAAAGTGACAATTTTGAAGCAATTAATTGTTTTTCTAAAAGTTTAGCATTTGTTTCATCAATTTCATCTTCATCTTCTTCTTCACAAAAATTTTTTTCTTCCTTATTATTATTTTTTTCTTCAATTTTTTCTTCTCCTTTTTCTTCTTTAGAAACTTCTTTAGAAACAAAACCTTCTACTACTTCTGTCAAATTTTTTAATTTTCTTTTAAGTACAGTTATGCCTGTTTGAACAGCCCACATTTCGTCTTCTTTTTGTTTTAATAAAACTTGTTGATTTGAATGTTGTCGCATTTGTTGAATCTAAAAAATAAATTAAATTCTCTATATTTTTAATTTATTTTAATAGTAAAATTATTTTTAAAATTTTTTACGTGTTCGTGCAAATATTCAAGTAAATTTTGTTGTTTAAGTATTTCTTCTTCAATTTGTTTAGAAGTTATAGGCATTTCCAATCGAAGTTCTTCAATGCTTTTAGGCTTAACGTATCTAAAAAACATTGTTTAGTTAAAATATAATCATGTTTTTAATGTTTTGGATGTTTTCCGGAATGTTTAAATAATTATAAAGTGTTTAAGAAGTGTTTAAATGCTTCCGGAAAAATTCGCTACCTTAAATGTTTTCCGGAAAATTCTTTAACTTAAATGTTTTCCGGAAAATTCGCTAACTTAAATGTTTTCCGGAAAATTCGCTAACTTAAATGTTTTCCGGAAAATTCGCAAACTTGAATGTTTTCCGGAAAAATTCGCAAACATAAATGTTTTCCGGAAAGTTGCAAACAATAATGGAAAATTATGTTTATGAGTTATTTTAAATGTTTTTCCGGAATGTTTGTATGAAAAGTTTAAATGTTTATAGTTACATTTTTTAGTTATAAAAATGTTTCTTATTATTTTCCGGAAAGGAAAATTGAATGACTTAAACGTTTTCCGGAAAATATTAAAAGAAAATTATGTTTCAATTATTAAGGAGAAACTTTACAAACATAATTAATAGAAACACATAAGGAATAAATAGGAGACTTTTAACGATTTATTTTCTAATAAATATTATATATCCCCAACAAAAATTGTTTTTAGTTTTTTTCTCCCCCCTATTTATAAATAAATTGTTTTCTTTCCTTCAGTTTTAACGCGCACGCTTCATTCAACCAAAAATAAATATACTAATATATTAAATATTTTTATTTATTTTTATATATAGTAGCTTCTCACAACGTAAAAAAATTGACCCTTTTCATAAATCAATTTTAACAATTAATTTTTTTTATTGACAAAAAATTGATTGAAATTTTAAATTAAATTTAAAATTTAATTTTTTGACTAAAAAATTTTTTTGTTTCATTCATTTTATTTATTTTTTAAATTTTTTTATCCTATTAAAATAAAATTTAATTTTTCAACCTTCACATTTGCAACAATAAAAATTTTCGAAAAAAATAATAAAAATAATAAAAATGGGAAATAATAATCAAAAAAAATGGATGATTAAATATGTCGCCCCCTGTTTGCGTCATTAAACAAAATAGTTTAATGATCATTTATCAATAATAATAAAAAGGTTCAAAAGTTTTCAACGTAAAAATCACTTGAAACTTTGCATGAATGGAAAATGTCTTTTCAAAAAATCTTTAAAAAGAAAGGAAAAAAATTTAAAAATAATAAAACATTTTTAATAGAAATGTTTTTGAATGTTTTCCGGAAAGTTGGAAAAGTTTCAAAATCCTTTATAAACATCTTTACGGTTGTTGAATGTTTTCCGGAAAGGCGAATAAATTCGAACATATTTTCACATGTTTTAATATAATTCTAGAATGTTTTCCGGAAAGTTGGAAACTGTTTTAAAATTATTTATAAACTCTTTTTACAATTGTTGAATGTTTTTCCGGAAAAACGAATAAATTCAAACATTTTTATACATGTTTTAATGGTTCTAGAATGTTTTCCGGAAAGTTGTAATTTGTTCACAACACAGATTAATGTTTTTTGATGTTTTTATTTAATGTTTTTCTTGTTATACAATGTTTTCCGGTTATTTAATGTCTTCTCATTATTTAATGTTTTCCGGAAAAAGTTAATAAAATATTTCTTTAGATTTAATGTTTAAAAATAATTGTATTTTCCTGATTAATTCAAGCGCCATATTAATTTATTTAACAATTATTACTACTGCTATTGAAGAAAAAATAGAAGAAAAAACAACAAAAAATTTAATAACATTTAATCGAATAGCTGGATGTCCAGACTTGGAATCTTTTCAACACCCTTTTGAGACGTTAGAAAATTCAGACAAAATTGGAAAAATAACATGTTTATGTGGACCTAGTAGAGAATTAATAAATGAAGATAATGAAGAGGTTGAAGATGAAAAAGCTTCAATTACTTGTATTTATGGCTCAAAATTGGAAGATTTAGAAAATACAATAAATTTAGCGAAGAAAGTAAACAAGTCAATTGAAAAGGTAAAAAAATAAAAGCTTAAAAACAAGTTCGAAACAAAATAAACATATTCCAAGTTTAAAATGAACTTGGAAGAAAACAAGTTGAAAAACAAACTTGGAAGAAAACAAGTTCGAAAAAAACATGGGAAACAAACAAACAGAAAAATTTTAAAATAAACTTGCAACAAAACAAGTTTGAAACAAATCAAGTTTGTTTCCATCACTTGCAGCAAAACAAGTTTGTAAAAACATGGGAACTAAACAAATTTAACTTGTTCGAACAATCAAAAAAAATTTTTTTAACAGATAATACTCAATCATGTTGACTTTGAAAGTGAAAAAGATTTGTTACAAATACTCTTAAAAGAAACTCAAACCACTTCAAATTTAAAATATTTGGAAGCGAAAAAATGCAAAAATCAACCAAAATTTACAGAAGAGAAAAACGAGAACAAAGAATTAAAACAATTTAATAGTTTAGAGTGGATAGTAATTGAAGAATGTTTAATAGAGGAAATGCCTATAAATTTATTAAAACGTGCGCCAGTTTTGAAGAGTCTGTCGCTAAGCGGAAATAAAATACATTCAATAAATGTACAAGATTTGGCTGCTAGCAAAATGAGTGTAAGCAAAATATTTAAAAAATAAACTTGAAATAGAACAAGTAGAACATGTGTAATAAAAACAACACTAAAATGTTTTAAATAAACTTGAAACAAAACATGCTTAAAATAAACTTGGAATAAAACATGTTGGAAAATAAACTTAAAATACAAACACAAATAAGCTTGAACCAAAACATGTTTAAAAACAATCTTTAAAACAAACTTGGAATAAAACAAGTTGAAAATCAAGCTCTAAAAATAAACTTAAATAGATTTTCTCCTTTTAAAGATAGAATCATTAAACTTAGCGGGAAATCTACTTTCTTTACAAATTGAAGCAGGAAGTTTAAGTCAACTTAAAATGCTTAAAAACCTAGAGATTGGTGAACATAATTTTGCTAGTACTCAATTACTTATAGAAATTGGGAAACTTACAACACTCGAGGTAAAAAAATATTTTTAAATAATTTTAAAGATTTTTTCAGAGTTTGGACATGTCACAAATGGATGGAATAGAAACAATAAATATTTTCTCAAATTTTGAAAAAATGTCAAACTTAAAGAGACTTTTATTAAGTGGATGTAACTTGCGCATGTTAAATAAATCAAGTTTTGCACAATTCCCAGCATTAGAAACAGTTAAACTTAGAAATATAAAGAAAAACTTAAAAACATGAAATCAAAAAGAAACATAAAAATAAACTTGGAATAAAACAAGTTTGAAAAAAAATAAACTTAGATAATAAAAACAAGTTGAAATTTGAACTTTAAATAAAACAGGTTGAACTTAGATAATAAAAACAAGTTGAAAAATTAAACTTGAAACAAAACAAGTTTGAAAAAAAATAAACTTTAAATAAAACATGCTGAAATAAAACAATCAAACATTAATATTTTTAAGTTGGATTTAAGAGTTAATTTAATTGGAGAATTGGAGAGTGAATGTTTTGCTGGTTTGGACAATTTAAATTCACTTTCACTTGCAGGAAATTATTTAAAGTAAAAAAATATATTTAACAAAAAATTAAAAAATATTTATTTTAAAGAGAATTACCATCCAAAATATGGAAAGATTTGCCAAATTTAGAAAATTTAGATTTAGGCTGGAATGATTTTCGGTCTTTAAATAAAAGTTCTTTTAAAGAAATTTCACCAAAAATAGAAAGAATAAATTTACGAAATAATGAAGTGCTTAAACAAATAGAAGAGGGAACATTTGATGGATTAAATGCATTGAGACATTTAAATTTAAGTACAACAATGTTGAGTAAAATAATAAAAGGACAACTTAATTTAAATAAACTTGAGGTTTGTGTTTGTTAATAAAATAAACTTTAAATAAAGAAAAAAAAAGTTTTTAGAAAAAAAATAAACTTGAAATAAAACATGTTGAAAAAATAAACTTGGAATTAAACAAGTTGCAAAAATAAACTTGAAATAAAACAAGTTGGAAAAAATAAACTAGGATTAAAACAAGTTGAAAAAATAAACTTGAAAAAACAAGCTTGAAAGTAAAATAAAACTTAAAAAAGAAACATGGAAAAAATTAAAACTTGGAAAATAGTAAAACTTGAAAAAATAAAATTGCAACTTGAAACATGTTTCAACTTAAATCAAAATTTTAAGAAGCATATCATTCATTTACAAAAAAAAATTCAAAAATTAAGGAATTAGATTTATCTGCATCAAACATTTCCTATATTGAACCAAATGCTTTTGATTCATTCAAATCAACATTAGAATCACTCAATTTAGCAACAAACAAACTTAAACATTTAGACACAAATTTGATAAATTTTTCAAATTTAAAAATGATCGATTTGTCTAATAATCCTTGGATTTGTGATGAAAAATTACAACACATTTCTTTATTTATTGAGGATAAATATAAAATAGCCGCCTCAGAAAAGAATGAATTTGAACTGCGCGAAGCACACAAAACTCAATGTGATAGGCCTTACATTAGACGAGGAGAATCAATATTTTCGCTTGTTGGAATTAATAGTAGCGAGTTGAGTTATAATGAGGGGGAGGATACAACAATAGCGACAACAACAAAAACATCAACAACGAATGGAGGGGAAGAAAATTTATTTGGAGGGAATAATGTTGAAAATGCTACGATAGACTGGAAAGCGGTATAAATTTTAAATAAGAAGATAATAAAGACATACAAACTTGAAACAAATGTTTGCAACCAACAAAAACATAACAGAATATTTTTAAAAACAAATAAAAATCAGAAAAACATTAAAAAAGACAGCAAATTTTTAAAATCAGAAAAACATTATTATAAACATAAGTACGCAAAAACAGAAAAACAAATAAACCATCAAAACATTTTAAAAACATGATAAAATCAGAAAAACATGTTTAAAAACGAGAAAACCAGGAAAAAGAAAAACATCAACAAAACAGAATATTTCTTAAAACCAGAAAAACATCCTAACAAAAATGACAATTCTGATTAGATAAAAACATCTAAACAAATCAGAAAAACATTTTTAAAAACAAATAAAACATCCAAACACAGATAACATTATTGGTTGGCAGCAATACAGACGAACACATAAATTTTACAAGTTTATTAGAACAGGACGAAATTGAAGATGCAAACAAACCAAAATATGATATTAATGCAATTAGATATGGAGAAAAATCGTTTTTACCAAAAAAGGAATTGGCTAATACATGGATTTCTGGTGTAACTGTAACTCTATTAATTATAACCACGGCGTTTTGCATTATTTTTGTGGCAAGGCATAAAAAGGTGGAAAAATTGGGGAAAAAAGGGAATTTTTTAAAAATATTTTTAGACCGCCCCAGACGAAGCAAAACACGAAGAAGTCAAAATACAAAAAGAAATAAAAGCAGAAGAATCACAAAAAACAACACAAAAACAATTACAACAACCAGAATTAACTCAAACAAACATTTTAAAAGAAACAGAACAACAACAAAAACTAAAAACATGTGAAAATTTAGAAGAAAATTGTGCAATTACTGTTTTTTAATTTAGCTTTTAATTTAATTTATTTAATTAATTTTTAGTGTGTTTATAATTTTCATTTTTTAATTATAAAATATTTTTTAGTCGAAAATAAAAATATTTGTCAGGTTGAGGTTCGAACCTTTGACCCAATATATTAGGTTATAAAGGAAAGAAAAACTATACTAACAATGTTCATGTCAGACAGTGAGAAATGTTCAGATTAAAGTTTATTTAATTGTTTGTTTATTTGTTTTTCCAAGTTTATTTTCAAGTTTGCGTTTTTACTAAAGTTTAGAAGTTTTTAATATTATGAAAACAAGTTTATTTAAGTGTTTGTTTATTTGTTTATTGTTTAAGTTTATTTTTAAAAACAAGTTTATTTCTAAAAGTTTGTGTTTTTGGTAAAGTTTATTTGTTTTAATTTTATAAAAACATGTTTCATTTTAAGTTTATTTAATTGTTTGTTTATTTACTTGTTTGTTAAGTTTATTTCTAATAGTTTGTGTTTTTGGTAAAGTTTATTTGTTTTTATTTTTCTAAAAACAAATTTCTATGTTTTACTGTGTTTTACTCATTAACTCAAAACATTATATAAACAAAAATAGAAACTCACGGCTTAAAGTCCACAACATCAAACAAAGCGGTTGTTGTAATAAATGTTTGTTGTTGTTCATTTGCTTCAGAGGAATTGTTGTTGTTGTTTTCACAAACATTTGTTGAGATTGAATTTAATAAAAATGTTTTGACTAAAGGTTGCGACAAATTAAACATTAAATGAAGCAAAACGCCTATAAAGAGAAAAATTTGGTAATCAATTAATTTTAAATTAAATTTAATTAAAAAAATTTTTTTCAAACTTTAAAAATTTATTTTCTAATTCTCCCATATTTATATGATTTTTAAAAATATTTTTTTCAATTAAAAAATTTTTTTAATTTACCTATAGCAGGCAAACCCATTTTATTTGAAGATTCCTTTAACAAATAAAATTTTTTCAAGACAAAAAATTTTTTTTAATTTTTACGTGTTGTATAATGAGATGTGCATGTCTGAATATATAACCCAAAAGATAATAATTTTCTGTAGGCAGTTGTAATAATAATTTTTTGAGCTGTAAAGCGCATTGACAGGCACAAACATTTTGATAATTACATTTACATTCTGTTGGAAAAAATTTTTTATTAATTTTTAAAAAATTAAAAAAAATTTTCAAGGGTCGGAAAAATTAAAAAAAATCAAAAAAAAATTTCAAAAAAAATTTTTTTTTAATTTTAAAAAAATAAAAAAATTTTTTCAATGGTCGAAAAATTTCAAAAAAGTAGAGAATTTTCAGAAAAAATTTTTTTATTTAAAAAAATAAAAAAAAATTTCAGGGGTCAGAAAATTCAAAAACCAAAAAAAAAATTTCCAAACCACTAGCAATTTGTTCAAATTTAGGTTTCAATTGTTGAGTCAAAATGTGTTGATTAAGAGAAGCCATATTTTCTGGTAAATGGTGCAAAAAGCGTTTAAGTAAACCTGCCGCTTCGTGGGCATCCTAAAAAAATAAAAATTAAATTTTCGAAAATTCTTCCAATTTTTAAATAAACCTGAAAAACTATTTCATCTCTTTTTTCACTATTAGCCATCAATTCGAGTTCATCCAATCTTGATTTGGGTGAGGATACGCGAAAAATGCCTTCCAAGTCGAGTCCTATAAAAAGAAAATGAAATAAATTTTGAACTTTATAGACAAATTTATTTTCGTGAAAATTTCCCCTTTATACTCTTTTTAGGGTCAGAAAATTCAAAAATTAGAAAAAAATCAAAAAAATTTATTTGATTAAAAATAAAAGAAATTCCAAACCACTAGCAATTCGAAAATCGCAACGAAAGAATTTAATAGCTAGTAAAATAACCAGACAAGGTTTCATGAGAATATGTTTATGCTAGAACGTTCACAAGAATAAAAATAAGTAAAAACAAAAAATATCAGGAAGCCGTGGATAAAAAGAAGGAAAATTGAGAATAAATGCGAGAGAAAAACAAAATTTGAAAAAAAATTTCAAAAAACCCCATAAAATTTCAAAAAAAAAATTTCGCGAAAATCCAATACTGCTTTGGGTGAGAATACACTTAAAATACCTCCCAAAATACCTACTACTTTCCAGAAAAAATTACAAAAAATGTTTCCAAAACTGTCCCACTCTCCCAAAAAGATTTTTCGAAAAATCTCACCCAAAAAAATCCAACAAACCGTAAAAAGCAATATAATCCAAACATTCTCTGATTAAAGCAGGCACAGGAACTCCATCAAAAGAGGGGTTGTTTTTAACAGCTTGTGCAAGCGGAAGTTTGAATAATTGAATTCCTCCAGTTTTGAATAATTCATTTGTTGTTGTTGTTGTTCCTTTTTTGCTTTTTTTACTAAATAAATTCATATCTATAATCTACATATTTATAATAAATATCTGAAAATTAAAAAGAAAAAAAAATTAAAAAATTTCGTAAAATTCGTAAAAATAAAAAATTATTAAAAATACGACATTTGGCCACAAGGTATAAAATTGTTCATTTGGGTCAGACCCCAAAAAATTTTCATTTCGTCACAAAATGAAGGATAAGATGAAGGATGACACTGGATCGAAAAATCTCGTATACTCACTACCCTTTATTGACTACACTAGAACTAAAAAAATATTTGGTTTCTGAGTGTTCACAAAAATAATCAAAAAAATAATTTTTTTACCTCCGCAAAAAAACCCCAAAATTAACTCCTCTTTCAAAATTACTAAAATAAACAATATTTGATGAATGATTGTTGTAAAAAAAATTTACCCCAACTTCCCCCTCATTCTTAACACACAGAAAAAAATATAAAAAATGTAAGTATAATGAATGTGCACTCACACTATATAAAATTAATATACAGGGTGTTTCAACTAAGAAGCACTATTTGAAAAATTAATAACTTTTTATTATTTTGACAGATTTTAATAATTTTTGGTATTTTATATCTATAATCTATAAGGTTTTTTTTGATATAAAAATTATGTCGAAATTCGAACCCTAACCCGAGATAATTTTGTACTCTACCGTTCTGTTTTTCCCTTTTTCCGCACATGCATTCTTACTCCGCTTTGTTTTTTACAAGGGGCGATAGACATTAGAGTAAACACTAGGCGATAGACACTACATTTTCAATACAGTATCCACTCTTCGCCATACGCAGGAAAATAAATGAAGTAAGATAGCACACAATGAAAAGAGGGAAAAAAGAGAACGGTTGAGTACGGATTTGAAATAAAGGGTTAGGGTTCGAATTTCGACATAATTTTTATATCAAAAAAAACCTTATAAATTATAGATATAAAATACCAAAAATTATAAAAATCTGTCCACGCACTAAAAAGTTATTAATTTTTCAAATAGTGCTTCTTAGTTGAAACACCCTGTATTTTGTGTTGTTGCTACTCTAAACAATTTTTAGCTGTGCACCAGAAATTAAGAAAAACGCCAAAAAAATCAGAAAATTTTAATTAAAAATTTAAAAAAAATTTCTGATTTTTTTTATAAATTTTTGAGCCCTAAAAATTTTTTTTGAGCTCTAAAAATTGCCAAAAATTGCCCAAAAAACACAGAAACCCATCCAAAATTACCACCCATTTTACTCACTTACCCCCAAAACATTCTCTTACTAAACACTAGCGTACTCTTTTATTTTTCTCAATGATTGGCCTGTATGGGAAAAAAATTTAGGGAGAGGGTTGGTTGACTGCTGGAAGGAGAAGAAAAAAAATAAATAAAATTGGATAAATAAAAAAATATTTTTAGGGATATTTCACCCAAATTAAACAAAAAAATTAAATTAATTGGCAGCAAAAAAATTATTTTTCAAAATTTTATTAATATCAAAAATCAGCTTTTGTACGCATAAAAATTTAAAGTGAAACATTTTTATAATATATTATGTTTCTGCACATTTTAATCACCCAGATCATGTTGAGCAAAATAACAAGAGATTCTTAAAAGTATAGAAAACATTATAAAAACATGTATTAAATGTTTTCCGGAATGTTCAGATTATATTAAAATGTTTTCCGGAAAATATAAATATTTTTAATAGTTTTTCCGGAAACTTATTCTTTGGTAAAATGTTTTCCGGAAAAATAATAACATTTCTAATAACTTTCCGGAAACTTATTTTTTGGTATATAAAATGTTTTCCGGAAAATATAAATATTTTTAATAGTTTTTCCGGAAACTTATTCTTTGGTAAAATGTTTTCCGGAAAAATAATAACATTTCTAATAACTTTCCGGAAACTTATTTTTTGGTATATAAAATGTTTTCCGGAAAATATAAATATTTTTAATAGTTTTTCCGGAAACTTATTCTTTGGTAAAATGTTTTCCGGAAAAATAATAACATTTCTAATAACTTTCCGGAAACTTATTTTTTGGTATATAAAATGTTTTCCGGAAAATATAAATATTTTTAATAGTTTTTCCGGAAACTTATTCTTTGGTAAAATGTTTTCCGGAAAAATAATAACATTTCTAATAACTTTCCGGAAACTTATTTTTTGGTATATAAAATGTTTTCCGGAAAATATAAATATTTTTAATAGTTTTTCCGGAAACTTATTCTTTGGTAAAATGTTTTCCGGAAAAATAATAACATTTCTAATAACTTTCCGGAAACTTATTTTTTGGTATATAAAATGTTTTCCGGAAAATATAAATATTTTTAATAGTTTTTCCGGAAACTTATTCTTTGGTAAAATGTTTTCCGGAAAAATAATAACATTTCTAATAACTTTCCGGAAACTTATTTTTTGGTATATAAAATGTTTTCCGGAAAATATAAATATTTTTAATAGTTTTTCCGGAAACTTATTCTTTGGTAAAATGTTTTCCGGAAAGTTTATTATATTAGAACGTTTTCCGTAAAGTTTGTTTATATTCAAATATTTTCCTAAATATTTTTAACAGTTTTTCCGGAAACCTATTCTTTGGTAAAACATTTTCCGGAAAAATAAAAACATCATTAATAATTTTCCGGAAAACATAAATGTTTTTACTAAAATATTCCGAAGACCTATTCTTTGGTAAAATGTTTTCCGGAATCGCTCAAATATATTAAAACATTTCCGGAAACTTATTCTATTTTCAGAAATGTTTCACAAACATTTTTTAATGTTTAAGTTTTTCCGGAAAGTTGTATTACTTTAAAATGTTTTCTGAACAACTCAAAACATTTTTATCTGTTTTAATGTTTATCAACAATGTTTAATTAATTAAAAAACAAACTTACATAGTGATGAACCAACTCAATTCATATATTTTATCCAATTCATCCTCATCCATTTGAGATCGCCATTCACGACATTTACGGCAAAAATCACGCAATCGTGCAACAACATCTTGAAGCAACGGCTTTTTAACAACCAACAATAATGCATAAATCCATTCAAGAATAGCACGGCTATGTCCATTTTCGATTACATACTTGAAAAAACAAATAAAATTAGTGAAACAGAGAATTTTGAATAAAAAATCAGAAACCAGAATATAAGGTCAGAATTTAAAAAGAATTAAAATCAGAATTAAATTAGAAATCAGAATTAAAAATCAGAACCCAAAATTCAAAATTAGAACCAGAATTTAAAACCAGAATTAAATCATAAATCAGAATTTAAAAACAGAAACAAGAAGTAATACCAGAAATCAGAATAAAAAATCAGAACCAAAAATTTAAAATAAGAAACCAGAATTAAAATCAGAATTTAATTAGAAAATCAGAATAATAAATCAGAATTCAAAGTCAGAACCCAGAACTTAAAATCAGAACCCAAAAATCAGAATTTAAAATCAGAAAAACATTATAAAACAAATAAAAACATAACCAGAATAAAAGAAAAACATGAGAAAAGCATAGGAAACATTTCAAAACAAACACGTTCCCAACAAAACAAAAAAATGTTTTGTATAAAATAAACATAAATTTTACCTCAGTTTGGTGCATAATAAGATGATTCACCTTAAATTATTAAAAAAATTTTTTGTTGTTAAAAATAATTTTCTTACCAAATTATCATTCAAACATCTAACCAATCCCAACATTGGAGGTATACCCTTATGATGTGCAAATTTTTCCAATTTTTCTTTGTCTTCCTCTTTAATGTCTAATTCTGGAATTCTTCTTTCAAAACATAATTGACACCAACCCTGTGAATCTCCCTAAAATTTAGAAAAAAATTAAAAAAAAAATAAAATTACATCAAAGAAAGGTAAGCCGTCGGGAAATAACCGAACCTGTTAATGCTAGGCGCTTCCCTCAAGAAGTACAAGTTCAGGGGGATGACTTTTAGTATTTAAAGCCTAACCTCCCACACCTCCTACTTAAACAGTCTAAAAGTTAGACTTCCCTTCCTAAAGTAAATTAAGTATTCAAAATCAGAAATCATAATTAAAATCAGAAAACTTTCATAAAAGAAAGGAAGATTATTATATGTATTTATGAATTCAATTAAAATTCATAAATATAAAAATAAATCATTCAAAAAAGTTTTTGTCCCATGGCTGGAAAGTATCGAATTTCTGGCTCCCCTTATACTTACAAGGGAACATATGTTACTGTGAGTACAAATTTAATAAATTTTCTGGTACCATTCGATAGAGGACCCTCGATTTACTATTGTTTTGTGCGGGTTTTCTTGCAAAATTAGTTTGGGCCGAGTTATGGCCGTTCAAAGTTAGACCGCTAGAGTCAGGAGTTATAGGGTAAGAAAACAATTTCTCTCTTATTTTTCATACTCAAAAAACGGACACACCCATCTTCTCTTTATTTAGTGTCTAACATTTTTCCTCCCTTTTTTTTCCTTCGCGTCTCTTGCGTTCTCTCTCATTGTTGTAAATCAATATAAAGAAAGCAGAGAGAGTGAAAAAAGGACATAGTTCGCTCATTTTCTCTCTTCTCTCTTATTTTTCATCCTCAAAGAACAAGCCACGCCCCTTCTCTTTGATTATTGTGTCTGACATTTTCTCCCTTCTTTTTTCCTCGCTACTCTTGCATTCTTTTTTCCTCTTTATAAAATAATGTGAAGAACGCAGAGAAGTGAAAAAAAAGTTATAGCGCGCTTATTTTCCCTCTTGCTTATACTCAATCAATCCCAAGGACTGAAACTTTGAACGGCCATAACTCGGCCCAAACTAATTTTGCAAGAAAACCCGCAAACTACAAGAGTAAATCGAGGGTCCTCTTTCGCATGGTACCAAAAAATTTATCAAATTCGTACTCACAGTAACATATGTTCCCTTGTTAGACAACTTATAAAATTAAAATAAACCGGTGTAGGAAGTTTAATATTAGCCAAAATATCTGGAGGAGCCTTCTTTTCTTCCAAAAGTGAACGATTCAACGAAAATTCATTGACCTTAAAAATAAATTTTAATAAAAAAAATAATTCTTTTCAACTCCAAAAAAACCTTTGCAGTTTTCCATTCGCTATCTGGACCGAATCGAGTAGTAAAAATTTCAAGTTGATTTTCTAAACAATTTGTGATTCTTGAAGTTGTTGCACTTGTTGAACTTTGGGCCATAATAAGACTTAAATTTGAAGCAACTGCAATAGCTGGTTGTTGACTACGATCAACAATTACCTGAAAAAATATTCTTAATTTAGAAAAATTTGGGGAATTTTCAAAAATTTTTTAATTTCATCAAAATAAACTACAAAAATTTCTGGTTTAAATCAAAAAATTACCTAAAATAAATGCAAAAGTTTTTTAAAAATTAAAAATTTTTTTACAAACTACGAAATCAATCCAAATTTACAACTCGATTATTTATTTTTGTATTTATTTATTTATTTAGCTAGTATTTTATTTAGAAAAGAGAATTGAACTAGTGGGTAATTAATAGCAAGAGTAGTGTGTGTGCCCCGGAGAGATCGGACCGAGTCGAAGTAAAAATCTAATTTATCGAAATTTGTTTGAGATAAGAATGTCGATTCTCGCATGACCCTCCCAGTCCGATCTTTAGTGCCAGAAGGACAGGAAAGAAAGCCTCTCTGCCTAACCATTAGGAAAAGGATGATAATCAAAAAATATGAATTTTTTCGATTTCAGTCTTTGCTTTTTTCTTGCATCATTTTTTCTAGATTTTTTCAAGTGTGTAGCAAAGATGCAAGAAAAAACGGGGCAGGATCCCTCGGGATTAATCCCGTAATCCCGTTCGTCGCTTAAAATATGGGATTTCTAAAATTTTTTCTTGCATCCTTACTACAATAAGAATAAAAAAATAAAAAATAAAAAGTACTAGGGTTTCAGAATAAAAAAATTTTTTCAAAATAAAAAAAGTACTAGGGTTCGAACCACCTAATAAAAACAAAATTAATTTACTTGTTTCAAATATTCCTCAGCAGTCATTGCAGGTTTATTCAAATCCACTCTTCTTGGATCAAAAGGACCCACATCAAAAAATTTGCGTTGGTGTTGATCCAAATCCATAGGTTCATCACTATCATCATCATAATCCATTTTTAAATGAATTTTTAAAAAATTATTTTTTCCCCACTAAAAAATATTAAATCAAAAAATATTAGAAAAATCATGACGGACACAGGTTTCTAAAAAATTTAAAAAAAACTACAAAATTTCAAGAAAATGTACTCGAAAATTGTATCCGAAAATGTGTACCCGATAAAATTTAAAAATTGTATCTTCCATGATTTTTATTCAAAAAAAATAATTTTAAAAAATATTTAAAAGAGGTAATTTAACTCTTCCTTTTTTAAATAAATAAAAATTTTTAAAATTTTATTCAAAAATATATTTTTGAGATGAAACAAAACTAAATGGTATATAATTTAAGAAAAAATAACAATTTGAAAAAAAAAACACGTCTAAATAAATTTAAAACCTTTTTCAAAGCACCAAATTTCCTTTTTGGACATGCAATTCTAACAATTTCCAAGCTGTTGCTGGATTAAATTCTTCCATATCTCGACAGAGTACCCAAACGTGATGAACCCGTATTGCATTATTCTGATTAAGAAAAAAATTTTTTGGGAAAATAGTTAACACTATAGCAGAACATAGAGAACGGACCGAGACCAGATCCCGATCAAAATCTCGGTTTTCGTACGACACTCCCAGTCCGGTCTCCAGTCGAACATTTTATTTTATAACGGAGGGGTACCCTGAAATGAGAGTATCTCTTGGACAGCCCCTCGATCCAATAGCAAAACCAAGTTCACATAAATGTAATTTTAGGGGTATCTTATATAGCGAGGACCCTAAATTTCCCCCAATAATTGCTAGAGAAAAAATTCTAAAAAAATAAAATTTCAAACCGGATCTCCTTCAATAACTTTTCCTTCTTTATTTTTTAATACGTGTATCATAAAAACTTGAAATGTGATAACCAAAGTAGGCCCTTGATCCATCATTTTTCCTGATACCATCTGTTCACGAAAAAAAATTTTTTTAATAAAAATTTCTAAAAATTTTGTAACCTCAACTTTGCTAACATCAATAATTTGTGAGTCAAATGTATTATAACCAATTTTAGAATATTCATTAATGCCTTGAGAGATCATTTTGAAGGCCTAAAAATAGAAAAAATTAAACAATAGACAACAATAAACAAAAATGTTTAGATTTTATTCTGATCTTTTTTTCTTAATCAGAATAAATGTTGTAAATTAATTCTGATTTTTTACAACAAGTTTTAACAATATTCTGGTTTTATTCTGATAATAAAATTAAAATGTTTTAATTTAATTCTGGTTTTATTCATTCAAGTTTTAAAAAATTCTGATTTCTTACACCATGTTTTAAAAATATTCTGGTTTGCTCTTTTATTAAGTTTATTTTTAATGTTTTAATAAAATTCTGATTTTTGATTAAAACATATTCTGATGTTCATTTCATGTTTTCTGACCAGAATATTTGTTGCAAATTAATTCTGATTTTTTACAACATTACAAAACAACAATAATATTTTATATTTTTGATGTTTTGATAAAATTCTGATGTTTTAATAAAATTCTGATGTTTTATTAAATTTTCAATACGTTTCCCCCTACATGTTTTTTTAAATTAAAATTAACTCGCTCTTTCATAACACCAATCGTTCAACACATCAACATTCATTTGTATAACTGCCTCCAAAATGTTTGGAATCATTTCTTTTTCACAAAACCTAAGCCAATTATGTTTATTAAAGTTTGGATCAACTTTAGATATTTCTGTCAACACTATGGAAACATCATCTTGTGAAGCTAGAAAAAAAAATAAAATTTTTTAATAAAGAATTATTAAAAATACAAACTAAATGCAAGCTGAATCCTTTCCATTGTTGAACGAACACCACGAAAAACAATATTTTCACTCTCATCAATACGCATTTTCCAGTCCAAAAGTTCTATGTTAAAAAAAACATTTTCATTAATACATTGTTTTAATTTAATTCTGATTGTCAACATGTTATAAATTTAGTCATACAAATGTTTTTATTATATTCTGGTTTTTCTGATCTGACTTTTATTAATTTTAATCGTAAATGTTGGGATTAAATTCTGTTTTGTTTTTATTTAATTCTGGTTTCAATTTTATTCTGATTTTATATGGTTTCTTAAAGTTTCAAACATATTCTGATTTTAATAAAATTTTATGTTTGAAATAAATTCTGATTTTTTTCTAATGTTGTAATTTAACTCTGATTATTCCCACACAACTGGAATATCCAAAGGAAATGTTCGGTTTAAATTCTGATTTTTTTCTAGTGTTGTATTCTAATTCTGATTATGTCCTTTTATTATCCCTAATGTTTTAATTTGTTGGAAATAAATTCTGATTTTTAAATTTAAACCTATTTTTCCCAGAACAAACTTGCCCAGTTTTAATGTTTAATTTTTATTCTGAAAATTCTTACTATTATAATATGGATTAGATTCAGAAAAAGCTTTCCAGCCAGAATACCAACGCGATTCTTTATGTAATTCTACTTGAGTTGCATCGCTGAATAAATAATTTTTAAAAAATATTGTAAATTAAATTCTCTTACAGGTTCACATCTACATGACGCTGAGCAAATGAAGAAGTAAAGGAATCACTTCGCATTCTCAATTCTTCTAGAAAAAAACTAGTTTTTTTTGTAAGAAGGACGATTTTTGTGAAATAATTATTTTTTGGGAGATTCATTATTTAAAAAAATTAAGTTCGAATCTAGAGAATGGTATAGAAAATCGTGAATTCCAGATTTTTTTAGGTTCGGGAATTACCGATTCCCCAAATCTTACATTAAATTTATTTTTATGCCGGCTAGAACACTGGTACATTTCACAATGATAAGTAAACTGGAAAACTGTCCTTTTTCCCCTTTCAAAAGCCCTATCTTTGGATAAAAGTTAATTTCCTAGAATAAAATTTCAAGGAAGTTTGGGCAAGAAATTTAAGGGAAGATGGAATAAAAAAAAAATTAAAGAAAAAACCAGGCTTTGAATACATCCGCACATCTGCCAGTTTGTCAATTTCAGAAGCTGTATTTGCCACCTGTCTATAAACTTGTGTATCCCCAACTTGTTTTGCTACTTGTTCTGCAACTTCAGCTGCTGCCTTTAATTGTTTGAACGCATCCTGACCTATCTGACTGTCTTTTATGCTTACTGCTAACTTTAAAAAGCCACAATTTATTGAAAAATAATGAGGTAAACCACAGTTTAGGATCCCCCTTTTTGCTTCCCCAAGTCATTCCTTTATTCTTCCCTCCTCAATTTCACTCTATTTCTCAATGGTTTATTCTAGAGTAGCTCCCCGTCACCCGATCCAAAAGTCAACTCCGACCCCGAAATGCCCTCTCCGGTAAAGCTCAATCCCTGACACTTCCGACACCGAAGGCTTAAGGAGCTACCCTAGTTTATTCAATAACATTAATAAAAAAAGATAAATTCGAGGAAGGAAGAAAGTTGGGGGGAAGGAATACCCTAAACCTTATAGTTAGTTTACCCATATAATTAACAACCTTGTTAACATAATCGGAAAATTCGTTTAATTGGTGTTTAATTAATTCAGTACTGGCATTTGATTCTTTTTGAATTTTCATCTAAAAATAGGCAATAGAGTTAAAATTATAATTTAAAAAATACATATTTTTCTTTAACAGACGTGTCAGCGAGCTTTTTCAGTCTTTCTTCAAGTTGCTTCTTGTTTTCCTAAAAAAAAGCAAACTTTTATTTAGTCAATTTTTAATAGATTTCACATGTTAAAAGGTAGTACGATTCCTCGGACGGATTTTAAGAGGTCTTTAATGTCCCCAGAGCCCAGTCAAGTCATTTTTTAGCTTACTTATTGTTAGCTTGTCCTCGACTACTAGCCCCAACCTCAATGCCTACAAGCTTACCCAGGATACTGCAAAAGTCAACTAACGCATTTCATAGGTAAAAAGGAGAAAATAGACGTTCCAAAGCAATTTTAGGAGGCTGAGTAGTGCTTTAGTAGTGAGTCCTGAACTTCTCGCTAGGAAGAATTGCCAGCCTTACCAGTGTAAATATCCCAAGCTATTCCAAGACTTGCTTAAAAACATAAAATATAAAAAACAAAACCTGTAATTCTTTATTTTTTGCCATTTCCTCTTTGATATTCTTCATAAATTTGCCCGCAATACTTTGATAATTTCGGCAACAAGTTCTAGATACTCTGAATAACGTTGCAAAATTGTAGGAGAACATGATGATAAACACGAAAAAATAAATATAATCTGAAATAAAGACAATAAGGAGGAAGAAATTTAAGGAAAAGAATAAAAGAGGAAAAAATTTCAAAAAAAATTTCAAAACCGTTACGTAAAAAATAAAAAAAAATAGGCGAAGAAATCGATTTTTAACGGTAGACCAAAAGTCTTTTTTTACTTCTTTTTGACTTTTTGAAAAATTGACACTTTAACATTTGACACTTTAACAAATTCAGCTGAAAAATCACATCACATAAAATAAAAGTGGAAACTAGTGGAAAATTTTTCAAAATATCTAATTTTAGAAATGTCAATTATTGCTAATTTAAACCGTCTGGCCCATGTTATAAGTTAAGTGTCTATTATTTTTGTCCCTTATCAAGTCTACAGTTCTTTCAATTTTAAGAAATTTTAGGAAAGCGTCTTTAAACGGAAATTGAATTTTGTAAAATGCTAGGAATTCAAAGTATTTTTATTTTAGACATTTTGAAAATGGGACATTTTTAGAGTTGGACGTTTTTAAAATTGGACGTTTTGAAAGTTGGACATTTTTAAACTGGGGCATTTTAGTAAGTAACTGAACATCCAAAGATCATTTTTCGAATTGGGTTCTATTTCTGACAATATCTGACAAGAAACGTTTTCTGTTTTTTACTTTCTAGCTGTTGTAGGTTCAAGTAGAAGTAACCTGATCTCGGTCCCATTGTTGCCAAGTTACTGAGGACTCCTTAAATTTAAGTAAATACCCAACTTTTACCGTTTTTAAATCTTACCCTTTTCTGTGTCTTTATTTCTCTGACTGGCATAAAAAATTAGGCCAACCGAAATAAATTTAGTTATTTACCAAAATGACATTCTCCTCTTCATTGCAACTTTTCTTTTTTTCTCTCCCAATTTCTTTTCATTCTCTCTCATTTTAAGGCGGGGCTAGTTGACAGCCTATAAATTTCGGCGCGTTTCTTCTCTCCCTTCCCATTCTTCATTTATTTTCCTTATTTTTATTATTTCAATTTTCTCCCTTTATCCTTTAAAAAAAGCTCTTTAAGCGGCTTTAAAGTGCTTTGAATTAAAGTTGCTTTTTACAAAGGATTTGCGAAAAATTTTTTTGTAAGAATTTGTAAGTTGGTGACTTGCAAAATTTTTTATCGATTTTTTCTTGAAATTTATTTTCGGATTTTTTGACTTTTCCGTTCATTTCTTCGTCTTAAAATTAAAAAAAAATTTTTTTTCAGATTTTTCAAAATTTATTTTAAATGACTGAAAGTGAGCTTCTCACCAGAAATCCTCAATCGACATTACACACACCTCATCAACACAGCCAGCAGCAATTACAACAACAGCCTTCGACGTCTTTATTGCTTAACCCTCATGTACGAATTGAGTCGAGGCCTGAAACTTTTACAGCTTCAAATTTGATCAATGTATTTTTTAAAAATAATTTTTTTAAGAAATTAGGGATGTTTTTTGAGTGGCTCCCATTTACGGATGAAAATAGTAAGATAAAAATCCGGGCCGTTCCTCTCCCGGGACGTTCCTCTCTTCTATAAGACACGCCCCTTTTTCTTTTCCATTTCTTGTAAAACTGACATGTGGGTCAATTAGAATAATTTTAAACTTTTATCTTGACTTTTTGTAAAGTTTATTTTAAACCTGATTTGTTTAGAATTAATTTTTTGGCATTTTTTTGAAAATTATTATTATTTGGGGGATTAGTTTTAAAAATCGAGACATATTTTTAGCATCTGTAAAAGTGTAATTTATATTTAAAAAAATTTTTTTGGGGACTTTTTTAAATTTACAAGGTTAAATCATAATTTAAGAAAACACCCTTTTCTTGAAATTTAAGTTTGGATTTTTTGTATTTCCGCAAGATTTTGTCCGCAATTTTTGAAAGTCCGCAAAAGCTATCCGCAAGTTTGAAAATTTTACAAAAACTGTTCGCGTGTTTGTTAAGTCCGCGCGAAATTGTTTGCAAGTTTGGAAAGTCCGCACCTTATTGAGAAACCTTTTTTCATCCAGATATCTTTTCTTTTTTCTTTTTATTGTTTTCTTTTTCAGTCTTTGGAGACTAATTATCATAGCATTGTTGAACGTTTTGGCAATTCACCACTTACAGAAACAACTCAATATTTGACAAACAATATTATTGACCCTAAAGAGGCAAAACATTTAATAGATGGATTTCTTTGTGGTGTTTTGGTTGATGCACCAAATGCTGAAAAGGTTTGGGGTTTTTTAATTATAATAGGATTTTTGGCTATGTCTAATTTATGACTCTGATTCAATAAAGTTTCAGGAGTCCATTGAAAATTTATGTATTCAAATAAAATTCGGAGTTCCATTGGACCAAGTGCATAAGCCAGGGGATCGATTTCAGTGGGGTCTAAAATTGGGTATGCGCCAAAAATTGGCGTTCCTAGGCAAATTTTTTAAACCATATTGGTGGTCATGAAATTTTTAACATTTTTATGGTCATAATGTGGCCTCCCCCAAAAATTTTTTGTTTCCACATTTCAACTTTTGATCTATTTTTAAATTAAAAAAGCATTTTTTTCTAGCACTTTACCTGCATCAAAACTTTAGCAATTTCAACTGATCAATGGATGAGCCTTTTAACTTCATTCAATATTTTAACTTTGGAATGTTTTCCATTTATGAAACATTCATGCAAACAACAACTTTTATATTTTATTGATGAAACTTTAAAATTACAACTTAGAACAAATTTAGACTCTTCTTTTACAAATATTTGCAGAGCACTTTCTGATGGTTTTTTAAAATTTTTTTTTGTTAATTTGGTTGGGATTTGTGAGGTTTTTTTTTTGGGATTGCAATTTTGCTCGGACTTTATTTTGCGAATTTTTTTTCTTTTTTGATTCCCTTGCCTTTAATTTTTTTACCTTAGGATTTTTTGGGATTCGTAAAGATTTTTTTGGGCTTGCAATTTTTGCGGACTTATTTTGCGGATTTTTTGATTTAGAGTCTCTTGCCTTTGTTTTAGTTTTTTTGATTTTTGGGTTCCTTGACAAATAGGTATATGGCTTTGATGACTTTTTTTCAACTTTTTTTAAAATTTCCAACGAGGTGGATTTGTATTAACAATTATGTTTAAGAACAAATCTAAATCTCAAAAGTTTTGCAGACTTCCCTTTTGCGGACAGAATTTCAAAAAAAAATTTTTGGAAAAATTTTTCAATAGGCATAATTGGGTTAATTTTGTCTCTTTCCTGACATAATTCGAAGTAAAACTCCAAAAAATTTTTTTCTCAAGTTTTTTACGTCTAAAAAATTATTTTTTTCAAAATTTTTTTAAGTTTTTTATGTCTTAAAAATTTTATTTTTTTTTCAAAAAATTTTCTTTAAGGCACAGATTTCAAAGAGACTTGTCAAATTGTCCATCAATTTGCTCATCGTTTATTATCTTCACATCAAAAATTGGCAACATTTCCTCGAAATTCTTCATTTCCACCAACAGCATTTGCCTTATTTTCTCGTTTTATTAGTGATGCTCAATTAGTTGCGAATGCTGGAGTTATGAATTTGGAAAGTTTTAAGGCGCCTTTAGTTGAAATTTGTGTAATTTTGGTTTGTTTTTTTAATTTTTTAATTAAAAAATTTTTTGGATAAGTATATGAAGGGTTATTGGGACATTAAAATTAATGTTTTCCTATTTGCGGACATAAAAATTTTTTTGCGGACTAAAAATTTTTGCGGACAAATATAGCGTTTCAATATTTTTTCTATGGGCTCATATTTCTTTAACTATTTTCTTTCATTTCTCCATTATTTTTTCTTATTTGTATAAATTTGTCCAAAGTCAATGACTTATTTTGGGTCCAATTTTCATATTTAGATTGTTGTAGTTTCATAATTGTCATCGGAAACGTTCAAGATTGTGAAAACGGTCACGAGCTTGAATGAAAATTTTTTAAAATGGACAAAAAATTTTTAGTCCCGACAATTATGTAACTTACGAAAATCTAAATATGAAATCAGACCCTGAATACGCTCTCGACTTTGGGACAAATTTATACAAAAAATATGCTAAAAATATTTAAAATATTCGCGATACAATTTTAAAAAATTTTTAACATTTTTCCAACAGGTTCGTGAACGTTTTCCCGATCTTCTACAACTTGGACACGATTTGTTTTTACTATTATTACGTCTTTCTAGAGTTTCACAATTTGTGCCTATATGGCGTACTTTGTTACACAATCCATCTGCTATGGCCCCTAAATTTAATGGTAAAAAATTTTATAATTAGAATTAATTTAAAAACCTTCCCTGAAGTGTCCTCCATGAATTGGGAAAAAAATTTTTTTTGAAAGATGATCGGATATAAAATATGTATAAAATTTGCGCCTGAAACACCAAAGTAATGCCAAAATTTCCCCATTTTAGCTTTCCCTTCCCCTCCCTGAAATCGACCCCAAGGCTACGCCCTTGATTTTCTTTAGAGCTTGTGACGGGATCCCGACTGTATTTTCGGGATCCCGATCCGTGTGTTTTGATAAAAATCGCGATTTTTGGGATTTTGATCCTGAAAATCCTGTCCTGGTAAAAAATTAATAAATCCCGTAACGGGATCCGGATTTTTTCAAATTCCCAACTCTAATATTCATGTTGTTTCCTTAAACTTCGTTAGAATTTTCGATGATTTCTGTTTTTTTTTTTGAATTTATTCTAGCTAATTTATCCTTTTATTTTCCCTTTTTTTTTAAATAAAAATAAATTTAAAAATAAAAATCAATTTAAAAATAAAAATAAATTCTTTCCTTCATTTTCTTTTTTTTTTCAAAGGTTTACAACAACTTTTGAGCATTCCAACTTCAAGTGGTCTTTTATCTCACAGAGTTAGTTTAAGAATAAGCAGAAAAATGGCTGAAATTCTTAAAAATCATATTCGTATATCTTCTTTAAATGCTACAAATCCTTCATTGGCAGCACAATTAAAATCTGAATTAAATAAACAGTTTGAAGCGTTGAAAGCTATGGTTTATTTTTTATTTATTTTTTTCAATTTTTTTTTATTTTTTTTATAAAAAAAGGGGGAGGGGTGAAATGTTTTTTTTTAAAAGATTAAAAAGGTTGATAAGAGAAGGGTGAAACCACTAAAAGATTTAAAATTGAGATTAATTTTAAATTTTTTTTAGAATTTAGTTAGAGGGATGGGTAAAGTTGAGAAATAAATGGCTGGTCGTGTTTCGGTTAGGTTTTTCAAAAAAAAATTTTTTTAAGTCCGAAGTTTGAGTTTAAAAAAGGTTTGGGTTTCGGTCAACTCTATCCATTGCGTTTATTTAACAAGGGCTCAGTCAGAGAGCTCAGGGGAATGGGGTTGAGGGGAATTCCTTCCCCCCCTCTGAAATTCTTCCTTGGCTTCGCCTTTGGTATTTAGTCTTTTCTTAAACCTTAAAAGACCTTTGTATATATTTTTGTTAAAATTAGTTTTGGATTTTTTTTTATTTTTTAGCATTTGAGTGGACCTGACAGTGGCAGTATTCGTGCAGAAATTATTAGGCATGTTTGGGCATTTATTGAGCCTAAAGAGTTTAATCCTCATTCTAATGAAGCACGTGCTACACTTCTTGGATGGTTATTACGAACAGCTAAGGTTTGAATAATTTTTTGAAAAAATTCTTAAGCTATTTAGAATTTTTAGAAATTTTTTACATTTTGAAATTTAAAATTCATAAAAATTTCAAAAAAAAATTTTTTGAAAAAATTTCAAAAATTTTTTGAGAAATTTTTTTTGGAATTTTTTGCAAAATTTATCAAAATATTTTTGGATAATTTTTTTAATCTGCAAAAAGATTTTGATTTTTAAATTTTCAAAATTTTTTGTCGATTTTTTTTTTCGAAAAATTTCAGAAAATTTCTTTTTTTTATTTAAGCCTGGCGCAGAACTTCAATGGTGTAAATTGTCATTTTTTTGGGAGTGGTTTGGTTTTGATCCATCTATACCCAATTCACATTTGGCTGCTGAACCAGTAATCTCTACACTTCGACATTTATTAAATACAGGCCATACTCCTTTGGGAAATTCACTTGTCGATTTTTTGATTAAGGTTTGTTTGGATTTTTTAAACATTTAATTGAAACGATTGTTGACGGAGAAAAACTCGGTGTGACATTTTTGAATAGTAAGATTGTTCACGAAAATTAACCAAGTAGTGGAAAATTAACAACAGTGTTTAAGAATGTTTGATTTTTCTTAGTTTATGCAACTTTTTGTAAGATGATTAGTTGTAAACCCAAAACAAGTTAACCCTATTATATACAAGGAAATCGGGACAAAAATAAATTTCCCGAATCGGGAATTTCCGAGCCAAAAAACGTCGGGAATTCCGATTTTGGTAAATCTGTTTGGCGGGATCCATATTTAATAATAAGGTGTGTTTTATACTACGAATCAAGAACTTAGGTTTTTTAGCGATGAAAATGGAAAAAATCTGGCATCTTTGCACCTTAAAAGTTCAAAAAATTTTTTGCCTCCCCAAGCCCCCTTGAAATCAGCGCCCACTGGCTACGATTCTTCCACTAATTTTAAGAGTCGATTTGTTCAATTCTATGGTGATATTTATTTAAAAATGGAGGGTTTTATAGCTTTACTTACTAAAAAAAAGTTAAATTTTTCCGTCAACAGTTATTGTCAATACCTTTCTTTTTACATTATTGTTTATTTTTATTTTCAGTCAACCAGCGTTCTTTATCCACCATTAAATTTCTTTTTTGTAAATTCTATCACTGCAGCAATGAAATCATTGGAAACGACTGCTTGTTTGTTAGTTTTTTTTTTATTTTTTTTTTAATATTTTTATATATGGATTTTTTTATTTGAAATGTGTTAGGTTTATTTTTACATTTTTGTTTGTGATTATTAGGTGAAACTAAAATTTTATATTTTTGTGAAATTGTGTTGAAGCATTTTACTAATATATAAGTTAAGCGTTATACTCAGGGGGGGAGGAGGCATACCTATACTAATGTGCTTATCAGGGATCGCGCCGATCCGATTCACGATTCCCGAAAATCGTGAATTCCCGACGATTTTTGGGTCGTGAATTCACGATTCCCGAAAATCGTCAATTCGAAATTTTCGTCCCTGGTGCTTATTATAAAACAAAGATACTTGTAAGCGTGACCTTGTTAACAGTATTTTTTAATCACATGTGTCCGAATCACTTAATAAAGACTCACGAGAGACACTTGCGGACTTTTAAGTTAGGAGTCGGTTGATTTTAAAAATCTGAACAAATAACCTATTGGCAATAAGTGTATTTACTACCCACACCAAAAAAAATAATTGGAATATCCAGTTTTTTTTAATGAATAGTAGTAAGTAGTAGGCCACCCAGTTAGCTCTTTATTTTATTTTCTGGGTTATAAAATCACTTGAAATTAAAATTTATTTTTTTTATTACAGGCAAGTTTCACCAGTCTTTCTTCACAGCAAATTAGACCAAATATTGCGTGATCAATTTCGTTCAACTTTTCCAGATTTTTTTCCAAAACGTTTAACATCTATAGCAGATAATTTGGCAGCTCCATCTTCTATAATTGATTTTGAAGCTATTCGGAAAACAACAACAAATTCATCTACAAGTTGTACAAGTTTAGTTAATAAACAATCAAATGTTGGTGTGACAACAGAAAATTTGATGGAAAACGAGAAACTCGAAAAAAATGTTTTGATTAATGGAAGAGTAGTTATGGGTGGAGGAGTAGGTGGGGGATCAAATGTCGTCTCTAGCAGTACCAATGAATCTAAATTGTCAACAACTTCAAGCAGTACAGGGCAAATTAAAGTAGAACCTGAAGGTGTGGGAGGAGAAGGTTTCGGAAAAAATTTAAAAAATGTTGGAGAGAGTGTAAGGGAAGGAGGAAGAGAAATTGGTGGAGGGGGGACAGCAGGAGGAAAGGAAAAGGACGGAGGAATGGGAGGAGGAGGAACAATTTTGAGAACAACTTCAGGAACTCGTAGACCTTTAACTACATCAACTTCATCAATAGAAATATCCACTTCCCCTTTAAAGAAAAAATTAAAAAAAGAGGAAGAAGCTGGGGGTGGACGTTCTCCTCAACTTGATAAATTTAAAAAAGAAAAGAAGAAGGAAGAAAAACAACAAAAATTATTGAAGAAAAATGAAGGAGGAGGAATTAATAATAATTCGAAATTGACTTCAAATTATGTTGCTGGTGAAACAGCAACAACGAAAAAATTGGGTAAAAATTTATGTGTTTTTAATTTTTGACAAAAAATATTTAGTTTAGGGATTTTTAGAATATTTGGGGACCTTTCCAATTTGACCATCTATTTCTTTGGGATTTTATTTTTATATTGGTTCTGGGTCGGTTTTTTTTTATTGATGTAAACTTTCGAGTATTTTTTGGGGGTTTTTGAATATTCAAATAGACCTAAAAAAGAGGCATTGACCAGAAATTGAATGAATTATAGATTCTTATAGACCCAGTTTGAAATTGGGCCTGGACGTAAAAATTTTTTTTTGGCTCTTTTACACAATATAGGCCTAAACTAAGTTTATACGTCCAATCAAAAAAATTTGATTTTTCTTTATACTTTGAAATTGGGGTTGGGTTCCGTAACGGTTCTCTTCATGTTCGGAATAGATTGAACGTATATTGTGTAATAGACTCGAAAAAATTTTCATTTTAGGAAGCGAACTAGCAGTAAAATCATCAAAAAGTGACGATTCTTTACAATTAACAATTGCTGAGGATGAAGAGGAGGAGGAAGAAGAAGAAGATAATGAGAAAGAAGAAGGAAATGTATGGGAAGACGAGGATCAAGAAGAAACTGAAGAAAAGGATGGTGAGGATGATGAAGCAGACTTACAAAGTACTTCAAAACGTTTACCTTTAACTTCTCTTTTACCAATGGTTAGAGAAGAATTTCGTGAACATTTGGAAGGAATGTTTAAAGCAATAAAGAAGAAGCAACAAAATTTGTCTTTGGAAGAAGCAATTAATTCAATGCAGAATTTGTTGGATAGTATTTTTGATGCGGTTTGTTTGTTGATTTTTTAAAAATAAGAGAAAATGGGGGTTTTTTAAGGAATAGGTATGGATTTGGAGTTGACACATACTAGGAAAATTTTTTTAATAAGGATGATGGTTTTAAAATGTGGGGGAAATTATATATTTTTGGAAACTAATAAGAAACACTATTGAATTGACAGTAAAAATTTTTAAATAAAACTTATATTATCGTGTAGAGTATAGTCGATAACCTATTGCCAATTTTTGGCTCTTTTTGGCCCTGACCCCAAAAAATCAAAAAGTTATAGGGAGCGGTTACTTTTGGAGCGGTGAGTCTCCCCATGCTCCTCACGATGTTATAATTTTTATTCAATGATTTTTACTGACAGTTCGATAGTGTTCCAGTGAGGTTGAAGTTGGATTTTTTTGGGTATTTTAGAAGGTCCCAATTCTTCTTCCAAACATTTTCTTTTTTCCACAGTTAATTTTCTGGTTCTAGGGACTAGTCTTCTAGCCTCTTTTATTAGGAGCAATCATTTGCTATTTCATTTACTTTAAAAAAAAATTTTTTTGCTTTGCAGAATGAAATGGAATGTGACCAAACTGAATACATCGGCCTCTGTTTAATTAGAATTTTTGACACTTATTTGGAACAAACACAAAGCTATTTGACTTGTCAGGAACCTTCTGAAGAGTTTGTTTTTTTTTTAAATTTTTTTAAATTATAGTTGGACCTCACTTTAAAAAATTTTTTCCATAGTGGGGTTCGAACCTGACACCTCTAAGTCTAACACTATCCCACTACATCACAAAATATGATTAATCGATAAATGCCGATTTGAGGTTTACCTTAAGGTTTTGAATATTGCCTAGGCAAGATTTGATCTAAATTTTCAAAAGTGAACAAAAAGGAGGGCTTGAGACACGCCCAATAACATTTTGAACATCTATAATTGTTTCTCTACCCAAATGTTCAACTAAATTTATTTTGAAATAATAAATTTGGCTGGACAAGGTACTGCAAAGCCTTCTTTGTTCAAAATTGTCGGATTCGGGGCGCTTTGGTATGGTTTGATTCAGCTCATCGAGGCGCATCGAACCATACCAGGACGTCATGGATTCGGCAATTCTGAACGAAGTTATAGCTCTTTGATACTTTGGGCTTGCAGTACCTTTGGGTGTTTCTAATTTAGATATCCTAATTTTTGGGGGATTTTGTAGTCATGTTTGGTTATATTTTTTTCAATTTATTTAAACAAAAAAAATTTTTTTTTTGTTTTTCAAGTGAAATTTCTGAAATAATGGAACAACCACTTTATCGTTTCTTCAAAACTTTGTGTCGTTCTGGTGAAGAAACAGATACAAGACAATTTCTTTTATCAATATTGAAAAAAATGATGGAAGAATGTAATCGAATTGGTTATTTATTTCTTTTCTTTCTTTCAAGTATTGAAAGAGAAAATAATGGAGGAGGAGGTGGTGTTAGTGGACGCTCAAGCAGATTAGGAAATAATGGAAGTAGTTGGCCGTCTGTTGACCAAGCTGTTGAAACTTACAAAACTGTGTGTCAATTAATGGATACTGAATGGGAAAAACAATTGGCTAAAGACCTTGAGGTTTTTTTTAATTTTTTTTAATTAATTTTTGACTAGAAAAGAATTAAATTGTCTTAAAAATGTCCAAAAAAATTATTTTTAAAGGGAATTAGGGTTTAAAACTTTGAAAAATCTCACAAAAATATTTTTATTTTACCCGATTTTTTAATTTTTAGATTTTTATTAGTCGATATACTTGATTTAAAAAATATTTTTCCTGAGTGGGATTCGAACCCGACACCCCTTTTCCTTCGAGAGCACAACACTTTCCCACTACACCACAAAATAGAATTGTGGGGCAAAGAGTACCTAGTTTTCTGAAAATTCAGAATTAATAAAAAAATGTCATAAAAATTTGGACTTGTTGCTTTTATTAGCTTTATAATGAGACAATTTGTGTAAATAATTTTTTAAAAATTTGCGGACATTTATTTGCGGACAACTTTAAAAAAATTTTTTTTAATTAATTTTTTCTTTTTTTTCCTTAGCAATGTTCATTTGACGATTACCAATTATTTTCCCATTTACTCGTTAATGTATTGTCTCGTTTAACACCTTATGGCCCACCAACAAAAGTTATGCGTTTAATTTGTGGTTCAATGAATACTCGCCTTTTGTCTCGTTTAATGAGTGAAATTGTTCGTGAAAATGTTGTTTTATTTGGTGAGGGAGATGTGCTTTCAATGTTAGTGGATTCGCTTAAATGGGACTCTTTAGAACAAATGATGCTTTGGCAAATGTTGCAAACGGAAGCTGTGGAGTTTGACAAATTTATTGATTTATTGTGAGGTTTTTTATTAATTTGTGGGGGAAAACTAAGTTTTTAAAATTATTTTTTGGGAATTTTAAGGAGTTAAACGTTCATTTTCTTGTTGAAAATTGAAGATAGTTCACTTAAAAATATTTTTTTCAAGAGTGGGGGTCGAACCTTACACCTCCCTTCCCTTAGAAAACCTAACTCTATCCCACTACACCACAAAATATATTTTTTGAACAAATGTTGCCCATTTTTCTGATAATGTTCTTTGGGTAACCGAAACTGTTACCGACAAATTTAATAGAAAGAATTCGGTTTAATACTGACAATTTTTTTTAAGATAGGAAGGGGAGTGTAGATTTGCTGATAAAATTAGCGGACTTTTTTTTTAGGAGAATAAATATGTATGTAAGGAAAATTTCATAATTGTTAAAAAAAATTTTTTTTTGGATGGTGTAGGATTAAAATTAATTTTTTTCTAGGCAAAGACTAAATTACAATCAACATCCAGAAGCTACAGCAGCCGTTATTGTTATTATGAGAAATATGGAACCAGATCCAGATGTTGCTATAATGAAAAGTTTACTTCGAAATTTACTTTTGAGACCGCCAAATAAAGATTTGTTTACTGTGGATGCTATAAAGGTTTTTTTCTTCGTTAAAAAAAAATTTTTTTTGATGATAATTTTATAGAAGGGTGTAGGAGATCGCCTCGTTCTAAAAATTAACAAAAAAATTTTTTTTGGGGTTTTCTAAAAATTTATTTTTTCTGAATTAAGTGGTTTGTTAAATTTAAATAAATAATTTGTGGATTTGAAAATTTTTTCTTTAATTTTTTGGGGAGACCAACGAATTTTTGTTTGGGTTTTTCTTTATTTATTTTTATTTTGAGACATTTGATCCCAAAAATTTTTTAAATAAAAACAACCGAAAAAATTTTTTTCTGAGAACAACTTTATTTTGACAATGAGACATTTGATCCCAAAATTATTTTTTTTCTAAAATTTTTTCTCTAATTTTTAAAATAATTTTTTTTTAATTTTTAAAGTTACTTATTGACTATGATGATAATATTCCACCAGTAGCAAATTGTATTAGTAAATTTGTGAAGAAAGCTGTAGCAGATGGTGATATTAAAGGTCCAATTTGTAGTCCAAAACATTCTTCTATTAAAATGGGGAAAAATCGTATATTGACTGCTGAATATATTTTTGGACATTTGGTTTGTTTTGAAAATTTTTTTTTAATTTAATTTGATTAAATTAGGATATAGGGAAAAAGACTCGGTCTCCAGAGGTGAGAGAGAGGAAAGGTGGGGGTTTCTTTAAGATTTTTTCATCAAGAACATATTTTAAGGGAATTTTTTTAAAAGCCAATTTTCTTCACTTTTTTCAGTTGTAAAATTTTTTTTTGATCTTTTCTGATCCTACCACCACATATTAAACTCCCACATAATTTATATAAATAGATGTTTGAAATTTGTACAATATCTATAAGCAAAGCATCTCTTATTTAGTTGAGTCTATCAAACTCGAATAAATCAAAAAATATAGTCCTAATGTGAGAGCTCTGGACCTTCGCGAGATCAACTATTCCCCTAGCTATAAAATTTTTTTTTATAAAAATTTTTTTTCAACTCGCGCCTTTTTTCTAAGAATTTTTTGACTTGTTCAAAAAAATTTTTTTTAATTAATTTTTTATATTTTTTTAAAGGATCGTTTGCGTAAATATTGTATGGAAAAAGAATCACAACGTGCCGAAAATTTGTTAAAAAATCAATTATTGTTGGATATGGCTTTATTAGTTAAAAGAAATGTCAAAACAATTGAATTGAGAAATAAATTTGATGAATTATTTGCTTTATTTGACATTTTATTGGAAGATGAACAAGCTACAAATGGAGGAAAACAACAACGACGAAAAGCTAATAATAAGGTTATAAAAAATAAAAAAATTAATATGAATGTTAGGTCGTTTGTTAATTGGTGATGGATAGATTTGTTGTAGTAAAGAGAGAGAGAGGGAAAGAGTTTAGAGAAAAAATAGGGTTGTTTTGCAATAGAGAGGTGAGAACATTTTTCCGGAAAACATTAAAAACATTAAAACTTGACCGGAAGAAGTTTAAACATTAAATAAACATTTTCCGGAAAACATTTAAAACATTAAAACTTGACCGGAAGAAGTTTAATCTTTGAATAAACATTTTCCGGAAAACATTTTTTTTTTTTTTTGAAGTGGGGAAGCGGAAACCTATGAGAGTTTTGTATACAACCCTATTTTAAAAATTTTAAAAAATTTGTTTAACGAGTGAGAGAAAGGTTTTTTGTGGAGTTGATAGAGTATTATAGAATTTATCTAGAATTTATTTGAAGAGAAAAAAAATATTTTTGATTAAAAATAATAATAATATTTAATATATTGTTCAAAATTTTATCATTTTGATTTTTTTTGTTTTACATTCTCATTTTTTTGAATTTTTTTTTGAAAAATAATAATAATAAAATAAATATATTTATCTATATTTTAATATTGTGATGTTTTTGTGTCTTATTTTTAATTTATTAAAAAAATTTTTTTATCAGTTATTTAATTTTGTCTTTTTTTGTTCTTGTCGTTTTTTCTTTTTTGTCCTAGACTTTAAATTTAAAAAATTGAAAAATTTTAAATTTATTAAAAATTATAGTTTTTATTTTTTTCCAGAAAATTGACGGATCGCCGACCAAAAGAAAGCGTAGAGCAAATAAATCAAGTGAATCTGATGAAGATTAACTGATAAGAATTAAAAATTTAAAGATAAAAAAACATTTGGTTTTATTTAGGAAAATATTTTTTGTATTTTACATATATTTGTTGTAGTAATTTTGGTTGTGTGATCTCATGTATTTTAATTTTTTATTCAAATCAAGTTTTTGCATATTTCTCTATTTGTATTATCTCTAAACTCTTATGATGGGGTGATGGTTGTATGTATAACCTCAATTTTTCTTTCCCTCATTATTGTCACTTAAACATTTTAATCTCTATTTATCACTGCTTTTGAGTGTTTGTTTCCGGAAAACATGTTAGAGAACATAAAACATTTCCGGAAAATGTTTAAAATAAACACGGAAACATTAAAACATTTTGGAAATGAATTAAACATTTTCCGGAAAACATGTTAGAGAACATTAAAACTTTTCCGGAAAAACATCCAACATTAAATCTTTTCCGGAAAAATATTTAAACATTATATAAAACACCCAACTTTCCGGAAAACATCTAAACATCGTAAAAACATTAATTTTTTAAAAACAAAAAGTTTCAAACTTTATAATATTTTGATTGTTTTTAATGAATAAAAAGTTTATTTTATTTGTTCGGAATTTTAAGGATTATTAGAGTCTCATATTTAATTTTAATTTTTTTTCTTCTAATTTTATTTTCTAGATAATGTGAATTAAATTATTTGCTCAAAAAATGCCTTCATTCTTTCAATTACTGGCCAACAGCGGGATCAGTCCTCTAGTACCCCCACACTCAACAACTTTTGCTTCCCAAAAATTAAACTCTACTGAAGGGGGTTGTTCTGACGACGAAGAAGAGAAACACAAACTTGTGAATACCTGGACTAGACGAAAATGTATTTGGAGGTGGAGGAGGAGGGTAGGGAATTGTACAAAGGTGGAAGCATGTTTCAGACTGGTTTCTTGTTTTTGCTTCACAATTTTGCTAGTCATAGTAAGCAATTCTTGAAGCAATTTTTTTGAAACATTCCCTCCTAAAAAATATTTTTTTCAGTCTTTTCTTTATTCAATCGGGTGGAGTTGGACTATTGCTGATCTCACATTTGCTGATGTTCCTGCTAGTCGTTCAAATATTAGAATAGTGGAAATTGAAAGGCTTTGTTCTCAAAATACAAACAAAACAGCCACCAAAGATTGTTGCACAGTTGTTGACATTCTGGACTATACGAGGTGTTTTATTGTTTTTACTCTAACTTTCCGGAAAACACTTGATGTTGGGGAAAATGTTTTGTGTTTTCCCTGTTGTTTTTATTTAAGAAAAACGAATTTTCCGGAAAACATTTGTTTTGTTAAAATGTTTAATGTTTTCCGGAATTTTTAATATTTAATGTTTTCCGGAAAGTTGAACAAACATTAAATCTTTCCGGAAAAACATTTTTACTTTAAATGTTTTCCGGAAAAACATTTAATGTTGATAAACTTAAGTTTTCCGGAAAGTTACTCAAACATTAAATCTTTCCGGAAAAACATTTTATTTAGATGTTTTCCGGAAAACATTTAATGTTGTTATTTTGTTTGAATGTTTTTCCGGAATTTTTAATATTTATTTTCCGGAAAGTTAATCAAACATTGAATCTTTCCGGAAAAACATTCCTGAAAACATCTAGATATAATGTTTCCGGAAAAACATCTAAATTTAATCTTTCCGGAAAAACATTTTTATTTACATGTTTTCCGGAATGTTTTATTTCCCCCTTATCTTTATGTTTTTAATGTTCAAAACATGTTTCCAAACATTTCAGTAAAACAGCTCGTCGTGCGCTTTTCTTTGGCGTTTTTGACGGGAAGTTTTCAAGCGACTTTGAGTCTGAGGTTGCTTTAATTCCACAAAAAGGTTTTTTTATTTTAAATTTATTTATTTTTAATTTCCAAGTAATTTACAATATTTTTAATTCGGACACTCGTCTTTGGAATATTGACCATTTTACAATTTTAAATGAATATGTTGCTGCTATGGCTATTTTACCCTTTGTTGTTGGCTCTCTACATAATGACTTGAAATTGAATATTAATTCAAACAAGGTTTTAATTATTGGACTTGGTGGAGGGTCTCTGGATATGTTTTGGCATAAACGATTTCCTTGGGTATTTTTTTAATTTAATTTAAATTTTTTTATTCTATTAAAAACATTATATTTAAAAAATCCTATATTTTTTAATAAGATGGATATGCCTTGAATTGGGGGAGTATAGTTTCTCCGTGTACTCTTTCGCTTTTCATCTTTTGCTGAATTTTTGTTGTTTTTGCTTTTTCAACTCTGTTTCGGCAACCTTTTGTCATACCCAGTAGAGCTGTCCGAGACTCTTGGTCTTGGAACCAAGACTTTTCTTGGTTTTTTTCAGTCTTGGTCTTGGAGTGTTTGTCTTGGTCTTGTCTTGGTCTTGGAGTGTTTGTCTTGGTCTTGTCTTGGTCTTGGAAAAAATTCGGTCTCGGACAGCTCTAATACCCAGTGGTTAACCCAATTTTTAATTAAATGAATCTTTAAAATTGAGGCGTATTTAATTTTTGGGAGTATTTTATATTGTTTTTCTTTCCATTATTGGGTCTATTTAAAAAATAAAATCCGCTTTGTTTAAAAAAATTTTTTTTAAAGTTAAATATTACAATATTCGAAATAAATCCAAATGTTGTTAAATTAACTGAAAAATGGTTTGATACAGGTTTTTTTAATTTTAATAAAATTAATTTATTTTTAAAATTAAATAGCTAATGATGACACCAGACACGTTTTTGTACAAGATGGAATTTTGGCTTTTAATGGAAAATTGAATATTGAAAAAGGAAGGAAGGCTGTGAATAATAATGGTTTTTTTTTTTTAAATTTTTATTATTTTTATTAAGGCCACGAGCCCTTAAGTAAGTATTTCCCCCTCCCTCTTTTTTCTAAAAAATTTTTGGATTTTTAAATCACTGTTATGAATAAGAGACATTTAGACCTTTAAAACAGAAATTTAAGAAAATTTTTAAATACGAGCTTTTTAAACACATCTATAATTTTGTGGTTAGCAAAGCTTTAAAAAAGTTTTAATTTTTCCTCAGATTCTCAACTTTACGATGCCATAGTAATCGATGCTTGTGACCCAATAAAAAATGCTTCAATTAAAAACAAAAATAAAAAACAACAAGAAACTGACTTTCAACAACAAATGCCATGCCCCTCCTCCAATTTAATTTCCCCAGCATTTTTGGGATTAATTAAAAGAAAATTAACTTTGAAAGGGGTTGCAATATTTAATTTATTACCTTTGGAAAATGAAGAAGTTAATGTTAAAAGATTTGTTCAGAGAAGATTGGCAGCACATTTTCCGACTTGTATTCGATATAAAATGGCTAAACAGTCTAATAGTTGGTTTTCTTTTTGATTTTTAGGGGGGGAGGGTAGAGAAGGATGGGGAGAAGGGTTGTCTTGGGGTCATATTTTTGTGTCATAACTTTCTTGCTCCTTAACCGATTTGTGTAAGTATTATACCAAATGAAGGCTATTGATGTACCGATTATTTTTCCAGAAAGGACTGATTAGATCCAACCACTACTTGAAAAGTTATGACCTGATAAAGATAGGAAATCCCGATTTTCCGCAGTTATCAGTTCATAACTTTGTGGGGAATGGTCGGATCTAATTAATCCTGTTAGCTAAAATAATCCTTACATCCAGAGCTTTCGATTGGTATAATAATTGTTTAATTCGGTTAAGAATCCAAAAAGTTATGGTTCAAAGTATGACCTTAAGTTGAAACAGTTATTCTTAAACGGCCTCTACTTTGGGTATATAATTTTAAAATCGATATTAAAATACACTAAAAAATTTCTTTTAAGCTTCTTTTCAATTTTTATATTTTTATTAGTCAAAATACTTCATTTAAAAAATATTTTCCCCGAGTGGGATTCGAACCTTACACCCTTTACCAGTCATATCCTAACATTTTCCCACTACACCGAAAATTCCAAAATTTAAAATTTATGCCTATTTCGGTCCTCAACCCATCTTTTGATTTTTTAAAGTCTCTTTCTATAAATCAAATCAATTTCTTAAATTTTTTCTGCAGATATTCTCGCTTGTCTTCCCTATTCAATCACACAACGTCGAAAATCGTCAAAAGAGCCAACTGAACTAACAAATGAAATGTTCAATTTTTGGAAAATACGTCTGGCTACATTAATACGTGAATTTGGTTTTAAAGAGTTGCTAAATGATTCGACTTTAATGAATTTTTGAGTTTTTTTATGAAAATTATTTGGTTGTGCGCCATGAGGGTACATTTGAGTCTTGGAGAAATAACGACTCCTGAGTCCCAATGAATTGAGTCCCGGACCCTATAACTTATGAAGGGATGGTCACTTTTTTTTGCTCTTGGTACCATTTGATAGGGCATTAAATAGGCTACAATATACCAAAAAATCAAAATTCCTGACTGACTGGTAAAAAAGTTGTGATCGATAAAGTGCCGAAAATCAGATTTTTTTTGAAAAAGGTTAGTTCTTCGATCATAACTTTTTTACCAATCAATCAAAAATTTTGATTTTTTGGTATATTTTAGTCCATTTAATGCTCTATCAAATGATACCAAAAACATTAAAAATTATCGACCCGAACTTGAGTTATAGGGCCGGGGCTCAGTTGAACTGCTCCGATAATGAATGGTTCAAGGAGGTTATGCAAGACTCTAATGTACCCCTTCCACTAATTTTCTTAATTCTGAGACACAAATTCTGATCCCTAAAAGAAATTCTGATTCCTCAAAAATCAGAATTTTAGACCAGAATTTTATACAAAAAATCAGAATTTATTCCTTTTGGCGTTCTTCGAAAATTTTTGGCGCACAGCCCTAATTTTAAGCATCTAGTTACTTTAATAAGACAATTCAGGGTTTATAATCACCAGAGGTGGGTCGGAATTCCAATTTCCGGCAGGACTGCAGTAAACCAACCTTTTTTAGATTTAAACAATTTATATGTCATTCGAAAGAGCTCGTCGAGCTGAGTCGAACGACATTAAAATTTTTCCGCGGACTCGACTGTGGGCCGAGATATAGGTCCCCGAAAATCGAAAAATCATAGGGGGGACCAAGCACTTTTATGGGGGTGAAAAATTCGAATATACAAATAATAGCTCATTCGAAAGGGCTCGACGAGCTGAGTTGAATGACACCAAAATCAGCACGATTGGATGATTTTTGACAAAGTTATGACCAACAGAATCTTCGCTGGAAAAACTGTTTTTGTGCTGCTACGGAGGGTAGGCCGGGCATGGTCTTCGCTACACGATGGCCGTGCTTCGCTGCGGTCGTGCTCGCTTCGCTCGCGGCGACCGTAGCGAAGCGGCGGCCGTCGTTCCGCTCGACATGCCCGGCTTCCTCCGCAGCGGCAAAAACTTTCCGCGTAGACCCTATGTAGGGGGTAAAAACAAACGGTCATAACTTTGTCAAATCAAGTCAGATTTCGTTGATTTTGGTGTCATTCGACTCAGCTCGTCGAGCTCTTTCGAATGAGCCATTATTTGCATATTCGAATTTTTCACCCCCATAAAAGTGCTTGGTCCCCCCTATGATTTTTCGATTTTTGGGGACCTATATCTCGGCCCACAGTCGAGTCCGCGGAAAAATTTTGGTGTCGTTCGACTCAGCTCGCCGAGCTCTTTCGAATGACATATAAATTGTTCAAATCTAAAAAAGGTTGGTTTACTGCAGTTTAGCCCAATTTCCGAAAAATGTTTTTGATTTCCAAGTTCCGACTTTTGGGCAAGTTTCGATTTCCGGCTCTTCCGATTTCCGACACCTCTGACTGTTCCGACCCACCTCTGATAATCACACATACATCTGGTCATACAAAATCTCTTTTTATTTTGTGTTGCCATGAATGTGTAGTTTTTAAATATTTTTTTTCAGACTCTAATGTCAACCTCTTTTTTGACATTCTTTTTAAAGGGTACAGCCCGGCGCGCGGCCATAACGGCGCTAACTTGCTTCAAGATTTCCGAATCTTACCAAATTTATTATTAAACGATTCCTCTCGTCGAGCTAAAGAGAATGGTACTAAAATTGATATGGGCCGGAAATTTTCCAGCTAGTTATGGCTTTGCGCCGTTATGACCGCGCGCCTACTTGGGCCTGTCCCTCTTTATAATTTCCTCCCAGCTTTAATTATATTTTAAGCCATATATTTTTTTGAATTTTCTTTTACAGCTTTCTGATTATATAGATTTAATTATGGGTAGGCGATTTTTCTTTCTTGCGTCTTGACTTTTCTTAAAAAATCGCCTAGCTCTTAGTTAGCAGCTTTCTTTTTTATAATTTTGATTCGAAATTTTTGACATTCAAAATAAAATTTATATTTTTTTTCGTTTCACATTTTATCGTACAAAAATTAAAAACAAAATATTTAGAAGGGGAGAGGGGCACATGTTTTTACTCTACAAATCACAGAAATAAAAAAAATTGACAAACTTTAAAAATTACAAAAAATGCATACAAAAAGGGTCATTTTTGCGTATTTCATATCCTTCTTTAAATATTTTCCAAAATTTTGTTTAAAACTGAACAGTTCCATTCTTTTTTAACGCAATAGCATCTAATATAGCTTTGCGTTTAGCATGATAACGCGCTTGTAATTCGTGTAATTCTGATTCCATTTCTTTTTCTAAACGTTCTTTGCGTAGAAGTAATTCGTCTGTGCTCAATTCTTGTAACTTTGAAAAAATTAAAAATTTTTTGAAGACATTTTATATTAGGGGACGTTTCAGTCTCGAGGCCATATTTTGGGCCATAACTTTTTTGAACTTCAATATTTTCCTATGGTCTATATATCAATCGAAAGCTCTAAATGTCTCTAATATTTTTCCCAAAAAGACTGATAAGATTCGATCATTCCTTAAAAAGTTATAAACTGATAAGCGCGCGCAATCGTGATTTTTATCTTATTCGGCTTTAACTTTTTGTAGGATAACCTGATCAAATCAATCCTGTTAGTTAAAATAATCCTCATATCCAGAGCTTTCGATTGATATATAAATTATTTAAAAAGGTTAAGAACAAAAAAAGTTATGTCCCAAAATATAGCCTCGAAACTAAAAAGCTTTCTCTGAAATGGTCATTACTTTGGGAAAATTTTGTCTTAAACCCTTCAAAAATATCCTAAAAAAATTATTTTGCCCTCATTTTTAATTTTTATATTTTTATTAGTCAATATACTTCACCTAAAAAATATTTACCCCAAGTGGGATTCGAACCTTACACCCTTTATCATTCAAATCCCAACACTTTCCCACTACACCAAAGATTTAAGGAATTTCAATTTTTAGGCTAATCTTGTCTAACCGATAACTCGTGATTAAATGGTCCGTTTTTTATGATTTTGGTGTCATTCGATAGAGAAAAAAATTTACTACAATCCCAGCTTAATGGTCAGTTCAAGAAAAATTTTTTAAAAATTAAAAAAAATTTTTTTTCAAAAAAAATCACTCACAAAAGTATAATCTCCCTGTCCATTCATTGCCCGTTTAAAAGCATTAGATACATTACTATCTAAACTTGCTTGATTATAATCTTCATTTAATTTAATATTTTTCATTTCTTCATTTAATTTATTATTGTTTCCATTATTATTAATTAAATATGATGGTGGTGGGGGTAACGAAGTGCTATTGTTGTTGTTGTTGTTTTTGGTTAGTTGTAATTCTGAAAAAAATTAAAAATATTAGAAAATTTTGGTTTTATTCTGAAATTTATATTTTTTGGTTCTGATTTTAATTCTGATTTTTGAAAATTCTGATTCCTAAAGTTCTGGGTTTTTAAATTCTGATTTCTCATAAATTCTGATTTTTGAAAATTCTGATTTTTTTAATTTCAAGAGTTCTGGTTTTAATTCTGGTTTTCGAAACATCTGATTTGTCAGAAATTCTGATTCTTGAAAGTTCTGATTTTTACAAATTCTGGTTCTTCAATAATTATGATTTATAAAAGTTCTGATTTTTCAGAAATTCTGATTTTCAAAAATTCTGGTTTTTAAATTCTGATTTCTCATAGATTCTGATTCTTCAAAAATTCTGAGATTCAGAAATTCTGGTTTTAAATTCTGATTTTTTCAGAATCCCCTCTCCTCTCCTCTCCCCTCCCCTTACCATGTCTAATACTCTCCCCATATTGTATCAAGGTTCCATCGTCAAAATTAGTTAATAATGTATCATTATTATTAACTCCACTACCCATAGTTTCTGAATTAATTATTAAACTATTTTTGGTTGAAGAATTTTTTCTTTCTGAATTTGAAACCATTGTTGAATTTGTATCGAATTCTGAAATTGAAGTTTGCTGTTGTTGGATGTGGGAATATTGCTTTAAAAATAGAAAAATTTAAATTCTGATTTTTTTTTCAGAAATTAAAAAAATTCTGATTTTCTGAAATTCTGATTTCTGTTCTGATTTTTTCAGAATTTCTGATTTTGCTCAGAAACCCAAAATCAGAACAAAACCAGAATTCTGATTTTTTTCAGAATTTGATTTTATTCTAAAATCAAAAAATCAGAACTTTTAATAAATTCTGATTTTTAAAATTTTGATTTTTCGAAATTTTTTTCAATTCTGAAATTTGAATTCTGATTTAAATTCTGATTTCAATTTCTATTCCTACAATATTTAAAATTTATACCGCTTCTTGCAATAAATATTGTGCAGCAACATCTTGAGCATTTGCAATCATTTCTCTCAATACTTTTGCTCCTTTAGCCGATTTTATAAATTCGTGCTAAAATTTAAAAAAATATTTTCAATTAAGTGATAAAATTTTAAAGAAAATTGAACCAGGGGGACACTAGAGTCTCGAAAATTTTTTCTCTAGTTTTTGACCTCCCAAAAGGCATAAAAATTAGGAAAAATGTCCAAAAATGGGATAAATTAATTCAAAAATTATTTTATATATTTTTCAGAATAAATCAGAATTTTATTCTGAAAAATCAGAACTTTAAAGAAAAAAAACCTCGAGTAAACATTTAGCCGTTGTCCTCTCTTCCGGATTTTTAACCAAACATTTTGAAATTAAATCGAGAAATGACGGACTCCAATCCTGGGGAACTTTGAGTGTTGGAGGAGGTTTTGTGGGTATCATAAAAATTGCCTAGAATTTTTTTTTTGAAAAATCGAAAACAAAAAATACCCTCATTGGATGTATTTCTGCATGTGGAGGTCTTCCTTCGGCCATTTCTATAGCTGTAATTCCCAAAGACCAAATATCTGCTTTCATATCATAACCAACTTCTTGTATCAATTCTGGGGCCATCCTAAAATTTAAAAAAAAAAAATTTTAGAAAAAATTTTTTTTGATTGGATACCTCCCAAAGAGTACAACTCTTTAAGGGGTAAGCAGATCTTATCAGTCCTACTGGAAAAAATAATTAGCATACCCAAAGCTGCCAAATGAAATAAAAATTAGTTAAATCAGTTAAGGATTAAAAAAGTTGTGGTCAAAAATAAGTTCCCAGGTCAATCCCATGAAAGGTCAAATAAAAGTCAAAAACACCTCAAATTTAAATCCCTATAACTTTTGATAAAATTATCCAAATAATCTAATTTTTATGTCAATGAATAGAGAATTAAATTTACTACAAAATACAAAAGGAAACAAAATTTTAAATTAAAAAAAGAAAAAAGTTAGAGACCAAAAACAAAAATTTTGAGAGGTTTTTGAAAGTTTTTTAGTCAAAACATTTTTTGGTTTCCTCAGAAAAAATTTTCTTTCGACCAAATTTTATAGAGAATTAAATTCTCTATTCAATGGCGCAAAATTTATTTTTACTCAAAATTTTTAAAAATTAAAAAAAAAACCAAAAAGGGGTTCCAATAACAGTGTTTCTCTTAGCCATTGTATCAGTTATTTGCCCGGCCACTCCAAAATCTGCCAATTTTGCATTTCCGTCCATATTTAATAAAATATTTCCTTTAAATTAAAATTTAATAAAAATAAAATTTTCAAAAAAAAACCTGCTTTAATATCCCTATGTATTTTTTTCATTCCATGAAGATAAAAAAGCCCCAAAAGTGTGTCTTTTAATATTGCACTAATTTCGAATTCGTCCAAAGTTTTACGTCTTAAACGCATTATATCAGAAACGGAACCAGCACCGCAATATTCCATTACAATCTTTTTAAAAAAAATTTTTTTTAATTAAATTTTATGACGAAAACGAGCATTTTAGGGCAAAAAGTAAAGACTTGATTTTTTGGTGTAGTGGGATAAATTTTTGGAATTTGAGAGGAATAGGTCGCAGGTTCGATAAACAATGAAGGAAAATAATTTTTAACTAATTATTTTGACTAATAAAAATCCAAAGAAAAAAAATAAAAAAAGTTAGGTCAAAAAGGTATCAAAATTGATCTTTTGGTTAAGTTGGAAAATGTTTAGTTTTCAAGGGAAATAGGTCGAAGGTTCGAACCCCACTGAAGGAAAATATTTTTAAATTAACAGAAAATTATTTTTAAAGTTATTTTTTAACTTTAAACTCATAGAAAATATTAATTAAATTAAAAAAATACCCAGAGATCAGAATTTTTGAAATAACTTCCATAATATTTAACTACATGCCGAGAATCACATTGCTGCATTATTGTAATTTCTTTAATTATTTCTTGTAAGTCTGTATCTACTGGAACCTTTAAATTTTAATTACGAGAAAATTAAAATAAAAAATAAAACCATTTTAATCGCCAAAGATCGCCCACTTGCTTTATGTAATGCTTTATGGACTGACCCATATGAACTGAAAAAATGGAAAAAAAAATTTAGAAAAACAAAAATGAAAAATTTGGGACATAACTTTGTTATGGGACATGACTTTTCTTTATTCTTTACGGAATTATTTTGTCTATCAGGATTGATTTGATCAAATCATCCTAAAAAAAGTTAGAGCCTAATAAAGATAAAAATCACGATTGCGCGCATTTAACAGACCATAACTCATTAAGAAATAATCGGATCCTATCAGTCCTTTCAGGAAAAATATTAAAGACATCTAGAGCTATCGATTGGTATATTAATTATTTAACTCGGTTAAAAATTAAAAAAAGTTATGGACCAAAATAAAGCCTCGAGAATGAAACGTCTTCTACCCAAGATAGGACAAAATTTTGTGGAAGGCGGGAAAGAAAGCCTATCCCTAATGTAAATCCGAAAAAGTAAAAGGACACCCCCAAAAATTCACTTTAAAAATAAAAAATACCCTTCTCCAACTTTGCTGACAATATCAAAAATTTCATCTGGGAATTGATTTAATTCGTGTGGTTGTAATTTGAAGGAATTTCTATAAAAATTTTTTAATTAAAAAAAATAAAATTAAAAATTAAACGGGTCTGGTGTTGTCGGAATATGCTCATCAATTTCATCTTCATTATTATTTAACATTTCAAAATTTTTATTTGTACAATTTTGAGAAAATAGTTGAGAAGTTGAAGAATTAACTGAAAAATTAAAAAATTTAAGGGAAATTTTTTCAAAAAAAATTTTTTTTACACCTAGAAAAATTTTTTAAAAATTAAAAAAATATCTAAAAACATTTTAGACCGAAAAAGAACGAAATTAAGAAAATTTTGTTTTTTTGGTGTAGTGGGATAATTTTGGGAAATTGAGGGGAGAGGTCGAAGGTTCGAATCCCACCGCGGGGAAATAATTTTTAAATAAATTAATTTAACAAATAAACATATAAAAACACAAAAGAAGGAGAAAAATAAATTTTTTGGGATATTTTTGGACAGTTAAAGGAAGAAAAAACCCCCAAAATAGACGAAAACCCCTAAAAACTGTCTTTCTCAACAGTTTCAACGTCTAAAAATCAACAAAAAAATTTTCAAAGATTAGAAAAGGTTAAAATAAAACCACTATTGAATGAATAAAAACAAACATTTTATTTGTATAGTGGAAGAAACGAAAAAAGAAAAGGAAGGGGTTTACTTTAGCAGCGTGCTGGGAATAATCATTGGTATGGGGGGAAACAGTTGGAAGACAAAATTGATGAAAAACAAGGGGAGGAAGAATTCAAAAATTGGGGGAGATGAACACTAAACGATTTTTAATGTATTTTTAAATTTGGTGTCTAAAAAAGGTTCAAAAACCAAGGGGAAGAATCAAAAATTAAAGTCGCAGACTCAATTTTCTCATTTACCCCCTTATTGTCTTTTTGGTGTAGTGGGATAATTTTTGGAAATAGAGGGGAAGAGGTCGAAGGTTCGAATCCCACCGAGGGAAAATAATTTAAAAAGAAGAAAAATAAATTATTTAAGAAGATTTCTGGCAGGAAGAGGAAGAAAAAATTTTTTTTTCATGTTTTATCTTGTAAAAATTACCCAAAGATCAATAAATAGAAGAATAAAGGCCTATTAATGTATGAAGAATGAAGAGAAAATGAAGAAATTTTTTAATTATTGATTTAAAAGATTAAGCAATTCTATTGTTTTGTTCTATTTCCTTTAAAATTCTCTATAAAACTGGATTTTTCACCGAAGGACGACTCACTTAAAAACACTTTTAAAAAATTAAGAGTCCCAGACTCTAATGGACAAAAATTTTGTTAAAAATCCAAATAGCTATTTTCCCCTAAAAACACGTTTTTATCTTGTTTAACTTGCAAAAATTAGTCTCTAATAAAAAAATTTTTATTTATTATCAGAAAATAAACCAACCAAAAGGGGTATGAAACAGTTGAGAGCATTGCTGTGGAACTGAGATCAAATGTCCCATTAATCTTTTTTTCCTTTTTTCCTCTTCTTTTTTGTTTGTAGAGGAAGATAGAGTAATTTATTGACTATTTTTCTTCTTCCTTTTCTTCTTATTTAATTAGCAAACATAGAAAAATAAATAAAATTAGCTTGCCTTTTTGAAGGTCAACAAATAGGGGGGAGATTTTTTGGCGGTCAGTTTTTAATGAAAGAGACGACTGTTAACGCTTTTTGATGTTTTTTGTGTTGTTGAATGTTTATGATATTAATATTTGTTGTTGTAACAGTGGCAAGAAGAAAAAAATCTAAAAAAAAGGAAAAAATTTAGGTTGGGATCAAATGTCATTTTTATTTAAGGGTATATTAGAGTCTCGAATTTACACGCTAAAAATTGAGAACCTTTCCTCGTTTTATTCTTAGCATTCGATAGAGGATTAAATTTGCTATGGACAGTTAAATTTTCAAAATATTGGATCAAGTTACAGCAAAAATATAACCAAAAGACTCAAGTTTAGGGGAGAAATTTGAGAAAATTTGTTAAAAATCGAATTTTAACCAAAACAAGACTCTAACAGGCATATTTATTTTTATAGTTTTGGCCAGCTATATAGCAGCTGTCAACAGGCAAACTGCCAGTAACCTTCAAAAATGTGTAAAACATTTAAATAAAATACATGCCTATTTTTGGAAACTACTTTTAGCGACAAAATGTCACATTTCTCGCTTGTTGGCAAAATGTCGGATTGGCAATAAGTCGATTTTTTGCTTGTGTGGCTAATTGTCCCAATGGCAACTCTTTCATCAGCATTATTCTGCATTTTGATTTTCGTCATTATTTCTCTATTTCTCTGCCCACACTATTTCTTCTTTCATTTAAGTATAACTGCACACAAACAGAGACATAGAAACGTGCATTTCTGTGGCAATTTACCAACTTTTTTTATGCGTCTCTCACCATTTTAACTTGTCTATTTCTTTAACCACACAATCTTTCTTTTATTTTAGTGTCTAATTTGTTAATTAATTTTGTGTTTAAACTTCGGCCATTTTAACTGTCTTCAAGCTATAAATTTCAGATTTTTTCAAATAGAAATTTTTTTCTTCGCGAGGGGTTAGTTTAAATTTTCTTTCTTTTATTATGCAAAGAATTATGTGGTTTCTTTCTCCAAAAAATTTGACTGAAAATTTTTTTTGGGTATTCACCTGGAATTAATTTTTATAATTCAGAGAAGTTAGGTGTATTTATTGCTTCAATCAAAAAAAATTTTTTTTCAAAAATTTTTCCGAATTTTCCAACCTCATCAAAATTTTATTAAAAACAAAACACACATATTTTAAATTAAATTAAAGTTCAGGTTCACCAGGGGATTTTTAAAAATCAATCTTTTGCTTGGCTAACCCTTTCACCCTTAACTCCCCCTTACCTATTTAAAAGTCAATTTTCTTGACTTTTCACCCTTATCCCCCCTCCCCCCTTACCTATTGACTTGCTAAGATGAGCTGGATCTTTTGTGTATCACGAGCTTGAATAAAAAGGCGCAAGCCTTTTCAATCAAGCCTTCACCCTTACACTTCCCTCCCCCCCTCCCCCTTCACAAGCCCTAGCCCCACCACCCCCAGATTTATTTTAAGCTTGTTAATTCTCCTTTCTTATTCAAATTTTCTTTAAAAACGCGCTTATTTCTTTTTAATTTTTTAGAGATTTATTAAAATTTGACTTAAAAGTCCAAAAAAATCCCAACGAAATGTCCTTCCAACCACCTCCAAATCAAAATAACGATTTAAACCAAGTCCCCTCATGGGATGAATTTAATATGATGGCACATGAAGATGAGGAGGCTAATTTAAATAATGAGGGAGGAGGGTTGTTGTTGGATGGACCTGTAGATGAGGAAAATGAAGTTGGGGATGATGAAATTGTTGAGCCTGGACAGCCTGAAGAATATGGGCCGTCTCTTCCTCCAGGTTTCTTTTTCGCTTTAAACCTTTTTTTTCTGTCGTCTGAAGGTTTAAAAAATTTTTTCAAAGTTTGTGGGCACTCATTTTCATGTTCAGGGCGATTTATCAAAGGAACTCCCTTCAGACTCTAATAGTCCTTAAATTCGTCATTAGGGTCTGAAATTTTTTTTGACATTTTTCCAAGTATTTTTCCGCTCCTTTTGGTGCTTCCGCGTCCTATAAGACTTCTAAAATCCCCATTCAACCCATTTCCCCCATTAATTTTGCCATTTCTACTTTTGGACATTTTGTCCCCATTTTCCAAAAATTTCAAAAATTTTTCAAATTTTTTTAAAAATTTTTTCAGGTTTTGGAGCAGACGATTTAAACGACGGACAACAACCTCATTTTGCTGAACACGAAATTATAAACAACGATTTTTCCGCTCCTTTTGGTGCTCATGATTTGGATTTGGATGACCCTGAAGACCCGCTTCAATGCAGCACAAGTTCTTCAAGTAATCAACCAAGAAATGTGAATTCGAGAATGATTGGACCGTCAATTCCGTCTTCGTCTTCTATGCTTCCTAGAATTCCGATAAATAATAGAGGTTTGATATTTTTTGAAAAAAAATTTTTTTTGGGATCAAATGTCGCACTTAGGAATTTTTTAAAATTTTCCAGCTTTTTTAACCTTTTCTTGTCTGAAAAATTTTTTAAAGACATTTTCTCATTTTTATTCCTCATTTTTCATTTAATTATTAAAAAAATTAATTTTCGGGATCAAATGTCACCCTTAAAAATTTTTTACTTTTTTAACCTTTTCTTCTCTGAAAAATCGGCCCTATACGCAGATCGTGCCGGCTTGATATTTTTTCCTTACTTTTTTTTACTGAGTATTTTTCCCAAGTTTTTATTTTGTGATGGTTGCCATAAGGAAAATCAGAGAAAAAGACTGTCAGTCTTCGTCCGTGTTTTGTCTGTCCGTGTTCGTCCGAGTTTTGTCTTTCGAGTTCGTCCGTGTTCTGTCAGTCTGTGACCGTCCGTGTTTTGTCAGTCTGTAACCGTCCGTGTTCTTTCTGTCCGAGTTTGTCCACGTTCTGTCAGTCTGTGGCCGTCCGTGTTTTGTCTGTCTGTGTCCGTCCATGTTTTGTCTGTCCGTCTTCGTACGTGTTTTGTCTATCCGTCTTCGTAGGTGTTTTGTCTGTCTGTGTCCGTCCGTGCGAGCATCCAGAATTAACAGAAATATAGAGAATGATAGCAAGAAGAAATAAGTCACCATTTTTCCTTACGGCAAAATCACAAACATCAAAAATATAGAGGAACATGACCATTCCGAACTACTCAAAAAAAGTAAAGGGAAAATATCAAGCCGGCACGATCTGCGTATAGGGTCGAAAAATCTTTCTAAAAACATTTTCTTATTTTTTTCCTCGTTTTTAATTCAATTAAAATTTATTTACCCAAACGGTTTCTGACCCAAATGTCCCCAAAATTTTTTTGATTTTTGGGATCAAATGTCATTTTTTATTTTTTAAAGGTGATGAACATTTTCTTCCATCAATTGGCACCAACCACAATTCTTCTGTTGATTTTATTCCTCTGTGTGATCAACCGAGTAGCAGTAATGCTTTAAACAATAATATAGTTATTGGACCAACACTTCCACCAGATTTGAATTTGCCGAGTAATGGAGGTGGGGGACAGCAAGGAGGTGGTGGAGGATTTCCAAATATTAATGGTTTATTTTTTAATTTAATTTTGTAGGGAAAAGGGGAGGGAAAATTTTTTCTGTATAGCGTTTAGCTCGGGTCAGAGAGTACAAGCAAATGGCCTATAAGTGACTAGTAATAACTCTCAAAAGGTCAAAACTTTGATTTCTGAGAGTCACGGAAATTTAATTTCTTTATTTCATGTCTAAATTTACCCCCAAAAGCAGTCTAAATTTTCAACTAGAGTTGGATGGCTCTTGGAAATCTTTGGAGTTTGGCTATAGTTTAAGGCCAAAATTACCTTCAAGTAGTTTATTCGACCAAATAACCAACCCATAAATCCTCGGGGTTTTGTTCCTTTTCGAACCGATGAACCCATTTTTGCAAATACATTAAACCTACTCTCAAAAAAATATTCTTTTCTTTTTACAGATTTTGAAGATATTGGAGGTCCATCATTACCACCAGACGAACCACAAATTTGTAATAATTCCCAACAACAACCAAATTCTCGTAATTTTCGTAAAAAATTGAATAGTTTTGGGCCAACATTGCCTTCAAGTAGTGATGAAGAAGAAGACGATGAGGAAATAAATGAGGGGAATTTGGCACAAATTGAATTAAATAATGAAGAAGGAGGAGGAAGGGATTTTGAAATTGAAGGGGAAAGAGAAGCTGGAAATAGAGGGGAGGAAGACTCTTTTGTTATTGGCCCAATCCCTCCAGTTCCTGGACGCTCTGAAGAAGAAGAACAATTTGAATATTTGGCACGCTTGGCTGAATTTGAGGCGAATAAAAAGGTTTTTTAGAAATTTTTTAAATTTTGGGCCCCCTATCTAATAGACGCCCAAAAAAAGAATCGGAAAATGTGAACTCTGCCCATGACTCTAATGTCCTTAAATTAGGGAGTTATTGAATTTTAATTTGTGACCCCCCTTCTAATAGACGCTCAAATTTTTTTACGCCCCCTTTCCAATAGACGCCCTAGAAAAGAAATCGGAAAATGAGAACTCTGCCCAGGACTCTAATGTTTTCTAAATTATTTTTGGGAGTTTTTTGGATTTTAATTTGTGGCCCCCTTTCTAATAGACACCCAAAAAGAATCTGAAAGATGAGAAATTTGTTTCTCCTAATTTTTAAAAATTTTCCAAACTTGAAAATTTTTTAATTTAAGGCTTCAAATGGTTTAAAACGTGAAGAATGGATGACAGAATTACCTCAAAAAATGCTCAAAACAGGTGCTTATGGGCTTTCCTCAAAAACCTCATTTTCGCGTTCATCTGCTGGTCCTTCTAATAATGATAATTCTGGTTGGACAAGTATTCCAAATGGTGGTGGACAATTAAAGGTTTTTTAAGTTATATAATTTTGTGGATTTTAATATAAAGAATTGGGGATTGGATCTTGTTTACGAGAGGCTGTGATTCGGAGCCCTTCTTCCAAATAATTGTCTAAACCTCTCACGTCAGCCAGATAACTAGGAGCCCATCCTTCTCCAAATATAGTTCTAAACCTCTCAATTAAGCATAGCCCATGTCTATTTGTACTAGAGATGGGCCGGAGACCCGTAACCTGATTTTTTTTCAGGGGAGGGGGGCCAAGGAGGAGGAGGATTTCATGGGGCCAAGGAGGAGGAGGGCCAAGGAGGGGAGAAATTTTTTCTGCGCCTAATTTTAAAAGTCGAGTCAGGCTCTCTCAAAGTTTTCCTTCGGGTCGGATTTTGGATGCAGAAATGTCCGGGTGGTTTTTTCGAGCAATCCAAGCTATTACTGATTTTTATAGCTGATGGATCCATTTTTTCTTACCTTTCGGTTAGCCTTCAACCCTCTTTTTTCCATTAAATCTTCTATTTTTTCTTCTAATTTTTAATTTAAAAAATTTTTCAAAGAATACCAAAACCAATAATGTTGACAATTTTGATTATGATGGCCCTTCAACTTCCTCCTCTTCAGCTTCATCTTCCACTATTCCCAAACCACCAAATAAACGAAGTGAACAGGATGAATGGAATGAGAAACGTGCTGCTGAATTAAATGTTTTTTTTTAATTTTTTGAATTTTTTAAATTTTTTTTTTAATTTTAAAGAAAGAACGAAACGAATCACTTTTGGATATCCACCAGAAAAAACGAAAATTGGAAACGTCGAATAATAATAAAAATGGAAATGGTGAAAGTTCTGGAACTAAGGTTTTTTTTTAATTTATTTTTAATTAAAAAATTTTTTAAAGTTGTTGTACACAAATAATGCTGAAAGGAGGCCATTTAATCGAGATACTGATATTGAGGTTTGAATTTAAAAAATTTTTTATAAAAAAGGAAAGCACTTATGAAAAAGGCCTCTTTCTCCTCTTCCTAAGCCCCTAAAGAAGCTTCTTCCTCTTCCTTCTAATAATGGTCTGAATGTTTTCTGAACTGTTTTTTAATTCCTCACACCTCCCCATTAATTTTCTTCAAGGCTGAACAATTCCTAGAAGTCTCTTCTCCGGGACCATTGAAATTGGTAGCCCATTGGAACCTTGAAGAGGGAAATTTTCCCCTCTTTTTTGAGTGCAAAGCAACCCGATTACACCCTTATCTTATAAAATATATTTTTGCTGTTAAATTTCTTCATTTTTTTTAATTTTCAAGATTCGTGGACTTGGAAGTAATAAGAAAACATCTTCCTCTTCTACAGACCCAGCATCATTAAAGGAACGTGTAGGTGATTTGTCCAATCGTTTTGGAAATAATTCTGATAAGAAATTTTTGTAGGAAGGTTTATTTAAAAATTAATTTTTTTCTCTTTGACTTTTTCCCCTTTAAAAAAGCAACTCTCTTTTTATTCGGAAAAAAACTTTTTTTTAGTTGGAAATGGTTGGGTTTTTTCAAAAAAATTTTCTGTTCCTTGAGAACTTAATTTCAGTTGCCTATTTTTTTATCGAGATTTTTGAGTCGAAAAACTGAAAATTTCTCAGAAAAAAAATTCTTGACCCTAAAAGCAGGATATCTGGTTCTGACCCGATCTATTTATTTTCCCCAATTTTAACGAAAAAAAGGAGAGTTGTTTTCTTTAATTTTAGTAAAATTAGAATATTTTAATTATTATCAAAAAATTACTTCCCTTTATACTATATTTATCCATCCATATCCATCTTTTCGTCCTTTTCTGAATTTTTAGTAAAGAAAAAAACTCCCATTTTTCTGACACAGAGACTTGGTTCAATGTCCTTTATCTAAGAAAAAAAAATTTTTTTTCGTTTGCCTGATTTTTAAGAAAATTTTTGCTTTAACAAATGGTACCATAAATATATCCAAAAAGGACAGAACCCCTCCTCTTTTCGGTTTACGATAAAATGGGGGCTTACCTATATTGATTTAAAAAAAATTAAATTATAAATAAATCTGCATTTATAGAGGATAACAAATAATTGTTAAAATTTTAAATGAAATTTTTTTTTAATTTTTGTTATCCTCTATATATCCCTAAAACCCTCCCTATATTATTTAGACATATTTAAATGAGGTTTTAAGACACCATTCTTTTAAAAAAAATTATTTTTGGAATTTTATGACTTGGGGAATTTAATGAAATTTATTTTAAAATTAAGAAAAAATTTTAAAAAATTTCAGACCCTAATGGCCCACAGAACTATATTAATTTAAAGAATGGTGTAAGCACACAAACTAGCCAAAAAAATATAAAATACACCACAAACCTCAAAAATTATTTTTTTTCCTTTTCTGTGTACCTTTTTTCCTACATTTAAGATAAAATTAATTAAAAAAATTTTTTTATATTATTAGATGGGTTGTATTTTATTACAACTTTAAAAATATAACTAAGGAAGATAACTTGTGTGTTTTAAAAATAAAATCAGAATGTATTTTATTTGTGTTTTACTAGAGTTATACAAAAGACTAAAAAGAACTTGTTTTCCGGAATGGTTTAATAAAATTCTGATTTTTGTGTTTTCCGGAAACTTGAATAAAATTCTGATTTGTGTTTTCCGGAAAAATATAAAAATATTGTTTCCGGAAAGGTTTAAAAATAATTCTGATTTTTGTGTTTTCCGGAAAATATTTTAAAATTCTGATTTTTGTGTTTTCCGGAAAATGTTTAAAAATAAATTCCGATTTTTGTATTTTCCGGAAAACTTTTAAAAATTCTGATTTTTATTCTTTTGTATAACTCGTGTTTTTTAGTGTTTAATCCGGAAAGTTTATTTTATATAAGTGAAAACTTGTGTATGTATTTTCTTTTAACACTTTCAAGTTTATTTTTCTTTCTCTCTTTTTTTCTCTCTTATTTATGCACGTTGAATAGGCACACTACGGCCAAAAACAGAAGAACGTCCACCCAATTCTTCTGCTGGGCGCAATAAATGATCTTTAAAAAATTCAATTTTTTTTATTTTTAAAAAATTTTACCAGCTCCATTATATCCCCCACGATATTCATTACGAGATGCAGAAGCTGTACGTCGAAAATGAGACTCAGAGCGATGGCTTCCTGCCCCACCTCCCCCAACGCTGTCAACAGCGCTTAAACGAGATGGTGGACGGTAAATTGATGTTGGTGGTGAAAGCGCATTTGCAGCTGAGCCTGTTCGTCGGAACTAGAAGAAAAAATAAATTCTGATTTTTTAGTGTTTTCCAAAGTTTAATAAAATTTTTGTATTTTCCGGAAAGTTTTATTTCCAAGTTTTAACTGTTTTAATTCTGATTTTTTTTTAGGTTTATAAAAATTCTGGTTTGCTTGTGTTTTCCGGAAAAGGTTTATTAATTCTGATTTATTCCGGTAAATATTTAAAAATATTTTTAAGAAATTCTGATTTTTGTTTTCCAGAAAAAGTTTATAAAATTCTGATTATTTTCCGGAAAAGGTTTAAAAATATTTTTAAGAAATTCTGATTTTTGTTTTCCGGAAAAGGTTTATAAATTCTGATTGATTCCGGAAAAAGTTTAAAAATATTTTAAGAAATTCTGATTTTTGTTTTCCGTAAAAAGTTTAAAAATTCTGATTGATTCCGGAAAAAGTTTAAAAATATTTTTAAGAATTCTGATTTTTGTTTTCCGGAAAGTTTTTAACCCTCACCTCTTCACGAAATTCTTCTCTACGCGCTTCATGTCTCATTCCATTAGCATCAGTTTGTCTCTGTTCATATTCACTTTTATAACCCCCATTTCTACTAGGAGATAATAAATAATCTCCACCTCCAGCTCTACTGTCCCCTCTATAATAATCAGAAGCTTGAGTGCCCCTACCAGAATCATAAAATTGATCACGGGGAGAGTAGGAACTTGAACGCGAATTTGCTCCAAAACGACGTGCAGTTGATTGACTTTCTATTGGTATAGCCCTTTCTCTACCTTCTATTGCTTGCCAACGCTTTTGGGCTTCGACTGTTAAACGTCCCTTTAAATTAAAAAAAATTTTTTTCTTGAAAAAGAAATTTTTAAAAATTTTTTTGAAAATTTCAGAAATTTTTTTCCAGAAAGAAAATTTCAAAAAAAAATATATTTACATGGCTATCAACATGGCTTGAAATAGATTGAGGCTCCACATCAGAAGGCAATTGATATTTACGGACAAAATACTACAAAAATAATTTTAAAAGGTTAAAGAAATTCTGGTTTTTGTATTTTCTGTTTTAAGATTAATTTATTTTGTGTTTTCCGGAAAGTTGTAAAAATTCTGATTTTTGTTTAATAAAAGTTGGTAAAAAATTCTGATTTTTTCCCGTTTTCCGGAAAAGGTTTAAAAATATAAAAATTCTGATTTTGTATTTTCTTGTATTTTTCTTAATTTTTGTGTTTTCCGGAAAAGTATATTTTCTCTAAAGGCTCCCCCAATTTCTCTAATACTTTCCCCCTAATTTTAAATTAAATTACCATTTTTGTATAATTATCACGATCACGAACATCCTCATGTCTACCTTCTATCAACAACGTATCATCCAATGTTTTTACTTGTAATTCCTCCGGGCGGAATTGGTAGCAGTCAATTTCTACAGAAAAACGTTGACTATCGTTTGTGACATTTGTCTAAATAATTGTGTTTTTTAAATTCTGATTTAAGTGTTTTCCGGAAAAATTAAAATAAATTCTGATTTTTGTGTTTTACAGAAGTTAAAATAAATTCTGATTTCTGTGTTTTCCGGAAAATATAAAATAAATTCTGATTTTTGTGTTTTATTATATTTTCCGGAAAAGGTTTAATAACATTAAAAATTCTGATTTTGTTTTCCGGAAAAAATATAAAAATATAATTCTGTTTCCGGAAAAAGTTTAAAATTAATTCTGATTTTTCTCTACCTTAACATCAATTCCTTCTTTAAATACAGGCTCCGCCCATCTTGGGTACAAATCACGCCAGAACGGGTCAGAACGCCAATCACGGTCAAAACGGTCCAAATAAGAAGAAAACTAAAAAATTACAAATTTATTTTTAATTTTAAATTAAATTATGATTTTATTTTTTTTTTAATTTTTTTATTAAATTTTTCGCACGCTCGCGCCTCTGAAAAGCGTTTTGGTGGTGGATCTGACGTTGAAGAAGGCGAAGTTACAAAAGGACGTGTTTGATTAGTTGATATAAAAGTTGTTTTTGTTGAAGGCCTCAAATGAGGAAATGCTTGATAAAATTCTTCTGAGAAGAAAGGACGTTCTTCTTCTCCTTCTAATCCATCTCTTGTAGTTGTTCGTTCTATATTAGGTAGAGGTTAAAAAAATTCTGAAAAATTATTCTGATTTTTTATACCCTGTTTTGTCCAACTTTTTCTTTCCCAACTTCTTTCCTCTTCTTCTTCTTGTTGTTTCTCTAACCCATTATAATTATATTTTCCGGAAACATTTTCCGGAAAAGTTTTATTTTCTTCTCCATTTATTGTTGCTGTCTTTGCTCTCTAAATTTTTAATTTTTATTTTTTTCTCTTATTTTCTTCAAATTATTACGGTCTCAAAATCTCTGGTTTCTGTTGATGTTGTTTGATCCCCCACATTAATATATTCATCTACCAACGGTTCTCTCCAACGAGGACTGGGACGCGGACGAGTTCTTTCGCTTTCACTCATTTTTAAATTTTTTTAAAATTAAATTAAAAAAAAAATAATTCGTTTAGTCGTACTATTTAAATAAAAATATATAAAATCGATATAATTTATCTTAAAAATTTATCTTAAAATATTAGCAAAGCTTAAGAAGAAGCAAAATTCATTGAAAAATAAAATACAAAATCAGAATAATGGAATACAAACCTTCCGGAAAAATATATAAATTAAATAACCTTCCGGAAACATAAAATAAATAAATTCCGGAGAATATATATTATAAATCAGAATTCCGGAAAATATGTACAAGAATAAAATATAAAGAAATATAAAAATCAGAATATTCTTTTCCAGAAAATACAGAAAAATACAGAAAAAATATATACATTCCGGAAAACACATAACTATAATAAATTCTGAAATATACTACATATATAAAATCAGAATTTATATTTTCCGGAAAATACAAACAAATAAAATTCGAAAATACAGAAAAATACAAAAATCAGAATATTCTTTTCTTTTGTTTTTCCGGAAAATACAAAGAAATAAATATTAATCTTAAAAAATACAAAAACATTAAAAGCATGTATAGAAAGGCGAGAAAATTGATTATATAATTAAACAATTTAAACAAATAAATTTTTATTTATCTTTATTTATTTTTTTATTTACTTTATGACAAATACAGCAAAAATAAATATACGATTTTGCCTTTGCTGTATTTTCTAAATATTTTTTTGTTTACCCATTGGATTGAACAATTTTATTTTTTATTTTCTCGTTGAGGGAAATGAAAAATAAAAAAGAGAAAAAATAAAAAAAATAAAAATTTAAGCTGTCTGTTAGAATTTTTTGTTAGCACGCTCTCGTTGAGTGATTGAATCCCTCCCCTCTTTCGCCCTCTAAAAAATAATTTTATGAATTATTGTGAAAGGTGCAGATTGGGACTACAATAAAAATGAAGAGAGAATTGCGTAAAATGTTAAATACCAATTATTTGTATTTATGAGGGGAATGAGGAGGATGCGCGCGAGAGGAGGGAGGTATTTCATAACATGTGTATGAACGGATGGACCTTCAGAAAATAACAATGGTAAAATACATTGTTTATTATAGAGGATTAAAATTGTTATGAAATACAATAAAACAGAAAAGAAAATATAAAAAATCAGAATAATTATTATATACTTTCCGGAAATGTAACAAACTTTCCGGAGAAAACACTAAAATCAGAATATTATATATAAACATTCCGGAAAAAGTTTCCGGAGAAAATAGAATCAGGAAAAATAATATAAACTTTCCGGAAATAAACTTCTCCTGAAAATATAAATAATCAGAATATGTATATAATTTTAATGTATATAATTTTCCGGAAAATATAAAATAGAAAATTAAAAATATATAACATTCCGGAAAACATCAGAAATACATATTAATCAGAATTAATAAATTAGAATATTGGCAAAACATTATTACAACTTTCCGGAAACTATATACAAAACATAAAAATAAAAATACATTCTACACACAATAATAGTCATACATAAATATTTTTGTATTTTATATTTAAAAAAGATAAGCCTGTAAAATAATGGTTTTTTGTCTTTTATTATTGTTCATTCTCTACGGAGGCGTTTAATAAAAAAATATAGGAGAGCGTACACTCAGCTTATCGAGAAAAAATTTTTTTATTGAATCATACAAGGCAGAAAAATATTTTTATGGGAGGAAAATATTTTTTTTAATAAATTTTTTATTTTTTCGCCATAAAAATTTTCTTTAATTAAAAAATAAACCAACCCGAGGCACAATAGCATCCATTCGTGGCCAATCAGAAGGCCAATCACGCCACCAACGGTCAGTATCGTGAGAACGGAACTAGAAATAAAAAAAATATTTTTTTAAATTTTAATTTAATTTAAATAAAAATAGAACAAGAAAAAAAAGTTTTTTTTTTCAAAAAATCATGCCATTTTTCGAAATTGACGCCCTACAAATTTGGGAAAATCAGACAAATTTTTGTTGTTTTCTATTTTTGTGTTTTTATTATTCTTTTTCATTTTCGGAAAAAAAATAAAAATCAGAAAAAAAATTGTTTTTGATTTTTAACAATTATTTTTGTATAACAGTCAATTTCCTTTTAACCCCTCTTTTTAACCCCTCTTTTTTGTTAAGTGTTAAGTACCCTTATATCTATAGAAAACAACTTATAAACATTGTATATACAACAAACATCAATATAACTAATTTTGGAAAAACATTCACCAACTTTTTCCGGAAAATGTTTGGGGGATGTTTTTATAGTAATTAAATAAAGTTTTCCGGAAAACATTAAAAAAAAGTTTCGAACATTCCGGAAAACGCCAAAAAAGTTTCGAACATTCCGGAAAACATCAAAAAAAAGTTTCAAACATTCTGAAAAACATATAAAACGTTTCGAACATTTCGGAAAACATGGCAACAAAGTTTCTAACTTTCCGGAAAATACATTCATATACCTAATTGTGTTTTTGTGTTTTAAAAACTTGAATTTTTGCTTCAAGTTTTAAAAAAGTTGAAGCAACAAGAAAATAAAAATACAAACTTTTTCAATCATAAAATTTAAACCAGAATATTCACACCTCTAGAAACTTTATTTTTATTTAATCTTTAATGACCCATTTTTTTCTATTACTAAGAAGATTTTTTTAATAATTTTTATTTAGTCAAAAAAATTTTTTTTCAAAGAAAATCCTCTTTATATTCGATTCTCATGAAAATCCCCCTTATTTTTTATATTTTCAAGGAGGTGAAAAAAATAATCTTTGAGTCAACGTAAAGGTAAGGTGACTAGCAGTCTTTCAAGGTGTTTATAAACAAACAAAAAAATTTTTTAAGAGACAAACAAACAATAACAAACAAAAAAAGTTCCTCTTTTTGACTCACCCGATCAAGCAAATCTCTAGGTCTAGGCCAATCCACCGGCCAATCTTCCCATTCACGGCTAAATCGGTCACGCCATGTAGAGTTCCAACTACTCAATCTACGTTCTGGCCAATCACGCCAAAAAGGATCTTCGTCCCAATGTCGGCTTGAAACCAATGCCATTTGTTTTGATTGTTTGTTGTTTTGTTTTTATTAGATAATAAAATCTGAAAATAAAGAAACATTTTAATATAGGTTTGTAAAACATTAAAACTTAATCTATAACATGTTTTCCAACCTTTCAAAACTTGTTTTAGTATAAGTTTTAAAAACATATTTTATTAAACATGTTTTAAATACCAAAAACATTATTAAAACTTGAAAACTTTTTTTAAAAAAACATCAAAACATTTTTAAAGAACATTAAAAACATGCTCAATTAAAAACATTAGAACATGTTTATATTTTTCTAAAACATGTTTTAGAATGTTTATAATGGAAAACATGTTTTAGACACTCAAACATAATTAAAACATTAAAACTTAAAAACACCAAAACTTTTTTTAAATAAACATTAAAACATGTTTATAATCTCAAAAACATGTTTATAATCACAAAAACATGTTTACCCTCAAAAACATGTTTTCTGTTCTTAAAAACATGTTTTTAATTCTTAAAAACATGTTTATAAACACTTTCCAATTTATATACCCCATTTTATTTTTCTAATTTAATATAGAAAATTCTCGAATATTTTTTTAAAAAAATTATAAAAATAAAATTGAATGTTCTCCTTCGAGAAAAATTTAATGAGAATAAAGAATGATTTAAAAGAATGTGTTTTTAAATAGTTTTTTAATTTTTCCTTTTACATATATAGTCCCCAATTTTTATGCGCGAGCATCTAAACCAAAAAAGAAAAACTTAAAAACAGCCTGTTGAATAGTCAAAAAAATTTTTTCTTTTTTTTTTTAAATTTATTACACACCAAAATTATTGAGAAATAAAAAGAAAAAAATTCTTTCCATCAACATATGTATAACATTTTATTTAAAAATGTTCAGAGAGAATGCCTTTAAAAAATTTTTTGTTGATTTTAATTGGTTTTCTCTCTTCAATCAAAAAAATTTTTTTAATTTTAAGGGCGTTGAATTAAAAAAAAAGAGAAAAGAAAAAATAAAATTGAAAATCCATGTAAAGAAAAGAGGTGATGATTCATTCAACTGTTTAATAAAAAGACAAATCAGAATTTCTTTAAAACACAATTTTGATTTATTGTGTTTGACTAATTTCCGGTTCAACGAAAATCAGAAAAAGAAATAATGGGTGTTTATAATAAATGTTTTAATGTTTTAATTGAACAAAAACATGTTTTAATGAAAACTTTAAATGTTCAAGTTTTAATGTTTTATTTAAAGTTTTAAAACTTGTTCAGTTCGTTAATAAAACAAACTTTTCTAAAACTTTTTTTCAAACATATAAAAATTAAACTTTTTAAGAAACTTTGTTTTTCTTTAAAACTTGTTTAAAACTTTTTCTAAAATTAAAACAAGTTTGAAAATAAGTTAATAAAAACAAGTTTATTAAAAACAAGTTCATTTCTAAAACTTGTTTTTATGAACATGTTTGTTTTGATATTTTATTAAAACCTAAAAACATACCATTAAAAAGTGAAGAAACATGTGGTTTGTTTGTAGATGACTCATCAAAACTAAAACAAGTTTAATTCTTTAAAAAATTTTAATTTAAAAAAGTATTTAATACAAACATGATGATTTCATTCTAAATATGTGTTTTTGTTGTAATTTTTATTTCACATTTAAAAATAAATTTTATAATATATTGCTTATTTAGATACAAGATATACAGAAAATGACTGTTCTAAAAATAGAGGAAAAGTTTAAAAAATCAGAATTTTCTGAAAAATTTTTTCTGGAAAAATCAGAATTTTTATTTTTAATAAATCAGAATTTTTTCAAAAAAATTCTGAAAAATTCCTGAAAAATTCTGAAAAAAATTCTGAAAAATTTTTTGAAAAAATCAGAATTCTGATTTTTAGAATAATCGGAGAATTTTTTCTGAAAAAAAATTTTTTTCAAAAAATTTAGAATTCTGATTTTCTGAGAAAACAGAATTTTTTGTTGGGGGGAGATGAGAGAGATTTTAAAGAAAAGGTTATAAACCCGTATACATTTTTTGGTATAAAAAAGATCAAAAAATAAAAAAATTCAAGAATTCTCTTCAAATATATTTGCTTAATCTTTGCATAAATTCTTGTAAATTTAAGTCTAATTCACTAGATGTTGGCCTATCTTCTGGTGTTGTTGTCCAACAAGAACACATAATTGAATAAAGCTCATCAGGGCAATTATAGGGTTGGGAGAGGCGAAGACCGGCATAAACTATTGCCTAAAAGTAAAAATGGGTGGATTCTGATTTTTTAAATAAAAAAATTTTTGAAATGTTTCAGAATAGAAATTCTGTTATTCCAGAAAATCAGAATTACTAATTTTCTGAAAAATTCTTTTCAGAATAAAAATTCTGGATTAAATTTTCAGAATTTTTTCAAATATTCTGGTTTTTCATAAAATCAGAATTCTGATTTTTCTGAAAAAATTTCAGAATTTTCAGAAAAATTCTGATTATTCAGAACAGAAATTCTGATTTTCATAAAATCAGAATTCAGAATTTTCTAAAAAAAAATCTGATTTTTGATCAGAAATAAAAATTCTGATTCTTTAAAAAATCAGAAATCAAATTATTATTTACTTGTTCCAACTCATCCTCATGTATTTCATTATATGGCAATTTTCCACAATTAAAAATTTCCCAAATTAAAATTCCACATGCCCAAACATCTGTAGCACTATTCCAACAATTATTTTGATTATTATTTTGTTTATTAAATTTTTTAGAAGAAATAAATAATTCTGGGGCCATCCAACGTATAGGTAAATAATTTGAATATTCTGTTTCTTGTAAATTATTTTCTTCTTTTTTATAATCTTGGGGAAATAAATCACTTCCTTAAATTATTAATTATTAAAAAAATTAATTTGAGGTAACCTAAAGCAGAATCACATAATTGAGAATGTAAGCGAACACGTCCACCGCTCATTTTTGTATGTGAAACTAAACAATTTCTGAAAAAAATTCAGAATAAAATTCAGAATAAAAATAATTTAAAAATCAGAAATTAAAAATTAAAAATCAGAATTCTGATTCCTAAGTTCTGATTTTGTATGTCAGAATTCTGGTTTATAATTCTGATTTTGAAAATCGGAATTCTGATTCTTAAAATCAGAATTCCGATGTCTAATTCTGATTTCGAAAAATCAGAATTTTTCAGAAAATCAGAATTCTGATTTACAAAACCAAAAAATTCTGAATTTTACAGAAATCAGAATTCTGATTTTTAAATTATCAGAACACATTATTACCTTGTAGCAATGTCTTTGTGGATTATACCAAATTTATGTAAGTGACGAACAGCTGAAACAATTTGTGAAGCTAATAATACTAAATTATGTATTCGAAGAGTTGTTGTTGTTTCTGAAATTTCTAAAGTTGTTGTTGCAGGAGCATTAGTAGTGGATGAAGATGAAGAAGGCGAGTTTGTTACAACTAAAAAATTTAGAAATTTTTGAAGCATGAAAAATCGAAGATGCTTCAAGTCTTTGAAGCAAGCTTCATATTTTATTGAAGCATGTTTCAAAATTTTGAAGCATGCTTCAAATTTCTGAAGCATGCTTCAGATAATCTAAAGCATGTTTCTGATTTTTTGAAGCATGCTTCAGATAATTTGAAGCATGTTTCTAATTTTCAGACGCATGCTTCATATATCTTGAAGCATGTTTCTGATTTTCTGAAACATGCTTCATATTCTTCTCTACACATATTTTTTGCAACAAATTGCTTCAACTTACCAATTCGAGGATTTTCCATTTGTCCACCACCTTCCTTTCCCTTTTCCACGTCTCTACTATCATCCTTCACCTTATTCTCCTCATCACTTTCTTTAATCACCTTCTTTTCTTCTTCTTTTAATCCATCACCACTACAACTACTTCCTTTTCTAAAACGTTTAGCCCAACTTTTAACTACAACACCAGGACTAACTGAAGAAGATTTTTTGTTGTTGTTTAAAGAAGCATTAATTGCTTGTTCTCTACATTCATGCAAAAAATTTTTTAAAATTCCAAAACCATCATGAGCATAACAAATTAAAGGTAAATCACGAACTGAGTCTGGATTCAAAAAATTACCAAAAGTTGCAGCTGCGATAACCTTGAAAAAGAAAAGTTTGTTTTTTAAGTTGAAGCATGCTTCAAGATTAAAGAAAAAAGAGGAAAAAGAAAATCAGAATATTTTCTAAACATTCCGGAAAATAAAATTCGAAACATTCCTAAAACTTTCCGGAAAATGCAAAAATATATTTCTCCCCGGAAGAATTAAAATACTCCCAACATTCCGGAAACAAAAACTTAAGACATTCTTAAAACTTTCCAGAAAACATGTAAAAATTAAAACATTACAAACATTCCGGAATTAAAAATAATTTTAACCCTTTCGGAAAATACAAAATAAAATATATTACTTTCCGGAAAAGTTAAAATATTCCAAACATTCCGGAAATAAAAATACAAAACACTTTTAAACTTTCCGGAAAACACAAAATTAAAATACATGTCTATAAAGCTTTCCGGAAAATTAATATATTCGGACCCTTCCGGAAATAAAAACACAAAACATTTTCAAACTTTCCGGAAAACACAAAAAAATAAAAATATTCTAAATTTTCAACTTGCCTGCGCCAAATTTGGATGTGGCGGCACATAATGGAATTGTAAAGCAGCACGTAAAAAACACTCAAATTGGATTCTATCCGCATCAGGCTTTAAAGTTTTACAAATTAGTGCAGTATCTTCTTTAGCATCATCTTCCCCATCATCAACTTCATCAACAACTGGCCTATTTCCATTTAAACCTATTTGGCGCCAATTAGCCCATACTAACTGTCCAAAATGTCCTTCCATTTCAGGTTTATGGCATTGTTCAAAAAGATTTCTATCTGCATTTAATTCTATTAATGCTGCAGAAACATCCACTTGTTGGTTGCTACGTTCATAAATTATTTTACTTGTTAATTTATTTTGTTGTTGTAATGCTGCAGCAGATGTTGAAGGCATTTGAGGGTCAAGTAATGGCTTTCGTTGTTCGTCGTCTAGTACTGTTTTTGAAGAAGAGGAGGCAGTAGTACAACTATTAATTGTTGCTAGTCCGGTTGTTGTTCTGAAAAATAAATATAAAAATCTGAAACTTTCCTGACAGAAATCAGAATATTTCTAAGTTTCCGGAAAACATATAAAACAATATAAAACATTCCGGAAAAATGTGTAGAAAATTATAAACATTTCCGGAAAATAAAAATAAATAAAATCTGTGCTTCTGGAAAATATAAATTAAAAACAAAAACTTTCCGGAAGGAATATAAAATCAGAATTATTCCAAAACTTTCCGGATAAAATCAAAACATCTATTTCTATTTTCCGGAAAAACATTCCGGAAAGTATACAGATACATTCCGGAAAACATGCAAAAATTAAACAAATCAGAAATTCCGGAAAATATAATTAAACTAACTTTCCGGAAAATATAAATAAATTAATTAATCAAATAAAACATTCCGGAAGGGAAACAAAAACGGAATAGTTATTCCAAAACTTTCAGGAAAAATCATAACACCTATTTTAATTTTCCGGAAAACATCTAAAACAATATAAAACATTCCGGAAAATATGCAAAACATAGTATTCTTAAACATTCCGGAAAATATGAATTAAAAACTAAAACTTTCCGGAAAATATATAAAACAATATAAAACATTCCGGAAAACATAAAAAATTAAAACATTCCGGAAAATTGTATAAATTAATTAAAACATTAAAACTTTCCGGAAACTATACTACAAAAAAACAGAATATTCCTAAAAACATACATTTTAGATAATCCGCTTTTACCACTATTAGCTGTTGAACTTTCTTTTAAAGAACCACCATTTATTAATTTATTATTATTTTTTTGATCAATTCCTTGTTGAAATAATATTTTTCTTCTTATAAGTGATGAACGTGTTGAATTATATAAAGAACCTATTTTTGATCTTCTTCTTCGAAAAGAAAAATTGTTGTTTGTTTGTTGTTGTTGTTCCTTTTCTTCTTCTTGTTTAATACAATAACAACAACAAAGCAAAACTGAACAAACTAAAGCAAAAAGAGAAACAGACGCTACAAGTAATTGACAAGGAAGAGAAAGTAAACTTATAAAAGAGAATAATGGCCAAGTTGAATATGTTGTATGTTGTTTGTTTTGTTTGTTGTTTTCGTTGTTGTTGTTGTCGTTAATGTTTAGATGGTTGTTTGAATCTTCTTCTGAAAATGTTTTTATGAAAAATAAAAAAAAGAGAAAAACATGTTTGTGAATTTATTTTAAAACATGTTTTTATGAGGAAAAACATTGTTATTGTTTAATTTTTGCGAATGTTTTTAAGAGGAAAAAGATGTTTTTGGTTTTCTTCTGAAAATGTTTTTATGAGGAAAAACATGTTTTTAAAGGAAAAACATGTTTTTAAAAACATATAAACATTCTGAAGTGCTTTGCTTCTGAAATTCCTTTAGTAAAGCAAAAAAATAGGGAAACGCATTATTACAAAACGCATTATTACATTATTACATTATTACAATTTTCTTAAACTGAAGAAGCCCAAAAAATAAAAAGAAGCCAGAAACGGTTCCTTTTTTTAATATTTTAATAATAAACTCCTCAAATTAATGAAATAAAAATTTATTTTATATTAAGCCTTCTTTTTCCTCATCCATCGATTTAACAACTTAACAACAACCGACCTTTATATGCTTTTTTAAAGTTTTTTCTTTTCAATTTTATTTTTTTTCCTCAATAATCGAAAATTAAAAAGAAAAATAATTTTCCAAATAAAATTTTTAAAATTAAAAAAATTTTTTTTCACCCTCACCTTGAGCAAAAGCTCTTCTCCTTCCTTCTCTATACGAACATATTTTCTCTTGTTTTAAAGTTAATTGTAATAAAGATGTTTTTGTTGTTGTTATATTAAAATTTAAATTAACACGAAATTGACCAGAACGTGCTCCAACACATCTATATTCAACTTGAAATTGTTGAGGAATATTTGGAACGTAACCTTTTGGTGAAATTAAAACAATTGGGACAACATCAAAATGTTGGGAATTTGCTTGAAGAGAATAATAAGTCTGAAAAATAAATAAAGTTGAGAAAAACACGTTGAAAAACATGTTTTGAATGTTTCAGTAATGTTTTAGAAAAAGTTGGAAAATTCAGAAACAATGAAAGTTACAAACAAGTTTGTAATGTTTGAAAAATAAACTTGTTTGGAAAACTTGTTTTTCTAAACTTTATAAATAAATAAAGTTGCAAAACAAGTTTGTAATGTTTAAAAAATAAACTTGTTTGGAAACAAGTTTTACATGTTTTGGAGGAAGTTAAAATTGAACTTTATGGGTTAGTAAGGCGCAGAACGTTTAGGCGCCGTTCCCTATAACTTTTGAGTGGATTACCCGTTTTTGATAAATTTGGTATCATTCGCTAAATAATTAAAATCACTAAAAAATTTACCATTCTGTCAGAACTGCTCCAAGTAAATCTAAGTCGACTAATATTTTCTGCTAATCTGTAGGGGAATTTTGTAGAATATTCATTAATAACACCATCAGTGACATAATCCATTCTAGCAGATATTCCTTTAAATAAAAAAATTAATTTAAAAAAAAATTCAAAGAAAATAGAAAAATTCAAAAAAAAATAATTAAATTTTACCCAAAGTTCTATTCATTTCATCACTTTCAATATACAAATTAAATGCACTAATAGTGTTAAATACAAAAATAAAACAAAAAATCAGAATTAAAACAAAACAAGTTGTAATTGTAAAATTGTACATTTGTTGAAAAAAAAAATAAACTTGTTTTTGTTGTTGTTGCTTCAAGTTTATTTAAATATAATTACATTTTCTGATTTTTTAATTCTGAAAAATAATTCTGAAAATAATTAAAGTTGGTAAGTGTATGTATAATAAACATTAATTAAACTTGTTCGGATTCAAGTTTATTTTTTTCTGATTTTTAATTCTGGAAAATAATTCTGAAAAAATTAAACTTGGTTATAAACATTAATAAAACTTGTTCGGATTCAAGTTTATTTTTCTGATTTTTAATTCTGAAAAATAATTCTGAAAAAAATAATTTAATAGGGTATACTACTATTTATTATTAAGCTACATATAATTAAATGTCCAAAAATCCAATTTTTGTCTATAATTTTAGAAAAATAAATATTGCCTCAAAAGATAGCTAAAGGCACAATTTATTTATAATAATTAACTATTTATTTTTATTTCAATTGCTTTTGTCTTTTATTTATTTTTTTGAAGATTTCCCCAAAATTTTTTCAGAAGAAACATTAACCTCTCCTTAAAAAGTTGCTTCAAAGACAAAAAAAGGTTGCTTTAAGGAAGTAAAATATTCAAGTCTAAAAAATATATAATTTTTTGAGTATTATGTATTTAGACTCTTTTTTAATAAAAAAATATTTTAATAAAATATCAATTAAAAAAAAATTTTTTTATGAACATGAAACAACAGTTGTAGCAAGTAAAATAATATATTATTTATGTCTAAATATTTTTTCCTTAATAAAATAATAAAAGTGTTGATAATATTAGTATAAGATCATAAAAGAAGGTTAAAAAAAAAGTTAGATTTATATACTCAACATTTTTTATTATACGAATTATTTAAATGATCGATCAAGCTTCAAGTATATAGCTAAGCTAAACATAAAACAAAAACATTTGGTGTGTTTTTATAAGAATAAATATATATATAAAATAAATAAACTTGTTTTAATTGAGTAATAAAAACTTAAGTGTTTTTAAATTAACTTTGTTTTTAATAGTTTAAAAAATAAACTTGTTTTTGGTAAAATAAACTTGATTTAAAATAAACTTGATTTAAAAAAAACTTGTTTTGTTAAATAAACTTGTTTTAAAATAAACTTGTTTTAAAACATGTTTTAATTGTGTTCTGGATTCTGGAAAAAAATAAAAACAACAAAAACATATTAAAACAATGAAAGCAGAAGGAAATAAAAACCAGAATTATCAAATCAGAATTTTAAATGTAAAAAAATACAAGAAAATTCTGTTTTTAAAAGAAAAATACAAAATTTTATAAAATCAGAATTTATAAAATCAGAATTAATTTCAGAATTAATGTTTCATATAAAATCAGAATTCTCTTATATAAGCAAGCATGTAGTCTGTTCAAAAATTAAATTTCAAATTAATTTCTGGAAAAGGAACACTTATTTTATTTTTATTCTATTTAAAGAATATATTCACACACAAGTGCTTCTTCTTTATTTTAAATAATATTTTCCTTGAATTCTCAACATTTTTTAAAAGAAAAATTTTTTTTCTCCTCTTTTTTCTATCAAATTTCCATTTTCTTTAAAAAAAAGAAATTTAATAAAGAAGAAAAAAAAAGTAAAAAAATCTCTGTGTTTTATCTTTCCTTCTCTATTATCCCCCTCCTCAATCCTTTTTCTTCACAAGAATATCAAAAATTTGCAAAGAAAAAAAATTTTTTAAAGAGAAAAGAGAGGAGATTTTTGATTGAGTTTTGGCTTATAAAAATTAAAATAAAAAATTTAAATTTTTTGGAAACAATTTTTTTCTTTTTATTTGGTATCATTTGATAGAGGATTATTAAATTCTCTAAAAAATAAGAATTAAAAATAAATTTAAAATAATTATACAAAAATAGAGTTGGACAAAATAAACTAAGTCTTTATTTGGATGCTTTTTGGGAAGATTTTTAAATGATTTTTGGTCTTAACTTTTTTTTGCAGATTAATTTTAAATTAAAAATTTTTTTTTATTTTATAGCCAATTTAATTAGCTATCAAACACTACTAAATTTGGGACTTAAAAATTAATTTTTAGTTCCAAGTTTTGAGGTAAAATGAAAGCCAGCTAAATGATTTTTGATCGATTCTGGTCGTTTTTTGGTCAAAATTTTATTCAGAATTTTTTTTCAGATTAATTCAAAATTTAAATTATATTTTTTATTTTATAGAGAATTTAATTAGCTATCTAATGATACCAAATTTGGTTAAAAAAATTAATTTGATTACAAGTTATAGAGTAAAAAGTAGTGGGACTCTAATGGTCTACATGCTTAAAATGCCTTAAATTTAGGAAAAAAAAAACAGAATTTAAAAATGAAAAAAAAAACAAATAAAATAAAAAAATAAAGGATTTAACCCCCTTCCTGAATAGTCAAAAAAATTTTAAAGGAAATCATTTAAAGTTAAAAGCGTTGATGTAATAAAAAATGTGTACTTTTTAAAAGGGTAAATAAAAAAATAACAGAATAAAATTGTTGTATTAAATTAATTTCTGATTTTTTGTTTTATTTGTTAAAAATAAAACAAATAAATAATGAACTGACTATAATAATTCTGATTTATTAATTCTGATTTTTTATACTATTGAAAAGATTCTGATTCTTAAAAAAAAGAAAAATTCTGAATTAAATATAGGAGAAGATTCCGATTTCTTTGAGAATGGAAATTCTGATTTTTAAATATAAAAGAAAAATTCTGATTGTTTTATAGAAAAAGAAACAAATTCTGATTTTTTTAAATAAAGAAATAGAGAAATTCTGGTCTTTTAAAAATAATTTCTGGTTGTATAGAAAATTCTGATTTTTAGAAAAAAATTAAAACTTAAAAAATTCTGATTATTTAAAAAATAGAAACAAATTATAATTTTATTTTGTAGAAAAAATATTAAATTCTGATTTTTCTAAACAAAAAAAAGAACAAAAAAATGTCAAATTTAAATGTCAGAAATATTAAAATTTTTTAGTCACATTTACATAAATGGTCATTGTGAAAGTTATTTTATAGTTTAGTTTTTTTTGTTGGGGTTATTTGCTTCTATTTTAAGAGTGTTGAAAAGGTAAGTGGTTGGTTGATGAGGAAGTATGTAATGGTTAGTTAGGGGTGACAGTGCGCAGTAGTTGGAGAGTTTATATTGTTATTTTTAGCCCTCATCCCCCACAAAAAATAAATAATTCATCAAAATCGTGCCTCAAAATGGCGTCTATTTCTAAATAAGACACAATAGAGTATGGAAAGGAAACAAATTCTGGAGAAGATTTTTTGGAAATGTTTTTAATTGGTAACAGAGTGTAATAGTAAAAAAATAGAAAAATTCTGGTTTTTTTAAATAAATTCTGATTGTATCGAAAATCAGAATTTTTGAAGAAAGAGAAAAATTCTGGATTTTTAAAAATAAATTCTGTTTTTTTTTGAAATTCTTCTGATTTTTACAAAGAAATTCTGATTGTATAGGAAATTCTGATTTTAGAAAAACATCAGAATTTTTTAAGAAAGAGAATTCTGATTTTTCAGAAACTTATTCCGGAAAACATTATTAAAAATAAACTTGAATATTCCGGAAATGTGTTTTATAAAAATTCTGATATTACAAAATAAACTTATTCCGGAAAAAATAGAATTAAAACAATTCCGGAAAGTAAAACACAAACATAAATTCTGAATTTTTCTTCTGACTATAATCAACTTTTTGTACTTCAAACTTAACATAATTTCCACAAAACAAAAGAAGCCCTAGTTTTAATTGTCTAGACTTAAAATTTTTACTCATTTTTATTTAAAACTGAGTGACATTTAAACTATAACTCAGAGTCAAATTAGCATATAAAACAAACTTTATATTTTTTTTTCTAAAAATAAATTATATTAAAAAGTCTGTCTTCCTCACAAACAGAAAAATGGAAAAAAATGAAGAAATAAAAAATATTTAGACAAAAAATTTTTTTCCTTCCTGAGATTTTAACACTTTATTTTTCATTAGTTTTATTTTATTTATTTTATTTTTTTAAAAAGTGTTTTCTTCTATGTATACTTATCAAGAATGAAGTGAATAAATGAATGAATTGGATGAGTGAGTGAAAAGCTTCTTCTTTAAAAAATTGCCTATACTTAAATGCTTCCTTATTTTTTTTAACAGAAGAAGAAAAAAATTTTTACGAGAGAAAGGAGGGTCAATTTTTAAGGAAATTGAAAAATAAAAAAAATTTTATTTTATTTGACACGGCAAAAATTAGAAAGAAAAATAAAAATAAAAGGAAAATATAAAATTAAATCATGAAGTTTTTTTGTTGTTTTTTCAAAAATAAATTAAAAAAAATTTTTTTAATTTAAAAAAATAGAAAATATAAAAAATTTTAAAATTTTACTAAGGATATAAGAAGAAAAAATAAAAATATTAGAACAAAAAAAAATTAATTAATTTGCTTAAAAAAGACTTAAACTAAAAAATGTCTTCTAATATTTAATTTTAAAATAAGCTACATTTTCATTTACCTATTTAAAAATCTCTAACAAAAAATTTTTTTTAATTCTAAAAATACCCCCTAAAAATTATTATTAATTCATTTTCCCCATTAATTACATATGTATTATTTATTTAAACTAGCGGAGGGGGTCGCCCTTCGGGCGAGCCCCTTCCGCTAGCCAAATCTAAACATTACACAAACTTAAAATAAAACACCTCATACATAAAACTCACTCGTCAACTATTAACTCTAATTCAACTATTAACTAAGATTTTCAATTTTCAAATATTAACTTTTAACTATAAATTTTCTACTATTAACTAAGATTTTAAACTATTAACTATTAATATCTATTTCAACTATTAACTATCATTTTCAACTATCACTTCCAACTATGTATTAACTATTAACAATGATTAAACAATTAACTAAAACTTTAAATTTCAACTATTAACTATTAATATCTATGTTTACTATTAACTATCAATTTTCACTATTAACTATTAACAATGATTCGACTATTAACTAAGATTTTCAACTTCCAACTATTAACCATGATTCAACTATTAACTAAGATTTTCAACTTCCACCTATTAACTATTAACAATGATTCAACTATTACCTAAATCAATTTTCAACTATTAATATCTATGTTTACTATTAACTATCAATTTTCGCTATTAACTATTAACAATGATTCGACTATTAACTAAGATTTTCAACTTCCAACTATTAACAATGATTCGACTATTAACTAAGATTTTCAACTTCCACCTATTAACTATTAACAATGATTCAACTATTACCTAAGACTTTCAATTTTCAACTATTAATATCTATGTTTACTATTAACTATCAATTTTCGCTATTAACTATTAACAATGATTCGACTAGTAACTAAGGTTTTTACTTAGTTAAGACTATTAACTAAGGTTCACTTCCAATATTAATATCTATACATCAACTATTATCAACTATTTCAACTATTAACCAACTTTCAAATATTAATATACAAATATTAACTATCAACTATTAACAACATTAACTATCAACTATTAACAACCCTTGTCACTTAACGTTGTCAAACCTCTATCTCAGTCACTATCGCTTTTTTCTCATCCATTCTGGGGACGTTTTCTCAAGCCTATTGAACGACTATTTTCTCTTTCCTATTGACTTTATCTTGTTTATTGGAGAACCCCTTTCTCCAGCCATTCGACGGACACTTTTCTTTTGCTTATTGCTCGAAATCTTTTCTTCACACCATTGCCAGAACCTTTTCACCCGTTTACGGGACCATTTTCGCATAGCATTATTCCAACAATCGCCAGACCCTTCTCACCCATTTACGGGACCTTTTTCTCTAACCATTATTCCAACCATTGCCAGACCTATTTCACCCAGCTACGGGACCCTTCGCCATTATTCCAACCATCTCCAGACCCTTTTCACCCATTTGCGGGACCCTTTTCGCTAACCATTATTCCAACCATCGCCAGACCCTTTTCACCCATTTGCGGGACCCTTTTCGCTAACCATTATTCCAACCATTGCCAGACCTATTTCACCCAGTTACGGACCCTTCACCATTATTCCAACCATTGCCAGACCCTTTTCACCCATTTACGGTACCCTTTTCGCTAATCATTATTCCAATCATTGCCAGACCTATTTCACACAGTTATGGGACCTCTTTCTTTTCAACATTACTGGAACTCTTCCCTCACTCTTCTATCATATGAATAACAAAATAAAACTTAAAAAATTTATTAAAAGAAAAAGCCCAAAAATTGAAAAAAATAAAAAAGTTCTAACGAAAAAACACAAAACAAATTCTAAAAAATTCACATTCTTTCTTTACTTCTCTAAATACACACTATTTTTAATTTTTGGATATTTTGTCATTTTTAATTAAAAAATAAACACAACGCCAAACACAGCAAAATTCAAAGCTGCGGACAGACAAACAAAGCATTCTAAAATTTAATATAGGATTAGCTAAAATTTTCTCTCATGCTTCTTTTATTTGCCCTTTGTTTTCATTATAATAAAAGTAGTTTGTATGTACTGTTCTTATGAAATATTAATTAATTGAAGAAGGTAAATAATGAAAAAAATATTTAAAATAATAAAGTACAGCAGATGGCAAAAACAGAAAAAAATAAAAAATAACACAACATGTGTGTGTACAATTAAAAATATTTTCCGGAAACAAATATATGTATGTATTTTATAGGTAGCTTAAATAATGATATTATTTAATATTTTCCTGAAAAGAGTATTTTCCGGAATAGAGAATAAAACATTTTCCTGAAAGAAGGAATAGAGTATTTTCCGGAACGAATATAGTCTAGAGTATTTTCCGGAAAGAAAATACTCTATAGTATTTTCCGGATAGTATTTTCCGGAATATTTACCTAAGAAGAGTATTTTCCGGAATAGGGAATAAAACATTTTCCTGAAAGAAGGAATAGAGTATTTTCCGGAACGAATATAGTCTAGAGTATTTTCCGGAATATTTACCTAAGAAGAGTATTTTCCGGAATAGAGAATAAAACATTTTCCTGAAAGAAATAGAGTATTTTCCGGAAAGAATATAGTCTATAGTATTTTCCGGAATATTTACCTGAGAAAAGTATTTTCTTTCCGGAAAAATGTTATTTAATATTTTCCTGAAAATAAATAGAGTATTTTCCGGAAAGAATATTTCTAAAAGGTCGGTAGATAAATATATGTATTTTCCGGAAAATAGAAACAGAAAGAAACAGAATAGTTCTGATAAGAAAAAAAAGATTTTTTTAATTAAAAAAATTTTTTTTTTAATTTTAATTTTAAAAATTAAAAAAAAATTAAACAAATATTCAAATAAAAAAATTTTTTACATTTCTCTCTCACATCAAACATCCACCACTAAAAAATTTTGGTAACAAACTATAAATTGGGTATTGCGTATTTCATAATGAACCAAACTTCTTTTTAATTGAAAAAAATTTTTTCTCAAATTAAATTTTAAGCTTTAAAAAATTTTAATTTAGAAAAAAAATCCAACACATTAAAAAAATTAATATTTAAAAAATTTAAAAATCATGAGGTATTTAAAAAAAATCACATCAACGTCAATGAAACTTGACGTTTATCTCCCATAAGAGAGAAGAGAAAATAGAGAAATAGAGAGAGAGTTTATTCAGGAAGTTTCATTTTATATTATTTAAAAAAAATTTTTTTTAATAAATTTATTTTAATTTTATTATAGCTGAACAAACTTTAAAAAATTAAAAAAAAATTTTTTTATACCCAAAAATTTTTTATACCCAAAAATCTTTTAAAATAAAATAGGGAGTGAATACACCCAAAATTATCAGTTTTTTTAAAATTAAAAAAGCCGCTTTTCTAAAATAAAAATTTTTTAAAAGAGAAAAATGAATAGTTTATATTCTCTTTTAATTATTCTTTCATTATTGGTTTATTCTAATAATGCTGGTGGAGCAACAAAAAGTGGAGGTAACAGTAATAAAGCAACTAGTCCTCCAAAAGGAGGAGGAGGAAAGCCACAACCAGCTTCTGGAAATAATAATGCTTCTACTAAAGATTATGCTGCTTTACAATTGGATACTTGGAGAAGTCAAAATGTAAGAAAAAAAAATTTTTTAATTGAGGAAAACTTAAAGAAAAGGGTTAAAAATAGTATAGATAAGAAACAGGCTGGGGATGGATGTAGAAGAAGTGGGGTCCTGATGGAGGGTCCAAGATAACTTGAAGGTTTATCGGCTCGGTTAACTCCGAAAAATTTTTAGTGAAACCGACAATCCTAAGATTGAAAACAGAATTGGGGAAAAAAAGGACATATTTGCTAGAAAGGCTTGAAGCAAAATTTGCTAGGGTCGGAAGAGAGAGGGGGGGGGTAGTAGGATTGAAGACAGATTTTAAAAAGACTGATTGACTTGATAATACAAATATATCACGGTTGGAACTGTCTTCATGAAAAAAGCTAAGGGAATTAAGAAGAGCTATGGGGGAGATATGAGAAAACTTGGGGCTATTATGGAATTAAGAAGAGGTATGGGAGAGATATGAGAAGACTTGGGGCTATTATGGGAATTAAGAAGAGCTATGGGGGATATGAGAAGACTTGGGGCTATTATGGAAGAAACTCTAAATAGGAGGAAAATAAAAATAAAAAACCTTCCCCTCTAAATCTATTATCCTAATTAACCTAAAAATTATTCTCCCTTTTTTTACAGAATCCAGTCAATGTATTAACAGCATCAAATGGAATGCCTGTCCCCTCATTAACAGATTCATTAACTGTCGGACCTCGAGGCCCCACGCTTTTACAAGACTTTGTACTTCTCGATAATCTTTTCACCTTTGACCGTGAACGCATTCCTGAAAGAGTTGTGCATGCTGTAGGTGCTGCAGCTTTTGGAGAATTTGTTGTTACTAACGATGTTACAAAATATACAAAAATGGATATGTTAAAAAAAATTAATCAAACTACCCGTGTTTTTGTTCGTTTCTCTACTGTTGGTTAGTTTGTTTTATTTTCTTTTTGTTTTGTTAGAATGTTTTTCCGGAAAATGTTAGAGAAAGAAAACATTCAACTATAACGAAATGTTTTCCGGAAAGTTAGAACAGTCTTTGTTAGAATGTTTTCCGGAAAAGTTTAAATCATAATGTTTTGCTAAAATGTTTTCGGAAAGGTTAGAGAAGATAAAACACAATAATAAAATGTTCTCCGGAAAGTTACAACATTTTTTGATAGCTAGGATGTTTTCCGGAAAAAGTTAAATCAGAATGTTTTGCTAAAATGTTTTCCGGAAAACTAAAACAATTTTTTGCTTGTTAGGATGTTTTCCGAAAAAGTTCAAAACATAATATTAGTTAGAATGTTTTTCAAAACATTAAAGCAAAGTAAAACAAGTTTTCTTTGTTTTATTAAAATGTTTTCCGGAAAACTTAGTGTTTAAAAACTTAAAAACATTCATCAAAACATTTAAACAAACTCTTAACTAAAAAACATATATTTATTAAAAGGCGGCCGAGCTGGAAGTGCTGATACAGCAAGAGATCCTCGCGGTTTTGCAGTAAAATTTTATACTGAAGTTGGAAATTGGGATCTTGTTGGAAATAATTTGCCAGTTTTCTTCATTAACGACGCTATAAAATTCCCAGCTTTTGTTCACTCCCAAAAATTAAATCCAGTAACAAACTTGGGTGACCCAACAATGACTTGGGACTTTTTATCTTTGAATCAGGAATCAATGAATATGGTTATGAGAGTTTTTTCTGACTTGGGGACGCCTGATGGTTTTCGTAAAATGGATGGATTTGGTGTGCATACTTATGTTTTGGTAAAAAAAAATTTTCAAAAAAAATTTCTAAAAAATTAAAAAAAAAATTCTAAAAAAATCCAAAAAATTTTTCAAAAATTTTCAAAAAAAAAAATCTTTCAAAAAATAGGTAAATGCAAAAGATGAAAAAGTTTATTGCAAATTCCATTGGATAAGCCAACAAGGACATGCTAATTTGACAGCCGAACAAGCAACACTTTTGGCTGGTACTAACCCAGGTTATTCTACTGGTGATTTATACAATGCTATTGCACGTGGAGATTTTCCAAAATGGAATTTAAAAATACAGGTTTAAAAATTTTTAGAAAAAATCAGAAAAAAAAATCAGAATAAAATCAGAAAAATCAGAAAATAAAATCAGAAAAAATCAGAAAAAAATCAGAAAAAAATCAGAAAAGATCAGAAGAAAATCAGAAGAATATCAGAAAAATCAGAAAAAAAATCAGAAGAAAACCAGAAAAGATCAGAAAAAAAAACAGAAAATATCAGAATAAAATCAGGAAAGTCAGAAAAAAATACGAAAAATCAAAAAAAAAATAAGAAAAATACCAAAAAATTCAGAAAAAATATCAGAAAAAGATCAGAAAAAATCAGAAATAAGAAAAAATCGCATTATCAGTAAAAAAACTTTTCCGTTAAAGGTGATGACTGATCAACAAGCTGCCAAGCTTCCATTCAACCCATTTGACCCCACCAAAATTTGGTCTCAAAAAGATTTTCCTTTAATTGATGTTGGTACAATGACACTCAATAGAAACCCAGAAAACTATTTCCGAGATGTTGAACAGGCTGCTTTTGACCCAGCTCGAATGGTTGAAGGTGTACTTCCTTCCCCTGACAAGTTGCTTCAAGGCAAGTTTTTGTAAACACAAAACATAAATTAATAAAAATCAGAAACAATGCAAACATAAAAACATAAAACAAAAACATAATAAACGTTTTGAAAAATACCTAAAACTTTAATAAAAACATTAACTAAAACATCGCAAAACATAAAACTCGACTAAATCTTAAAACAATAATAAACCTAAAAACATACGAACATGTTCAGATAAAATGTTCAGATCTTAATTTGCAAAAACATCGCAAAACATAAAACACGACTAAATAAAAACACTGAAACCTTTAAAACAATTGAACCCTAAAAACACCCACAAACATGTTTGGAACGCCTTTTTTAATAATTACTAAAACATGTTTTAAAAATATTTGTAAAACATGTTTGAAAAAACATGTTTGAATAACATGTTTAGGAACAAAATATCAGAAAAACATTCCTTTTAACCCAAAAACATTTTTACAGGCCGTCTCTTTTCCTACCAAGACACACAATTTTATCGTTTGGGAGCCAATCACATGTTGCTACCAGTCAACTGCCCATACAAATTTAGATATGCTAATGTTCAAAGAGATGGGGCAGCACGTTTTGATAAAAATGGGGGAGGTTCTCCAAACTATTTCCCCAACAGTTTTGGTGGGTATAGAATAGCTGGTGTTCAAAGTACCTGGAATGTTGATAATGCAACTGTTGGACGTTACAAACAAGCTGAAGACTATTTTGTTCAACCAGCAGAGTATTGGAATGTAAGCTTAAATTTCTTCCTCCCTTTAATTTTTTTCCTTCATTTTCTGGCCTAATCTACCTTTAACCTTCCCTTCTTCTATATCTCCCTAACCCTTTTATTTTTCCAAAAAAAATTTTCACCTTAAAATCTACCCCATTTTCTAGGAGTTGAGCCCTGTAGACCGTCAACATTTAGCTGAAAACATTGCTGGTTCATTAGGAAATGCTTTACAAGAAGTTCAAGATAGAATGACCCCATTGTTTACAAAGGTTAATCCAGCCTTTGGGTCAATGGTAAAAACTGAAATTGCCAAACGAAAAGGTACAAAATAAAAAGAAAGTCTAAAAATAATTTGAAAATACTATATGGATTTTCTATCAAAATTATACATATTTAAATGTCTATTCTGTATACCTATTCGCCTTTCCTATATTAACTATAAAGATAAAGTTCAGAGTAAAACAAACTTTCTTAACAAAAACATGTTTTTAAATAAACATCCTTAAACGAACATGTTAAAAATAAAACACAAACAAAACATATTTAATAAAAACATTCTTAACAAAAACATGTTTTTAACAGCTAAACAAAACATGGTCTAAACAAAAACATGTTTACCACAAACAAGTTTAATAAAAACATACTTTTAACACAAACAAGTTCTATAAAAACATTCTTAACAAAAACAAGTTTTTAATAAAATACAATCTAAACAAAACACGGTTCGAACAAAAACATGTTTACCACAAACAAATTTAAGAAAAACATGTTTTTAACAACAAAACTTGTTTTTAACCCTAAAAACATTAAAATAAAAATTACAACTTTCTTATTGCAACTTGTTTTATATAAAAATTTTAAAATCTAGGGAAAACCAAACAAACACAACCACCACCATGTAAAGGAAATTGAAAACACACAAAAACATTAAGAAAAACATGTACATATTTAAATGACAAAAACATTTGTTAAAAACATATTGTCTTTCTCAGAACTTTATTTTAACAAAACCTTTCATAACATTTTATTAAAAACATGCAACTTTTTCATTCCTTTTAATTATACACACTACTATTATTTTTTAAATTTTATTTAAAATAAAAATATGGGAGAAAATTTTAAGTGAATTTTATATGAGTAATAATATGTAAGTTAGTCAATTTTAAAATAAAATTGATTAATATTAAAAAAATTTAAAAAAAAATGGCAAGTTAAATTAAAAAAAAATTTTTTTAAGTGAAAATAAAGAAAAAATAATAAATATTAAAAAATAGAAAAATAAGAAAATAGAAAAAAAAATAAAAAAAAAATGAAGACAAGATTTTTGGCTTAAAAAAATTACTATTTAATAAAAAAATTTTTTTTTTTTTTGAATTTAATTGTTTTAAAACAATTTATAAAATTTGTAATGGATGGGCTTTAAAAAATTATTAAAAAAAAATTTTTTTTAATCAAACATTTTAAATTATTATTTTTTTTTAATGCTGAGAGGCGCAGGCACTGATGAACAACAACATCAGCACTCTCATGCTATAAAACAATTTTTATATATATATATATTTTTTTTTACTCGTTGGAAAAATTTCCGAGAAAGTTATTTAATTTAAAATTGTTTTTAACCCTAAGGGGCCATTTGAGTATACGAAAAATAAAATTAAAAAATAAAATATTAAAAAAAAAGAACCCACCACACACACAATTTAATTAGTTAACAATAAGCCTCCTCCATTTTGTTGTTGTTGTCCATCCATTACAAATTTTGTAAATTGTTTCATTTCTTCACTTGTTAGGGTTGATAAAAATATTGAAGAAGACGCATTTTTGTTGTTAGTCGAAACAATTAAATTAAATAATTGATTTATTTTAGGTATTAATTTGGCAAAGGGAATTGATGCTCCGTTGATTAATATATCGTCCAAAAACTGGAAAAATTTTTTTGAGGGAAAAATTTATTAAAAAATAAAATTTATAGGGATTTTTAAATTTCAAAAGGTGAGGATTAGAGCTGCACACGAAAACGAAAAATTTTGCCCTCAACGAAACACGAAACTAAACGAAAATCATAAAACGAAAATCTCTGGTGAGAGAGTATTTTCACACGCAAAAAAACAAGAATTTTTGAGAAACTTTTCAAAAAAAATTTTTTTTTAATTTTAAAAAGATGGAGGTAGTCCAAATATAGGTATTCCAACAAAAATTTTTTCAAAAAATTTTTTCAAAAAATTTTCACAAAAAAAAAATTTAAAAAAAAAAATTTCAAAAATATAAAATTCAAAAATATTTTTCAGATTTTCAATTTTAGAGAATGTAGGGGAGAGGGGAGTGACGTTACAATTAAAGTATTCCAAAATTATTTTTTTTTATTTTAAAAATATGGAGGTAGTCAAATATTCCCAAAAAAATTTCTGGAGAAGTCTGAGTATTTCCAGATTTTGAAAATTTATATTAAAAAATAAATTAAAAAACCTTCAAAATATTTTCAAAATATTTATTAATTAATTCATCCACCAAAGTTTTACATTGTTGTGATTGTAATACCAATAAAAGTTGACAAAATAAATTTTCCAAGTTTTGCCTGTCCACAGGATTGAGTGAAAACAAATTGAGCTAAAAGTAAAAAAAGAAAAAATTAAAAAAAAAGACATTCAGGTTTGGATTATTCAAGTATGGATTAGCAAACGCGAGTTAGCCAAAATCTAATGATCCTATGAAAATTTTGAAAAAAAAACTAAAAATTGACTTTTCCACCGTGTCTTCTTTTCTTCTTCTCCCAATCCGTAAAAAATTAATTTCTATGATTTTTAAGGAGTGAGGCCCAGGCCCGTAGCCAGGGGGGGGGGGGTAGGGGGGGGGAATTCCCCACCCCCCCCCCCCCCCCGAAATGGGAAAAAGGGAAAATTTTGGGGAAGGGCTGGGGCAAAAAAAGTGAATTTTTTTGGCCTACGGCCTTCGAAATTTTCAAAATTTTCGCCTGCGGCGCTAAAAATGGAAGAAATCTGGCTTCTTGAGGTCCAAAATTCAAAAAATTTTCGCCTGCGGCGCTGAAAATCAAAATTTTGGCGCCTGCGGCGCCGAAAAAGTGGATTTTTTGGCCTTCTAAAATTCTTAAAATTTTCGCCTGCGGCGCTGAAAATAAAAATTTTTCCCCCCTTGCCCCCCCCCCCCCCGAAAAAAAATCCTGGCTACGGGCCTGGTAAGGCCTATCGAATCCTCTATCAAAAAATGGGGTAAAAAAAGAAAAGAGAATCAATGATTGAGTTTCCAATAGAGTTTCAAATTTACGGTCAGGTGACGCTCTTTTCATGAGGACTGGGAGGGCACGGGGACGGGGGTAGCGGTGGTTTTAGCCTCGGTGACGTGGGGACGATGGCTCACCTCCCTCCTTCTCCCGGGGACGATGGGTGAAACCCTGCTTTCCAACCGAAAGTCTCCGTTTAAGGCAACCCAACCAAGTCCCGTTACGAACTCTCAAAGTTTTTTTTAAAGACCCCTCAATTTTTTTAAAATAAAAAATTTCACAAACCTTATCTCCTCTTGGCACAACAAAATTAGAAAAATTATTATTATTTTTTTCTTCACCAATTTTTTTAATTTTAACCAAAGTTTGTTCCAATAAAAAATGAAAATCTTCAAAATTAAATTTTTCAGCCAAACCAATTTTTTCAAAAATTTCAAAGCAATTAGTTTCAATTAATTTTAATAATAAATTTAATCCTTCTGTTAATAAATATTGAATAGAATCACAAAATAATATTTGGACATTTTTGGAAAAATTTTTATTTGAGTTTGTTGTTGTTGTTTCTTCACTTGTAGTACATTCAATATCGTCAAGGAAAAATGATTTTAATAATTTTCTAAAAATTAAAAATAAATTTTACACGAATTTGTACAAACGAAAAAAACACTTTTTCAAATGTATGGACCAGGGGTGGGTCGGAATTCCGATTCCCGACGTTTTTTCCCATTACGATTTCCGAAAAAATTAGATTTCCGACATCAGAGTTCCGACGTTTGAGCCAGTTCCGATTTCCGGCTCTTCCGAGTTCCGACACCTCGGACTGTTCCGACCCGCCTCTGGTATGTGCCTATGTGTTTCTGCCTTCACTGATTCGCAAAACCATAAATTTAATTTTTATAACGGTAGGATCCCTGGTTTGGAGATGGTTAATTTTCAAAGGATTCTAGGTTCTATTACTATTTTTCTGAAATTAGTTCAAAAATCTTGGTGAATGACATTTGATCCAGACTTAAAACAAATCTTAGGGAAAATAATAAGATTAGACCAATTCTCAAAACTTTTCTTGGCTCGGGAACATGGTTCGGAACATGGTTAAAATTTTTTAAAAATCAAAAAAAAATTTTTAATTTTAAAACAAAACTAACATTCCATCATTATAAATTGAAGTAGCATTAAAATCATTTAAATGTTTTGTATTTTGAATTAATTCATTACAAGCAATTTGACATAATATTGCTCTTTGCGCCTTCAATACAATTGTGACTAACGGGAAAATGGTTATAGCAGAAAAGATTTTTGAAATTGACAAAACCTGTAAAATAAAGAAAAATCAGAGGCTCTTATAAGATGGAAAGGAGTGTTACTTGTACACGTCGAAAAAAAAACTTTTGTTTGGGATCTAATGTCATCCCGGCTTACGAAACTATCATGAAGCAAAACCCCATGGAGCAATAACCTTAGAACTTGAACAAGTTGAAACCGACATGAAACGGAACGAAGGACCTATTCATTTTTTGAAACACAGACAACACTTACGGCTACCAAAAACAAACATATAAGGAAATTAGGAGATCAGAAAAAAAGATAAAAATCCTTGGAATAGTTAAGTTTGTGTTTCCCCTTTTTTTCTTTCCGCTGTAGTGTAGTGTACCGAGGTAAAAGTTTGGGACGTGACATATGTCACTCGATTCGTCTCGACGAGCTCAGTCGAACGGTACCACTCCCAATTTCAGAAAATGATTCTGGACCGTTATAGGAGTGACATGCCAAGTCCTAAACTATTACCTCGGTACACTACAGCGGAAATAAAAAAAGGGAAACACAAGCTTAACTATTACCAAATCCTTGAAACTTAAGGCATCCCTTATCCATAGAGAGGACACAACTCCAATTCCCTCCAAACACCTTTATAATCTCAACAGAACTATACCCACACTCCAAGTCTCCCAAATTCATTAAAAATACTGACAGGCCTACTCACACCGAAAACAACTCCTAAAAGTCCCCCACCTTCCACAAAAATAACCCAAATCCTAATAAAAAATAATGAACCTTTAATCTTTCCCACAGCTCTATTTTCCGTTTTGAATCAATTTCAGGTGTTGAAAGTTGTTCTAAAAGGGAATCTGTATCAAAAGTATTGTCCAACTTGGCTTTTAATTGAACTGCAATTTTGAGTAAAACTTTGTCACAAGCTTGTTGATTTAGTTCTATCATTAATTTGAGGCGTTCCTAAAGGTTAAAAAATATATTCAAAATTACAAGTTTCCTATCTTTAACTTCAAAATCGTAAAAAGGAGAACAGGATTTCGAAAAATTGGATCTCAAATTAGGTTTGAGTTGTCAGGTCGAGTCCTGAGTTGGAATCCAGGAAAACCAAAACTGAGGAAACCACAGAGCACACCTGGTCTTTCACTGGGCTTGAGCTGTTTATTTGGGGAAGTAATGGGTTCAAGTCCAGGAAAACCAAACCTAAGAAAGAAAATAATGATACACAGGAACAACGTTAGAGCCCATTAAAGCTCTCGGTTAACTCCTATTTATGTTAGTCTTTAGTAAAGATCGAACTGGGTTTAGATCAATTTTTTGTACCCAGAGTCCAGGCCCATACATTTTTTACCTTCCTGGGCCTGAGGTTTTCCTGGACTACATGCCCAGGATCCGGCCCAGACCAATAAATCAAAACCAGAACCCAGTAACAAGCCAGGCTTTCAAAAACTCAATCTCTAGTTTTTAGAAGACCGTCTCAGAAATTCCAAATAAATCTTCTCCCTAAAGATTTCGATTAAAAAAAGAAACCTCATCCAAACGTTCATCTGTCTGTTTATCTTCATTATTTTGTAAAAATGAGAAAGGTTGTCGAACATAATCGTTAAACTTTGAAGTTTCCAATAAACGTTTAGCTCCATAACATGTTGCAACAGCAGCGACAGTTCCAGCAGCAATTTTGCGCTTATGGCGTTTAATAAATTCAATAGTGGAGAACATTAGATTTAAAGAATTTTTAATCTAAAATTTTGAGAAAAATTTAAAAAAATCTGGTGATAGTCGAACGAAAAAATTTTCTTGTGAAACGGTGAGACTCAAATAGAAAGGAAAAGATAGAAGGAAAAGAATAAAAGGAGAAAAAAGAAAGGTAAAAAAGAAATAAAGGAAGATTTTTAAATAAGATTTTTTGGCGTAAACAGAATGCCAAAAATAAAAAATAATAAACGCCCTAGAGTCAAAGATCAATCGTTTAATCAAAAATGACTCACTCCTCTCCTTTTTTTACCACCCAAAAACTTCTCCAGGTTCTCCCAATCAAGCATTTTTCCATCCAATTGATTCTTGCTCGTAGAAGCACCACCACCACCATCCAGATCACTAAAAACTTCTCAAACTAAAAAAAAATTAAACAAGACAAAAAAATGGACAAGGACAAATAAAGACAAAACAAGTGAAAAATGAGAGCAATGAGGGGGTGAGGGGGATCGCAAGCGCATTTTTAGCAAATTTTTGATAAAAATCCTTAAAATTTACCAGGCCAACAGTGAAGAAAGGGGGACCACGAAGAGCATTCCATCCACTCGAGCAAGCCAGTAGACGCACCAGGCCACCAGATCTAGCTAAAAAAATACCCACCCTCCCTCCTCAATTTTTTAAAAAACAAAACCACACCGACTTCCACCAAACCAACATTGCACAGCAGCTCCAAACAGCACCACTCCAGCATTGACACCAGCACCACCCCAGCATCCATCTATTAGAAGAAAAATATAAAAATAAAAAAAGGATCATTTTTTTAAATTTTAAAATGAAAAAAAAACCGCACATGCATTGAAGAACACCAACATGAAGAGCAACACCAACCACCATGTAGAGCAACCACCAACCACCATGCAGAGCAACCACCAACATGCAGAGCAACACCAACCACCATGAAGAGCAACCACCACCATGAAGACAAAAAAATTTTTAAAAATAAAAAAAAATAAAATTTATTAAAATTTATAAAAAACAAAAAACCGCCACCATAAAAGGCACCACCACCAACATGAAGGCCACCACCACAAGCACCACCAGAAGAAAAAACATGAAAATAAAAAAGGTTATTTTTTTAATTTAAAATTTTAAAATAACATGGGGAAAATCTCACCGTTTGATGGAGCCACCATGAGGACCACATCGCAGAGCAACCATGGGGGCCTTCAAATTGAAGAAAATTAGTAAAGTTTTGAAAAATTTTTAATTTTATTTTATAAATTTTTTGCGCTCGCAGGGGGCAGTGAGAAAAAACGAATAAACGTGTAAAAATACGAATAAAATAATAAAAACGAATGAGATAAACAAGAAAAATAAAAAAATCAACAAAAAAAAACAAAAATCTCGCAAGATTAACGAAAACAAACAAAAATCCATAATCAAGAAAAAAAGTGAAGCCAAATCCTTTTAAACTAAAAATACACACAAGCTTACTGTAAGTAATTCTGTTAATTTTCAATTTGGAAATGTCAAAGTGTCAACTAGTTGATATTTTGTCAAGTACCCGAAACAATGGAGAATTCCAGTCTTTTTCCAGTCTTTTTTGCATTTACCTAATTTTCTTTTCTAGCAGCGTGATTTCTTTTTTTGTTTGTCTTTTTATCTGATTAAGGGGATCTGACTATGGCGGGATCCACTAAATAAATATACCTAGAAAATTATCAATAAATTACCGGATTTTATTTTTCTCGTTTAACAGAAATTAGGGAAACTAATTTACCTAATTTTTTATTTTTTCAGTTTCAGAGACAAAAATCTCACGCATTTCCAACTTAAAAATTTATTTAAATTGTTTTTTGTACCATCTTGGATTTTTTCAATTTATGCAGCCTTCGACTAGTGCAGTTCAAAATCTAGCCTCAAACATTTTGGACGAAAAGGATTTGGAGGAGGAAGATGCCAAATTTCTTCTAAAAGCTTTGGGTTGGTTATTTTATAATGTGGGGGTTTTTAGCGACTCTAGGGTTTTTCCTCATAATTTTGGGAGTACGGGCAGATTGATATTTGGTCAATTTTTACTCTTTTTGTCCCCAAGTGCTCCTGGAAGCCTCTACTATGTCCCTGAATTTTTCCATAATTCTAACTTTTTTGACTGCTACTTGAAGTTTATGTTCTAATGAAGTCTATGGTCTTCTCCTCAAAATTTTCCTGAAGTCTGTTTTGGTACTAGAGGCAAACAAAAAAAGAAGCTACCGTCTAATTCCATCAGACCTTCAGAATTGGGAGAATCTTGAGAACCTAACATCACTATTCTTTAAAATTATTAATAAATTTAATTTAGAAAAACAAGCTTTTGAACATGTCCTCTATGCTTTTCGGGCGCAAGGGCCGCTTACAAAATACAAGGAACTTATTCTTGAACACTTAAAATCGGCATTATTGTTTGTTTTTAATTTATTTTAAATTATTTTTTAATATTTAGCATTACTGACCAAGAATTTTCTTTGAATCTGAGAATTGCGGCGAATAATCCATACTTAAACGAAATTGTTCAAAAGTATTTTTTAAATATTTTTTAATTTTATTTTAATCTATCGGGATGTTTTCGGTATTGAAACCCTTCAGGCTTTGGCCTTGAAAAGCAGAAATAACGAACAAATTTTTTGTTCCCTGTAACGAAATTATTTTAAGAAATTTATTTTCAAGTTTTCACGGGTTTGAGCAATTACAATCTTTATATTTGTCCGTGGGTACATCCTTGAACTCTTTGAAGTTGATCCCTTGAAAATTTTTGAGGGTTAAAATTTTTTGAATAAATTATACTAGGAATGTCACGAAAAGCTCGATTATTTTTTTAAACGAAAGTTTTTCAAAAATTATTTCTTACGAGTTTTTATAATTCACAACTCTTCATCTGTACATCCTTTAATTGACTTTTCTAATATTGACCTCTTAGATACCGAAATGAATTTTTTCTTTCTCCTTTTAAATAATCCATTTTTAGATTAAATCCTTCTTACGACAATTTTTCTGAATGGTTAGCTGCTGGTCTAGACTTAACTGGAGCTGAATTGGCTAATTCTAGAAGACAACAATCAAATAATAATAATTCAACTTTGAGTGATCATTCAACCCAAATCCTTCGTGAAATTCGTCGTCACAATCGAAATCTTTCTCAGGAAAGTTGTGGTGCTAGTGAAGCAATTGCTGAACTTTATCAACTTCCAAAACGGCCTTTTAGTTTGTTTTTAATTTATTTTAATTTTTTGAAATATATGTGAGCAATTTACCGTTTAGATTTTTAACAGACATGGTTTACCATTTTGGTGTAGTGGTATAAATTTATAAAAAAAAATGAGGTCGAGTGTTCGAATACCACCGAAGTACAATTATTTCTAGATTATTATTACTTTGGTGTAGTGGGAAAAAATTACGAAGAAAATTTCTTTTTATGTTTAAGGTTCGAATCCCATTGGGGGACTGCAATTTTTATACAATTCCTGGGTGATTACAACCTTGGTGTAGCGGGATAATATTAAGAAAAAAATTATTTTTTTCTTGCTTGAGGTCGAGGGTTTGAATCCCACTGTGGAATTTTTTTAAATATAGAAAAAAACTAAAAAAATATAAATATTTTTCTAGTGCCGGAAAGGCTTCGAAAATTACTTCGAGATACTGAAGCAGATGGAGCTGTTGTTGATATCCCCACTGAAACAATTAAAAAAGAAAAAGTTGAAACAATACCTCAAATAACAACAAAAAACACTACTACAACAACAACAAAACTGGCAGAAGCAACAAAACAAATAAAAAAAAGAAATGTTGGTAGACCAAGAAAATATCCTAGAAAAGAAGAAACAAACAACAATAACAGCAACATTGAACAACATAAACATCAAGAAAAACATAAACAACATGAGAAACAACAACAAACAAAAGAAGAAACACAAAAACAAATAAATATTAATAATCACAACACGAACAACATTAATTGTTTTAAAGGAAAAATGTGGGGGAAAAGGCGTCCAAATAGGTTTGTTTTAGTGTTTTTATTACAAAAAATGTTTGTTCTAAATTCTGGTATTCTGGTTTTATATTTATGCATGTTTTTATTAAATTCTGATTGTTGTATTTTTCTTCCGGAAAATGTTTTCCGGAAATGTTTGTTCTAAATTCTGATTTAAATTTCTTGTTTTATAGAATGTTTGTTTTAAATTCTGGTTTTCTATTGTTTGTTTTAAATTCTGATTTTTGTATTTTCTTGCGTTTTTCTGTATGTTCGTTTTAAATTCTGATTTTTACATTTTAGTTCTGATAGAGTTTATTCTGGAAATGTTTATTTTAAATTCTGATTTAATTTTCTGGTTTCTTATGTTCGTTTTAAATTCTGCTTTTTATTTTTTCCTTCCTAAGAATGTTTTCCGGAAATGTTCGTTTTAAATTCTGATTTTTTTGTTGTTGTGTTTTCTGGAATTGTTAGGTATGTGATAATTTGTGTTAAATTAATAAATATGGAGCATATAAAAAATAATTTTTTTTTCTTTTAAGAATTAAATATTTTTTATGTTTATTTTAAATAGGGCAAGTTTGTATTGACCTAAAAAAATTTTTTTGTTTAAAAATTTTCTAATATTTTTATTTTTTTTTAAAGGTGGAAAGACTCTGACGATACAATTAAAAAAGAAGAAAAAATTGCTTCAACATTTTCTTCTTCAATTTTTGCAAATAAAATACCAGAGCATTTAAACAATTCATTCAAACAAATTTATTCTTCTACTTCAAATAATTCTGTACCCATTAATAATCATATTATTCAACCTTCAACAAGTACAAATGTTGCTAGTTGTTCAACTGAAGCAATGGAAAATTTGGCTGATTTGGCATTGGCACAATTGGCGGTTTTTTTTTAATTTTTTTTTTGAAATTTTATAAATTTTTTTTTGAAATTTTCTTTTTGATTTTTTTAAATTTTTTTTTGAAATTTTTGAAATTTTTTTAAAAATTTAATTTTTAGATTAACTTTATTTTAAATTAAAAAAATTTTTTTTTCGAATTTTTTTTAATTTTTTTGAAATTAAAAAAAAAATTTTTTTTGAAATTTTTTAGATTTTTCTGAAATTTTTTTAAAATTTAAAAAAAAATTTTTTTAATTTCTAAAGGAATTCCCATTAATTCCGTCTTCGTCTACCTCAGTTTCATCATCTATTTTAATGCCTCCACCTCCACTACCTCCCCCACCACCAATTAATATTACTTCAATAAATACTTCAACAATTTCTACCCAAATTTATGGTATTAGTAATAACTTAAAATCAACAATAACAACAAAAAATGAATTGTTTCAACAACCAAATAATAATAATAAATTTAATAGTCAACATAAAAAAGATGTTAAAAATGATTCTGATAGTATAGGTTTGTTTGAAAAAAATTTTTTTTATTAATTTTTTTTAAAATTTTGTAAACGTTCAAAATAATTGTCCATCCAATTTTTAGTAATTAGGTCAAATTAAACTCATTTTCAAAAATTTTTTTTACGTATTTAGGGTAGTCGTTTTTGAGTTGGGCCGATGGTTTTTGGACTTTTTATCAAGTCGGGTCTTGTTTTTATCAAGTACGAATCTTTTTCGGACCAGATATACTAAGCCCAACTCGATCTTTCGGTCCGAGTCGGTCCATTTGAAAGAAAATGGATAATTTGGCAACAAACCGTTTGCAATCATTTTGCACCCAACCATATCTATTTGGCAACCAAATCCATTTTTTTCAGATGAGAAAATTGTAAAAATTTTAAAAGAACAACTTGGTGCTGAAGGTACTTCATTTGTTGTTAATGCTTGTGCTCGTGTAAGACCTTTTGTATTTGAACGGGATATACAAAAGCAGAAACAACAACAATATGGAAAAGCTGAAAATAAAAGGTTTTTAAAAAAAAATTTTTTTTTTGGAATTTTTTTGAGCATTTTAAATTTGATTTTGGATATTCCTTTTTATACCTTATCTGATTTTGAGTTAAAAAATATTTTTTTTCCATCAATTCTCTTTCTCTTCGATTTTTAGTCCTTTACTTAATTTCTCTTTGCATTTTCTACTCTAATTTGTAAGTTTGGTCTTTCTATATTACAGTCGAATCTCGATAAAGCGTTTTGCTCGGAACCAAAATTTGGTGTGCATAATAAGAAGATTTGGAGACGCACACGAATTGTGAGCGATGTGATATGGAGTGATAAGAAGAGGTTATGTATTATTGTTGGCTGTATCGAGATTTGACTATTTCCTGGCTATATCGAGATTTGATTAGTACTTTCTTTTCATAAATTTGATTACCTTAAATCCTGGAATAATTACCAAGGATAATTATTATTTCGACTTTTCGTTGAAAGGGGTAATTAAAAGAGCGGTGGTAATTATTTGAGAGAGAGGGACATTATGTCAGCAGTTAGGATCTTTATAAGTTATTTTTAGAGAATTTCTCATAATTTTTTAAATTTATCCAAAAAAAATTTTTTTTTTATTTTAGCAACTTTCATTATTCAAATCTTCTACTTTCTCGTAACTGTAATAATAAATCTATTATTGATAAAACAACAACAAATAATAGTTTAACAACAAAGTATATTTCACCATCCTCTTCAAATTGTGTTGATGTTATTGTTGATGTTGTTGATGATAGTCATTTATACAATGAAACAAAAAATAAGGATAATTTGGATGATTATATACAAATTGAAAATGATGATAATTTTATAAAAAATAATTGTAAACAAGGGAAAGAACTAAATGGATTTGTTGCTGCTGATGGTGGTAGTGGTAGTGGGGAAAAAGAAATGAAAATGGAGTATTTTTTAAATTTATTTTAGTAGTAAAAAATTTTTTTTTTGTAGTGTTTCAAGTGTGGTACAACCATTACCTCCTACTACTACAACAACAACATCAGCGCCAACTTTGTTTTCGACAAAAATCATTCAAAATATTCCAGGTTTGTTTTTAAATTTTATTTCTTAAGTTGAGATAGAGGGGCGTACTTTATTGCAGTCTTGTCCAATTCTGTTGGTTTGAACTGGCCTTTTTTTAATTAGAGGGGCGTACTACTTTTCGAAAGTACTTTTTGAAATGACTTTTTGTTCTTGTGTTTTGGGGTCGTTCAATTTCTTTTACACCGGACATGGGTCGGATTACCCGGAATCTGGACTTCTTAGCTGCCTAAAACCCATCCGAAAACAATTTTCAAAACCATTCCTATTTATTTTCTTGGCCCGATCCATCCCAGGTTTATACCAAAATTAATATGTTTTTTATGTTAAAAATGGGAAAAGTCCTCAAAATTTGGCAAATCTTTTTTTGGAAGAAAAAGAAGCTTAGGAATACTCACAAAATTTTTTTTATAATTTTAGTATTAATAGAAGAGGAAGCATCTGGTCTAGATTTTTTGGCGTCAACAGCAAGTTTATTGCAACCAATTGAAATGAACAAGTCAAATAGTGAAAATAATAAAGGCAATTTATTTAATGAACAAAATATGAGTAATAATAATAAACAGCGGCATTCAACTTTTACAAAATGAGAGAGAAGAAAAGGTTTTTTTTTAAATTAAAAAATAATGGTAAAATAATAGGAAATTTTATTGTTATACATAGTATAGAGTAAAGAATAAACAACATTTGCGGACATTCGCAAATGTTTGTAATTTTTCTTTCTAAAAATTTTAACTTGAGAAAAAGATGGTTTTGATTCCGCCATTATAGGACTAGCTTAAAAGAAACTTGAGGGGAATTCTGATATTTCCAGATTTATTTTGAGGGGAATTCTGATATTGAGGGGAATTCGGATATTCCCAGATTTATTTATTTTATGAAGTTTTCATAAAAGAATTTTTTGAAATCTTGTATTCGTTTACTAGTAGTCCAATTTCCAAGTCCAATTTTCTACTCTTCAACTTTTACAAAACTTCACAAAATATTTCCCAATACCTCCCCCCCTCAGCATTTGGAACAAACATACATACCTCTCCCATAGCGTTTTTTGTTTTCGGTTTTTCCTTTTGTCCGCAAATGTTGATTCGCGCAAATTTTATCTAAAAAATTTTTTATTTAATTAAAAATGTGTGAACTTGTTATATTTTAGATTCAAAAAAACATTAAAAAAATACTCAAAAATTCCCTCGTTTTTATATATTATACTCTCTTTTTTTGCATTTACTTATAATATTTTTTAAAATTTAAAACTGAATTTATTTTTGAGGAGGAAAATTAAAAAAAAATTTTTTTTTCAAGTAAAAAATAAATTCAGTTTAAAAATAAATAAAGGTTTATGATAGTCTCAGAAACCTTTATATAACATTTTAAATTTATAGTCGAATCTTGATAAGAAAAAGAAAAAAAAATTCTTGGAACAATCTCTTAACTGCTAGCGAATTAATTTTTAACTGCTAATTTAAATGCTGTCGAATTTTTTTAACTTATATAACGTTAAAACTTTTTTTTTAATTTTTGCGGACATTATTTGCGGACAAGATTTTTTATAAAAAAAATTCTTTTTAACTGTATTAAAGCTGTTCAAACAAATACGTTTTTCAGTTAGAAATTTTTTTAAATATCTTATAAAGGTCTCTGGGACTATTTAATTACTGCTGCCAAATATATTAAATTAAAAAAAATTATATCTTACTTCAATCTTCTTTTTATTGTCCCTATTTGATGATTAAAATATTTTAAAAATGAATTCAAAAAAAAATTATTTTTTTGTCTCCCTTCTTTCTCTCTCGCATTAACTTGTTTAGAAAAAAATTAAATTAAATTCTATATATTGTCTATTAAAAAAAATTTTTTTGAGGAATAAAAGTAAAAACTTGGTCTATATTTTCTCTTGCTTCAAGCACACAAGTGTTTTGATCACTTTTAAATTTTTTTTCTAATTAAAAAAAATTTTTTTTAAAGGTTAGAAATTTATCTTTTAATGAAATCAAACAGGTTTATAATTTCAAGTTTATTTTTGTTCGGATTATGTTTACTTCTCAGCTTTTCATTTTTGTTAATTTTTACTGGAGCTTCTACATATTCTTGTAAATCGCCTACTGGTGCTGATGTTGACTGGTTTGCTTAAATTTTATTTATTGGAGGGTTGCCCTTTGTTTTTTTTATAGCTGGGGGAAGGGTCTTTTTTTTACTCCTTCAAAATTGTTTAAGTTTTATCCAGCAAGGTGTATAAAATTTTTTGTTAAAAGATATAAGAGTGGGCTTAATCTTGCGGATAAAACTTGCGGACTTTTTGGGATTATAAAAATTGTAAGGAAGAAGGTTGAAATCCAATTTGCCCTTTGAAACACTCCCAAGATGGGGCCCTATTAGTCTAATCGTTAGAGCACCTTGTATTTGTCGAACGAATAGAGCCGAGTCTGGACCATGTCCTGGGTTTCCCAGAGTCCAGTAACAGGCCCAGGCTTTTCAAAAATCTCTATCTCTGGTGCTCAGCATTGCCTGACAGAATGCTCAAGGGGTCGATGCCTGTTTCTGGGTCATTAAACTTTCTCTCTAATTATTTTAAAGGTTCGTGGCCTTCAAATTACCCAATTCAATTTCTAATGGAACGTCCTTTCTTTATGCCGATTCTAAAAATGGTCAAGATTGGACATTATCTAAAGCTAATATTGAAGATGAAACTTCAGCAATTGGTCGAATAATACTCCAAATATTTGAGGCTAAAAAGGCAAAGACTGATTTGATTGCTTTATATAATGATGAAAATCCAAATGATGGAAAACCTGATTCTGGACGAGCACATATGAAGGTTTACATAAATTAATTAAAAGGAAATGTGTCGTTTATGTAGAATCTGTCGATGAGGATCATCCTGAAGTGTTCATTTTAAGGGACCATCAAGAAAAGATATGTTTAGAGGTAAAATATTCTGATAAAATATTTCATCCTGAAGTGTTCATTTTAAGTGACCATCAAGCAAAGATATGTTTAGAGGTAGAATGTTAAATAAGATTAAAAATATTCTGATAAAATATTTTTTGATTAAAATATTACGACATTTTAGTAGTATTTTCGAAATTTTTTACAAATCTGAATTTTTAGCGCCAAAAAGGAAATATAGTTTAAATTTTTAAAAATAATTGAAATTAAATTTTTAGTTTAATAAATGAAAAGTTGGCTGCTAAAGAAAAAGAAATTGATTTACTTAAACAAAAAATCGATCTAGACAATGAAAAGTAAGTCTCTCATTCAAATAATTTTAACCTAAATCCTTTTTTTATTTATTTTATTTATTTATTTAAAATAAAAAAACAAGCAACAAAACGGGGTGAGCCATTTACATTGTTGCACTATATATTGATTTGTATTAATTACCCTATTTGGACATTTAGAATTTTATTTTTATTGTCTATAAGTTGTTTAAAAAACCATTAATAAATATCCTAAGCGTGTTTATTGTTAATATAGTGTATTTTTGAAGGGGAAGAGAAAGTTGGTCTTAAGTCATTTTTGAGCCAATAGGGGGAGATTGGCACCCAAGGGGTCTTTATATCTCTTGTAATGACTGATATTACTTTTAATCAATCCCTAAAATTAATAATCCACAAGTTTTTAGTTATATTTATTCCTTTCTACTATAAATTTAAAAATTGAGTATGTTTACTAAAGGCACCACCAACAACATATTAACATAAAAATCTAAAATATTATTATAATAAGAAATCTGAAACTTATAGGTGCTCTAAAAGGCAAAAACCCAATAATTGTAAAGGAGAGGTAAAAGCTATAAATAATGAAGTTGTTGAGCTGAAACAGCACAACGCAGCTAAATGCCAAGAGGTCTGATTTAAAAAATTTTAATTAACGTGTATGTTTATTAATTCTGTTATTTAGATTCGATTAGTCTTACGATGACAAGTTTATTTTAGAATTTATTAAAATTTTTTAAATTTTTTAGTTTGGAAATATTTTTTCGTTTTCTAATTTTATTCTTATTAGAACGCTGCGCCAACCGAAGATAGATAGTGTAAAGATAGATAGTGTCTTAAGTTATAACTTATTTTCTTCTTGAAATAGTTAAGGCGTGAGAAGCTCAAATCCATTGTTATTTTTCAAATATCCTACGTTTAGTCACCTATTGAAACCTATTGGAGATTTTTAACCTAAAATAGGTTGTAATATATTTCTATTTATATTTCTATTTCCTATTTTTGACACCTATTCTGTCATTTAATACAACCTATTTAGGCTAATGAACACTTTGAAAATTAAATTTTCTTGAGTAAAAATGCGAAACGAATGAAAAACATCATAAGTGCTCCAACGGTGAAATTAAGAGTCTTGCATTTGAAAAAAACCCGGGACCTGAGAAAAACCCGACCCTTTTTAACAAATTACTTTTCTCTAAAATCATTAGAATTTGCTTTCTACAACTCAAGAAGAAGTCGCTCAGCGTATAGCTAAACTAGAAAGTGATAGAAGTGAATTGCAAGAGAAGTGAAATCAATTGGAAGCTGCTCAAAAAGAAATTGAAAACTCTAAAAATAATTTACAACACGAGGTAGTAATAAGTTTTAATAAAAATTAATGATTATATGAGCAGATGGAACAAAATATGGCATATTATAATGACGAATTAAATAAAAAAAGAGAAAGAATAAATAAATTGGAAAATGAAAAAGAGTAAGTTTAGAAACGTATAAAAACTTAGGACAAATAAAACTAAGTTAAGTTTCCCAGTATTTGGAACAACCTTCCCCGACGTATCAAAAACCTTAAATAATCTCGAACAAATAATAAAATTAAAAAATCTAACGTAGACAGTGACGAAACAAATGAGTTCAAAACACGGATGGACCCAAAAAAAAGAAAATTTTATAAAATATTCAAATTTTGTAGAAAATTAGAAAAGGAATCTGATTAGAGATAAGCAATACGACCTGCTTAGACAGGAAAATGACTTGCTGAAATATAGGTAAACTATTTTATTTCTTATTCCAATAGATTTAACTACAATTCTTAACTATGTTCTTGATTTGTTATTATGAACAAATAACAGTAAAACTAAAAAATCTAAATTGATTGAAATTTAGATTGAAAAAATTGAAAATTGAAATTGAAATTGACAATGGAAACCCCATTAGATTGAGGGAAAAATCAAAATGCTTAAAAAATAAAACGCTTATTTTTTACAAGATCTGAAATTGAAAATATTGAGGCTGGGTACAAAAAGTTGCAGGTATATCAGGGCATTTCATATTAGAATCTTTTTCAACTTTTAGGTGGCAACGGAATGCAGGTCTCTTCTCAAGAAGTACTTCACTAAGGAAGTTATGGACCAGTGTAAAGGACTCACATCAGAACTAAGCTTGGTGCGAACTTGCTTGATATGATCCAGTCTGGAGTTGCAAATCTTGATAGTGCAATTGGTGTTTATGCGTCTGATGCTGAGTCTTACACTCTCTTCAAACCACTTTTTGACCCGATCATTCAAGTTGTTTTTAAATTTTTATTTAAATATTTTACTTCTTTCAGGACTATCACAATGGATTTGGACCTGATCAAAAGCAGCCTCAAACCGATTTTGGTGAAGGAAAGACTCAGCTTTTGCCTGACCTGGATCCTGAGGGTAAATTCATCATCTCGACACGTGTCCAATGTGGGCGTTTTCTTCAGGTTTTTGTGTGTTGTTAAAATATGTTTATTTTTCTTGTGCATGGGTATCCGTTCAACCCGTGCTTGACTAAAGAGAATTATACTGAAATACAGGACAAAGTTAAGGGAGTCTTTGACCAGCTTAAGTCTGGTAGGTTTCCCTTTACAGTTTACATTAATATTCAGATGCTTAGCTTGGTGGCACCTACTATCCTTTGGAGGGAATGACTAAAGAGGTTCAAACTCAATCAATCAAGGACCACTTTTTCTTCAAAAAAGGAGACCGCTTTTTCAAGCTGCGAATGATTGTCGTTATGCTTGTCGTATTTTATATATTGTCTATTAAAAATAAAATTTTTTTGAGGAATAAAAGTAAAAACTTGGTCTATATTTTCTCTTGCTTCAAGCACGCAAGTGTTTTGATGACTTTAAAAATTTTTTTTCTAATTAAAAAAATTTTTTTAAAGGTTAGAAATTTTCTTTTTAATGAAATCAAACAGGTTTATAATTTCAATTTTCTTTTTGTTTGGATTTTGTTTACTTCTTATCTTTTCATTTTTGTCAATTTTTACTGAAGCTTCAACATATTCATGCAAATCGCCTACTGGAGCTGATGTTGATTGGTTTTTATTTTTTTATTTTTTTTGGATTTAAGGGGGATTTTTAATATATAAGGAAATGATCCGTTATACTCTCAAAATTCTGAAAGTTTACCCGCAAGGTGTATATAATTTTTTATTAAATGATTTAAAAGGGTTATTTAGAAAGCCCTTGCAGGTTTTAAGTAAGAAATTTAAAAAATTTTGCTGATAAAACTTGCAGACTTTTTTTGGGATTATAAACAAGGGTGAAATCCAATTGACCATTAGAAACACTCACAAGATGGGGCCCTATTAGGTCAATCGTTAGAGCACCTTGTATTTGTCGAACGAACAGGGAGGGACTCACAATCAGAGATCGAACTGCGTCTGGACCAAGCCTGGGGTTTTTCTGTACCCAGAGTCCAGTAACAGGCCCAGGCTTTTCAAAAATCTCTATCTCTAGTGATCAGTAATGACTGACAGAATGCTCAAAGGGTCGATGCCTGTCTGGGTCATTAAACTTTTTCTCTAACTTTTTTAAAGGTTCGTAGCTTACAAATTACCCAATTCAATTTCTAATGGAACATCCTTTCTTTATGCCGATTCTAAAAATGGACAAGATTGGACTTTATCTAAAGCTAATATTGAAGATGAAACTTCAGCTATTGGTAGAACAATACTTCAAATATTTGAAGCTAAAAAGGCAAAGACTGATTTGATTGCTTTGTATAATGATGAAAATCCAAATGATGGAAAAACTGATTCTGGACGAGCACATATGAAGGTTTATATAAATTAATTAAAAGGAAATGTGAAGTTTATGTAGAATCTGAGGATGAGGATCGTCCTGAAGTGTTCATTTTAAGGGACCATCAAGCAAAGATATGTTTAGAGGTAGAATGTTAAATAAGATTAAAAAATATTCCGATAAAATATTTTTTGATTAAAATAAATTCTGATTTAAATTTCCCCTTTTAAATGTTTCATTACTTCAGAAAAAACGCCAGGTGTACCTCCTCCCCCTTTAGAACAACCTCCTCTACCTCATGTAGATAATAATCCTTTAAATATACCAGCAATATATGAACTTTCACTAGAAAAAGAGTTAACTTGAAAAAGAGTTAACGAATATTAAGCAACAGTTGGGGGATGCTGAAGCTGCTCAAAAAGAAATTGAAAACTAAAAATAATTTACAACAAGACCAACGACATATTAACATATAAAAATCTAAAATATTATTATAGGAAATCTGAAACCTATAGGTGCTCTAAAAGGCATAAACCCAATAATTTTAAAGGAGAGGTAAAAATTATAAATAATGAAGTTGTTGAGTTGAAAACTAATAGTTATTTGAGTTGAAAACTAATAGTTATTTCCCATTTACCACCCTTATAAAATTTTGAAAACTAATAGTTATTTTTAAAATTAAAACAAAATTATTAAACATGTAATTTAGATTAATAACGACAAATTACTGCAAAGAAGAATTGTTAAAAAAATTTAAATATACAACCATTGAAGGATGAAATAAAAAAATTAAAAGAAGATATAGATTTGAAGGAGAAGAAGGAAATTTTAGACAGGCAAAAAATTGAAGAACTAGAATTTAGGTGTGTTACAATATATCCGGGGTTTTGACTTGCTCCCGTTTATAAGCCTAAATTTTTGAGTGTTCGCGTTTAAATCGCACAATTGTCCAATTATTTTACGACTATAATAAATTCAGGCAGTTAAACGTGAGCACTGAAACGAAGTGTATTAAGAAAATATTGAGTAAAAAATTTAAGTTGGCTTAGGACATTAAATATGGAAAAATTTTTTGAAATTATAGATTGAATGAAGCTCATGGAACTACAAACGGGGAAAATGTATGCTAAAATTTTTCAGTTCTTTAAGTAGTTTACTAAAGGCAGCACCAACGACATATTAACATATAAAAATCTAAAATATTATTATAAGAAATCTGAAACCTATAGGTGCTCTAAAAGGCAAAAACCGAATAATTGTAAAGGAGAGGTAAAATTTTTAAACAATGAAGTTGTTAAAATTTTGAGTTCGTCTACACTAAAGATTTTGGTGTGGTAAATAATGTTAGACTCTAAAAGTTCATTTGCTGAAAATGTAAGTCTAGCAACCCCGACAGCAGTTCAGCAACTAAGACTCACTCGTCTCCAAATGAGAAGGCAATTCTTCTCATCGACTTTTTCAAAAAGAAAACGACGCCGCTCCACCAACATTCTACTAAAAAATACTAAATACATACTAAAAATTAAGAAAATTATAATTAAAATCTGATCTATACCCATACGATTTATTGCACTTTTTCATAATACCAACATTTGTTGCTGCATTTAACCAGCTTTTTCTAAATTTTCGATTTTCGAAAGATTTCAATTTCCTTAAGAATATACGTAATGATCAGACTTTTCTTTCATCTTTTCACTTGATTTCCCCCATGTCCCCGAGTGCCGTATCAGTTATGCTATATAATGGATTTAGAGATACCGGAGGACTATGGATGACGTCAGGGTATTTGGGGAAATATCAAAGATTAATTTCTATATTTTATCGCGCCGCAGGTGAAAATTTTGAGGGTTTTGGAGGGCTAAGAAGCTAGAATTTCTTTTTTCAACGCCGCAGAAAAAATTTTAACTCTTCTTTCTTACTCTTTAAAATAAATCATAAGTTTTTCATTTTCTTTATATCTCTTGTAATCTCCTGATATTACTTTTAATCAATCACTAAAATTAATAATCCACAAGTTTTTAGTTATTTATTCCTTTCTACTATGTTTACTAAAGGCACCATCAACAACGTATTGACATACAAAAATTTAAAATATTATTATAATAAAAAATCAGAAACCTATAGGTGCTCAAAACGGCAAAAACCGAATAATTGTAGAGGAGAGGTAAAATTTTTAAATAATGAAGTTGTTATGCTGAAAGAACACAATGCAGCTATCTGCAAAGAGGTCTGATTTAAAAAATTTTAATTAACGTGTATGTTAAATTTTTTAGTTTGGAAATATTTTCTCGTTTTCTAATTTTATTTTTATTAGAACGCTGCGCCAACCGAAGACTTTTTGGAACAAATTGGCAATAAATCTTTAAGACGCCTTTCTAACGCTTCTTTGGAAAGTGGCCTTTTAAATGCACAAGTTATTCCCAACAGCATAAGATTGTCTGCCTCTCCATTAAATGACATATCTTCGGATACAGAAAGCAATGCTGCAGAGAATGCAGAATTTGATCAATTAGATGAAATGCCTCGTTATAAGGTTAACAAATTACTTATCTAACAAACAATTTACTAATAACAAATTACTTATCTCTAAAATTATTAGAATTTGCTTTCTGCAACTCAAGAAATATTTTCTGGCAATAAATCTGCAACTCAAGAAAAAGCCGATCAGCGTATAGCTAAACTAGAAAGTGATAGAAGTGAATTGCAAGAAAAGTTGAAATTAATTGGAAGTGGAGAAAAGGTTTATTATTATTTAGTTTTTAGTAGATTGGAATTAAAAAGAATAGATTTAAGTTTGATCATAAAAGTCTTATGTTTGTTTTTTAAGGTTGATGAACAAAATGAAAAAATCAAAAAGCTTCAAGACCTTCTCACTAAATGTAAGGATGAAATCACCTCAAATCGTGGCACTTTATGGCCGTATCACTTTATTTTTTTTTTATTCTATATATTGTCTATTAAAAATAAAAATTTTTTTTGAGGAATAAAAAAAAACTTTATCTATATTTTCTCTCTTACTTCAAGTGACACAAGTGTTTTGATCACTTTAAATTTTTTTTTTCTAATTAAAAAAAATTTTTTTTAAAGCTTAGAATTTTTTTAATGAAATCAAACAGGTTTATAATTTCAAGTTTATTTTTGTTTGGTTTTTGTTTATTTCTCAGCTTTTCATTTTTGTCAATTTTTACTGGAGCTTCAACATATTCATGCAAATCGCCTACTGGAGCTGATGTTGACTGGTTTGCTTTTTTTAATTTTAGGGTTGTTGAAGGGTTGCCATTTTTATATATAGGAAATGGTTTTTTATACTCCTTCAAAGTTTTGGAAATTTTATCCGCAAGGTGTATTTAATTTTATTAAAAAATTTTGCGGATAAAATTTGCAGGCTTTTGGGTGTATGAAATTTGTAAGAAAAACGGCTAATTTGCCATTTAAAAACACTCATAAGATGGGACCCCATTGTTCAATCGGTAGAGCAACAGGTGCTCATCAGAGCAACAGGTGCTCACTGAACAGGTGCTCATTCAGTAGAGATGGAGCTGAGTCTGGACCGAGACCTGGGTTTTTCCTGTCCCAGAGTCCAGGAATAGACCCAGGCTTTTCAAAAATCTTTATCTCTAGTGCTCAGCAAATGACTGACAGAATATCCAAGGGTCGATGCCTGTCTTTTTGGGTCATTAAACTTTTCTCCAAATTTTTTAAAGGTTCGTAGCTTACAAATTACCCAATTCAATTTCTAATGGAACATCATTTCTTTATGCCGATTCTAAAAATGGAGAAGATTGGACTTTATCTAAAGCTAATATTGAAGATGAAACTTCAGCAATTGGTCGAACAATACTTCAAATATTTGAAGCCAAAAAGGCGAAGAGTGATTTAATTGCTTTATATAATGATGAAAATCCGAATGATGGAAAAACTGATTCTGGACGAGCACATATGAAGGTTTTTATTTAAATTAATAAAACAGCCAAATTTTGCGAACAAACATCTTTCTTGGGAGTGTTTGTATGTAAAATTCAAATTGCTGTTTTTTTTAATTTGATGGCCATGGGGAATAGGAGAGTAGATTATGAGGTTGAATTATTCTGAGCAATACTTCTACTTTTAAGATACCCATCATTATAAGATAAATTTTTAAACCCTCAAGTTGTCCGCAGGTCTTGTCCGCTAAATTTAACCTTATTTGTTTTAGTAGTGTAACACTGCCTAAAGGTCGAATTTTGTGTCTATGGTTCAAACCCCATTCTAGGAAATCATTTTTAATTTTATTTAGAATTTTATTTTTTAGGGTGTTGTTGTTTCTAGCAATAAAAATGGCTTTTGGCTTGTTCATTCTGTTCCAAAATTTCCTTTGTCTTCAGAAGAAAAATATTTGTATCCAGAATCGGGGAAAAGAAATGGCCAGTCATTCTTTTGTTTGTCTTTTTCAAGTGGTGCTCTTGAACAAATTGGTTTTTTTTTTGTTTTGTAATATAGTCAGACCTCCCTAATTAAGCCTGTAAGAATCGCATCTTTTAAGTGAGGTTATAAGGATATTGGGGTCATTGTTATTTTATCTAAGCTACAGACAGCGATACCCCTCATTTTAACGTTTCATTCATTGAATATTAGAGATCGAGCTGGGACCAAGACCTGGTTTTTTCAACTACAGGTCCAGGATTCGGGCCAGGTCAATAAATTAAATATATCAACAGGCCCAGGCTTTTCAAAAATCTTGCTACCAATTTAAAGAAAACAATTCGAGTTTGGGTATCTAAATCGTACTTTTGACTAAAATCTTTTAAACTTTGATTTTTGATGAGCTCGAAACCTTAATTAGGCAAAAAAAACCTGAAAGCCAAAAAATTTGAGGCAAAAATCCTTTTAATAAAAAAATATTTTTTTAAAGGTCATCAACTTTTTGTCGCTCAACCAAACTTTTATGATGTCCAATTACCTTCATCATTCGAAGAAAAATATGCAGATTTGGCTAATTCAATAAATAAAAAATCTTATCCAAAATCAAAACCTTCATTTTCTGTTGCTAATATACAACTTTTAGATGGTACAAAAATTACAAGTTTTTCAAAACATAAAAGGTTTGCTAAAGGTTTGTTTGTGGATTTTTCTTTAAAGTAGAAATTATTTTTTGGTAGGGCAGCCTTAGAAAACACCCCCATATGTTTTGATAGTTTTTTTAATTTCTGATTAGTGGGAAAATATTTTTTTGACATTTTAACAGTTAAAAAGCAGTTGTTGACCTTTAAAAAATTAATTTTTCACTTATTTCGAAAAAAATGGTAATTGTGGTTTAGTGGGTTAATTTTAATTTTTGTAGGGTAATTTCAACCCAATTTTAAAGTTGTAGGTTCGAACCCTGGCGGCGTAAAAAAATTTTTAATGTATCTAAAAGGATAGTTTCTTTGTAGTTTAGTGGGTTAGTCATGTTTTAGTAATGTAAATCCTATCAGAGGGGGTGAAGGTTCGAACCCGATAGTGTAAAAATTTTTTTTCAACACCCTATGGGTGGTAAATATTATCTAAAAATAGGATTTTATTTTTTTAATTTCATTAAAAATTTTTCAGATTTATATTATGATTTGGTAGCTCCAGAATTGAAATCTTCATTTTACACAGAAACATGGTTGGTAGGACGTGGAGATCTCCCTTCTGACTGTGATACTAATTTCAAAGTATTTTTTAAAATTATTTTTTAGGGATTTTCCGTCTTGTACTCAATTAATTAAAATTATATCCCTTGAAGAGGTTTGAACCTTCACCCCCTATACCTTTAAAAACGGGTTGAAATACCTTGAATTAACCCACTACACTACAAAAACAATTCTTGAAAATTTAGAGAAAAATATTTTTTGAAGGTCAAAAAAAATGTTTTTGACTGTTAAAAAATTTAAAAAATTGTCAAAAAATATTTTTTTTGATAGAGGTTCGAACCTACGCCCATAAGAAAGGTGGAATTTTTCTGTATTATCCCACTACACTACAAAAACCATTTTAGAAATTTCAAAAGAAAAATATTTTTTGAAGGGTAGAAAAATGTTTTTTACCTTAAAAAAATTCTAAAATACTTTAAAAATATTTTTTACCTCACAGAGGTTCGAACCTACACCTATAAAAAAAGGTTGAATTTTTCTGTATTAACCCACTACACCACAAAAACTATTTGTGAAAATTTAAGAGAAAAATATTTTTTGAAGGTTAGAAAAATGTTTTTGACTGTTAAAAATTATAAAAAATGCCAAAAAAAATTTTTTTTCCTCAAAAAATTGTCCTTTCTTCCTTTTTCAGATTCACAATATTCAATCAATTCAATTTTCAAAACCTTTTGACAACATAAAATTTGACAATACAAAAGATCACTCAAAATGGGCTGTTAGTCAAAAAACAATTTGTATTGGAGATATAAATAGACAAAAATCTCAATCAAAACGTGGAGGAGGAACTGTTTGTATGGAAAATAAAATTATAGCAAAAATGTATTTTTCGGCTATTGGGGCTGTTGAATGTTGTATTAATGAAACTGAATGTTCTCCTAATATTAAGGGAAGGAGGAAGGGAAGTTTAAAATAATTTTATTTTAATTTTATTTTATTTGGAGAGGGGGAGAGCGTGGTATTATTAAAAAAATTTTTGTAGACAAAATATTTTTCCATGTGAATTTTTTGTCCGCAAAATTTTTAAAATTTTTTTAAACATCTTAATAATGGGATTTCCTATTTTTGAAACGTGAAATTTTGTTGACGATTTTGTCAATTTGACCATGAATGGATATTTCCACTCTTTTTCTTTTAACCTTTTTTTGAAAAAAATTTTTTTGTTATTTTAAATAGGGGTTGTCTGTTCCGAAAATTTTTTGTTTCGGTTAACTGAAGATTTTGTTAATACAGACAATCCTAGAGTCCTAAAAACTTACACGCAAGCTTTTAATATTTCATGCTTTTAAAAATCATTTTTTTTTCAAGGCCTTACCAGTATTTTTTTTGTATTTAAATAATTTTTTGTATCTAAAAAAGCCAGTATTTTTTTTTACTAAATTTTGTAATTTTTTTTTAAAAATATTTAATAATTCCTAATATTGTAAAATAATAAAATTTATTAATTTTACTATTTTTAAAATTTATTTTGTGTTATTTGACCATATTAAATATTTACTTTTATTTTGGTTGTTTAGTCAATATAAAATTTTTAGAAAATTTTTTTAATGGAAGAAAACAAAAATTTACAAATTTTAAATAATTTGGAAACAACAACAAATTCCTCAGACATTGAAATAGATGATAAATTATTAATTAATGGAATTGAAAATACCCAAGATTTGCGTGATTGTTTAGCAAATATAGAACAAGAATTACAACAAATTGGTCAATTAACAGTTGAAGATTGTATTAATAATGGAGATAAAATTGCTGATTTGGCTAATGAAATTGAACAGTGTGACGGGATTTTGGAGGTTTTTTTAAATTTTGATTAAGTTTTGGGTCTGATCATAGTTCCTAGTTTGCAAAATTTTTATTTTCGTACAAATTTTCAATTTTGCGGGTAAGTTTTATTTTTGCGGATTTTTTCCTGTATGTAAGTGTGAAAAAGTTTCTTGGTTAACGTAATTTTTTATACTCTTTAAAAAATTTTTCTTAAAATTTCATGTGGGTGGTCTGTGTAAAATGAACTTTTCAGACTTATGTTGGGAAAGCTTTTTTAATCATTTTTTGGAGTCTGGGTCAAAGATTTGATTATTTTATTCATTGAAATATAATTTTACGTTAAAAAGCATCCTTTTATTGATTAATATGTACAGTAAAGATTTTTATCCGCGAATCTTATCGTTAGAATTTAGTCCGCAAATCGTTTTAAGGAAAATCCGCAAAATATTTTTAATAAAATTTTTTTTCTTTCTAGGGAATGGAAAATATGTTAGTCAATTTTTTGGGTGATCTGGGCAAAATTAGTGGGGATATGAAACATTTGAAGGAGCAATCAATTGAAATTAATCAACAATTAAATAATCATCAAAGGGTTCGTGCTGAGCTTAGCCAGGTTTTTTTTAAAGTTTCTAAATTTAAATGGAATTTTTTTTTAGTTTGTTGATGATATGGTGGTCCCACATTCGATGATAAAGTTGGTTTTTTAAAATTTTTCAAAAAAATTTTTTTTGCGGACAAAAAAAATTTTTTGCGGACAAAATATTTTGTCCGCAAAAATTTTGCGGACAAATTGTAAAAAAAAATTATTTTTTTAGAATAATAACAGAAAAAGATGTAAATAGCACAGAATTCTTAGAACAGCTTCATGAACTTCAGCACAAATTACAATTTATTAAAACTCAACAATTTAAGGACGCAAAATCTGTTGGGGATGTAAGAGATGTTGTTGAGAATTTAAAATATAAGGTTTTTGTTTTAAAATAATTAAAAGGTAAAAAAATAAACATGTTTTAAATAAAATCAGAATTTTAAATGAACATGTAAACAAAATCAGAATTTTTAACAAACATGTTTTAAATAAACATTTTAATTAAAATCAGAATTTCAAATGAACATTTTGTAAATAAAATCAGAACTTCCAGCAAACATATTTTAATTAATCATATTTTTAAAAAAACTTGTTTTGTTAAAAATCAGAATTGTAAATGAACATGTTTTTTATCAAACAAACATGTTTTTAATTAAACTTGAAAATGAATGTTTAAAATAAACTTGTTTCTACAAACTTGTTTTGATTAAACTTGAATTAAAAATTAAGTTTTTTTTTTAAACAAACTTTGTTCTTTTAGGCATTAGAAAAAATTAGAGAATGGCTACTTTTAAGAATTTCTTTGTTTCGCAAACCTTTGACAAATTATCAAATTCCTCAAAATGCTTTGCTTAAAAATAGGTTTTTTCTTAATTTTTTAAATTAATTTTTAATATTTTTATTTTTTGATTTTTCTATGAATTTCTTCTTGGAAATGATCGTCAAGTTGCTTATGAAATTAAGGATGAATATGTTGATACTACCAGCAAAATGTTTTTTACATATTTTAAGGCTTATGTAACTAGGCTTTTTAAATTACTGGTGAGTTAAACATTAAAGAAATAAACATGTTTTGAGTAAAATCAGAATTTTGGATAAACATGTTTGTAAATAAAATCAGAATGTCAAACGAACATGTTTGTAAATATAACCAGAATTTTATATAGACATGTTTTAATTAAAATCAGAATTTCAAATAAACATGTTTTAGTTAAAATCAGAATTTTATATAAACATGTTTATTAAATAAGATCAGAATTTTAACTAGACATTTTAAAATCAAATCAGAATTTCACATAAACATGTTTTAAGCAAAACCAGAATTCCTAGCAAACATGTTTTAATTAAAATCAGAATTTAAACTAAATATGTTTTAATCAAGCCAGAATTTCCATCGAACATTTATTAAAGCAAATCAGAATTCCAAATAAACATGTTTTCAGATGTCAGATAAAGCAACAAAATTTGATTTACTCGGTTCTGACAACACATGTTTTAAACAACCTACAACACTTTCTAATTTGCCAAACATTTTTACATCTTCAAATAAAACACACCAACAACATCAACAACATAAAGGACAAGCAACAGTGTTTTCTTTAGGAAATCGTCAAAATGCACTTTTGGATGATATTTTAGCTCCTTTAATTGTTCCTAATGTTGCACAGGAAAATAATGAAACAGTTAAGAAAAAAATTTTTTTATTATTTTTTTTTGTTTTTAGGGTGTTTTAATTAAACCAGAATTTTTATCGAACATTTTTTAAATAAAATCAGAATTTTAATTAAACATGTTTTTAATTAAAATCAGAATTTCAAATAAACATGTTTTAACTAAAATCATAATTTTAAACAGACATTTGTTTATAAGAAGCCTCTTGCCCTTCTAACAAGAGTTTTTCTGTCATAACTCTGTCCAGAATTAACTTGAAACGTTAAATTTGGTGTCATTCGATTCAGCTTAAAGAGGCGCATTGAATAAAAACATATTTATTTTATTTTTTAATATTCTGGTTTCCTTTTTTATTTTTAATTAAAACTTGGTTGTAGTTTAGGAGGGGGCTTCTAACGAAATTTCGTCTAGAAATTAATTTTAAAAAATTCTGAAAATTTTTTTACTTTTGAAATAAAATTTCCTTCTTGAAACCCTTTTAAAAATAATTTTAAAATAATTTTAAAAATAATTTTTTTCAGTTCCAATTTGAATCACTCTTTCGAAGCGTTCAATATGCTATTGTTGATCATTGTAGTAGAGAATATCTCTTCCTTTGTGATTTTTTTCTTGTAACAGATCAATCGGCAGTAGATTTGTTTACTCATGTTATGGGACGTTCTATTACACTTTTACTGGTTTATTTTTAATTTTTAAATTTTTTTTTGGGATTTTGATTTCTTTTTTGGGTATATTCCCAAAAATCCCATCAACTTTTTGTCCGCAAGTCAGATATATATCTTTTTATTTCCTAGAATATTTTTTGGGGCATAAAGATGATCTTTTTTTCATTTTATCATTTAAATTTGAGCTAAATTCGCTAGAATTTTTGGAATGTGGAAAACACGATTTTCTGCTAGGATTTTGGTTTAGGGTCGAACTTAACTTAGGATTTTTCGTTTAGGTTTCTTCAGTTCGGTTCCAAATATCTGAGGAGGATCTTTCAAATACCTACAACCATATCTTCCCTCCATATTGTTTTAAATAAACCCGTTCTTGGGGAAAATTAAAAAAAATAAAGACTTGCTGATAAAAATTTTTGAGGAAAGATTTTGGGGACCAGAGATGCTTCTTTTCCTTCCTACCTATAGACATTTATTTTCGTTCACAAAACTAAATTTTCATGCATCTCTGTTTGGGACTTTAACCAAAAAAATCAACAACGAAAAGAAATTTTTTTTTCTTTTTCCAGAAAACTTTAGAAGAACGTATAAATTTAAATTATGATGCAATATCTTTATTTATTTGTATTTGTTTTTGTACAAAATATCGTCAATTAATGGTTTCACGTGGAGTTTTGGCTATTGAAACATATTGGGAAAATGTTGAAAAAATGTTGTGGGATAGATTTGAAGTTGTAATGAAATCACATAATGAAAGTATTAGACAATTAGATGTTAGAAAAATGACTGTGGATACGAGGCCTCATTATGTTTGTTTGTTTTTTTTTTATTTTTTTTTTTTTTGAATTTTTTTTGAGGGTAATAAAAAGGGATTTTTTTGGGGTACTTGAGACTTTTGCTGTTCGTTATGTTATAAATTTTCCGAGTTCCGGCTAAAAAAACGGCACAAAATCCTTGCTAGAAAGGGCACTCTCTATCGAATGAGCCCGATCTCAACCATTTTTAGGTCGGACATCTCGCAACTTTTCCTTGTTAGATTAGGTTTTTTTTTCTCGGCGAGATGCTTCGATGCTCTTCCCCTGTCCTTAACATCGGCGGAGTGTTTTTGATTAGAAAAAACTTTAACTGGTGTAGTCTTCTTTTTTTTAATTTTTAAAAAAGGAAGTTGTTCGGAGATTTTTTTGCTGGTTTCTGAAATTTTACATGAATCATATTTTTTTTGATTTTAAAAATTCGGGCATCAAGCGGGTTCGAACCATTCACCTTCAAACCTCGTTGTTTTTATCTTAATTTTTATTTTCTAAAAATTTTTTTTTCTAGGTAATTAGAAGATATGCAGAATTAACAAGTTCTTTGTTGGTTTGTAGTGATTTGGCTTATAAAAAAATTAATAGTCAATTAATTGCAATTTTATCTAGACAACAAGCAGAAATTGAAGGTTTATTAAATCGTTTAGCTACACAATTAAAGACAAAAAAGGAGAGGCTAGTATTTCAAATAAATAATTATGATGTGATACTAACTGTTTTGAATGTGAGTTTAATTAAAAAAAATTTTTTTTCATTTTTTGGGGGATTTTTACGGTGTGATAAATTTTGCTAATCTTCCAGGACTTCAAAAACATCATTTTCCCCCATCGGGATTCGAACCTTGAACCTTCTATCTAAAAAATATTTTCTTTTTCACAATTTTACCCCACTAGACCTAGGTGTTAGCCTTGCCTGGTTCAAATAAAAAAATTTTTTCCCATAGGGATTCGAACCTTTTAACTTTTCTTCCTAAATTTATCCCACTACACCAAACTGGTATTTTTCCTAAGAATCAACCAAACTTTTTCGGACATTTTTATTCACAAATTTACAAACAAAAAAGTACATATAGACATATATAGATACATACAAAAACATTTATAGAAGGATATATAGGTATACAGGGTATATATGACAGAAAAATTATACATAGCATAAAGCTGGGATTAGAGAGAATATATTAAGGGGGTGAATTTTTTTGAGATTATACATATATTTAAGTCAGAAACACAGCAATATGAGGGGAAATAAGAGGGGAATATTATACATATTTAGACAAATATATAGTGTGTGGTCTAAACAAGTTTTTTTTGAGAGGGAGAGAAGAAGGGGTTTGTTTATATATCTTCTTTTATTCTTCCCTCTCTTCTCTTCATTCTTCCCTCTCTTCTTTCTCTTCATTCTTCCCTCTTTCTCTCTTCTTCTACAATTCCAGAGATGCTGTGTTATCAATTGCAGTACTAGTTCCCTTCTTATTATCACCTTCTTCAGCATCCTTCACTCTTGAACTCTTCACTCCTGCTCCTCCTCCAGCTGCCGCAGAGTTGGTAGTTTTGTCGTTCATGCTGGTCAATGATTTGGTGTTGTCTCCCTTCGATTTGGTGCCCTTGTCGTTCTGTGATTTGGTGCCCTTGTCGTTCTGCGATTTGGTGCCCTTATCATTCTTTGACTTGGTCCCATCGTCATCCTTTTTTGATTTTTTGTTGTCGCCCATCTTTGACTTGTCCTCATCATCAGCGCCATCACCGCCGCCGCCCTTCTTCAAGAAGAAAAAGAAGACAAGTGCCCCAGCACAAGAGCTACACAGAAGAAGAACCACAACAACCACAATAATGATAGTCAACGCAGAGCTTTTAGGTTCTTCAGTTGTTGTTGTAACCGTTGTAGTTGTCGGTTGAGTGGTGGTTGTAGTTGTAGACGATGTAGTAGTGGTCGTAGTTTGAGGGACGACAGTCAGCAAATCGTAGTTGGCCGTTGACTAGAAAATTAAGGAAAATTTTTCTTCTAAAAAATTTTTTTTTGTTCAAACTTACGAAAAGAATTTGAAGCTCCTCGCATTCAGGTCCTTTTGGCGATTCCTCACTCACTCCTTTTGGTATTTTATTACCAATTGGAGGCAAAGACCATTGTATCATGCGAGATGCCTTTTGCGGAAGGAGATGGAAGGCCAGCAAATGTTTCTTCTTTGGGTCCACAGGATTCGTCCCATTAATCTCCCATGTCAAGGGCGTGAGGATGTTTCCGGCAGGATTTTGCGTACAGTTGTATTCGTTGTATGGTTCCAAGGCTTCGTCCTTTCCAAATCGGACAGAATATTTATCCGCTTTCTCGATCTTTACTTTTCCATACGTAGTACGCTTCTCGAACAATTTCATTTCTTCCGAAGCATGTTTATACGAAGGACTGCCAACTGAAAATTTTGAAATTTTTATTGGACAGATTGAAAAATCTTTTTCTTACTTGGATTGATTAGAAGATCGATGTGTTCGACATTCTTGAAAGATTTGGCCCATCTAAGTTCGAGGCCCGTCTTTTTGATACACACCTTATCAAAGCAGACATCACTCTTGCATCCAGCGGCAGAAATGTCTAGCTTTGGTCCTTTCTCCCTGAGTTCTTCGAGAATGGTTGGATGGCTGTAAGCGAAGGGCAGTCTAAAAAATGATGAGTTATAAAGCTTTTTGAGTGAAGAAATTTCAAAAAAAAATTTCAGAGGAGACTCACACGTTGTCATTGTAGCCATCGAATTTTTTGTCATCCAATTGTTTGAGACATCCTGCAGGACCACCACCCTCCACATTTCTCAAGAAAACATTGAATTCGATCTTGTCTTCCAAATCGGTGTAGAGATCCACAGTGCAACCGCTTTCAGCCGCCTTGGAGGTTTTGGAGTAGCTGAGAATACTAGAAAAATGGGGAAAAATTATTTTTGAAGGAACTCTTAGCTCTTGGACTTACATGTATCCTTTCTCTTGATCTTCGCCAAGTTCAACATCGCATGCCTCAGGATATTTCTTCTTGTACCCCTCATAGTCTTCTTTGGTAGTTGCAGGTTTTGAGCCAACAAAAAGTGTCACTTTCTTCTTTCTATCGTCCAAGATGTGTCCTGCCAGGCCGACGGGTCTTTCTTTTTCCTCTGCTTGCATCACTTCATTTTCCTCTCCTCCTCCTCCATCTGCGGTAGCGGTGTTGTTGACCATCATTCCTCCAAGCAGCAGCAAAAGAAGAAGAATTGTGACAGCAACAAGTGATGATGATGACTTCATTATTACTGACATGAGAGCGTTTGTTGTTGACTTGACTTGACAAGAAGCGTGAAGCAGCACACACACACGTTTTTGTTTGTGTTGAGACGATTGTAGAGAGTGTTGGAGAGATTTGTGTTGAAGAGGTTTTGTTTAGAGGAAGAAAACAGGCTTTTATAGTGCAAAAATGATTCACTTAAAACAGCATTTAAAAAATGCTTAGTTGGAAGTTAAGCGATCATATAGGGGAAAAAGGGAGCACCTGTGAATAGGTGTAGGCGAGGCTATAGCGAGCACAGTTAGCGTTGTCGTGGGTTCGAATCAAAGGTGAGTCGGAATTCCGAGTTCCCTGACCTACGTTTTTTTTTCCTTCCGATTTCCGAAAAAAATGTTTGATTTCCGAATTCCGACTTTTGAGCCAGTTCCGATTTCCACTCTTCCGATTTCCGACATCTCTGACTGTTCCGACCCATTTCTGGTTCGGATTCGAAATGAGGGGTTTTAAGTTTAAGATAGAATTTTTTAAAAGTGTCTATCTGGGTAAATCATGCCTCAACCAGGACTATTTCAAGCTTCAAAAAAGAGACCGGACTGGGAGTGTCATAAGAGAATCGAGAGATCTCGACTCGGCCCGGTTTCTACTTCAAAATGCTTTTAAAAAATTTTTTTTTAATTTTCAAAATTTTTTTTAATTTTTAAAGGAAAAAGTAGTCCCAGAATCAAAAGAAAGGACAAGCTTTTGGGAATTACAACAAACAAAAATAGCAGCATATGTTGAAGAAATATTATCACCACATTTTTCTCCTCTTATACAATTTGTAAATGAATGTGAACCTTTAATTGAATCAAATCATTCACAATTATTAGCTAGATATACAGTTAAAGTTGTACAAATTGTAAGAACATTTAGTGCTGAATGGAGACGGTCTGTTGAAGCTATAAACAATGAAATACTTCATTCTTTTACAAACTTGAAAAATGCTGCTAATATATTACAGGTATATAAACTTGAGATTACAAACTTGAGATTACAAACATGTTTTTAAGTAAAATCAGAATTTTGGATGAACATGTTTTTAAATAAAATCAGAATTTTGGATGAACATGTTTTTGATTAAAATCAGAATTTTAGCTGAACATGTTTTTGAGTAAAACCAGAATTTATAATAAACAAGCATTGAATAAAATCAGAATTTTAAATAAACATGTTTTTAAACAAATCAGAATTTCAGATAAACATGCACTGAATAAAATCAGAATTTTAAACAAACATGTTTTTAAACAAAACCAGAATTTTAAATAAACATTTGTTTTTTTTTCTTTCAGTTAGCCTTCACACAATTTATTAACTACTACCAACGTTTAGACAAGGTAACTTCTCATCAAGTTTTTCGTCAATGTCAAATTAGTGGTGATTTGGTTTCATATCAACATATTGCAGAAACAATAAAGAAATATAAACCAATATTTTGAAGGTTTTTTAAAATTTATTCAAAGGGCATAATTTTAAATTAATCTAAAAATGTGATATTTTTAAGACAAAAATTCCAAAAAATATTTTTAAAATTTTATTTGAAACATTTTTCAATAAATGTAGCTAATTTAACATCTCTTTCTGATATTCCTTTCACATCATGGCTGCTTAAAGTTATATCAACCTGTTAAAAAATAAATTTAAAAACATGAACGAAAACACAATTGTCTTGAATAAAATCAGAATTTTAGGTAAACAAGTTTGTTTTAGTTAAAATCAGAATCAAAAATATACTTGTGTTTTAATAAACCCAGAATTCTAAACAAACAACTTGTTTTAATAAAATCAGAATTTTAAACAAACATGTTTTTAAACAAAATCAGAATTAAAAATAAACGTGTTAGTAAAACCAGAATTTTAAACAAACATTTCCCTTAAAAACAACAACAAAACTTCCCACCTTATTATAAACATTAAACCATTCTGGATGATGATTCATCTTATCTGCTTTTAAAGCTATACGAGTCATAAAACCAAAAGCTTCATTAAAATCTTCAAATTTAAATTCTTTTTGTATAGCGTCTCTGCCAGGTGTTATTTTCCAACCCTTTTCTTTAATTAAAGGTTGTAGCAAGTTTGAACGTTGTTCTGATGTTAAAAGTGGAGAGCCGCAACTCATGTTTTTTGTTGTTTTTGTGTTGTTGTTTTGTTGAGCAGTGAAAGATAGAAAATGTTTTGATGTTGTTGTTGTTGTATCAATAAGTTTCTGTGAAAATGTTTTATGTTTTAAAAACATGAAGATAAACAACAAAAATGTTTTGAACATAACAGAAATAAAACTTGTTTTAAAACATGTTTTGAAAAATTAAAACATGTTTTATTAAAATCTTTAAAACATGTTTTGAACAAAAATACAACTTGTTTTTAAAGAAACTTGTTTATTAAAATAAACATGAAGTTTTGTTGTGTTTTATTCAATGTTGTGTTTTATTCAATGTTTTTTGTTTATACATATAATAAGAACAAAAATGGGGTGAGAATGAAAATAAAAACATTCTTTCTCTTATCTATAGCAGCAACATTAAAAATATGAATAATTTACTGAGTTTATAAGGGGCAGCTTCGGTCGATAATACTTATTGTGGCAATAATAAAGTGTTCTTTTTAAAGTAAACAAATTGGGAAAAATAATTGAAGTATTTTTCATTGAAAATAAAATAACTAAAAAGGAGAAAAATATAATTTGTGGTTTTTGATTCTTGATTTTTAGGACTAAAAAAAGTTGAAAAGTTTGTAAAAGCAAAGTTGAAACTTGCTAAATTAAAAAAAATTTTTTATTGGATTTTAGCTTTCGCGTACCTTTATGTCGCATTTATGGTAGTGTACCATTTTGTCGTTGTAACCATTTTGTCTTTACACAGAATGAAAGATGAGAGAGTGTGACAGACTGTTAGAGAAAATCCCAGCGCGGAAAGTTTCTAGTGCCGTTTTGTCGCACTTTTGGTAGTGTACCATTTTGTCTTTCAACCATTTTGTCTTTACACAAAATGAAAGATGAGAGAGTGTGACAGACGGTTAGAGAAAAAAATATTTTTTTGACAATTTTCAAGTTGAAAATTTTTTTTTTGTTTCTTATTCTTTTTAACAATTTCTTTTACATTTTCAGATTGTTATTAACTTAAAATGTTGGCCGATTTAAACGATTTTGTTTACAAAGAAGTGTTGGGAGGTGATCCAACACGCAAATCTTTGTTTATTTTGTTGGAGAAAGGGGAGGAACAAGCTGTTTTGATTTGTATGTTTTTTTGGTTGCTTGTTGATTTTTTTAAATCAATTTAAAGGCAATAAAGAAGCATTTGAAGAAGATAACAATTTAATTCCAAAATGGCTCAAAAGTGCAAAATTACATTTGTTGACGGAAAATGATAAATATGGAAATTATGAAATGGCTTTGGATCCGGAATTGAATTGCAAGTTTTTTTTCTTTTTTTTAGTTTTTGGGGTTTGGATTAGGTTTTTATTTCGAAACTAAATAGTATTGAGAATGTGACTCGATTTATACCAGGGATGTGCCAGTTTCGAATTTTGTCGATTTTCGACTTTCTTGAGCGACATTTAGTCTTTCGCCTTTTTTGGATTTTCGTTTTTCGCCGTCCGCTTCTTAAACTGCCTTTCTCATTTTCGCTTTTTTTAAATATATTTCGGCACACCCCTAGGTTATACTTACTGCTTGGCACATTTCTTTTTTGACAAGATTTAAAGTCCTTCAAATTCAGCTGAAAAATCCTGCTAATTTTTTTTCTAACATCTTTATTCACAGCAAATATACAGACAAAAACTAGCATAGGTATATTATAGGACATACAGAAACATATTGGCATAGTATAAGACATAACATATTAGAAAAATATATATGTATATTAAGGGTGAATTTTACAATATTTAAGTCAACAAACAAAGCTATGGGGGAAAAGGGAAATAACAAATCTAACAAAAAATACATATTTATTCTTTTTATATATATCACACATTGAAGAATTTTATTTTCTTCTTTCTATCCCCTTCATGATCCCTTTATATTTTTCCCATAGACTTTGTTTCTTCAAGCGCCGTAGATATCCTTGCCTCCAGCATCCTTCACTTTTGGATTCGTCGCTGCTTCCGAATTGGCAGATTTGGAGTCCTTGTCCGTCTTAGATTTGTCGTCGCCTTTGTTGTCCGTTTTTGACTTGTCGTCGCCTTTGTCGTCCTTTTTAGATTTTGCGCTTTTGTCGTCCACTTTTGTCTTGTCCCCACCATCAGAGCCACCACCTTTCTTCTTCTTGAAGACAAAGAAGACAATTGCCCCACTACAAGAGCTTATCAGAAGAACCACAACAATCACAATGATGATAGTCGTCGCAGGGCTTTTGGGTTGTTCAGTTGCTGTTGTTGTTGCAACCTGTGCATTTATCGCTCGAGAGGAAGCTGTTTCACCCTGTTTATTTGTCGCTCGAGAGGGAGTTGTTGTAGTAGTAGTGGTGGTGGTGGTCGTAGTAGGAGGAATGGCAGTCAGCAAGGTGTATATCTTCGTTGGCTAAAAAATGTTGAGAAAAATTTTTACAGTTTTCAAAGTTGTGTAACTTACGAAAAGAATTTGAAGCTCCTCGCATTCAGGCCCGTTTGGTGAAGAATTTTGTACTTCTGTTTTTTGTAGTGCTACGAATGCTGCTATACCAGCAAATGAATCCCGTTGGATTATGCGTGATGCCTTTTGTGGAAGAAGATGGAAGACAAGTAGACGTTTCCCTTGCTTTGGCGGTATCATTTCCCACGTTATAGGTGGAAGGACATTCTCCACAGGGTCGGGTGTACAAGTTAAATCTGGACGTTTTTCTTCTGTTTCTTCATGATTATCCTCTTCAAAACTGACAGAAAAATCCGTTTGTTCGACCTTCACTGTTGGATACTTCGTCGATTCTTTTCCCAATATTTGCGGTACTTCTTGAGCTATTTTAAATGAAGGACTGCCAACTGAAAATTTACAGATAAATTATTTAATTCTAAAGAACACAATCTTCTTACTTGGATTGATAATGGAAATGAGAATATTGTTTTCGAAGAGTCCCATGCCATGGAATATCTTATTGCTCCATCTAAGCTCAAGTGCCGTCTTTTCGATACACGTTTTTCCTAAACAGATTTCACTGTTACAGCCTTTACTAGACTTTGATTGGATTGGCCCTGTATTTGTGAGATTCTCGAGAATGGTTGGATGGCTGTAGGCGAAAGGCAATCTAAAATATGATAATTGAAAATTTAAAATTTTCGCGAATGTAGAACTCACACGTTCTCATTGTAGTTATTTCCTGACTTCATACAATCTTTAATACCGTCACCAATATCATTTTTCACATAAGCCTTGAACTCGATCTCATTCTCAAGAGTTGTGTAGAGATCCAAAGTGCACCCATGTAGCGCCGCTTTGGAGTTTTTGGAGTAGCTAACAATGCTGGAATTGAAAAAATTTGTATTTTTACTCAAATACAAGATTAAATATCAACTTACATATATCCCTTCTCTCCTTTCTTTTCGCCAAGTTTAACATCGCATGCATCAGGATAAAGCGTTTTGTACTCCTCATAGTCTTCTTGGGTGGTTGCTTCTTTTGAGCCCTCAGCAAGTGTCACTTTGTCCTTTTTCAAGATGTGATTTGCCAGGCCTACGAGTCTTCCTCCATCTGCGTTGGCGGTGTTGTTGACCATTCCTCCAAGCAGCAGCAAAAGAAGAATTGTGACAGCGAGTGCAATGTTGTAGATGCTCTTAGACTTCATTCCTGAGCGGTTGTTGACTTGACGAAGAAGCAGGAAAACACAGATTTTATTTGTGTTGTGACAAAGAGGTTTTGTTTAAGTGAAGAAAACATAGGCTTTTATACTATGAACGCAACAACATCTTTAATATCTCCCTTGTGTTTATTTTATGTACATGTGTCTAAGTTGGTTAATGCACAGGCGGTACTTTTCCGTTATGCCACCTCTTCCTAAATTAATGCTCAAAATGTCATTAGGGTGATAACCACTCTTTTTTCACGGAGATGCCTGTGGATCGAGATTAGGGCCCAAAATGGTCAAAAACCATTTTGGGGTAAAAAAATTCGAATATGCGAATGGAAGCTGATTCAAATGAGTTCATCGAGCTAAGTCGAAAGATAAATCAACGAAATATGATTTGATTAGACCGAGATGCAGGCATTTGAACATTGAAGTACCACAATTCGTTTTTTTATCGTAACGTTGTCAAAACTTTTTCAATCACGATGATTTTGGTGTCATTCGACTTACCTCGTCGAGCTCTTACGAATGAGCTTTTAACAGTATATTTGAATTTTTTATCCCAAAAATGAGCTTACTCCCCTCTATAGTTTTTGACAATTTCGAGCCCTCATCTCGATCCACAGGCATCTCCTGGAAAATAGAGTGGTACCGTTCGAATCAGCACCTTTTATTACCCTATATGACATTTTGAGTATTAATTTAGGGGGAGGTGGCATAACGGAAAAGTACCGCGCAGTCTGAAATGATAACTGAGGGAGGTTCGAATCCCTTTGTGGAAATTAGTTACTCTTGTGTAAAAGGAGTAGGGTTTAAGGTTTTAGTTTTTGAAGTAATAGAGTTTCAGTGTTTCTATGGGCGTTGAGTTCAACCCTTGGTAATTTTTTTAATTTTTATTTTGTATCCATTACTAATTAATAATCAAAAAAACAACCAATTTTCTCTCACAACTTTATTCACAAAAATATAGACAAATTATTATAGTTATTATAGGGCATACAGAGACATAGTAACAGGGTGAATTTTACAATATTTAAGTCAACAAACAAAGCTATGGGGGGAAAGAGGAAAATATTATATTTAGATTTAGAACAAATAACAAATCTAACAAGAAAATATTTTATATATATATCACACATTGAAGAATTTTATTTCCTCCTTTTTATCCCCTTCATGATCCCTTTATATTTTTCCCATAGACTTTGTTTCTTCAAGCGCCGTAGATATCCTTGCCTCCAGCATCCTTCACTTTTGGATTCGTCGCTGCTTCCGAATTGGCAGATTTGGAGTCCTTGTCCGTCTTAGATTTGTCGTCGCCTTTGTTGTCCGTTTTTGACTTGTCGTCGCCTTTGTCGTCCTTTTTAGATTTTGTGCCTTTGTCGTCCACCTTTGTCTTGTCCCCACCATCAGAACCACCACCTTTCTTCTTCTTGAAGACAAAGAAGACAATTGCCCCACTACAAGAGCTTATCAGAAGAACCACAACAATCACAATGATGATAGTCAGCGCAGAGCTTTTAGGTTCTTCAGTTGTCGTTGTTGTTGCACCCTGTTTATTTGTCGCTTGAGAGGAAGCTGTTTCACCCTGTTTATTTGTTACAATCTGTGCATTTGTCGCTCGAGTCAAAGTTGTTGTAGTAGTAGTGGTGGTGGTGGTCGTAGTAGGAGGATGAACGACAGTCATCAAGGTGTATTTGTCCGTATGCTAAAAAATGTTTGAAAAAATTTTTTACACGTTTCAAAATTGTGTAACTTACGAAAAGAATTTGAAGCTTCTCACATTTAGGCCCATTTGGTGAAAAATTTTCTACTTTTGTTGTGTACTCATCTGTTTCTTTTTTATTAGGATCTTGTTGGATTATGCGTGATGCCTTTTGTGGAAGAAGATGGAAGACAAGTAGACGATTCCCTTGCTTAGGCGGTATGATTTCCCACGTTATAGGTGTAAGGACGTTCTCCACAGGGTCGGGTGTACAAGACAAGTCTTTGACTTTCTTTTCTTTACAAGTTCCCTCTTCACAACTGATAGAATAACCCGTGCGATTGACCTTCACTGTTGGATACTTCGGCGATTCAACGTTGAAATTTTCCATTAACCCATATGATAATTTAAATGCAGGACTGCCAACTGAAACAAATTTATTAAGCAAATCTAAAGAACACAATCTTCTTACTTGGATTGATAATAGGAATGATAAAATTTATGCCAAGCCTTGCACTGCTCCATCTAAGCTCAAGGGCCGTCTTTTTGATACACGTATTGTCTAAACAGACTTTACTGTTACAGCCTTTGCGCGACTTTGATGGGATTGGCCCTGTATTTTTGAGCTTCTCGAGAATGTCTGGATGGCTGTAGGCGAAAGGCAATCTAAAAATGATAATTGAAAATTATAAAATTTTCGCGAATATAGAACTCACACGTTCTCATTGTAGTTATTTCCTGACTTCACACATTCTTCAATACCTTTACCAATATCATTTCTCACATAAGCCTTGAACTCGATCTCATTTGTTAGAGTTGTGTAGAGATCCAAAGTGCACCCTTCTAGCGCCGCTTTGGAGTTCTTGGAGTAGCTAACAATGCTGAAATTGGAAAAAATTTTTAGAGGATATTAACTCCAACATGTCTAACTTACATATATCCCTTCTCTCCTTTCTTTTCGCCAAGCTTAACATCGCATGCATCAGGAAAAGTCTTCCTGTACTCCTCGTAGTCATCTTGGGTCAAAGCCTCTGTTGAGCCCTCAGCAAGTGTCACTTTGTTCCTTTTCAAGATGTGCTCTGCCAGGCCGACGGGTCTTCCGACTTCTTCTGCTTGCAGCACTTCATTCTCCTCTCCTCCATTTGCGGTGGTGTTGTTGGCCTTTCCTCCAAGCAGCAGCAAAAGAAGAATTGTGACAGCGAGTGCAATGTTGTAGATGCTCTTAGACTTCATTCCTGAGCGGTCTTTGACTTGACGAGAAGCAGGAAAACACAGATTTTGTTTGTGTTGAGACGGCTGTAGGGTATTGGATTTATGATGAAGAGGTTTTGTTTAGGCGAGGGAAATATGGCTTTTATAGGATAAACACAACAACATCTTTAATGTTTCCCTTGTTGTTTTAGTTTGTGTATTTGTGTCTAAGTTGGTTAAGGCGCAGGCTAAAGATGAAAACTGAGGGGAGGTTCGAGTCCCTATGATGGAAATAAGTTATTTTTGCGAGCATAAAGGCTTGGAGTTTCTATGGGCCGTGAGTTTGAGCCATTTTTGGTCTAAATAATTTTTAAGGACACGTTTTCAGGTTGTTAACTGTGAAGAGAAATTATAGTAAATAAAAAATTCCAAAAAATTTTTTTAGAAATCTATTTTTTTAATTAATTTTTTAGTGCTCAAAACAACTATAATTTATCCAGCAAATGCTTTTGATATTCAAAAATATCGACGTCAAGAATTTTTTATTTTGAATGAAACACCAGAAGATTATAAGAATATTACTTGTAATTATTTGGTTGAAACTAAACAATTGGAAAATTTGAAGGTTTTTATTTTTTAAATTTTATTTTGTAGAGAGAATGTGTCATTGACTTTTTATGAGGCTGACTGTTTGTACTCCTGCTAGAAAAATTTTTTGTGGATTTTCATTTTAAAAATTTAAAAAGGCCTTAGCCGTCAAGGCCGTAGCCAGTGTGTTTATTTCAAGGGGGCTTTCCCTCTCAAAATTTTGGCATTTTCCTCATTTTAGAGAGGGCTATATCCCCTTCAACCCACTTGGCTGCGTTCTTGGTATCCGTAACAGCCCCAAAAAACAAAAACACTGCGTTGCGTTTGCTCTTTCGACGCAAACAGAGAGATGTCTTTGGACGCATTCCTTGTATATTATAATAGTAAATTGGGTGTTTTGTCCTCCTGTATGTCATGTCTCCTTATAGCCGTTACTTTTTCACCCTCTTCTACATTTAATTGGATAATGGTCGGGGATTTTATTCCTCCCCTAATCCTACTGATTTCCCTATAGCGTATTTCGATTATATATATTTTCTTCTTAAAGCATCTTATGTTAGGCTTTAAAAACTCAAAGCATTTTTGTCAATTTTTATTTTTTAAGTGGGTCTATAATTTTTTGGATAAGAAAAGTGAAGAAGAACGCATCATCTATGAGAACCCAGACAAACATGAAGGTTTTATTTTGGCTCCAGATTTGAAGTGGAATGGGACAAATTTGGATGAACTTTATTTGTTGGCTGTAGCTCATCGACGTGATTTGCATTCTATTCGGTTTTTTTTTAATTTTTTACAAGCGCAAACGCTTAATATTTTTCGGCTCTGGTCTAGTTTATGAGTCTAAAAACCCTTTATCGACTCATAAAATTTTGTCTGGATTTATTATTTTTTCTTTTGACCCATGATGCTTTATTGGACTCATAAACTATAGCAGAGCCGGTCTTTCGTGTTTGTTTTCTTCGCGTCCAAAATTTAAGACGGCTTGACGACTGTTCGAGATCGTGTTTTAGCTTTCCCGCCATTTTCGTCTTATTGCTTTTAAAACTAGGAAGGGGCCTGTTCCAGGATTTTGGGTTTGATTTAATGGCCTGGACCGGATCCTGGTGGGTCTGTAGTCCAGGAAAAACCCAGGAAGGCCTGAACCTGGACTCTGGGTACAGGAAAACCCCCAAACCTTGGTCCAGATCCAGCTCGATCTCTATCTACTTCTTAAAAATCGAAATAAAAAAAAATAAAAAAATAAATTTTTCAGTGATTTAACTCCAAATGAATTGCCTCTTTTGGAGAATATTCGTAATGAATGTGCTAAAACTATTGAAGAAAAATATGGATTAAAAAAGAATCAATTAAAAATGTATTTTCATTATCAGGTTTATTGTTAAATTTTGAAGAAATTTTTAAAGAAAAAAAAATTTTTTTACAGCCAACGTTTTATCATCTTCACGTTCATATAGTCCATATTAAATATGAAGCGCCAGGTTTAAGTTGTACTTCTGTGCTGTTGGATACGGTTATTTTTAAATATTTTTTTTAATTTTTGGGTTCTTTCGGGTCCATAAGCTTGAAAAGTTTTATTTCAACTAGGATTATGTTGAATATTTTTAATGGGAAAAATTCTTACAAGGAGACAGTGTTATATACGGGGTAAAGAAAGATGTATGATTTGGATACCCGATAAAAGCCCGGGATATCTGGATGTTTCTGTTCTAATATTAATTCTGGTTTTGAATATCCAAAAGTTTTTCAGAATTTGTCAAACTTGAAAAAATGTGCCAAATTCCTGTTTACATAGACAATGTTCCCTTGTTAGATTAAAATGAATCCCTGTTGCGTTCTTTCATTTTTGTCCAAAAAACAAAAAAAATTTTTACATTTATTTTCATTTTATTTTTTTAAATTATTTTTTATAGGTAATCGAAAATTTGAAGATTTATTCTGATTTTTATGCAAAAGCTACATTGCCATTTTTCCGTAAAGAAAATGATCCGCTCTATAAAAAATTTGTTGAAGCTGGACGGGTCTAGAGCTAATTGAAGAAAGGATATTTTTGATTGGAAAAGAGAAGAGGTTTTCTTGTTAAAAATTTTTTTGATTTTTTTGCCAAATTAAAAATCTCAGTCATTTAAAAAAAATACTTTATTTATTTTATTTTTTTTTACTGCAATGCAGTAATTTACCAAAGTCAGACCTCAAAATTTTATGTATGTTCCCCCTCCCCTTCTAGAATTATAAATCGACGACACCGATATAAAAAAAAATTTTTTTAATTTGGGTTGGGTCCTAAATATGGGAGAAAGGTGTAAGGGCGGGAGAAGGGTAAGGAAAATTGAAAAAATAGGAGCCTCATTATACGGCAATTAATTTTCTCAATTCTTAAGGAGTGGGGGATATGTAAAAATGAGGTCTGACTTTAATTTATTTATTGATTATTTATTGTTTATTTTTTGATTATTTATTGGAAAATAAATTTGTTTTACTTGAAAAAATTGTTTGATTTTTTTCAGTTTTCATTACTTTTGTGAATTTTTTTTATATTTTTTTTTAATGCTTTTGAGTTTTAAAAAAATTTTTAGAGAGGCAAAAGGGATACAACCGGAAAAGAATGCTCGTTTTCTGGTTTGTTTATTTATTAAAGAAATTTTTTAATTGAAAAAATTCGGATTAGAAACTAAACGCGGACCATTATTTAAAAAAAATTTGGAACCAAAAGTTTGGTTAAGTGGCTTAGGAATGTTAAATAGGGTTGATGGTTCGAGTCCGTTTGCTTGCGGTAATTTTTTTCTTGTAATAAAAAATATATTAGAGAGCATTTTGAAAGACAAAAAAATTATAAGAGGCGAGAGGACTCGAACCATTGACCTATTTTCCATAAAACTCAACACAAACCCCACTTGACCACCCTGACCATTCTTAGGTCGATGGTTCAAGTCCGTTGGTAATTTTTTTAAGTATATTAAAGAGAGCATTTGAGCGATAAAAAAATTATTAGAAGCAAGAGGGCTCGAACCGTCGACTTATTTTTATCAATAAAATTCAACACTACCCCACTTAACCACCCATCCCATTTTTAAAAATTTAATTTCTTTTTCTAGCCCAGCCTGTGGTACTTTATTAACACTTGGAGAAGGAAATTCTTGCAATCAATTTTCATGTAAATCTTGTAGTTATGTTCTCCCAATAGTTGAAAAACTTTCAAGCAAAATTTATACAAAGAAAAAGGAAGAAGAAAAAATTTTGGGAGGTGCAGAAATGTGGGAAAATGCGCAAGTGACAAATGGTTATTTTTATTTAATTAAATTTTATTTAAAGTTGGGGAGGATCGTTGTTGGTGTAATGGGTAGTGTGTTAGATTACACCCCCAAAAGGGTGAGGGTTCGAGTACCGGGCTGGGCCATGATTTTTATTTTGGTTGAAAAATTTTTTCTAGGCCTCCCAAATTTTTTTTAAAAATGTCTTGGTGGTTAAGTGGATAATGGGGTGAATTTTGTTAATAAAAATAGGTCGATGGTTCGAGTCCTTTTGCCCCTAATAATTTTTTTCTTTAAAAATTCCCTCGAAATTTTTGTTTTTCTGGAGGGTAGAGTTGAAAAAAATTTCTAAAAAAATTTTTTTATTTTCTAGAAAGATGCCCAGTTTGTTCACATGATAAAGCCTATTTTCAACAAATACAAACTCGAAGTGCTGATGAACCTATGACAATATTTTATCGTTGTGCAAGTTGTGCGCATAGATGGAAGGAATAAAAAAAATTTTTTTGGTTGTTTTTAAGTGTATTTTGTTAAGAAAATTTTTTCATTCAATTTTTTATGAATTTTTCTTGTTAAAAACAGTTCAAAAAATGCTCCAAAAATACAAGGACAAAGTAGAAAGCCCTCTTTAACAATGTCGGCTGGATATGGAGATTCGTGGCCCTTTTTTGTTGGCCTAGCTTTACTGTCGTTTGTTTAAGCACATTTTCGTTAAAAATGGTACCATTTTTCTGTACCGTTATGTCGTGTACCATTTTGTCGTATTCCCCTTTATGTACGTTTTGTCATCACTATTTGAGTACCGTTGTGCCTTCTGACATTATGTCGTTTTTATCCCTTGTACCATTTTGTCGTTTAACATTTTGTCTAATTTGTAACTAGTTGGTGTTTCGTAATATTTCATATGAAAAATATTCACCTTGACATTCTAGAATAAATTGAGAGAGTGTACAGTTAGACGGTTAGAGACATTTTTTTAAGAAAGAAGAATCATTATTTAAGGGAAAATAGACTTTACGCGGTTATGCAACGTCAGCTAAAATTTTACCCAATAAAAGCGCGACATGTCTAAAATGCGGGAATGGGTCAACACTAAGCATCATTCAGCACTTGAGAAACAACTGCAAATCCTCTCAATATATGCTAGAATTTTGAGTTAAATTTTCACTACAAAATTTTTTTAATTACTTCCTTTTTAAATTTTAAATTCTTAAGCTTTCCTTAAGTAAATGGAGGATTTCCTTGAGTTAATTAGATTGGGATCTTGAGATTTTGTTGAGTAATTAGAAACGGGGTTTTACTGCCCAACCGTGAAATGTTTGGGTAACTCCTTGTTCTTGTGTAGCCTCTTGTTGAACAAAATTTCTGAGACCTTCCAGTTCCCCTATTTTAAGATCCGTCCTTATTTCTAAGGTCCTTCAAATAGTCTAAGTGAGGGATTATGGGCTGTTGAGAGGTTTTACTCGGCTTGAGTGTTCCCTGAAGACTTAGATTTTCTTCCATTTCTTCTCTATAATTATGAGATTTCCACATCGAGCTGGATTTTGCCTTGGGATGTCTTTCTAGATGTGAGAATGTTCTTTTTTCCGATACCCATATTTTTTAGAAGCTTTTTATTTCTGTTGGGAAGATATAGACATTCAAATATAATTTGGCATTCTGTTATATTTATTTCCCCGCCTATTTTCCATCCTCATTTTCTCTCTATTTAAGCTCTTCCCAAATACCCCATTTTTACTAGTTCAGTTGCTCAGTTCTGTGTGTGTTATAATTTATTCAGCGCCTTATGCTTCCACAGTTATATTGATTTGACTTAATACTCGTTTGTGTACTCGTTTGTTGTAACGAGTACACAACAATTTCTCTCCCCTCCATTACTTATGCTTCGCCTTTACTTTGTTTTTGATTTTAAATTTCTTCATATTCTTTTCAGAGTATTTTTTTCAAAAATGTTAACAACGACAAAGTTTATTCTGATCTCTTCAATTCTTTTATTTTTGTCAATATCTCATGGTCTTGGACGTGATGAGGGAGCCAAAAACGATTCTGCCAAACCTAAGGATAAAGACAAAAAATATGGAACGATTATTGGAATCGATTTGGGAACAACCTATTCTTGTGTTGGTGTCTATAAAAATGGACGTGTCGAAATTATTGCAAACGATCAAGGTTTAAATTAAGAAATAGAAAAGGACCCCTCTGGTTTACCAACATATACCAAATGGTTGGGAATAGTCGAAAAAACTGGCATAAATAGTATAAGCGGTCCACCTTGGATGTCAAAAGGCTGGAGATAACTCAGTAAAAGTCAAAAAACCATAGGGATTCAAAGACCCTGTAGATGTCACATTACCCCCTCTATTGGTCAGGTTACCCAGAAGGTCAAATTCATATATTTGGGGCGGATAAGATGACTTAAGATCAGGAATACGTTTACCTGCTCCATTTGCCTTATTATCCATTTGCCTTACAGTCCCAATAAAGAAGGTCATTTGACCTCCTGGGTCCCTCTGGGTTGATCTCGCATAATGAGTATGTGGGGAAATAAGTTTCGTTCATCATTTATATTCATAGGTAATCTAGGAATGTCAAAAGGCAGGAGACAAATACCCAAAGGATAAAGACATAACCCCACTAGACCCAGCTATTGGCCAAAATACCCAGGTCAAATCCAAACATTTGTAGCGTGTAAAGATGACTCAAGATTAAGGATACGTTTGCCTGTTCATTAAGCCTTATTATGCTCCATTCTGCCTGACAGTTGCACAAGGGCAGGACATTTGATCTCCTGGGTTTGCCCCTCTGGGTTGATCTCGAATAATGACTTTAAGGGAAAATAAGTTTCATTTGTTATTTATATTCATCTTTACATAGGTAACCGTATTACTCCATCCTACGTGGCGTTTACTGAAAATGGTGAAAGGTTGATTGGGGACGCGGCAAAGAACCAGTTGACGTTGAACCCGGAAAATACAATCTTCGATGCAAAACGTTTAATTGGAAGGGAGTTCACGGACAAGACTGTCCAGGATGACATGAAGTTGTGGCCGTTCGGGGTATTTTTTCTGATTAAAATTTGACTTTGGGGGTTTTGCGGATGATTTTTGCGGTCAAATTTGGGTTGGAATTTTTGTCCGCAAATTTTGGAATTTTGTCCGCAAGTTTCAAATTTTGTCCGCAAAATATTTTTTTGGGACCAAATGTCATCTCATTCTCCCAACATTTTTCAGGTTGCTGATAAAGCTAACAAGCCACACATCAAGGCTAACGTCAACGGAGAAATCAAACAATTTGCTCCAGAAGAGATTTCAGCAATGGTTCTTGGAAAAATGAAGGAAATTGCCGAAGCCTATTTGGGTCATGAAGTTACGCATGCTGTGGTTACGGTTAGCTTTTTGTATTTCACCTTACCTTACAAAACCTTGTCTTTTAAGGTCCCCGCCTACTTTAACGATGCTCAACGTCAAGCTACCAAAGATGCTGGAACCATCTCTGGACTTAATGTTGTTCGTATTATTAATGAACCAACAGCTGCGGCAATTGCTTATGGATTGGACAAGAAAGAAGGTTTAGAATTTTTTCATTTGGGGGTGACTTGTGAAAACGTCACTTGGTTTTTTGTGAATTTTGCCAATGGGGCCAAGACTCCGGGCTGTCCGGACTCCAAACTATTCTGTTATAGGGCTCCGGATACCGAATTGTATGGATCCTTCTGATATTCTCCTCACAAAGTTACTTTTCTTAAACTTCATTTTTTCTTAGGGGAACGCAACATTCTTGTCTTTGACCTTGGCGGAGGCACCTTCGACGTCTCATTGTTGACTATCGATAATGGAGTTTTCGAAGTGTTGGCAACAAATGGCGACACTCACTTGGGAGGTGAAGATTTCGACCAGAGGACGATGGAATACTTTATCAAATTAATCAAAAAGAAGACTGGAAAGGATTTGAGGAAGGATAACCGTGCAGTTCAAAAACTTCGTCGTGAGGTTTGTTTTTGGACTTTTTTTGGGGTTTAAAAAATTTGTAGCGTTTTTTAACACTAAATATGTTGGGAGATTTCTAAAATCGATATTTTTTATTTTAAATGACTAAAAATTTGTGTTGCCACTGACGGGGTTCGAACCCTGTACCCTCTTCCCCGCAATATTTTTAATTATACCACTTAACCAAAAGGGACAATTTTCCTTGTTTTGTTCGTTTTTTCTTCCCTTTATTCTCCTTGATGTTAGAGAGGCTTTTCACAAATTTTTTTAAATAATTTCCGGTGTATAATTTATACAAAATTTTTCTCTTTTAAAGGTCGAAAAGGCAAAGAGAGCCCTCTCAGTCCAGCACCAAGTCAAAATGGAAGTTGAATCCTTAATTGATGGAATTGATTTTGCTGAAACTTTAACTCGTGCCAAATTTGAAGAATTAAATATGGATTTGTTTAGAGGAACACTTAAACCTGTACAAAAAGTTTTGGAAGATGCAGGTTTTTTTGAGGGGAATTTTTGAAATTTTGAAAATTTTCTGTTTAAGATATGAAGAAGGATGATATTCATGAGATTGTTTTGGTTGGTGGATCAACAAGAATTCCAAAAATTCAACAATTATTAAAAGATTTCTTTAATGGAAAAGAACCTTCGCGTGGTATTAATCCAGGTTTAAAATTTTTGTTATTTTTAGTGTTTGGTGAATTCAATTACTTTGAGATTGAATATCCTCAACACTAATGGGTATTGGACGTTGAATTCAGATCCTATCCCCTACTCCCAATAACTATGTACTTGATTTTGGGGCGGTTTTTTTAAATTTGTTTGGCCATTGGGTGTGGAGAGTTATTTAACCGATACCTCACAAGTCGGGTCGAAAAAGTCGGTTTGAGTAAAAAAGTGGCCTCTAAATAAGACGTTTCTAAAATCAGGTTGGTCATTGAGTTTTTGTCAGTCTTAAGTGTACCAGGGATGGGCTTGTTGAGAAAAAATCAACAATCGGGAACGTCCATTGCTTCTTCTGATTAGGGTTCATTAGAGGTTTTTTAATTTATTTTTTACAGATGAGGCTGTTGCTTATGGTGCTGCTGTTCAAGCTGGAGTAATTTCTGGAGAAGAAGACACCGAAATTGTTTTGTTGGACGTCAATCCATTAACTCTCGGTATTGAAACTGTTGGTGGTGTAATGACAAAGTTGATCAATCGAAACACTGTTATCCCAACCAAAAAAGCACAAGTTTTCTCTACTGCGGCAGATAATCAACCAACTGTCACAATCCAGGTTTTTTTGAAAATTTTTAGGAATTTTTGAAAAAAATTTTTTCTTTAAAGGTCTATGAAGGAGAACGTCCAATGACTAAAGACAACCACATGCTTGGAAAATTCGATTTGACAGGAATTCCACCAGCACCTCGTGGTGTACCACAAATTGAGGTTTCTTGAAGTTTTTTAATTTTTAAAAATTTTAAATTAAAGGTAACCTTTGAAATCGACGTCAATGGAATCCTTCATGTAACAGCTGAAGATAAAGGAACTGGAAATAAAAATAAAATCACCATCACAAATGATCACAACCGTTTGTCTCCTGAAGATATTGAAAGAATGGTTAATGATGCGGAGAAGTTTGCTGAGGAAGATAAACGTGTTAAAGAAACTGTTACATTACGTAATGAATTGGAATCACATGCATATCAACTTAAAAACCAGGTTTGTTTATGAAAAAAAAATTTTTTCTTTGAGGGGTTTGACATTGGGGACTGACTTTCCTGAGAACTGATTTTAGCCAAATGTGTATTCTTCAAGGGGTTGATTGTCTAGAAATTATTGAATTTGAAACATGGTCATAAAATTGGGTTTTTCTGAGGGAATCCGTTTGATTACTATAACTGCTTTTAAGCGTCTTGGTTTAAGACGTCGAGGAGGTGTCTCCCCGAACCATACCGGAGGCTGTCTGGAATTCAATAAGACTGACAATGAGAGGAGAAATAGCTTAAGTTGTCAAGGAGGTCCTGTTTAGGCGATCTTTGTTTAACACTGCGTGTACTAACATAAGGATGGGATGGTGGAGGGATGGGCTGTCGATAGGATAGGATGAAGTAGGGATAGACTAGGGCAAGGGCTGTCTGATACACCATCTTTGACCACCTTTTCGTCTGCTGTTTTATGTCTTTAGGCTTTTTTAGAATGCAGTAGGGGGACTATCCCATGGGTGTTGTATCCTTCTTGAAACCCTCTTTAAACCGAATTTTATTAATTCAAAAATTTTTTAAAGATTGATGACAAAGAAAAACTTGGTGGAAAATTGTCTGATGATGATAAGAAAACAATTGAAACTTCTGTTGATCAAGTAATTTCATGGTTGGATGCCAATAGAGAAGCAACTGTTGAAGAATTGGAGGCCCGCAAAAAAGAGTTTGAATCAAAAGTGCAGCCAATTATTACAAAATTGTATGCTGCTGGAGGTGGACCTCCACCACCAGGTTATGATGGAGGTGCTGGTGGAACTCCTCCTGGTGGGGAAGAAAAGGATGAGCTTTGAGAAGGAGGAAAGATGAAGGAAAAAAATGGAAGAGAGGATGATGAGGATGAAGAGGAGGTTTTTTATATTTATTTGTTTGTTTTGGGGGTTTTTTTGGGTATTAAGGATGTGTTCGGTGTTTTTTTTTAAAGTGCAACATAAAAGAGACTATATATTCCCCACTTCCCCCAACTTTCCTCCCCCCTTTAAGTCTTTTAATTTTGAGTTGTTTTTTTTTGTGTGGGAATTGATGAAGAAGAGGTGAGGAAAAAAAATGTTTTTTTGAATTTGCGGACAAAACTTGCGGATTTTTGAAAATTTTTTGAAATTGAAAATTTTTTTGAAAAAATTTTTTTAGAATTTTTTGAGTAATTTTAGTCTTCTTCTTCATCATTTCTTTATTATTATATACCTAGTTGGTCTTTTTTCTCCCTTTAAACACCTATATATTGTTATCGTTATTATATTTTTGTTGGCCTTTTTTTTTTGGAATTTTTTCTCTTGGATTTATTAAAAAAAATTTTTTTTGTGGACTTTACTCTCTTCTCTTTTCTCTCTCCGTCTCTTAAGACCTTATATTATTAAAAAAATTAAAAAAATTTTTTTGTTTTTTCTCTCTCTATTTTACTGTAAAATTTTTGTGTTTTTTTCTTCTTCTCGACCCTCATTTATTGTTTAAAAATTTTTTTTTCGAAGAAAAAATTTTCTTGATTTGCGGACAAAACTTGCGGATTTTTGAAAAAAATTTTTTTTCGAAAAAAAATTATTTTTTGTTTTTTTGTGTTTTCCCAAAAAAATTTTGTGGTTTTTTATCAATTATTATTATATTTATTTTAGATAAAAAATGTTGGAAAATTGAATTTTTTTTTTGTTTTAAAAATTTATTATTTTTTTGATTATTTTTATTTAATTTTCTTAAAAAATATTCTTGTCACGCTTTTGAGAGTTTTAATGTAGGTATGAATTTTAAGGAAGTTTTATAAATTTTTTAGGTGAAGGCGCCGCGAAACGCCATCATTCAAAAATTCCATAATGACAAAATGGAACATTTTCCCTTTTGTGACATTTTGTCGTTTTCTGGCTGCGTTGGTATTTTGTCGTTTTTTGCCTGTGTTGGCGTTTTGTCGTATTTTAGATGAGTTGGCATTTTGTCGTTTTTTGGCTGCGCTGGCATTATGTCGTATTCTGCCTGTGTTGGCATTTTGTCGTATTTTCCCTGTGTTGGCGATTTGTATTTCCTAAACATTGTTGTCATAATGAAGAAACAAAGAGACAAGAAGCTGTCTAGCCTTTGTTCTCTCTAATTTTTTGTATCCTTCTCTACCCTAATTATTTCTCAAAATGAACTTTATTACAACAATGTTTAAGGAATGTTCGCAAAAATGTAATAGAGTAGAAGCAGCACAAAAATGCTTTTAAAAGCAAATTTTTCAGACCACACAAAACATTTGTCTAATTAATCGCAAAATTGGTTTAAACAAAAACAATGTTTATTTAATATTCTGATTTTTAAAAACATCGGAAAATGTTTTGTTAGAAAATGTTTGTTGTTATAAAAATCAGAATAAAATGTTTTTAATAAATCAGAATATAATTAAAACATGTTTGTTTGTTTAAAACATGTTTTAGTGAATATTCTGATTTATTAAAAACATTTATTCTGATTTTTACAAACATTTTTATTAAAACATGTTTTTTTTATTTTAACAAACAAACATGTTTTATTAAATGTTTTTATTAAATCAGAATAATGTTTTTAATAAATCAGAATATTCTACAAACATGTTTTTGTAATAAACATGTTTTTACTCTTTTATTAAATGTTTTGATAAATCAGAAAAACATTTTAATTGTTTTAATAATTTCAGAAAAACATGTTTTGTTGTTATTTTACTATTTAAACCGTGTTTGTTTGAACTAAACTTAAAGTTTGCGATTAAATGGCTTTCATTTAAAAATTGGGGGGGAATTTCCTAATTTTTACTTGCTTCTTAAAATTGCTTAAAAAAGAACAAATGCTGAGTCAGGCGTTGAAAATTTTTTTTATTTATTTTTTAATTGATTTTAATTAAAAAAAATTTTTTTCAGAAGTTTCTTCTTAAAAATCGATAAATTCTTTAATTTTATTTTTTGCTTCTGAAGACGAAAAAATAATCAAATATGGACACAAATGGTGTAACAGACAAATGTATCGACAATACTATGGAACAAGAAAAAACAACGACAACAACAGCTTCTACCCAACAAACTCAACAGCAACAACCACACAAAGTTATTGTTACTGATGATTCTGTTGAAGAAGAGAAAAAGGTTTTTTTGTATAAATTAAATGAAAATTAGGTTTAGGGGGTTGTTTTTGGGGTTTTCTGAAATGATTTGTCGGAGTTGATTTTTTGAGTTGTTTGGTGCTGACTTTGGGTTGATTTAGGAAAGGGATTTTAATACTCTAATTCACAAAAAACAAATTTTCAATGATTTTTTTGGGCGTTTCAGACACTCATTGAAAATTAAAAAAATTCCCTGGAAATTCTCGCAACCCAAGAATAGGAATTTCGTTAAAGGATCCTTCCATGGGTCGACCGGTTCAAAACCTTCAACTTTTGTTTTTTAAAGTTTTAAAACTTATAAAAAATTAAGGATGACGAAATTATTAAAGAAAAGCAGCAGCAACAAGTTGTTGATAATATTGTTTCCGTTGAAGGAGGGGAAGTATGTGGAGATAATGTTAATAATGAAGAAGGTGACGGGGAGAATAATCTGGAAGAGAGGCAAAATTTAAATAACAATAATTCTTCTTCAACTACTCAAATACCCATAATTTCATCACCGCCGCAATTAAATATCAACAATTTATCTCTTTCAACAACTTCAAAATTGAGACAAGAACATCGACTCAAAACTCGTTGGACTTTTTGGTTTTTAAATTCTGATAGGGAATTGACATGGTTGGAAAGATTGAAGAAAGTTTGTACAATTGAATCTGCGGAAGCGTTTTGGGCGTTAGTTTATTTTTATTTTTTTTTGAACGGGGTTTTAAACTATAGGGGAACCGAAACAAAAATTTAAATCGGGTGCGTAACCAGGGAGTCGATTTCATTTTATCATCTTTCTCCTGATATTTTTCTCTTTTCCCCATTTCAGAGAGGGCCCCAGAGCCCCCTTCACATCCTTGGAATTAGGAATGGATCTGGCTGGGGTGATAGAAAAAGTCAGTTCGGCTTTCGGATAAGAGTTTCTAAATTTTCTTTAAATCAGGTTTGGCTTAAGAATAATTTTGGGCTTTGATTTCGAGTAACTCTCCTGTGTTCTATCGATTGGGTGCTATAGTCCAAGAATATAACCTCTCGGTCCCGCTCTCTTCTAGACTCAAAGCACACTTTAAAACTTAAAAAATTTCTTTTTCCAGACTTTATGACAACATTCGACCACCTTCTGCAATGCAGTCTGGTTGTGACTATAATTTTTTCAAGGAAGGTATTCAACCTGTTTGGGAAGTTCCAGAGAATAAAGATGGGGGAAGATTGATTGTACAGGTTTGATTTGAGATTTGGTTTCCTTAAGGATGGGTCGGATTGAGGAAGAAAATCGGGTAGGGTTTTTGGATCGGGTTTTGAAAAATAAAATTTCTCGGGTCGGATTTTGGAAATTTTCCAGGGTCGGGTATCTGTCAATGAAATGACCAGGTTGCGGGTAACTCGGCCCTTCCTTAGTTTTCTTGTATCATTTGTTAGGACGGGGCCAGGATTTTATGTGTCTGGCTGCCAAATCGAGATATTGATTTTTGAATAACGACCACTAATCTGTGACCAGATTTATTTTTGTTAGGTGTTTACTAGAAAAAGCCTTTAAAAGCTTGTGGTTGAATTAGAGATGGGCCGGGTTATCCGAAATCCGAACAGCTCGATCCGAAGCCCAAAATTAATTTTGAAACCCCATCCTGACTTTTTTCTTAACCATGGGTCGTCCTTTGTGTATGTCGAGACAATCATGACGGGCAAGGACGTAGCCCTCCCTGAAATCGACTCCCAGGCTATGCCCTTGATGGCCGGCGCGATTAAATATATACTGTTTTTTTCAAGATTGATAATAAAAATAAAATTGAACATTTGGATGCTTTATGGTTAGAATTATTAGTTGCTTTAATTGGTGAGCAATTTGGACGTGATTCTGAATATGTTTGTGGGGCTGTTTGTAATATGCGTGGTAAAGGCCATAAGGTTTTTTTGAGACTTTTTTGGACTATAAAAAATTTTTTCTCTTTAGATTTGTCTTTGGACAAAGAATGCTGAAGCTGAGGAGGCTAATAGACGGATTGGGTATTTTTTATTGATTAAATGATAGTTTGGTGTAGTGGGAAAGTGTTAAGATTTTGCTCTTAGGGGGTCTAAGGTTCGAACCCCGCTAGTGGAAATAATTTTGTTTTTGATGTAATTTGAAATCTAATTTGATTTGAGTTTTGTTTTAAGTCGTAGGATATTTAAATTATTTTTTTAAAGTGACATTTGATCCCAGAAATGGATTTTAAAAATTTTTTCCCTTATTTTATTTTTATTTTTTAGAGCAATTTTGAAGAGCCGATTCCAAGATACTACTAATTGCAGTATTAGGGTTAATTATGAAGGTTTATTTTAATTTAAAAAATTTTTTTTGTAATTAAAAAAATTTTTTTCTAGAACACAATGTTTCGCAGCACAAATCGTCTAGTGCCACTCAAGTTCGTTTTGTTCTTTAACAAGTTTATTTTATTATAAAGAGAGATATATTTATTTTAATTATATCCTTCTTTGTTTTTTTTTTGCTCACCCGTTAATTTTACAAACATTCTCTCTATATTATATTTTTCGTTTCTTTGAGGTAAAGAAAAAGGTGGAGGTTTGTGACGAAATGGCTGATTTTCTCTTTTGGGGCAAAATGTGGTTAAACTTTAAATAAACATGTTTTTCCGGAAAGTTATGTTTTAATAAACAAAACATGTTTTTAATTAAAACATGTTTTCCGGAAAGTTTATATTACATAATTATACTTTCCGGAACTGTATACATTATATTTTCCGGAAATATATCCATCATGTTTTCCTGAATGTTTTTAGTCAAACAAAACATGTTTTAAAATAAAATAAAAACATGTTTTTAATAAAAACATGTTTTTAGTAAAACAAACATGTTTTTATTAAAATAAACATGTTTTTAATAAAACAAAAACATGTTTTTAATAAAAACATGTTTTTAATAAAAACCTGTTTTCCGGAATGTTTTAATCATTTTTTCTTTACCTCTCTAAAATACCGCCACACATATAAAAAATATTATTTTACTAAATTTGTTGTTTTGTTGTTGTTTTTCTCTCTATATAATATTTTATTGTTTTATCTCTCTCTATCCCTCAAAAACATAAAAAAACGTACTATATATTTTATATAATTGTTCAAATTGTTGGAAACGCTTCAAAATTTTATTTTTTTTTTGGTAAAAATGGAAATTGATGAATAATGCTGAAAAGAAGTTTCTCTACACAAGTAATAGATCAACATTTTAAAAAAAACATGGGTAGTTGTTTTTAGGAAAGAAAAAAATGTTTTTGTTTGGTATTTTATTTGTTGTTATGAATGCAGGAATATTTGTTTGGTTGAACAATGTTTTGGGAAAATACATGTTTTTCCGGAATGTTTTTAAGAAAATACATGTTTTTACGGAATGTTTTTGTATTTTGTGTTTTCCGGAATAAATGTATTTTCTTTTGTATTTTCTTTAAAACATGTTTGTTTTGATGTTTTTCTGAAACATCAAAAAAGCAACTTGTTTTGCAAACTTAAGAACTTAAGTTTTTAAGTTTACAAACTTGTATTAGTTTTCAAGTTTAATCTTTTCCGGAAACTTAAGTTTTTAGAATGTCTCCAATAAAAAATATTTTTGCATATATCCTATTATATTTTATTGTCTCTACACGTTGCCTTATTAAATATATTTGAAAAATTGAAATAAATTTTCAAAAAATTTTTTGAAAATTTTTGAAAAATTTTTTTGAAAAATTTTTTTTTCAAAAAAAATTTCATTTTTTCTTTTATTTTTATTTTTTGTTTGCGCGTTGTTATTCATTTATTTAAAAAATTGGAAAATGTTGATTATAAATAAATATATTGCTTCAAAAAAATTTTTTTTTTCTTCTAAATTTATTTTTTATTAAATAAAATTCATTCAATTACTTTATTAAATTTTAAATAATTTTTTAGACAAATTTTTATATATTGATTGCTATTGTGCGGCTATTTATTTTTGTTCGTCATCCTGTTCTTCTACGCTCTCCTAAAATTTTTTGAAGTTCATATTTAAAGGTTCTTTTTCAGTTTAATTAGAATTTTTATGGTACTATGCGTTTATATCCCCGCAATTCCGCAAATGTTTGTCCGCACTTTTTTTCATTCATTCTCCTCATAAAGGATTAGAAACGGTCAAGTTAACTTTTTTCTTCGCCTTCTTTTTTCCTCTCACAAAGATTAAATGTTCAATTAAGAGAGAATGACAAATATTCGCTTGTAGAAAAATATAAGTGTAAAAATAAGAGAATGTTCAGAAATTATTTGGTAATAGGTTGTTTGGTACCCCCCTCCCCCATTTTTCTGACCATTTTTAAATTTTTCCTTTCCTTTCTCCCTTATTGGTACTTTTCCGTTCTGTCACACCACCATAAATTAATGCTCAAAATGTCATATATAGGTAATAAAAAGGCTAAGTCGAACGGTAACACTCTTTTTTCCCGTCAATGCCTGAGAACCGAGATATGTGGCTCAAAATGGTCAAAACCGTAGGTGCAGCAAGCATCGTAACTTTGTCCAATCTTATTCCATCACGCTGATTTTGGTGTCCTTTGACTTATCTCGTCGCACCGCTTCTCTTATTTTTACCTTTATATTTTCTATAAGCGAATATTTGTCATCCTCCATTTTTACTTGAATATTTTAATCTTTGAGAGAGAGGAGAAAGAGGGCGAAGAAAAAATGGGGGTTAACTTGACCGTTTCCTTCCTTTATGAGGAGAAAGAATGTTAAGAAGTGCGGACAAACATTTGCGGAATTGCGGGGATATAAACGCATAGTACCATTTTTATTAATTTTTGTAAATTTTTAGTTGAATAATTTTGGAATTTATTTGGGAGGTTTTTCTCATTGTGCTTTGGAATAAATACAAGGTTACTATTTTTTTGATAATTTTTTGGTTGGGATTTGGTTGGATATTCCTAAGAATTAATTTTTGAAAGAAAAAATATAGAAATTGATTTTTCGAAATTGGGGGAAGGGGAAGGAAAAGCCACCAAAAATTGACAATAGGTTATCGACCACGCTCTACACGTTGGCATAATTTTTATTTAAAAACAATTTTTCGTAATAGCTCGGAAGATTTCCTTTTTAGTCTTAGAGCTCTAAATTTATTTTTTCTTATAAAATTTTTACTGGGCAGGCCAAAAAAATTTTTTCGAATTTTTATTTAATTCGAATTTTTTTATTATTTTTGATTTTTAGTTGACTAATTTCGGAATTTATTTAGGAATTTTTGGTCATAGTTCGGAAGGCATAGATTTTTTCGAGAATTTTTTTAAACAAACCTGAATAATTTCTACATCCGTTTGAATTTTTGTAGGGCCTCCTTTTTCTTTTTTTAACCTTTCAATTTTTGCAACTCTTTGTTGTTGTTTTTGTAAATCCTCAGGTTTCTTCTCTTTTTCAAATAAATTAATTTTTGGAATATCCAAAGGAAATTCAGAAAATTTAATTAAAGTTTGTTTTGACAAATCATAACCAAATTTTTTTGTGTTTCTAAATATTGAAGAAAGGGATAGATTTACAAAACCTTGGGTAGATACTCGTGTAACTGAAAAAAGAAAATTTTTTTGAATTTTTTTAGTTAATTTTTTAAGAAGGAAGCCCAACAAAAATTAAAAAAAAATTTTTTAAAGAATTTCTGAATAGAGCGATATTTGCGAACACTCGCTTAAAAATTTATTTTATAGCCTAAATAAACTTTTTGGACATTAAATTAATTTTTATAAGCTTAGGATATTCCAATAAATTTTATAAATTTTCTTGGGAACTCAATTCAATAATTTTCAATTTTTTTCCGCAAAAATTTTTTTAAAATTAAAAATTTTTATTTTTAATTTATTTTTATTTTTCAGTCTATCAATCAAAAAAGAAGAAAAAAATTTTTCAACTCGCCTTCTCTCCCTTCACTTTTGGCAATAATTGTAGTATCAATAAATTCAGCTCTACGTCCAGTCAATAAACCAATTATTTTTTGAATATTTGTAGTTGCTTGGGGTAAGAAAATTGGACATTTTCTTTTTATACTTTTTTTAAAATTAAATTTAAAAATTAAAAAAAATTTTAAGTACTTCCCAGGTGTAGTAGGTAAATGTGTAGATGTATACCCCCTTATTACATCGTTCCCAAAGGGGTCTTGACCATAAAAACTTAAAACAAGTTGAGGCCCTTAAAATAAAAATGTTTGTTGTTTTGTTGGGAAAGTTTGTTTGTTTTAATCAAAGTTGCAAATGTTTTGTGTTTTCCGGAAAAGTTTGTTCGTAAGAAATTATAGATGTTTTTATAAAAGTTGGAATGTTTGTGTTTGTTGATATGTTTTTATTGAAATTGAGAGAAATGTTTGGTTGTTTTGTGTTTTTGTTTAAGCTTGTTGTGTTTAATCATATGTTTAGATGGAATGTTTTTCCGGAAAGTTTTTAATAAAATAAACATGTTTTCCGTAAAAGTTTGTTTTTCCTCTAAATGTTTTCCCTAAAAACATGTTTTTCTCAATTCAAGTTTGTATTATTTTTACAACTTGTTTTGTTTAATGTTTTTCCGGAACAAGTTTGTTTCTCCAGAATTTATAAATGTTTTTATTAAAGTTTGTAAATGTTTTTCCGGTAAAAGTTTGTTTTTACATTTAAATGGATTTGTAGAAGAGAATGTTGCTTCTATTGGGGTGTTGAGCACAATTTGATTGTTGAAACTTCTTTCTGTTTTGTATGCTGTTGCACTGATACCTTGAAATACAACACTCATATAAAAATTAATTTAACAAAAAAACCTTCCTCCATTCCTCCAACTTGTCTCCAATCTGGTCCGTATACAAAACAATATTTACAATAAACATTAGATATTGAAAGAAACTTGAAAATTTAAATAAACTTGTTTTTCGGAAATTTTGAGAATGTTTTTGAAGTTTGTCTTTAGGATGTTTTAATGTTTTCCGGAAAAGTTGTAGTTTGGTGTTTTTAAAAAAAGTTAATGTTTGTCTTAGAATGTTTTCAGGAAATAAACTTGTTTTCCGGAAAGTTTTTACACGTGTTTATGTTTGTCTTCAGGATGTTTTAATGTTTTCCGGAAAAGTTGTAGTTGGGTGTTTTTAAAAAAGTTAATGTTTGGTTTAGAATGTTTTCCGGAATGTTGTGATATTTGTTTTAATGTTTTCCGGAAAGTTTGTTTGTGTTTGTTTTTAGTATAGAAAAACATTTGTGTTTGTTTTTCTGGAATGTTTGTAGAATGTTTTCCGGAAAAGTTGTAATTGGTTTTACTAAAGTTTGTTTTTAATATTTTTTTCTGCAAACCTCAACAGTTTCAATCTGTCCAGTAATTAATAACAAAAAACAATTTTTGTCTTCATTTTCTAACGATGAAACTTGTTGTTGTTGTCTAATTGTTGCTGCACTGCTTGTACTTGGTCCAGCTTCATCAAATATTTGTTGACTCATACAAATATAATTTTAATTTTTCGTTGTGTTTTAATTAAAAAAATTTTTTTGTATGGTCAAAAAGCAACGTTTTCTAGTTACCATGACAACAGAATCATTTTTGCATATTATGCTGAATTTGAGCGTTATGTCTAGTGCCCATTTGTTTCTGGAATCTTTTAGTTTTTAATGTTTATTTTATATTCTGGTTTGTAAATGTTTTTGTTTGTTTTAAATTCTGATTTTTTAAATGTTTTTATTGTAAATTGTGTTTTGTTGGCAAATTGTGTTTTTATCGTTTGTTCTGATTTTTTAAAACATGTTCAATTTAAATTCTGATTTTTAATTTCCAAGTTTATTTCCAAACAAACTTGAATAAAATACAAAACAGAATTTTAAATAAACATTAAATTAAAAATCAGAATATAAAATGAACATGTTCTGATTTTTAATTTTCATGTTCATTTTAAATTCTGATTTTTAATTTAATGTTTATTTAAAATTCTGATTTTTATTCTGTTTCTTTTTTTCAGAAAAACAAAAACATGTTTGTTCGAATTAACCGTGTTGCAAGTTTTTTTTCTTCTCTACTCAACAACAATTCTTCCCAACATTGTTGTTCTGGTCATCCAAACATTTTAATTCAACCAAACATTTGTTCAATTCAACAAAAAGCAAGTTTAACTTCCAAATGGTTCTTAAAACTTCATTGTCGTTATTGTTTCTTTACTCGTCGAAATGGACGTTGGATGGTTGATTGTACTCGTTTTTCAAACCATAAAAGTATTCAAAGAGGATTTAATCCAAAACTTTATTGGTAGAAAAATGAAGAAGGAAAAATAATTTGAAAATTTTTGGACACAAGTTAGTTGAATTTTTTTTTGTTTTTTTGTATAATTTAAAGAAAAAAAATATTTTTTTTGATTAAAATTTAAAAAAATTTTTTTAAATTAAAATTGGATTTTTAACCTATTTTTCTTTGAATATTTAACTAATTTATTAATTTTTTTCATTGCATCAACGTCCCCCTTAAACTATCTAAATGTCAGCATGTTTTGTCCACAAATTGTATTTTTTCAGGTTTTTTTTTAATTTTTAAAACGAATAAATAAATATTTTTATTTTATATTTTAGTCTTTTTTCTGCCGTTTGAGCATAAATTGTTTCTTAATTGGAATTTGGTGCTGTTTCCTTCAACTCTGCCCTTCAAAATATGGCTTAAACTCTAGTTGGAATTTCTTAGGTTTTTTTAAATTTTTTTTTGAGATTCTTAATGTATGTAAATGTAAGAGAGTAGAGATCGGCTCGATACGATTTTTCATCGATAATTATCGATATTTTTCGATATTTTTTTTCGATATTATCGAAAAAATATCGACCGAGAAAATTTTGACTTTTTCGATATTTTTCGGTATTCGATATTTTTTCGATATTTATCGAAAAATATCGACCGACAAAATTTAAAAATCGAAACAATCGACCGACTAAATTACAAAAAATCGAAAAAATATCGAATGTCATTTTTGACAAAAATTTGGATTTTTGGCGCCAAAAAGGATGCATTTTTGCTTCTTCCCCATCAGAAATTCAAAAAATTTTCGCCTGCGGCGCAAGAAAGGAGGAAGGTTTCTTCTATATTCACGATTTAGTTTGCCAAAGCGAGAAGAGAGTGTGATAATATACAGTGATGTCAAAGTTCCAGTTCCGGAACTAATTAGTTCTAGTTCCAGAACTAGACAACAAATCCCTTGAAATCCCAGAGACACCACTAAACTCTCCGATATTTTTCGAATCCAACTTAATCCCAGTGAATCCCCCGATATCCCCCTTCATCCACTATTGATCCGAAAATGGAAATATTATATAACTAACAAAGGATTAAGTGGATAAAATGGATCTCGAGGGATCAAGACGACTTGGGAGAGATAGATATCAAAACGGATATTAAATCCAAGATTTTTTATCCTCTGATATTTCGTTACCCCCGATATCCCTCTTAATACACAAATCCCTTGATATCCCTCCTTATCTCATAAATCCACAATATCACACTTACTACCTCTAAATCTCTCGATACACAATCAGCCCTTCAATATCCACCTTAATTCCTTAAAATCCATTATCCCTAGTTAAAATCCACTTATATCCCACTTGATCCTTTGATATCAAATACAAGTCCATTGATATTACATTTAATACTTCCAAATCCACCAATATCCCATTTAATCAATCTTAATCTCATTAACCTACTAGGTCTATTCTGTTATTCATTGGTTATAGAAAAATTTTTGAAAAATCGAAAAATATCGAGACTTTTTTTTCGATATTTTTCGGTTTCGATATTTTTCGATATTTATCGAAAAAATATCGACCGAGAAAATTTTGATTTTTTCGATATTTTTCGATATTCGATATTTTTCGATATTTATCGAAAAATATCGACCGACCTCTTCGGCCGATCTCTATAAGAGAGTGTAGGTGTGAATTTCCTTTAAGGATTCCTTTAAAATTTCTGAGAAAAATTTTTTTAACTAACTTCTCGAGCAGCCAACTTACATATTCTCTCTTTGTTTAGTCCTATAAAACACTCATTTTTTTCAAATCACACATATTTTTTTTATTTTTTACTTTTTATGTTGACTAGCAGTATTTTTTATAAGTAAGAGATCGAATGAGAATTTTCTTTAATAATCAAAAAAAATTTTTTTCTTCTGATTTTCTCTTTCAATTTTCCTAAGCAAAAGCAAAATATGTGTGATGCATATTATAAAGTTTCTCGATAGGATTTTGTTTTTGTTGTTGTTGCTGTTGATTTTCTTCTTTATTTTTGTCTTGATTATCTTCTTTTTGAATATATAATGAGGGTGGATTTTCATTTAAATTTTTTTCAATAACAATTTCTTTTTCTTCCCATTCTTCCTCTTCGTCATCTAAACAGCTATCGACATCAAATTCATCAGAATCTTCTTTGAAAAAAAAATTTTTTTTGTTAATTTTTAAATTTTTTTTTAAATTTTTTTTAATTTAATCTTCTTGAATTTTTTGAAAAAAATTTTTAAAAAATTTTTAATTTTCGAAAAAAAAACTTTTTCTAATTTTTCTCCCTTACCTTCCCCTACTATAATTCTGAAAAAATTTTTTCAAAAAATTTTAATTTTAGAAAAAAAATTTTTTCAATTTTTTTATTTTTTTTTAAATTTTTTCTTCTTTTCAGACTAATTAGAATAATTTCTAAATTTTTTTTAACTTCGAAATTTTTTTTCAAATTTTCGAAAAAAATTTTTTTTTTAATTTTCCCTTACCTTCCCCCATAATTATTTCTTCTTCAGCACTTGAACCGCTCTGTTTCCCTCCATTATTATTTTCAAAAATATTTTGTTGTTTGTCTAATTCTCGTTTAGTACTCTCCTTCTTTATTTTTGCTCTAAAATTTTTTTTCAATTAAAAAATTTTTCCAAAGAAAAAAACCTTTGGTTTTGAAACCATACTTGCACAACACGAACACTTAGGCCTGTTTCACGCGCTAATTGTTCCCTTACCTTTTAATAAATAAAATGTTTGTTTTAAATTCTGATTTGATCAGAATTTGTTTGTTTTTATGTTTGTTTTAAATTCTGATTTCAAATTCTATGTCGTGTTTATGTTTTGATTTTTTAAAACTTGTTCAGTTTAGATTCTGATTTAATCAGAATTATAAAGGAATAGTTTCTATGTTTGTTTTAAATTCTGATTCGTGTAGGTCGTGTTTATGTTTTATTTTGATGTTTTAATTAAATTCTGATTTTTTTTAAACATGTTCATTTCAAATTCTGATTTTTCCAAGTTTATTTAACATTCTGATTTTTATATTTTATTCGTTTTTTATTTTCTTCTCACTTTTCTTGTTGGTTTCTGTCCTTTCTCAAAAGCATATTTAAAAGCTTTCCTCTGTGGTGCATTCAAGATTGTTCGGGGTCTTTTTGGAATCTTTTTTGATCTGTCTCGATGTCGACGATGAGGTCGATTATTATAATTTTGTCTTTGTAGATTGAATTCTAGTTCTGGAAATTGTGGAATAGGTAGAAAATTTGTTTGTTGTGCTGAAATGTTTATAAATGTTTTTCCGGAATGTTTTTTGTTTTTTAAAAATGTTTTGGTGTGTATTTGTTTTCCGGAAAGTTGAAATGTTTTCCTCAAATGTTTTGTGTTTTTCCTTAAACATGTTTGTTTTAAAATAACCAGAATGTTTTTCCGGAAAGTTTTGTGTTTTTGTTTAATTGTTTTTCCAGAAAGTAAAATGTTTTTCTTGAAGGTTTTGTGTTTTTCCTTAACTATGTTTGTTTTAGAATAACCAGAATGTTTTTCCGGAAAGTAAAATGTTTTTCTGGAGTGTTTTGTGTTTTTCTTTAATAGTTTTCCGGAAAGAAACACAATTTATATAAATGTTTTTAATAGTTTCCGGAAAGTTGACATGTTTTTCCGGAAAGCTTTAATATTCAGGTTTTAATTCATGTTTATTTTAAATTCTGATTTTTACTATTCAAAACAAAAACATTTATTAACTTACCCAAATGCTGTTGTTGTTGTTGTAATCTCCACAAATTAACTTCTCTTTGACAAATTAATTGTCCTGCAACATTAATATATTGTTCCCCTAATGTCAATTGTTGTCCACAACAAAAACATGTAAAACAATTTAGATGATAAACAAAAAGGCCTGCACTTCTATATACAAGTTCTGTAGGTGTTATAGATTGACCACAACGAGTACATGTTGCTTGGGCATTGGGGCCAAAAAGCCTGGAAAAATAGGATATACATCAATTAGTTTTTGTTTTTATTGTGGGTTTCTGGTGTGTTTTTCACGGTGTTTCGTATGTTTTTCTGTTTTTACTGCATGTGTTTTTACAAATGTTTGTTGCGATGTTTTTGTGTTTTTACTGTTTTTATTTAAATGTTTTTGCAGTGTTTCTGTTTTTGTTTGAATTTAATTCTGATTTTCCATTGCTTGTGTTTTTACTGTTTGTTTTCCAGAATGTATTTTCCTTTGTTTTTGTTTCTATTTTTGTGTTTTTGTTGTGATTTAATTCTGGTTTTTTCTGTTTTTTTTTGTTTTAATTTAATTCTGGTTTTGTATTTTTGTTTTAATTTAATTCTGGTTTTGTATTTTTTGTTTTATTTAATTCTGGTTTTGTGTTTTTGTTTTATTTTTCTTAACCTTGTTATAAATCTCCAATAAATAGCTTTAAACATTTATCAAAATTTTATATGTTTTTCTTGTCATTTTTCTAATTTTTTATATCCCCTTCTCGTAATTTAATGACTTTAATATATTATATACTCCAAAATTAAATAAAAAAACACGGCAAGAAGCCTTTAAATTAATTTATTGTCTCTTCTTTGATTCTCATTTTCCGCTAATACTCATTATATTATTTTTTATTATCCTTTATTATCCTTGTATATTAAGAAGCCTTTTTTCTCTATATTTTTAATTGCAAAATTATTATAGTTATTAAAAATACATGTGTTTTTTTATAATCGCATGTTTTAAAAATACATGTTTGTTTAATATTTTGTTTGGTTGTTTATCTTCGGGATGTTTTGTGTTGTGTTTTTGTATGTTTTTCACAACATTGTTTTCCTTTGAAAAATGTTTTCCGGAAAGTTTGTATTTTAATATTCTATGTTTTCATGTCTTTTTTGTTTGTGTGTTTTCCGGAATGTTTGTTGTTTTTATAAATGTTTTCCGGAATGTTTTAATATCTGTGTTTTTCATGTTTTTTTCTTTGCTGCTATGTTTTCCGGAAAATTTAATTAATTTATATTCCATATTGATTGTGTTTTTGTGTTTTTATTGTTTTTCTGTCACTCATTTGCTTAAACCCAATAAAAACCTCTTGTGTCAAAAATATGTTTTTAAAGTGTCAAAAAATCTTCTCTTGAGTTAAAATTAAGAGAAGAGGATATATATAAAATTAAATGAGGGTTAATCCGAGAAATAAAAATTTTATTTTTAGAATTATCTGCCTTTCTTTTTCAGACTTTATAAAATATTTTAAATTTTCAAAAGTAAGCATTCAAGGATTTTAAGGCACGCATATTCTTAAAAGCTTTAATATTTTTAATATAAGTTTGTTGGAGTGTTTTATAAAGTTTGAGTAGAAATAATAAAAAAATGTTTTCCGGAATGTTCAATGAATGTTTTCCGTTAATATTTTAATGTTCTGTTTTCCCATGTTTTTGTTTGTTTGTCTTGTTTGTTTTGTGTTTTTAAAACAAGTATGTGTTTTTCGGCATGTTTTGGTGTGTTTTCAATTTATGTTTTCCGTCTATGTTTTAATATTTTATTGTGTTTTGTTTTTAAAATGAATGTTTTTCCGGAAAGATTTTAATGTGTTTTTTTCTTGTTTTTATTTTTTTCGCCGGAATGTTTTTGTTGTGTTTTCCTCAGAATGTTTTTATAACTTACATAGAATAATCTTCAATGCAGAATATTCGCCCGTCATGAACAAAACATTTATTATCGTTTCCAACATTTTTATTACATTTTACACATGTTAAACAATTTTCATGCCAATAACTTTTCTCTAAATTCTCTAAATTTTTGCTTAAACAAAGTAAATGCCTGAAAATTTGTTTTTATTGAGGAAATTTTTTGTTACAAAACCTTTCATGAATTCCCATTCCACAACCATCACAGTTTATAACTGATTGATATAAATTTTCATTTTGATAAGCTTTGAACGATGTTTCACCTACTTATTTGTTTTTTATTGTTTTGTATTTACTTGTTAATGTTTTGTGTTTTCTTATGTTTCTTTGTGTTTTTCCGGAAACTTGTTTTTATTTTCCGGAATGTTTTTCTGATTTTTATTTCCACATGTTTTATATTATGTTTTCCGGAATGTTTTGTATTTTTATGTTTTCCGGAATGTTTTTAGTTTGTTCTGATTTTTCCAGAATGTTTGTATGTATTTTTTCTAATGTTTTGTGTTTTCCTATTTTCCATAATGTTTTTCCGGAAACTTATTTTTGTTTTCCTGAATGTTTTTTCTGGTGTTTGTTATTTCCAGAATGTTTTGTATTTTTGTGTTTTCCGGAAAGTTGTATTTGTTTTACAGTTTGTTTTAATGTTTTTACCGCTATCTATGTTTTCCCTAAATATTTCGTTTGTTTCCTCAAGTTGTTTTACAAAAAATGTTGTTGTTGTTGATGTGAATGTTTGGCAATTTAAATTAGGAGACTGTAGCCTTATCACAAATGGAATTTTATCATTGTTGTTTAAACTTTGACTAGAAAATGAGAAATCTAAATTTTCTGGAGAAGAAAAGTTATGTTCATGTTTAGAGGTTGATGTTTTGTTAATAGATGAGATCTGAAATTGAGAAAACAATGTTTGTGTTTTGCAATGTTTTCCCTTGAAATTGTTTTCCGGAAAATGTTTAATGTTTGTTTTGTTTAGGAAAGTTTGTTTTGTTTCCTCTTTAAATGTTTTTAAGGTTTATTAGTACTAATGTTTTATTAGAAATGTTTTTCCGGAAAGTTTATGTTTGTTTCTTTAAAATGTTTTTCCGGAAAAGTTTAATGTTTTGTTTCTTGCAGGTCTTTCCGCAAAGTTTAATGTTTTGTTTCTTGCAGGTCTTTCCGCAAAGTTTAATGTTTTGTTTCTTGCAGGTCTTTCCGCAAAGTTTAATGTTTTGTTTCTTGCAGGTCTTTCCGCAAAGTTTAATGTTTTGTTTCTTGCAGGTCTTTCCGCAAAGTTCAATGTTTTGTTTCTTGCAGGTCTTTCCGCAAAGTTTAATGTTTTGTTTCTTGCAGGTCTTTCCGCAAAGTTTAATGTTTTGTTTCTTGCAGGTCTTTCCGCAAAGTTCAATGTTTTGTTTCTTGCAGGTCTTTCCGCAAAGTTCAATGTTTTGTTTCTTGCAGGTCTTTCCGCAAAGTTTAATGTTTTGTTTCTTGCAGGTCTTTCCGCAAAGTTCAATGTTTTGTTTCTTGCAGGTCTTTCCGCAAAGTTTAATGTTTTGTTTCTTGCAGGTCTTTCCGCAAAGTTCAATGTTTTGTTTCTTGCAGGTCTTTCCGCAAAGTTTAATGTTTTGTTTCTTGCAGGTCTTTCCGCAAAGTTTAATGTTTTGTTTCTTGCAGGTCTTTCCGCAAAGTTCAATGTTTTGTTTCTTGCAGGTCTTTCCGCAAAGTTCAATGTTTTGTTTCTTGCAGGTCTTTCCGCAAAGTTTAATGTTTTGTTTCTTGCAGGTCTTTCCGCAAAGTTTAATGTTTTGTTTCTTGCAGGTCTTTCCGCAAAGTTTAATGTTTTGTTTCTTGCAGGTCTTTCCGCAAAGTTTAATGTTTTGTTTCTTGCAGGTCTTTCCGCAAAGTTTAATGTTTTGTTTCTTGCAGGTCTTTCCGCAAAGTTCAATGTTTTGTTTCTTGCAGGTCTTTCCGCAAAGTTTAATGTTTTGTTTCTTGCAGGTCTTTCCGCAAAGTTTAATGTTTTGTTTCTTGCAGGTCTTTCCGCAAAGTTCAATGTTTTGTTTCTTGCAGGTCTTTCCGCAAAGTTCAATGTTTTGTTTCTTGCAGGTCTTTCCGCAAAGTTCAATGTTTTGTTTCTTGCAGGTCTTTCCGCAAAGTTCAATGTTTTGTTTCTTGCAGGTCTTTCCGCAAAGTTTAATGTTTTGTTTCTTGCAGGTCTTTCCGCAAAGTTTAATGTTTTGTTTCTTGCAGGTCTTTCCGCAAAGTTCAATGTTTTGTTTCTTGCAGGTCTTTCCGCAAAGTTCAATGTTTTGTTTCTTGCAGGTCTTTCCGCAAAGTTTAATGTTTTGTTTCTTGCAGGTCTTTCCGCAAAGTTCAATGTTTTGTTTCTTGCAGGTCTTTCCGCAAAGTTTAATGTTTTGTTTCTTGCAGGTCTTTCCGCAAAGTTTAATGTTTTGTTTCTTGCAGGTCTTTCCGCAAAGTTTAATGTTTTGTTTCTTGCAGGTCTTTCCGCAAAGTTTAATGTTTTGTTTCTTGCAGGTCTTTCCGCAAAGTTTAATGTTTTGTTTCTTGCAGGTCTTTCCGCAAAGTTTAATGTTTTGTTTCTTGCAGGTCTTTCCGCAAAGTTTAATGTTTTGTTTCTTGCAGGTCTTTCCGCAAAGTTCAATGTTTTGTTTCTTGCAGGTCTTTCCGCAAAGTTCAATGTTTTGTTTCTTGCAGGTCTTTCCGCAAAGTTTAATGTTTTGTTTCTTGCAGGTCTTTCCGCAAAGTTCAATGTTTTGTTTCTTGCAGGTCTTTCCGCAAAGTTTAATGTTTTGTTTCTTGCAGGTCTTTCCGCAAAGTTTAATGTTTTGTTTCTTGCAGGTCTTTCCGCAAAGTTTAATGTTTTGTTTCTTGCAGGTCTTTCCGCAAAGTTTAATGTTTTGTTTCTTGCAGGTCTTTCCGCAAAGTTCAATGTTTTGTTTCTTGCAGGTCTTTCCGCAAAGTTTAATGTTTTGTTTCTTGCAGGTCTTTCCGCAAAGTTTAATGTTTTGTTTCTTGCAGGTCTTTCCGCAAAGTTTAATGTTTTGTTTCTTGCAGGTCTTTCCGCAAAGTTTAATGTTTTGTTTCTTGCAGGTCTTTCCGCAAAGTTCAATGTTTTGTTTCTTGCAGGTCTTTCCGCAAAGTTCAATGTTTTGTTTCTTGCAGGTCTTTCCGCAAAGTTTAATGTTTTGTTTCTTGCAGGTCTTTCCGCAAAGTTCAATGTTTTGTTTCTTGCAGGTCTTTCCGCAAAGTTTAATGTTTTGTTTCTTGCAGGTCTTTCCGCAAAGTTTAATGTTTTGTTTCTTGCAGGTCTTTCCGCAAAGTTTAATGTTTTGTTTCTTGCAGGTCTTTCCGCAAAGTTTAATGTTTTGTTTCTTGCAGGTCTTTCCGCAAAGTTTAATGTTTTGTTTCTTGCAGGTCTTTCCGCAAAGTTCAATGTTTTGTTTCTTGCAGGTCTTTCCGCAAAGTTTAATGTTTTGTTTCTTGCAGGTCTTTCCGCAAAGTTTAATGTTTTGTTTCTTGCAGGTCTTTCCGCAAAGTTTAATGTTTTGTTTCTTGCAGGTCTTTCCGCAAAGTTTAATGTTTTGTTTCTTGCAGGTCTTTCCGCAAAGTTTAATGTTTTGTTTCTTGCAGGTCTTTCCGCAAAGTTTAATGTTTTGTTTCTTGCAGGTCTTTCCGCAAAGTTTAATGTTTTGTTTCTTGCAGGTCTTTCCGCAAAGTTTAATGTTTTGTTTCTTGCAGGTCTTTCCGCAAAGTTTAATGTTTTGTTTCTTGCAGGTCTTTCCGCAAAGTTTAATGTTTTGTTTCTTGCAGGTCTTTCCGCAAAGTTTAATGTTTTGTTTCTTGCAGGTCTTTCCGCAAAGTTCAATGTTTTGTTTCTTGCAGGTCTTTCCGCAAAGTTTAATGTTTTGTTTCTTGCAGGTCTTTCCGCAAAGTTTAATGTTTTGTTTCTTGCAGGTCTTTCCGCAAAGTTTAATGTTTTGTTTCTTGCAGGTCTTTCCGCAAAGTTCAATGTTTTGTTTCTTGCAGGTCTTTCCGCAAAGTTTAATGTTTTGTTTCTTGCAGGTCTTTCCGCAAAGTTTAATGTTTTGTTTCTTGCAGGTCTTTCCGCAAAGTTTAATGTTTTGTTTCTTGCAGGTCTTTCCGCAAAGTTTAATGTTTTGTTTCTTGCAGGTCTTTCCGCAAAGTTTAATGTTTATTACACCACAAACTTAAGTTTATTTTAATTTACCAGAATGTTTTGTTCATTTTCTGAGTTTGTAATTCCATTAATGTTGTTGTTTTGTTCATTGTTTTGTAAAGCGAAAAATGTTTGTTGTAATTGGCCAACTTGTTCTTCCAAATTCATTAAAATTTTGAGGTCATTAGAGTCTGGTATTTCATAAGCAAAAATATTTTTTTACTATCTCATACTTGTCTAAATTCTTGGCACTTTAATAACAGAAAATAATTTTTTAACTTACGTGCCTGAGGGTTTTTAAAGTTTTTGTTTCTAAAAAATAATGAAAAAATGGGTTTTAAAGCCGTTACCTCCTATACTCTATTTAAACCAGAAAGAGTTACACTATTCAATAATTATAAGGATTAAACTCAACCAAGTCTCGAAGGCTTGGGGCGGTCTTTTGTTTTTATAAAAATAAATTTCCGGCTAAATAATATCCTTTTTTCTTCCTTTTTTACCCTTTTCGCGCGTTTTTTCATTTTCTTCTCTTATTGGGTGTATATATTACAGTAATAAACTAATACTTATTTGTTTGCTCTTTCAAGTCTGCCTTTGTAAGGAAAAAGGGATGTTAAGAAACACTAAGCTGATGACTAAAAACAAACAACACTAAAACATTGACTAATTAATTTTATTCAAGTTTGCGAAAAATGTTCTTCAAGTTTACAAACTTGAAAATATGTTTTCCGGAAATGTTTTTGTTCAACTTGGATGTTTTATTTATGTTGTGTTTTCGGTGTGTTTATTTGTTGTGTTTTCCGGAAAACTTTGTTTTAAACAATGTTTTTAGCTTTTTCCGGAAAACATTTCTAATGAACATTATTTTGAATGTTTTCCGGAATGTTGAATGTTCGAATTTTTCAAAACATTGTTTTTAATGTTTTTCGTAAAAGATGTTTTGTAAGAATAAGATAAACGGAAATTTAATTAATTTGTTCATCCTTCGAAATATGCAAATTTAAGATGGATGCACATTCAATTGCACAACTAATCTTGCTCAATAAAATTTAAGTATTTCTTCTATATAGTATGTGTTAATCTCCAACTTGAATTTATTTTTAAATGTAATCCAAAAGGATTTTTGATAAGGTGATCTGTTGGGTTAAGCGTTTTGGAAGGTGACAATATGCCCTGAGGCAATTCACAAAAACATTTTATCATTAAAAAACAAAAATTAACAAAACAAAGAGAAGGAAGGTCTAATTACTCTAATTACTTCATTTCTTTGCCTCAAATAAATATATAGTGTTTTTGAACGCAGAAAATTCCGTAGACACCAATATTTGTGAAGCACATAACAATTAAATACCAACAATATAGAAATAAACAAAAATGTTGTTAAGGAGAATGTTATTATTGAATGATCATCTGATTAAATGGAGTAAATTAGAATTAAGACTTACGGGAATACGGGATCTCATATGAGTGTCCTCAGTTACTAGGAAATCACGACACATTTATCAGCTCATATCTTATTAAGGAGCGATTAGAGCTTATCAGTCCCGCTGAGAAAAATAATCAGTAGACCCAGAGCTTTCGATTGATACATAAATCGCTGAAATAGATGGATGTTGTACAAAGTTATGGGTAAACAATGGGCGGAAATCACGGTTTTCCGCACTTACCAGCTTATAACTTTTTATGGACTGACTGGATCCTATCATTTCCACTGGGAAATATAATCAGTAAATTCAGGTCTATCGATTGATATTTAAATCATTTAAAAATATTGAAGTTCAAAGAAGTTATGGTCCAATAAAGAGCGAAAATCACGATTTTCCGCACTTATCAGCTCATAACTTTCCTGGGAGTGATCGGATCTTATCAGTCCTTTTGGGAAAAATAATCGAAACATCCAGAGCTATCGAATGGTAGTAAACCATTAGACCCTTTATCCTTCCCCACCTTCTATCCTCCTGTATTTCCATTGGATTACAAGCCTAAGCAATGCATATCCAAGAGGGCCAGTAACTCCAAGAATAAAAGTGAAGACTAAGAGAAGAACACAAACAGAACATTCCATAATCTTTCAAAAAATTTTTTTTTAATTTATTTTAAAATTTTTCAACCTTCAAAGACAACAAAGGCCAAAGGTACTTGTAATGTTTTTCACCCCGTTTTCCTCCAAAAATTGGAATAATTGCTAGAAAAAATCCAACAAGAGACCAACCAATTTGTAAAGAAGTTGAAGCATCTATACGTCCAATATATGGAATAAAATAAATTAATTCTATTGCTAATCTGAACAAATCAGCGAATATCAAGAGGCGAACAGTGTCGGTATATAAATATCAAGAGAAAATGTTTTTAAGTTTGTTTAAATGTTTTTACAATATGTAAACGGCCAAAGCATGCTCGAAATTCCTCTCCTAGAAAATGGGGTTGTTGGGAAACATGTTTTTGTTCATGTTGTTGGGATGTTGCTCTTAAATAATTGTTGTTGTTGTTGGGAATCATTTAAATGTTGTTTTCATTATGGATAAAACAAAACAAATAAATAAACTTGTTTTACAAACTTGTTGACAATAAGGTTTGTAAATAAAAACATGTTTTAAAACATGTTCTAAGAAATAAATTTAGCAAATAAATAAACTCGTTTTAAATAAACTTGTTTTGCAGATAAAGTTTAAAATAAAAACATGTTGCAAACATATTATAAGTAAACAAACTTGTTTTTACAAATAAATAAACTTGTTTTAAAAGATGTTTAGAATAAATAAGTTGTAAAACAAGTTTTAAAACAAAATTTTGAAATGAACTTGTTTTAGAATCATAAAATTAAAATATTTTTCAAAAACATGTTCAGAATAAGTTTGTAGATATAAACTTGTTTTACAATTAACTTTAAGATTACAAACTTGAATTATTTTACTGAAAAAACAAATCCATGGATAAAGAAGATTAAATGTCTGTTTAGTTTTGGGGTTGACACATCACTCAAAGACGAGAAAAAAAAATATATTTTAGAAAATGAGAAGAGCTCTAAATAAAACAGTCAAAATTGAATGACAAATGGCGTTTTAAACTGAAGAAAAAAAACATGGAAAGGGAAGGAAAAACCTTAAAAAATAATAAACTAAACCTTTTTTTATGAAATTTTGAAAAAATATGGAGACAATAAAAAAATATTATTAATTGCTGTTGTGAATAGGAAAGAAAAGAATAAAAACAAAAAAAAAATAATTAATAAGGTCTATGTTGATTGTGAGGATGTTGTTGAGGTTGTTGTCCCATTCTTTGTTGTTGTTGAGACATCATAAATTGTTGTTGTTGTTGTTGTGGATTTATTACTCCCATTTGTTGTTGTTGTGGAGGAAACTGCATATTTTGTTGTTGTTGAACTAAAATATAAAATCAGAATAAAAACAAGGAAAAATCAGAAAAACATTTACAAACAAATATAAACATTTTAAAACAAAAAGACAAACATGTCGCTTAAAAACATGTTTGTAAAACACATGGCTCAACAACATCAAGTTTTCTGGAAGTTTAAATTATTTACTTCCGGAAAACTTGGTGTTGTTTGTTTTACAAACATGTTTTTAATGTTTAAAACGTGTTTTTAAGTTTTCCGGAAATAAAACATAATTAAATTTTCTGTTTCCGGAAAACTTAGTGTTTTTTGTTTTGTTTGTTTTAATATTTGTTTTACAAACATGTTTTTAATATTTAAAACGTGTTTCTAAGTTTTCCGGAAATAAAACATAATTAAATTTTCTGTTTCCGGAAAACTTAGTGTTTTTTGTTTTGTTTGCTTTAATATTTGTTTTACAAACATGTTTTTAATATTTAAAACGTGTTTCTAAGTTTTCCGGAAATAAAACATAATTAAATTTTCTGTTTCCGGAAAACTTAGTGTTTTTTGTTTTGTTTGTTTTAATATTTGTTTTACAAACATGTTTTTAAGTTTTAAATAGAAATATATTTATTACTATGTTGTTGTTGCATTATTTGTTGTTGTTGGTGGTGTTGTTGAGCTAAATGTTGTTGCTGATGTTGTAATTGTTGTGAAAACATTTGATTTCTTTGAATTTGTTGCATATTTATTTGTTGTTGAATAAAATTTTGTTGTTGTGAAGTTTGTTGTTGTTGTTGTTGAGATGAAGACAACATTGTTTGTTGGTTATTATTGTTAGGTATTTGTTGTTGCATGTTTTGTTGTATATATTGTTGTTGTTGTTGGTTTGGATGTTGTATTATTTGTTGTTGTCCGTTATTATTCTGAACATTTCTCATTTGTTGTTGAGGAATCATTCCGTGATGTTGTCCAACCATTTGATTGTTTATTTGTATTTGTTGTTGTTGAGATAACTAGAGGAAAAATCGGAAACATTATAAGAGCTTCTAGTTTTTGGGTCATAACTCTTTTCGATTTCAACATTTTTTGATGATTTATATATCATTCGAAAGCTCAGAATGTCCTGATTCTTTTTTCTAAAAGGATTGATCAAATTCGATCATTTTCCAAAAAGTTATGGCCCAATTAAGATCGGAAATCACGATTTTCTGCGCTTATCAGCTGATAACTCTTTAGGAAGTGATTGGATTTTATCAGTCCCTTTGTGAAAAATAATAAACAGATCCAAGGCTTTCGATTGATGTATAAATTATGAGAAAAGGCTGAAGCTAAAAAAAGTTACGACCAGATAAAGATTGGAAATCACGATTTTCCGCACTTATCATGTGACTCTCCGGGAAGTGATCGGATCTTATCGGTCCTTTCGGGAAAAATACTCAGTACACTCAGTGCTTTCGATTGATATATAAATCATAAGAAAAGATTGAAGTTAGAGAAAGTTATAGCTCAATAATAAAGTACATACATGAGCTTGTTGCTGCTGTGTTGGTTGTTGAGGAACATTAGAGTGAAACATTTGGGGTTGCTGCATTGGATACCCACCACTAACTATTTGTTGTTGTCCTTGTTGTGGTCCTCCTCCTCCAGTCATTATATTATGGGAACCATCAAAATGTCCACCACTCATATTTTGTTGCTGTACTCCCCCACCTTGTTGTACACCTCCAACTTGTTGTTGTACAATATTTCCTCCTCCATCCATATTTCCCATATTTGTGCCAAATTCAGTTTTCATTTGCATTCCTGAATTTTTTAAGACTAGAAATTTCAAAAATTTTTTTTTAAAAACCGTGCGCCATATTTATTTGTGATTGATGATCAACAACCATTTGTTGTTGTTGAGGTTGTTGGGGAATAACTACTCCCCCACCAGTTCCTCCACCACCCAATATTACCATTCCATTTCCTGTCATTATAGGTTGTTGTTGCTGGTTTTGTTGCTTTATCTGTTGCTATAAAATTTTTTTGACAAATTAGCAAATTTTCTCCGTAAATAATCAAAAAAAAATAAAAAGGAACTTAAGACATGGACCAGGGCCAGTAGAAAACATCTAAGGGCATAACCAGCTTAGATCGAGATTTTTGAAAAGCCTGGGCCTGTTCCTGGACTCTGGGTTTAGATTTATTGACATGGGTCGATCCTGGGCCTGTAGTTCAGGAAAAACCCAGGAAGGTCAAAAAATGCCAGGGTCTGGACTCTGGGTACAAGAAAAACCCAAGCCTTGGTCCAGGCCCAGCTTGATCCCTAATAGCCAGGCCCTAAAATTCGACCCTAGCTACGCCTAGCTAACGCTACTGTAAACGGATACTTGGAGCCTCTAACATAATAGAAAAGGAGAAAGTGTGATTTGCGAACTTTTGAGGTAAAAGTGGGAAAAGAACCCAAAAATTTTCTTTAAAAAACCCCCTCAAAACCTGATGTTGTTGTGTTAAACTTGAAGTATTTGTTCCTCCACCAGAATGAATAACTTGGTGTTGTTGTTGTCTAAGTTTCTTTGCAGCAGGTGGTTCCATTGTTGGAGGATTATGTGTATGTGCTGGAACTGTTGGGGGAACAGCTACTACTGGTAAAGTTGGGGCCTTCAAGAAAAAATTTTTTTACTAAAAATTTTTTTTGCAAAAGAAACCTGTTGTTTAGAACCACTATTTCTATCTTCTGGTTCGTCTTTAAGAAATTCCCTTCTTGGATAGGGTATAAGACATCCAGCAAAAACATCACTTGCAGGTGTTGGTTCAAGCTACAAAAATATTTTGTGATTTTTAAGATTTGCGGACAAAAAATATTTGCGGACAAAAATTTATTTTTGCGGACAAAATTTTTTTTCTTCTTAAATTTTCTCAAAACAATTTAAAAAAAACCTTAAAATATCTATGTTCCTTAGCCTCAGCTGCAGTTATTCTCTTTTGTGGATCCATAGTTAACATTCTATCCAAAAGAGAAAATGCTTGTTCCCAAATTGGTGTTTCAGTTAATCCACTTGTATTTCTATATTTTTCCATATGTTTTTTTAATGATGAACCTTTATATTTTCCTTCTCTTCGTGGTTTTTCAAAATCGTCATAAAGTTTGGAATATCCTGGCATTTTCTTTAAAAAAATATAAAAAATTTATTGGAAGATTTTTACGGACAGAACTTGCCAAAAATTGCGAACAGAAAAATTGCGGACAGAAAAACTGCGGACAGAATTTGCAGCAGAATTTACGGATTACAAATATGGCTACAAGGTATACTGCTGAAATACCAAAAGCAAAACCAAACCCACCAAAACCGCCGAAATACCAAACTGTGGAAGAGACGTCGAAACATAACAAAATACGTCGACTTTTAGGGGTTAGCTATTTCGACGCTTTGGCGCTACGGCCACGTTATTTGTTTACGAGAGACTCAAATAAACTCCAAATAAACTCAGAAAAAAATTTTTTTAAACAACCTTTATATCAGGCCATTCATCAAGATGTGGATATCCCATCACAGAAAATATTTTGTCTAATTGCGCGGGATGGTAAGGAGTTTGAGATTTTATATCTTCCTTAAACAGTAAAAGAATTAAAATTGCTAACAATTAAAAAAACCTCAGGACAAACAAAAATAGGTTCAGACGTTAACAGCTCAGCAAAAATACATCCAATTGCCCATATATCAATTCCCTTCAAAGAAAAATTTTTTTAAGTTAGCCTAATTAGGATCTCCAAAGGACTAGGATCTCCAAAGGACTTACTGTTCCAACAAGGATCTCCAAAGGATCTCCCTGTTCAATACCCTCCCAAACACCCCCAAAATTCAACAACATGTTTTTAAAATTTTTGTAAACGTTAAAAAACACTTTTATACGAAAAAACAAACAGAAACACGTCAAAAACTGCCACACGGACTCGAACCTGTTACCCCTAAGAACAACTTAACCCACTACACCACAAAACCTAACGCAATTATATATTTCAAAAACCTTTGTATAATGTTTTGAGCACAACAAAAGTTCAGGTGCACGATACCAAAAAGTAACAACAACTGGATCTAAATCAGATAAAGGCTATAAAAAATTAATAATTATTTTACTTTTAAACTTAAAAAAACCTTTAAAGGCATATGAAAAACTCTAGCAAACCCCATATCTGCAATTTTAACTCTTCCACGTTCAATTCCTGTTCCTTCACCCATAACGAGTATATTGGCTGGCTTTATTTAAAAAATTGTATTTTAAAATTTTTTTTGAAAGATTTGTTTCGCTCTAGGCTTCAAAAAAGTCCGCAAGTTTTCTTCCAAAACTTCGCACACTTAAAAAATTCCCCTCTATGGGAAAATGAGTTTATCAACGTAATAAGATGTATCCTTATTAGGGTTGCCAACATGGCCCGCTCGGGCCGAAAGATAGAGTCGGGCCTAAGATATCTGGCTCAAAAAAATTCGTACCGGCCGGCCGGCCCGACAAAAACAAGCCCGAAAAAATGCCTCAGCCCGACTCGAAAACGGCAATCCTAATCCTTATAGAAAGAAAAGGCATGTTAGAAAGGCTTTCGGGGGGACTACGTTTAACTGGATCCTTTACACAACAAAACATAATGAAAAAAAATTGATGAAGATAGAACTTGCGGACATTTGAAAATAGTAAAACATTCCTTTTTTAATTTAAAAAAATAAAAAAACCTTCAAATCCCTATGCATAATCCAATTGTCATGTAAATAATTAATTCCTTCCAATATTTGATAAAGTAAACTTTTCACCATTCCTTTGGGTACCTTTCAAAAAAATTTTCTTTTAAAAAATTCAAAAAAACTTCAAACCATAACTGGACGATTCTTTTGTTTTGCCGCTCTATGATATTTTATAATATGCCACAAATCATGTTCAGCATAATCAAAAAGCAACCAAACACGTTTTTCAGCAGTTAGGAAAACACGCAATAATTTAATTATATTTTGATGACTTGAAAAAAAATTTTTTTGAAAAATTAAAAAAAAATCAGAAACAAACTTCAATTCCCGCAAAAGAGAAACTTCACGACACGCAGACATTGAAAACCCTTGTCCTAAAAATTAAAAAATAATTTTTTACCCAAAAATAGTTAAGAAAACCTTCAATAAGTTTTAAAGCAAAAGCTTTATTTTCAGACCCAATGGGCGCATTTTTTAACATTGCTTTGTAAACATGTCCATAGGTTCCTCTGCCCACCTTTTTTAATAAAAAGAAAATATAAAATTTAAGAAAAAATTGAAAAATTTCCAAAAAATTTTCTCAAATTTCAATTTTAAAATTTTTTCAAAAATTCTAGAAATTTAAAAATTTTTCCAAGAAATTTTTAGAAAAATTTTTCAATTAAAAAAAATAAAAAAACCTTATTCCCTTCATAGTTATAAATATCTTCTACTTTTTCACGCCTTCTAGACAATTCTTCTCTAAAATTTGCATCAACCATAATAATAATTTTTAAAAATTAAATTTAAAAATAAGCTAAAAAAATTTTTTTTAATTAAAAATATATAAATATAAATTAAATATTTTAAAAATAAAAAAAATTCTTCAAAAATTTTTTTTTATCCAATTTCTACCTGAATATAAATCTATGCTATTAAAAGCATGGCAAAAACAAACATAATAAACAAAGTGTTTAACAAAACAACAAAAATATTCTATAAAAGGAAGAGAGAAAAAAAACTTGTAAAAATAAACACAAGACTTTTAAACATGTTTTACAATTATAATTTGTTTTTACAATTCCTGAAAAACAAATTGTAAAAACTTTTCCGGAAAACAATAATAAAATAAACTTGTTTTTACAATTTGTAAAATACAAAAACATGTGTTTTTCCATTTTTAAAAACATTTCCGGAAAAACACAAAAAAACACAATGTTTCTCTCCTATGTTTCTCCCTTGTATTTTCATTCTTAAACATTTCCAGAAACAAATTTCCCCTAAACCCAAATAAATTTTTTACAAGCATCCTTTTCCAATGAAAAAAATTTAAGGTCAGAAAAAAATTGATAAACTCTAATTTTTCTTTTAAATTTCTTTAAACTCTCTATAACAATAAATTTCTTCTAATTTTATTTATAGATCCTTCCAATATTTTTTGAGCATTATATGCCAATATATAAATACCATAAAGATAAACACATATTCCCGCAGCTAATAATAATTCAAAAATTGCAGGTTTTACAATGTTTGCAGTCAATGTATCTTCTAAAAAAATTAAGTGTTTATTGATATTTTTACAATTGTAAAACAACATGTCTTTACGATTAAAACAAGTTTGTTTTTAGATGTTTGTAAAAACATTGTAAAAACAATGTTTTACAGTTCCAAAATAAACTTGTTTGTAGACACTTTTGTTTTGACAACTATAAAAATAAACTTGTTTTTACAACATAAAACAAACTTGTTTAGAAACAAGCATTTAAATCGAAACTTGTTTTAAATAAACTTGTTTTTAGAAAGGTAAAACAAACTTGTTTGTAGAACTTTAAAACAAACTTTGTTTTTACAATTTAAATCAAAACATGTTTTACAATTTAAATTTGTTTTTATCCTTGTTTTTCTACAATTCTAAAATAAACAAACTTACCAACAATTTCATACAAAACAAAATCATTAATTACAACTTCAGACACTAACGAAGTATGCGAAAACTTTTTTACAACTTGTTGTAAATTTGCAATTAATTGTAATTGTAATGTATTTGTAGGTCTAGGTTTACTTCCAAATAATTTAATCCAAACTGCCAATCTTTTCCTGTCAACATTAATTGATTCATTTAATAAAAGAGAACATTCTTCTTTTGTTTCTTTTAAATTTGTACATAAATTTGAATCCAAATTGAACACAAATGAAATTAATGAACTTGAAATTAAACGGGCATTTGATTCTAATATTGAATAATCTAATTGTTTGGGGGTATCCAACATTGAATTTCTGAAAATAAAAGAAATTGAAGATAGTATATAAATATTAGATAGACTTTCCGGAAAAGTATAAAACATTCCGGAAAAACATCAGAATAACTGTTTTTAAAAACATCAGAATATACAAACAAAACATTCCGGAAAAACATATAGAATGTGTTTTTAAAAACATCAAAATATCTAAGCAAAACATTCCGGAAAAACATCGCCATAATATTCCGGAAAGTATAGAATAACAAAAAGTCCCAAACATTCCGGAAAATTACAAATTGTAAAAACATTTCCAAACAAACTTCTTACGGAAAATAAAATACAAAAACAATGTTTGTTTGTTTTACCTTGTGTTTTTCTATTTTTAAAAACATTCCGGAAAAACACAGAAAATGTTGTTAAAACAATAATTGAACTTTTCCGGAAAACACAAGTAAAACACAAATTTTACTGAAAACACAAAGTTGAGTTAAGTTTCCGGAAAATACAAAATAAAGTTTATTTTTGCTTCATAAACAAAACAAGCTTCATAAAAGTAAAGCAATGCGTTTATGAAGCAAAATTAATTTTAAAATTAAAAAAATCTTTTTTCTCCTCACCTTTCCCCATCATCAAATTTTTCAAAATTGGATAAAGTCAACGAATGTATTCTTCTAATATTATAAATTTCATGTTCCCAAACCAATTTATCCGCTCCCAAATTAATTTTTTTAGTAACTAAATTTATTTTCTTTTTATTAATTCCAAAATTTTGTAATGTTGAAATAAATTTTGAAGTTGTAGAGGTTGTTGAGGGTGTTTTTGATAAATGAATAAATAATGGTTGTTGACTATTTTCTTTTAAAGTTGTTGACAATTTTCTTCCTAAACCATCCAAACATATTGCTAAAGCTATTTTTTCATCTGAAAAAAATTAAAAAAAAATTTTTTTATAAAAATAATTCTGATAAAATTTAAAACATTTTTAAATTTGCGGATAAAAATTGCGGATTTTCTAAGCAAAAATAAGTTTCTTAAAAAATTTTTAACTAAAAGCACAACACTTTTGGCTCAATAAAAATGGACCTCAGTGGTCATTAAAACTTGAAATTTTACAGTAAAAGAGCTCAATCAGCTCCAAAACGTTTTCTCAGCTACCTGGATTAATAAGAATTCGTCCTAAAATGCTCTGCACCTTTCAAGATAATGTAGAGAGCAGAGGTTAACTTTGAATTTCCAAAAATCTTAAAAAGGAAAGAATGGAAGGACCCTAAAATTTGATCCTTACCCATACCTAGTAAGTTTATAAATTTAAAAATTGAAAACAAACTTGTGGACTTTTTGTAAAAAACAACCAAAAAAGCCCTAACCCACCCGATATATTAATTAAAAAATAAAATAAAAAAACAAACCAGAATGTTTTTCATTAAAATCATCAATAAAATTTCGACTTCCTTGAAAACTAAATTTTCCTGCTGCAGACAATACAAATACCAAATTATAACGAGCGCCATGTGACGGCAAAGAATATAATTGGTAAAATATAGCAAGTAATTCCAAAAGTATAGCTACTCCACTTCCATTAGAATCTGAGCCTGTTGTTAAACCCTTTAAAGAAAAAATTTTTTGAACTGCTTCAACTTGAGGTCAACTTAAAAAAATTTTTTTGTACTCCTTCAACTTGAGAAATACTTAAAAAAAATTTTGAACTGCTCCAACTTGAGGAATACTTAAAAAAATTTTTTGTACTCCTTCAACTTGAGAAATACTTAAAAAAATTTTGAACTGCTCCAACTTGAGGAATACTTAAAAAAATTATTTTGAACTGCTCCAACTTGAGGAATACTTAAAAAAATTTTTGAACTGCTCCAACTTGAGGAATACTTAAAAAAATTTTTGAACTGCTCCAACTTGAGGAATACTTAAAAAAATTATTTTGAACTGCTTCAACTTGAGGAATACTTAAAAAAATTTTGAACTGCTCCAACTTGAAGGAAATTAAAAAAATTTATTTTGAACTGCTCCAACTTGAGGTCAACTTTTAAAAATGAAAAACTCAAAAAATAATTACCAAACTGCTCCACAGATTATAAAATTAAAAAACAAACCGGAACAACTCCATAATTATCATAATATGCCACAATAAATAAATAAGGAAGTCCTCTTTCTTGAGCATTTAATTGGGCCTAAAAATAATTTTTAATTAAAAAAACTTTGTTATTATCCCCCACATGTCCGCAAATTTTACTTACTTCTCCTTCCTTTTTTTCCTCCCCTCGTAAAAATTAAAAATGATCAAGGACTGGTAATATTCTAGTTTTAAAATTCTTAAGAGAGGAGGAAGGAAGGAAAAAAAAAGAAATTTTGCGGAAGTAGGGGAAGAGAAGAAAAGACGATAAAGCAAAAAAAGTTTATTGCGGACAGACATTTGCGGACAATCAGTCGGGTAGAAAATTTGCGGACACCAAGTCGGACAAAAAAATTTTTGCGGACAAAAAAATTTTGCGGACAGACATTTGCGGACAAAAAAAATTTCAAAAAATTACAATAACGTTGTAGACTTTAGAATTAGCCAAATTTCCAACTGCTGGATTAGTTGAACTTATTTGGTAATTATCCGCCACCACAGAATTTATTAATTGTTGAAATGCTGTTGGTGAACGGCCCGAATTTGTTGAAATACTTGTCAATAAAGATTGAAGGTCTGAAGAGTCTGGAGCGAAGTATACAGCCAATTCTGTTTTTAATGAAGCAAATTTTTGTTCAATTGAAAGAAAAGCCTAAAAGAAAAAAAATTGTGTGACAAAATGAGAAAAATTGGGGGGACTGACCATTTTGCAACAAAAAATTTTTTTCTAAATTTTAATAAAAAATAGAAAAAGCAGGGCAAAAATAAATTCCAAAGAACCTAGACTAAAAGAAAGAAATATGTGACGAAATGAGAAAACTTTGGGGAACTGACCATTTTAAAACTAAATAAATTTTCGTTCAAATTTTAACGAAAAAATCAAAGAAACGACACATAAAAGAAACCTGATACTCCTGTTTAGTCAATTCATTAACATCTTTTGGAAGTATAATTAAAACAGCACCAAGGACCGCCGAAAATTTGTCTTCAAAATCAACACCAATTAAATCCCACCATTTAATTACAACACATTTGCGAAGTGCAGATTCGTTTATATCAACAGCTTGGTACATAACCTTGAGGAAAACGATTTTTAATAAGAATTTCTGAAAAGAAAAAACACAAACTCTGACCCGACACAAAAACCAGTATATACTCCGAATTCCACTAGAGAACGAGCTGGAGCTTGGCCAGCGCCTGGGTTGTCCTGTACAAAGACCCAGCCATTTTTGGACTTGCGGGATTTTCCCGGAATCCAGGCCAGCACTCCAAACTCACTAGAAATTTAATTAGGGGCCAGATCTAGTATTTTCCTGTACAGATTTCCCCAAGACATTTTTGCGAATCCTAAAGATTTCCAGTAAAACAGGCCATACTTTTCAAATGACAAAGTAATTCTGACCATTATGAGCCCACTGGGGAAAGAAAAAGGGAAACTAGGCCCAACTTTTAAAGAAAAAATCTCCTACAAACCTTCCACGATTTACTTCCAAAAACTTTTGCAGTAATTTCATATTGTTGTAAACGATAAGCACGTATTTCAATATCCATTTTATTATTTCCAAAATTTGTAGAAGTTCCTCCTCCACTAATTGCTGCAAAAATTCCACTGGGCATTAAAAACCAAATCCAAAGTATTGTCCAGATATTTTTTAAAGCATCAAATAATTGTTCTTCAGTCATCTTAAAGAAAAAATTATAAAAAAAACAAAAAAGGAACCCCCAAAAAAATTTTTTTAATATAAGAAAAACCAAGGAAAAAACCTAAACTGCATATGAACACATTTTGCCAATTCCATATTTTGCCAATAAGGCTAGAAATTCACGTTTCGTCAATAAGCTTATTGGCAAAGTGTGGGAATATACCCTTATTGGCGAAATATGGTATTGGCAAAATATGAAGATACGGAAAAACAAGAAACTTGCTGCCAATCACCAATATCTATACTATTTTCCTTCTCTTACGTCGCGTCTCTCTCAACAAATCTACATCTCTCTCCATTTTCTTCTATAACTTAAAGTTTACGTTATCTCTCACCAAAATTCTAACCTTTTAATTTACTCTAATTTCTCTCATTCCTATTACTCTCTCCTTATTTATTAATCTATTTTTAACCTTTTTAACCTTACTCACAAACAAAAGTTTTTGGCGAAATGACTTTTCTATTACATTTCCGGTTTAACTGAGAAACGCCCAAACCGGCGCGCTTCCATAACGGCGTTAAGCCCTAACTTGCTTAAAAATGTTCGAATCTTTCCAAATTTGGTATCAAACGATTCCTCTCATTGAGATAAAGAGATTGGTACCAAAATTGACAAGGGCCAGACATTTTCCAGCAAGTTATGGCTTTGCGCCGTTATGGACGCGCGCCGGGATGTACCCTTTAAACAAACAGTCATCCCAAGCATTTTTCTATTCTTCCCAAAAATTCCTAAAATTTTTTTAAAACTTTTTTTTCTTTATTTTTCGATTAGATATTTGTATACTCTATAAAATACATCAATTTATGTATTTGTTTGTATGAATTCTACAAAAACATCAACTACAAAATCAACTAGCAAACCTAACGGACCAATTAATGAATATATAACTACCACTACTGTGATAACAAACGAACCAACTTCAACTACTAGAATGGCTACAACAACAGTTTCGACTACTTCTACTTCTGCACCACAAGTTACTCCACGTGCTACTTTTAGAGATTTATGTTCACTTTTTTGTTGCCCTCCATTTCCTTCTTCTATTGTTGCTAAATTGGCTTTTATGCCACCTGAACCTAGTTATCGGATTTTGACTAGCGATACTGGAAGGTTTGTTCTTTTGCTTTTTTATTTTTTAATTTCTTTTGGGGGCTTCTAAACTTTTGGGAAGTAAAAAAATTTTTTGCGGATAAAAATTTTTCTGTCCGCAACTTTTTTGCGGACAACCGAACCTTTTCTTATTAGAAGACCATTCAAGCTTTGCGATTAAAAAAATTTTTGCGAACTGAATTTTTGCGTATATTCTTTGCGGACAACCTCCTTAACCTTGAATCCTTATCATGAACTCAGCCAATTCCCATTCCCTCCCTTTCTCCAATCAAATAAAACATGTATTTTTAAGGACTTCTTTGGAGCTAGTTGAAAATCGAACAGGTTCTGAATGGCCACATGGACAAGGTTTTTCTTTAAAACAAAAAATCTCAGCTCTACTACAGTTTATGAGTCCAATCAAAAAATAATTGGATTTTTCTTGGTGTTGGCAGGTTCCTACTTTGCAACACCAAAAAAATCCAATCATTTTTTGATTGGACTCATAAAGTTCCATTGGACTCATAAACTGTAGTAGACCCAAAATTTCTTCTAAACTCACCCCTAAACTTTCAGAAGAACTCAAAAACATAACCGTCTTTTTTGCCAAAACTTCTCGAAGAAATAAAATTGCTTGTATGTTTATTAAACCAGTTATACCTACACGCTTTACAATTTTGTTCTCTCATGGTAATGCTGTTGATATTGGGCAAATGTGTTCTTTTTATGTTTTGTTGGGGTATCGACTTGGATGCAATGTTTTCGCTTATGATTATTCTGGTTTTGGATTTTTTAAAAATATTTTTTTCTAGAAGTCTAGGGAGTTGGGGATGGGAAGCATATAAGGGGAAGTTAGTCTGTACACAAGACCGGTGCAAAAAAAGATTGGAACGGGCAAAAAAGGACGTAAAACCGGTCTTTTAACCCCTTTTGTCCGTTCCGTTCTCTTTTTGCATCTGTTTTTTGTACAGGAGCCAAGGGAAAGTTAGTCTGAGACTTCAACTCTGTGACATATAGGGACGACCCAACAATAGCCTCCCAGAAAAGGACCGAGTCTGATGTGAGGTAGGGTTACTAAGTGTAAGGCGAATTTTGAAAAATATATTTTTCTGGCAAAGATTAGAAATCCGAAACTTAGCTGGAACATTTCCTTTTTTTGACATCGCAAATATGTCCATAAACGTTCTCAAAAAAAATTTTTTTTAAAGGTTATGGCCAGTCAACAGGACGTCCTTCAGAAAAGAATCTTTATGCAGACATTGCAGCAGCTTTGAAAGCCTTAGAGACAAAATGCCAAATTCCGCCAGAACGTGTAATTTTGTATGGACAAAGTATTGGGACTGTGCCATCAGGTTTTTTAATTTAAAAAAATTTCCAAAAATTCCCCTTTTCACAGTTGACTTAGCCAGTAAAAACCCACGTGTTGCTGCACTTATATTACACTCTCCTCTACTTTCTGGTATGCGTGTAGCATTTCATGGCATTCAACGAACTTGGTGTTGCGATGCTTTTCCGTCTATTGAAAAAATTCCACGAGTTTCTTGTCCAACGCTTGTTATTCATGGGACAGAGGATGACGTAATTAAGAGAAAAAATCTTTTAAAAGAAATCAAAAAAATTATTTTTAGGTTGTTGACTTTTCTCATGGGGTGACTATTTATGAGCAATGTCCAACTTCGGTAAATACACTATTTTTAATATATTTAAACTTTCCGGAAAACACGCACTTAGACATTTCTTCCGAAGAATAAAAAATCAGAAATTCCGGAAAACTAAAAATAAAACTAAAAACACGAAAATCAGAATAAGTGCAAAAATTCAGGAAAAACAAAATACAAAACTTGTGTTTTTTCTAAAACATTCCGGAAAACACGATTGAAACATGCACCACTATAACATAGGAACAACAATTTTGCACAAACCTTCCGGAAAACATGTTTCTAAAACATTCCGGAAAAACACAAACTCAGAATATTTAGAAACTTGTGTTTCTCTTAAAATTCCGGAAAACTTGTGTGTTTTTTTCTCATAATTAAAAATAAACCTTTTCTTTCAGGTCGAACCTCTTTGGGTTTCTGGTGCAGGTCATAATGACGTTGAAATGCATGCAGCATATCTTGAACGCCTTAGAGCATTTATTGAAGGAGAGGTTTTTCTTTGAAAAATTTTTTTTCTTAAATTAAATTTTCTTTCTCAAAGGTCTCATCCATCCGTGAAGATCACCAACATAATAAACACGAAAACTCGGAACAGAAGCAACGCAAAAATTCGCGGTCGGCTTCTCGTTGATATTTGTGTGGGGAAGTTAAAGAAGAAATTGTGTAATATATATAAAAATTTAACTCAAAAAAGAGGAGGAGGATATAAACGGGAAGAGGTTTATACTATATATATTTTGTAAATTAATTTTTTTCTTTGTTTTTTGACACACATACTAAATTGTGGTTTAAAAAAATAATATTTTCTAAAAAAATGTTGTGTATGTATTTATTAGAGATCGAGATTTTTGAAAAGCCTGGAATTTTCTTTTCTGGACTGTGTTTGATTTATTGACCTGGACCTAGATTTTGGGTACAGGAAAAACCCAGGCCTTGGTCCAGATCCAGATCGATCTCTAGTATTTATAACTAATGTAGAAAAATATTTTTCCGGTCATCCTCTGAAAAAAATACTAGCAACCTTTTTTTGATGGTTTTTTGGGTATTTTCTACCGCTCATCCATTTTTGGTGTTATGAAAAATTTTTTTTAATTTTTCGAACGAATTTACGACGCCTTCCAAAATTTTCTAAAAAAAAAGAAGTAACACAACATTTTTAAGAAAAATATTATTTTTTAACCATATACTTTCTAAAATATAAAACTACCTAAATTCTGCTTCTTGCTTTCTTCATTTTTTTTTTGAAATTATTTTTTGGGTGTAAATGTTTTTGGGGACATTTATTAATTATATAAAAAAGAATTTTTGTATTAAAACTGTGCTAATTGAGGGGAATAACTAAAATATTCCTTTATTCTCGTATTTTTTTGTTTTTATTATTATTGACTTCTTATTTTTTTTCTAAACTACAATTAATTTTCAAGAAAAAAATAATAATTGGTTAATTTAGCTGCTGAATATACAAAAAGAAGGGAAGGGAGATGGTCGGCCAAAAAAATTTTTTTTTGGCCAAAAGACCAAACAAAAATTAATCAATTTTTGTGTTTTTTAAATTTAAAATAACCAAATTATTATTTTTTAAATTTTTTTGGCTCTTTATACCTATAAGAATTATTATTTTTTGCTAGCATGAAAGGAAAAAAACCTTGGCCAAAATGTTTTTTGCACAAAATTTTTACCTTTTTTTTGTAAAAAATGTTTACAAAATAAAGTTATTAAAAAATTAACAAAAACTTAAAAGTACTCATACATTTGGTATCTTCTTCTTCGGGCACCTTAAATTAAAAAAAAAATGTTTAAATAACCTCCCTATTTTTCCAAAGTGGTCAGTTTCGAAAGAGGGAGATTGTTGGGGAAATTTATCTAAAAGACTTTTTAATCTCGCCAATAATTAGAGTAATTCCACGACAGTTCTCGGTTATTGTTAAAGCACATTTGAGATTGAAGTCCCATGAAAACCCCCACCTTATTTGAAACCTGGAATCACCAGATTAGTAAAAATGTCAGGGTTTCGAGTCGAAAAAAAGGTCAGAGTTCAGAGGTAACACGACCCTTCCCTGGCTGAAACCCCAAGTTGAACCCCCTCCTTCTTGATATTAATAAAAATAATTAAACAAGAAACCTTTATAATTTTCATAATAAACTATCAGGATCATCATCAATTTGATTTTTCTTTTCATCTTGATTTATTTCCAATTGTAGTACTTCACTCCAATCAATTTTGAATTTGCAAGAATGAGAAATTTTACAAACTTTTGGGTAATACTTTATAATATTGCTCTCTCCGTTTTCATCTGGTTTCAAGTAAAAAAATTTTTAGTACCGTCTAGGCCCCCTAATTTAAAAAGAAAGTAAATCGCCGCCCTTAGAGTTCCTTATAGTAGTTGACCTCATCCAAGCCTAGTAGCACTCCCAACATCTCCCCCACCTCTGAACGTGGTGAAACAAATTGTTAGAGCAATAAATGCCGGGAAGAATAATTCTCCTACCTAATATTCTTACTTTTAATGGTCTACTCTATTTTTTATAAAATACAGAAAGTAGTGGAGGGTAAGAGTGAATAGAGTTGTCGGTTCCTGGAAATTCTACGGATATCCGTAACCGAAACCGAAGAACCGAACCGAAAAATCGAACCAAAAAATCATCTGTTCTTCGGTTCGGTTCAAAACGAAGAACTCTGCTAATAACCGTCAAGCCTCCTCCCCTCCTCTTTTAATTAATTTAATTAAAATAATTAATTAATTAAACCTTCAATTTTGCAGAATGATTCCATTTTTCTTTCAATATCCCCTTCATCATCTTCTTCCTCTTCAAAATAAATTTTAAAATTTAATTTGCGTCCATAATATTCAATCTGTGTCGAATTCAAATTTTTAAAAATTAAAGCATTTCCAAAATAGCATTTTACAAAATGTACAAAAAATTCAAGTTTTGAAAGTTTTGACCATTCTTGTAATTTTATTTCATTTTTAGACAGATCAGGCTTTAATAAAATATTTTGTAAAGGTTGTCCAAATGATTTAATTAATTGTAGACGAATAAGTGAAGAATCTAATGTTTGTTGAAATGTTGGAGGGAAGGCAATTTGCATTAACGGGATCTGAAAAATCAGAATTTTAATTTAATTTTTGTTTAAATCTTTCCGGAAAACACATAAAAAACACAACACAAACACATTAAAACACAAAACACACCTTTTCATATAAAACATTCCGGAAAACAAGTAAAATTATTTTAAGCTTTCCGGAAAACACAGAAACACAAAAAGAAACCTTAAAAACATCTTCCGGAAAACTTTGGGATGTTTTATTTGGTGTTTTCCGGAAGATGTTTTAAAGTTTTTTTAATCTTTTCCGGAAAGTAGAATTAACTTAAAGGTTCCGGAAAACACAAAAATAAATTTTGATAAAAACATTTTCCGGAAAACATATTAATAAAACATGTTCCGGAAAAACGCTTATAAAATCAATTTTTAAACATTTTCCGGAAAACACAAAATAAAAACACAATCCGGAAAACACAAAATAAAATCAATTTCTAAATTTTCCGGAACAGAAAAACACAACTCTAACATAAGTTTTACCTCAATACAAGGCCAGAGTATAACAACATCAACAGCAAAAGGTATTTCATTCTCCTCAGAAATTATAGCAAAAGCAGTTCTAGCAAGTGCGGAGATTGCAGAAAGCATTTCTAAAATTAAAAAATTTTTTTTAATTTTCAAAAAAAAATTTTCTTCTCCCATACCAGGATTAACCAAAGCAGAATGCCTTCGTAGCCATCCATACAATTCCATAGGAAAATTTTTTTCCCAATCTGCTTCATCTTTTAAAAAATGTAATTCAAGAGCCATTCCATTGTTTGGTTCAATTAACGCTATTTGGGTAGAAATAAAACCATCAGAATTATTATTACAATTAAAAGTTCCGGTTGATGAAGGACGTTTACTCCTTGTTGTGTTTTGCTAAACCTTTTGTAAAATCATTCAGAACAAAACATTTTTATAAACACATAAAATCAGAAACTTTCCGGAAAACACAAAAACACGGAATTTAATAATTCCGGAAAAACATTATTAATTAAACAAAACATTCCGGAAAACATTTCAGAATATTTAATAAAAAAACACACAAAAACACATAAACATCAGAAAACATTCCGGAAAACACATGTTTTTAAAACAAAACAGAAAATAAAGAAATCAGAAACATTTCATTTTTACGGAAAACATACAAAAATGTTTTAAAACAGTAAATAAGAAAAACACAAACCCGGAAACCATCAAAAACATATCAAAACATACAAAACATATTTAAAACCCCGGAAAATAAACAAAAACATTCTAAATTTTCCGGAAAACATGTTTTAAAACAACATAATCAAAAACATTCCCCCAACTTTTCGGAAAAACATCCAAACATTTGTTTAAAGTTTTATTCACCTTGTTTACTCGTTTATGTACCAATAATTTAGGTGTTTCTACTATACAAGATTCTGATAAATTTGTTGTTGTTGTTGTAGCTTCATTATTTAATTTTGAATGTTTATCAATATCTTTTGCTAATACAAAACAATTACAACTTTTACATTGAATTAATTGTTTAAAACGTTTTTTGCTTGAAGAAGAATTGTTGTTGTTGTTGCTTTTGTTGCTGCTACTTGTACCTTCACCATTCATTCTTTCTCTCCTATTTTCTGGTTGAAAAAAATTCTAAAATTAATTTTTTTTTAATAAAATATAAAAAAATATTCTTATTTAATTAGAAATATTCTTAATAAAAAAATCAAAAAAACTTAAAAAAATGTTTCAGAAAATTTTTTCTCATTGTCAAAAAATTATAAACAAAGAAAAAAATTATTTTCTAATCAAAATGAGATACAATTTTTTAAAATGGCAAATATTATATAATATCCTAAAATTTAAAATGCGCGAAAGATTTTTTGATAAAAATTCAAGTGGAGAAATGATAGGGAAAAATGCAAAGGTTAATAAAGTATTTTAAAACAGAACAAGAAAAAATTGTGTATTTTCCGGAAAACTTGGAAAAAAGACAAGTTTATTAAAATGTTTAAAGTTTTCCGGAAAACATACAAAACCGGAATTTGTTGAAAATAATATCTGGAAAATAATAAAAATCAGAATATCAGAATAAAACATCAGAAAAACACAGAAAAATACAAAACATAAAATTTCCGGAAAACATGAAAAACAATGTTTGTGTTTTTGTTAAAAAATGTGTTTTTGTTGAGAAATGTTTGTGTTTTTGTTATGTTTTACAAATTAAATTTAGCAAGTTTTTGTGTTTTCCGGAAAAACATACATCTGTGGAAAACAATGAAAATCAGAATATGTGTTTGTGTTTTTGTATTTTATATAATTATGCTAAAACACAAAGTTTTAAGTTTTTGTATTTTTGTTTGTTTGGGAGGTAAAAACTTATTTAAAAACATGCAACATTTTAAGATGAACATAGCCGATTAGCCGCAGCATTGACATTCCACTGTTCACAATCTAAAGCGGATGCAGCCAATTCTCTATCTGTAGCTAGACCCATTTCTAAAAGCTTATCAATTTTTAATTGTTGTATTGCCCTTTCAGCATCAAATTGATTACGCCAAAGTTGTTGGCGA